AAAAACCAAACTGCTAAGTTAACACAAATCAGGCCGTATTACCACATCCTCCGTATTCCTTACAATTGCGGATACAGCCCAAATAAAATGTGCGAATAAGTACTGGAGTACACGAGCTCAGTACAACAACTATTACGCTGAGCCTTACCAAAGCGCCTCGGCCAAGTGTGCCGACTTCGTTTGGCCATTTCCGTTTTCGCATCGCTGGTTTTCACTCTTTAGCTGGGCGAAATATATTTTCGGCCAGGCACATAAAAATGTTGTAAAACAAAGCGGTGAACCGGGAAGTGTGTGCTTGTGTGTGTCTTCCGGAAAGAAGCGTCAACTAAATGCCTACAACGTGACATAAGAATGACAAACGGACTTCCATCCCTGCGATAACAAACTTTAGGACTGAACCTTACCAATTGAAGTCATTTCTTAAAGGGGCATGCCTCTATGCCTGTAGTTTTGTTCTTTAAAAGTCTGAAATAGAACCAGAAGACATGACATTAGTTAATCTGACTCTGAATCAAGGAGCTGACCTTGGACTAGCTATAATATAATATATAAAACTAGCCAAGTTATGATTAGCTGAATAAAGGATTTTGTTTCGTTTATTCTGCTTTTAATCTATATTGGATTTTGTTAATGCCCACTTTGTAGGAGCTATTCAAAAAGAGCATAACACAATGTGGTGAAGAAGATCACGTGCCATTTAGCCACATATCCAAAAGTCATGTTCTATAAAAGACATATATAATTATAGTACTTGCACATTTGCCACAGTGCACACTACCTGACGACTTATAAAATGTAATTAATTTGCTTCGTTTGTAGTCATAGGATAAGCCACTTATTAATGTCACTAGTAAAATTTATTAAGTTTGAGCTAAATAAATACTGCTATCTTACCATTACTATTATTGGTTTCTTATCAATGTTCACCGAGTGGTTGCCCAGTTTGAATGTTGCTAGCAAAAAAGGCCAACGGACTTTATTTAAATTGCAGTCACTCGTGTTGCCACAAAACAGAGCATTTCCCTTTGTGGAGCATATGTATCCAAAAGGAGACGGAAACCACCCATCATCCGCCGACCGCCCATTGGACAGCAGCTCAATCTTGGTAAAAATTTGTCGCACTGGAATTTCATTTATTCTGTTGACTTTGACTTTGTTGTGGTTCTGGGCCATCATACCAGCATTCTACCCTGCCCAAAAGCGAGGTGAAACTATTTGAAGTCAGAGGGAGGCAGATGCCAGCCAGACCGGAAGCATCGAAACAGAGTTGGAAACTTTGAATAAATCGCATTACTGGCGCCAAACTTGTGAAAGTTTGATCCAATATTTAGGCCTTATCAAATTATTGACATGAAATATTCATGCCGTTGATAACCAGCTTAAGCCAATATAAATGAGATTCGAATGCTGTTAACTTTATTCTTGGATGGGTTGGAGGACCTCTGCCGTCTGAGATTGTAAATTAAAAACCAATCCCTGGCGTGATCTCTCAAGTGGAAGACCCCCTTACTTTTGGGAAGACGTGTGAAGCGGGATTCGAGTGCACAATCAACAAATGCGAATCAAATTGCATGGACGTCGATGCCCCGAGGAGCAGCCACGGGGCACTTGCTTTGGTCAATCTAGGGAATGTGGTGGAGTGGAGTGGACAACAATTGGGGCTCATCAGGTCCTGCTCCTCGGTCAAAGTCCTGTTTTGCAGGAAAGTTAAACCAATTAATAGCTCGGTTCGTTACATGGAATGGGCAGAAAAGGGCCAGCGATTAGCCGGATGTGGCATCTGTTCCAATTGAATTCCATCATCTGACCCCGCCCGCAGCACTAAAGTTATTCCATTTTATTTTATTGCGTTTATTCTATTTATATTTGCGAATGGCCAGGCATCCGAGGCTGACAATTGTTCTGTTGGTGGTGTCAGCCCAAAGACATTAGGCCGCATTATTTAGGCTTTGGCTTTACATAATCCCCGCTTGTCGCTGTCGCCTTCGCAATGCGCCTTCTCCATCGCCATCGCCATCGCCCCCCAAACGACTGTCAGCTGTGGCTTCTCGGGAGGATTTCGGGATAGGTGAAGGAGGCAGAAATGTGCGTGATGTGTCGGGAAGACAAACACAAACACGTCAATGCCATAAGCAGCCGGGAGCCACCACATCCGGAACAATGAGCCGACAAACAGGCGGACGTGGGACCGCCAGGACCTCCATCCCCCCCCCAACTCCCCCTTTCCATCAGGATAAATTAACAACCCAGATAACGCCATTGAGCGTCTGATGAGAAATACCCGTAAAACTTGATGTCGCCTCATTGCGAGCCGAAATATTAAGTGGGCGTTATTGGGTAAGCAATCAACAGGAGAAGTCTTCAAGTCCTTATGATAAATTCATCGATTTGTGAGCTGCTGCTGTAAGATTTGTTAGACAGAGGTTTATGAATATTCAATAATTTGCCAAGTTCATTTTGGTGCCGTTTCGATTATCCCGTATTTATTTCCTCGACTAGATAAATTGTGGTTGGGGATGGTAATGATGGCTTCGGCCGAACAGTCAGGAAGATAATATCGAATAGGGCCACACAACATCGCTTGACTCCAAGTTTTCATGGCTGTCACTTGTCACTAGTTTAATGTCCACCTCCTCTTTCCCACCCACAACCATTGGCATTGTCCCGAACGCCTGGCGGGGTTTAATCAGCTCTTTATAGTCGAGTATATCGGATCCCCAAGGTCTCGACGAATACCTCCGCCCCGTCGAAAGTGAAATTTGCGTGCGGTTTTGATTGTTTTCTCCTCTTGACCCCGTTGGCCGGTGTCATCATCATCACCTCCATTGCCGTGGGTGGGTTGGCCACTTCCTCTCTGTTTCCTGCTCCCACACGGATCATCAAAACAAGCCGCCGAGCCACTTTACGGACAGCCATGGTGCTTGTCTGTGCCCCAGTCGTATGCCGATTGGCCAAAGGCATTCCACTCGCCATCTAGCCAGGTCAAGAGCGTGTCGTGAATATTTATACGTATTTGATTAGAGTCTCGCAGGAGGAGTGTGGATGGCCGAACATCTGCGAGTTTGATTGGATCAACTCCCAGGATACTGACGGAAAACAGAATTTATCGTTTAACGGACACTATAATTTAGCGAAAGTCGCCTCAACTTGGCCAATGTCGCTTAGAGTGACATGTTATTTCTTTTATTTTTTTGGAGAGTCAAGGCCAGCTCCTCACCTCGAAGTTCCCGGGGCTGAATAATCCTCTGTCAAAACTCAGCGACACTGCCAGTTGCAGTTTGACACTCACACGTCCCTGAGCTCTGAAACTTTCTGCCGTTCTTGCATAAGAAGTCATGAATAAAAGAGGAAGGCAACGGCAAACCCATCATCATCATTGGAGCCTCCACACCCACCACAACACCACCGCAGCGAGAAGTTCTTCTGGTTCGGGGGCGGCATCAGTTGAGATTGGTTCATGTCAAAGTCGCCGCACAAAACTACGAGTCGGCCAAGAAAATAAAATAAATTAAATAAAAGCCAAACTAGACGCGGTCGTCTAACGATGTCAGATGTATCTGGTCAGCAAACAGTGTTGTCCAGGGTAAAGAAAAAGCCGATAAAAGGCGAGGTATCCAACATTCGACTCCTTCGGTTGGGCGTTTATGGGGAGGCGGCTTGATTATAAGGATGTGTCTCGCATGTTTTCCGGGCAGGCGGGCCAGACCAGCCTTTGCCGGAGGATTCGCCATAAATTAAATTACCCAAAAACCCAAAGCAGATTTGCTACGACTCGGCTGGCAACAGCTCGTTTAGGGCCATACATCTTCCGGATCTTCGGGGCCATCCGGATTTCACGAGCGAATGTAGGGGGGGGGGGTGGACTTCCTGGGGGACTTTTCTGCATACGACGGCACTTTGGCCGTCTGTCAGTGCACATTTGCCTTGCCAAAGTTAAAGTTATGTGCACGAATAAAACAAATTGCAGCTTTTCGCTTCGCTTCATTACTCTTCGCCTACGTTTTGGCCAATTTCTTAGCCTGGCTGCCAGCTTTTCGTCGTGAAAAATTGGCCGGAATACCTTTTCGCACGCCTCTGCATAATGGGATATTAATAAGGATCTGTCTTAACGGGGAAAATGAGGATAAGTCCAAAATGGTAACAAGGTTTAGCCTGCAATGCAATTAAAATGGCATAAACAAAATGTTTATATTCCTCTGATTTATGTTAATATATGTGAAGACGAATGGGTTTGGAATTTGATAACAGGATATAATGATATAGATAACTGATTGTGGAATTAAATAAAAAATAATTCCATGGAAAAGTGATGGCTGATGGCAGAAAGTAGTTAAACAAATTAACTACTCATTGACCAATTATTACTAATGAGACATTCTCTTTCTCGAGCCTTCGTACCTGACTCCTGTACAGGACAAAGCGGATTGCCAGTAATTTCACTTAAAAATAATCATTATGACCCTCTTTTTTTTTTATTTTGGTCAGGGTGCAGAGGCGTTGGTCCTTAATTGTCGACTCAGTTGCTGTGTGAGGACTCGGAAAGGCGTCCAACCGAGACCACCTCATGCAGGACAGCTCCATAATGACGAGCGGACATAAGCGGCTTTTGCTCAACTTTACTTGCCGCCCCAGGCTGCAATTAAAATTCACACTCGGGGCCCTATGAAATGTGGGCGAAGGCAGCGGGAAAAGCACGCTGAGTGGAGTGGATGGCACAGCCATGGAGCGAGGTCCAATTAACTTCTGGATACCCGAACCCCGAGGACACTCCAATCTCAACCAGCGAAACTGCATAAGTTTTACTCCGTTTATTTGCGGCAACCTTAGGAAGTTCAATTGAAACACCGATAGACTAGTTTACGAGTACGATCATAATCACAAGTAGGTAAAAAAAATACGAGTGCATGCTCCCCTAAAGCACACCCATCGTCTATGGTACATATTTACAACGATTCCTGGTGATGATCCTGGAGTGAATCGCGGGGGCAGTCCCTTGCAGCTTACAGCTGCGGACTTTCGGTGGCGGCGGCGGTGGCGCCACTGGTGTGCACCACCGAATTGAGGAGATCGTGGCGCGACCTGGTCCGCCAGGTGCCCGTGCCCATGGCCAGGCCGGGATTGAGACTGATGTTGGTGGCGTTCGGATAGGCGACTCCGCCCGGACCCGCCTGGCTGGCGGAGAGTCCTCCAGCGAAGCCACCACCTCCTCCTGCTCCTCCGCCTCCTCCTCCGCGGCGCCAGGGCAGACCCTTGAAGGTGTCCACAAAGGCGCGCCGGAAGCTGGCGTTCATGAAGCAATAGGTGATCGGATTGCAGCAGCTGGAGGAGTAGGCCAGCAGCTGCAGGAAACTGATGGCCGTGTAGTCCACGTACTGGTACATCACCGGGCCAATCAGCATGGTCATCGTGTTGATCACGTACAGTGGCGTCCAGCAGATGAAGAACTCCAGGACCAGGACGAACAGCATCTTGACCACCCGCTTCTTGCTCTCCAGGGTCTTGGCCTCGTTGGATCTGCGGAAGGGAGAAGGGAGTGGCATTGGCAGTCCGGGATCAGGTTGGATCCAGGCTCTCCTACCTGCGAAGGGCTGCATCGTGGACGCGAATGCTCGGCGAGGAGGTCTTGGCCAGCGTCACCGTGGTCGTGGTGGTGGTGGTGATCACAGTTGGAACCGCCGCTCTTGTTGTCGTCAATGTTGTCGTTGTTGAATTCGTAGATCCCTCTGCGTTCCCATTGTTGTTGTTACTACTCTCTGTTTTGGGTAGTGGGTTTAAAAGGAGGAAAGTCCACGGATAATCCCCAGTGACCTACCATTATAGACTGCGGTGGCGGTCAGGACGAGGATGCAGTTGCTGCTGCCGCTTGGGCCCGGAGTGGGTCCACCTCCTCCCCCACTTCCAGCCACTGATCCCGCGGACACCGGAGCCGACTGCTGCAGAATCCGGCCGCTGTCCTTGGCCATGCCCACGTAGAGGGTGCGCGTGATCAGGATGTAGGCCACGCAGAGCACCAGCAGCGGCAGGAGGAGCAGCAGGACGTCCAGCAGGATGGTGTAGAAGAGCTCGTATCCCTGGTCCGGCCAGGTTTCGCGGCACTTGCAGTAGCCTGTGGGTGGAAGACACACATCAATTGGACTCCCAACAAGGGGATGCCCGGGATGTGCTCACCTGGTCGACTGGTGGGTAGCAATTGACTGAAGACCGCTATGGGCGTCATGCACAGGATGCCGCCCAACCAGATGAACCCGATGATCTTGTAGGCGTGGCTGATCGTCTGCCAGGATCGCGAGCGGAGTGGATGGCAGATGGCGTAGTAGCGCTCGCAGGATATGGCCACCAAGGTCCAGGAGGAAACGGCCACCGAGGCAGCTGAAAAGGCACGGGAAAGGGATAAGGGATACAGGATAATATATATACAGAGAGCCTTCAAGGAACTCCACAGCCCCACTACCGACTTGCAGAAATGTGTCGCGACGCTTCGTGTTAAATCGACTTCATTAGAAAGTCCTTTTTGCCCGCACTCGTTGCATTTTAATTACACAATTTGCATATTAAAACCAGACAAGCTCCCACTCCACACTTTCTTTGGATTATTCTTCGCCAGAATGTGGCAAACAGTACACGATGCAATTTGCAGAAACTGCAATTAAACAATTCCCTCGGCACTCTGTTTCTTTCTGCCCAGTCTCCTTTTCGTTTCCTGCCGCCTGCCATATAAACCTATTAGAGGATTCCCTATCAAAAGGAATTTACACCCACACTCTACATTCCCCTGGGTGCGATTTCAACTGACAAGTATCGATGGTATGATACATACACAACTGCGGTTGTATATGGGAATGCGATAAGTTGAATCCTAAAGATAGGTACTCGAAAACGCAGAAAGTTAAACCTCAACAAAGCTAACTTAAGGTTAAAGTTTAAAAGGCTACTATGAAACAAATGTTGTATTTTATTAAGATGGTTTGGAATTTGTTTTTTCTGTATTCGAATGGGAAGTTATTATATTTTTTTAATTAGAAAATGTCCCTCAATATTTAGCTAAAGTCCCCCTTTTACATTTTAACTACAGAGATCACAGCTTTATCTTGGATTTAGTATTCGTATTTGTTAATTAAAAAGTCAAGGTCTGAATTTTAAAAATAAAAATCGTAAAGGGCTTTTGAATATCGGGAAATGAAATTTCATTGAATCCTCTTTTCCACTCAACTAAGGTCCACCCCAAAGTGCCTTGACACGACTGGCTCGCGACGTCGTTGTGCTAACCCCCTGAAATTGCAGTTTACTTTCGATAGACGTCGGTGTGTAAAGCCCTAAGCCAGAAATACCAGGGAAATGCATGCCCAGACTTAAAACAAACACCACCATTTCCATTTGGTTTCTGGTCAACTTTAAGGCTTTTCTGCTAAGCATTTTGATTGATTTGCCGCGAAACGTCTCGCCAACTAAATCATTTCGAGATGCCAATACAATCCGTAAGAGCTTTGCGTGTGCTGGCATACTTTACATACCCCATCACCAGCCCCTTACACAATCCACCACCCCCTCCGCCCCTATTTTGTTCGTAATTCAATTGGCAAATGCAAAACTGACGGCAAATGACGAACCCAAATTGAATTCGATGCCACCCCCGTTTACGTCCAAGCTGTTTTTCTTTTGGCAACTGATTGAATTTGATTTGTGCGGAGAGCGGGCAGCACGCCTTTAAGGCCAAAAAAGGACATGGATGAGGAGGAGAAGCATGAGGAGAAAGATGTAACACGAGAGGACCAGACGTGTTGAGCATATTACGCATACGACACGCAGTCCTCGAGCCCCGCATAAATATGCGACTCTGACAGGCCGGAATTTACAAGCGTCAGTTGGGTGATAAAATTTGATTGCCGCAAATAAAAGGAGCACACTCAGCAAAAAGTAAAGATATACTTCTGTCTTCATTTCTGGTAAGTATTCATTCAATACGTTTTTTCCTTCTTTAACAAAGCCATTTTCCTTATCAAAGAAGAAAAAAGGCTAGAGCTACATGGACTTAACATTGTATTAGTAAATCTTGATATTCTGCGCTTATACCCTCTGACCTATGCACTTCAACCAGCTGCGGAAAAAACTTGACATTAACTCGACAGAAATAAGAACAGATAATTGAAGCTTAGAGAATTTCTCAAAGATAATAATGTAACCAAATTGTCTACTATTTTTCCTTTGAAGAGGCAAAATTCGTAGCTGAGAAACTTAAAAACAGTACACTTTTATACCCTTGCAGAGGGTATTATAATTTCAATCAAAAGTTTGCAACGCAGAGAAGGAGACATTTCCGACCCTATAAAGTATATATGTATATTTTTGATTAAATATTATGGAATTTCGGTTTTCATTAAATTAAAATCGGCCAACAAAATCATATAGCTGCCATAGAAACTATGGCAAAATGCAGCCGAAAATCGACATAGCTTCATTGTTTTTAGTAATATAGATTATATATATATATAATATAGTCGATTTGTAATAACTGCAAGGATTTATAAACTTCCGCTTACCGAAGTCCTTCCTTTGTTGTTAAATATAAATTAAACTTGTATGAGGAAATTGTACACTTTAAGATAAATTTTTTTCGGTGCGCAAGAACATTGACATTAACCACAAAACGACCGCAAAATGTTGCTTTGACCAGGTATTGTAGTGGAGTAAATACACTCGTACGTTTATGGTGCTCTGGCGGAGAAGAGGATTGCGTGTACTTGTCGCTCGAAAGGAAGCTGGTTCAGTGATTATGGCTGCAGGGAATCCACTTTCCTGGATCGCCTGTCGCTCAACTTAGCAGATTGAGTGCTCCACAGATGATGAAACAAATTGCCCAAATCCTCGCACAACAACTGAAATCGCCTAGGTAAATCAAAAACTCTCAGGGTTGTTTCCCAGGCAAGTCCTTAAATTAGTTTTTCGTCATTTCAAATGACTGACAACTAAGTGCGTTCTCTGATGGAGGAGTGACTGGGCGGAAAAAACTTCAGAACCGGTGGTGTCAACAGAGACTTCGACATGTGACATGACCACACTCTAGCCGAAAAGTGAATGCTTGCTCGGATCATGGTGTTTAAATACAAATTTCCCTTGCAAATTGTGCACGCTGTCGGCGAATTCAAAAAGTATGCTTGTATTCATTTCAATATCCATGGTAACAAACAACAAGTTGGGGGCGAAACTCATTTAAATTCAATGATTCGGGCTGCTCTCGAATGCATTCGTTATAATGCTGGGATTTCCAAACGCGAGTTGGGGGGGGAGGGTGTGGTCTTAAATCTTAAAAGCCTGCCAATTGAAAAGTTTGGCGGAAAAACGAAATCAGAGTTTGCCCAAAATTCTATTTAAGTTGAAAGAGAAACAAAGTTGCTAAAACGCCCGTCGCTTCCTTTTTATTGAATTAAGTACTCCAAAGTGGCTAGGTGGTTGGGCGCCAACTTAGCTAAGTTATCCTGGGGGTGAACCCCCCCACCACCACCACCTATCCCATCCCATCCCAATCCCCACATGTCTGGAGCAGAATAAGCCGAGCGAGCATCTCAGTGATATTAATATTGTTTTCAAGTGATTCATTCTGAATCTTTGCCGCTCTGCGGGCCACTTCACGTGCACAAGGCATGCGGGCCCAATGAAAGTTCCTGCCGTAGCCAAATGTGCATTAATTAAAAAACTTCATGCTTTACCAATCCCAAAGGCAGCAGCAAAGTTTTCCTAACAAATCCGTTGAAAGCGACAAAGTTTGGGGCACTACGTTTTGGGCATAGCCATGTCCAAAGGGAGTTTTCTCCTTGGAAACAGTACTCAATCTTTAGCTTGATAACAACAATTAGCAGAGGAGAAAGAGAGCTGGCCGTTGGCTAAAAACTCATCATGCAAATGGGGCACGCTGGCCAGGATTTCAAAGGCCACCACCCCCATTTTTTTCTGCCCAGCAAACACTTAACCCGGACAGGTGGCTTCTGAAAGTCCACTATTTTCGTACATACTATATGTGCGTTTAAACAAGACACTTTTTGCCTTTCATACAATATGTACAGTTTACGCAGCCTAAACCGGATTCCAAGGATAAAAAATAAAAAGAACAACGAGCAGCGGCTGAATTGGTTTTTGCGCTTAACATTAAATTTGACTCCGTGCCCCGGATGAAATGAACGTTGGCCAGCCAGTGTCCTTTTTTGGGGCTCCACCCCCAATCTGAAACAATATGTGCACACCCTGCCGATCGCACTTGAAACAGCAAAAGGTCCTGGCCAAAAGTCGAACTTCAACTCGTTAAAGTATTTTCAGATTTTATTGCTACTGACAACTGTTCCAAAAAGTGCCGTCAACTAAGTTAATCGAAAATCAGGAGAATGAAAGGGAGGAAAATTACATAGTTCTGCAAAAAATAAGGAAAATATTTTAATGGAAAAAAAAAAACTTTTATTCATTTCAAACTCTTATTTAAGAAAGTTAATAGGTTTTGTATCGAAATCTACTATGATTAATTAATTATTATTATTTAAATTTTGTTGGTATATTTTAAAGAATTTATTATTAGTGCTTATAAAATTATCGTTATGAAGCCAATATAATTAAGTTATATTATACTTGATAAATGTTTTTTCTGGAAATCTACAATCATTTTAGTATTTTCTATATTATAAAACACTAAAAATCTGTTAATTAAATAAGCGTTTTGAGGCAATTTTTGCAATATTACACTATATTGTATATATGTATACAAGTAGGCTTAAATTAAAGCAACTTGGTTGAATGTAATTTGGTGAATCATAATTTTTGAAAAGATCAATGGTTGCTAGGCACAAAATGAAAGTATGTGAGGAAGGAAAGCATAATTTAAAAAATAAAAAACTGGCAGCACTGGATGCGGAGCTGACCTTCTGCCGATGGGACATTGTCTTACCAGTCCACCAGGTACGTTGACTCTTAAGCACCGCAATTTGAGAAAAAGTCCGGAACGGTGACGCCCACGCATCGTTTGCGGCCCAATGACTCTCGTTCACTGAGTGCCCCACATGTCCCAAGGGCACTGGGTGCCATTAGGATACTGTGTTGTGTTGTCTTGGGTTGTGTTGTGTACTGTTCCGTTCTGTTATGTTTAACCTGTAATTGCATACCCTTTTTCCGCGACCCCTGTGTCACCGTTGCTGCACGTTGCATGTTCCCCAGTGGGAACACCCACCCCCCCTCCATGGTGGTTATGGAAATGGTTATTTAATTTCCAGTCTGTGACGGGGATTGGGAACAAAAGTATGCAATGCTTTTTGCACACGCACACCCGCCTTAAATTGCGCAGCCAAGTATGCTACATTTTTTGTGTTCCATAGTTGCCTTTCCTATGCGAGATCCATATCCCATCCATCCATTCTGCTCACTCATCCCAGTGAGGAGCAGGATTACATCCAGCTCGCTCGGAACTTTTCGCGTTACGCAATGGTCCACAATTTCTTGTTTGCAGTGCGTAAGTAAAATTTTCGTGGTCCGAAGTCCTAAGATACACACATATATATTATATATATATATATATGTATGTATATATATGAAGAGGCTTTGTTGCTAATGCGTCTTACACATAAACAATGAGGAACTGCCCCGCGGTGTTGAAAGTCCATTTAATTGTCTGTTGCCTCTCAATGACGCCTCCATCTACAAAAAATATCCAGCTGCAAATGTCCTTTTAATCGCGCCAAACTGTGGTCCTGACAAAGTCTTTGATATGAAGTTATGTTATGGCCGTATTCTGCTTTGGCTGCCAAAGAATCATGTCCTGTCCTGTCCGCACTCCGTCTTTAATAAGTCCCAATATTATGATTTGAATTTATGTAGGGAATGAGCGTTTCTAAGCCCGGCAACATGCGACACGCACAAGTTTATACAATAGGCTACCAAAAAAAAAAAGGGGTAACCAGAGGCAATGGAAGCAATGACAATGTGTGCCCACCTCCTCTCCAACTTGTTGTTTCCTCGTGGATTTTATGAGCATTCCCTAGGACAGAGCCAATAAAACGATACACATGCGACGATAATCGTAAAAAATTATTTTAATACTCCCACTTACATGAACCTCCCCAAGAAAAAATAATAAAACAACAAAAACCAGGAGTCCCCCAATTCAGCCATCTACTCACATGCGACATAAAAAGGACTCTCAACTTATGCATTAGTAATTCCAGCTAATTGAAGATAATAATTGGGCCATCTAAGCTAATATTAGGGGGCTCCAGAGGGACTGGCCGTTACATAAGCCAAGCGGTTAGGGAGCCCACAAAACGTTTAACGCTGGCGGGGATTGGGATTACTCACCTTGCGAGAACTGGAAGAGCTTGCAGAGGAACTCGCCGAAGATGAAGTGGCGCAGCAGGGTGCCCACCAGGGTCACCGGCATGCAGAGCACGCCCAGCAGCATGTCCGAGATGGCCAGGTTGAGCAGGAAAACGTTGGTAATGGTGCGCATGCGACGGTTCTGGACCAGAGTGGAGATTACCAGCAGGTTGCCCAGGACCGCGAACAGTAGGATCACACTGTAGCTGGGGATCAGCCAGACGGGCATCTCCGTGGTGCTGGATGCCGCGCTGGAGCCGGAACTCGGACTGGGACTTGGACTTGGACCGTAACTGGAACTGGTGCCGAAGGATACGTAGGCCGCCTCGGTGGCCAGGTCGTTTTCCAGTTGCTGGGTGACCAAGAAGTCGTCGGCGTAGCTAGTGCTATTGCTGCCACTGCCCCCCAAGGAGGCACTGGAGCCATAGCCAGACCCGGTATCGTTGTACGGACCCACGGTGAGGGACACTATGTGACCCGCCGCACTGGGCGCATTGGCATAGTAGTCGAGGAGCGCCCGGTACGCAGCCGCCATGGCCTGGTCGACCTGGTCCCCCTCCTCGTAGTTGAACATCCCGGAATTGGGAACTGGGAACCGGGAACCGGGAGCCGTAACCCCTGGCAATCACTATCCCCTGGTCATATTCCGCGTTGGGTCACCAGAAAAAAAAAAACGAAAAACGACAAGAAAAAAATATATGCACCAAATACAGTCACACAATTACAGTTGAAACGGCGACGCTTGCGCGCAGTCTGGCGGGGATTGCTCCGAGGACTCTGAGGAATCGGGGGACACGAGGAGGCGGCTGGCAGGAGATGGCTCGCCTGCTACCGTTGCGAGGAACGCGTCGTGGGCAACTGACGACTGGCGACTGGCGAGCGCCTCCGCAGCCTTCTGCATTGGGGCATCTGCTGCCCCAACATGTTGCGTGGGCGACGCCGAGCGGCGCAAACTCACCAAACTCGGCAACTTGTGGCCAGCAGCATGTTGCCGGGCAGCTCGCGTGCTCCTGATTGGGACAAATTAGCCAGCGGAGCCACTGCGTCCCAGCCCACGCTCCAGCAAATCATTGAATCAGTCGCATTCCTAAGGCAGTTAAGTCTAAGAAAACAGCAGGCACTCCACTTTCCCCCAGATAACGCGGCTTGCTATTTGCACAAATGTTCTTTGCTAATTCCATGGGCTGCATGTGGGGGTTCATAATTCGCTTTGCAGTTTAACGCTTACCTCCGAAAGTCTCGACTTCTTGTTAGTAATCTTATTGTCCGGTAATCCTTACTCCTCATACCCTTACAGTGTTTTCATTTGTAGTGATTTATTGGTACTTCTGCAAAAATCAACATTAAAAGTTCGATCTTGTTGGTCAATTGTCTTTGAAAAATGTGGTAAACAATTAGGTTTTGATGTCACACGATTTATTCGAATTTTCAATGACGCCTTATAAAATTTTCGAAAAATTGGTTTGCAGAAAAATGTAAACAAAACTGCACTTCCAAGCTCATAACTTGTCTTACAGACATCCGATTTTAATGAGGCATACCTAAATTTGATTGTGGTTAAATTCCCAAAAAATCTGTGTTTCCACTTTTGTTTTTATTTTTGGGTCGATTTTTCATCATTTTAAGCAATTTCCAAATTTTCGAAAAATGGCTTAGCAGAAAAGTGACTTAAATCCAGAACTTCCAAGCCCATAACTTTTCTTACAGACATACGATTTCAAAGTGGCATACTTCAAAATGATTGTGATTTGATTTCCTAAGAATCTGTGTTTTTAGTTTAATTTTTTTTTTTTGGGTCGATTATTCGTCATTTTAATTTTCGAAAAATGGGCTTGCAGAAAAGTTACCTAAAACCTGCACTTCTTAGGCCATAACTTTTCATACAGACATCGGATTTCAAAGTGGCATACCTTAAAATGATTGTGACTCAATTCTCTAAAAATCTGTGTTTCCACATTTTTTTTTATTTTTGGGTCGATTTTTCATCATTTTAAGCAATGTAACCCCTTTCCAAATTTTCGAAAAATGGGTTTACAGAAAAGTTACCTAAGTCCTGCACTTCTTAGCCCATAACTTTTCTTACAGACATCCGATTTCAAAGTGGCATACTTTAAAATGATTGTGACTCAATTCTCTAAAAATCTGTGTTTCCACATTTTTTTTTTATTTTTGGGTCGATTTTTCATCATTTTAAGCAATGTAACCCCTTTCCAAATTTTCGAAAAATGGGTTTGCAGAAAAGTTACCTAAGTCCTGCACTTCTTAGCCCATAACTTTTCTTACAGACATCCGATTTCAAAGTGGCATACTTTAAAATGATTGTGACTCAATTCTCTAAAAATCTGTGTTTCCACATTTTTTTTTTATTTTTGGGTCGATTTTTCATCATTTTAAGCAATGTAACCCCTTTCCAAATTTTCGAAAAATGGGTTTGCAAAAAAGTGACCTAAAACCTTCACTTCTAAACCCATAACTTGTCTTACAGACATCCGATTGCAAAGTGGTATACTTTAAAATGATTGTGGTTAAATTCTCTAAAAATCTTGGCTTCTATTTTTGGGTTTATTTTTCGTATTTGCCGAAAAGTGTCCAAAACTGTATTCTAAGCCCATAACTTTTCTCACAGAAATCCGATTTCAAAGTGGCATACTTTTAAATGACTGTGGTTTAATTCTCGAAAAATCGTCGTTGAAATATTGGTTTTTATTTGTAGGTAAATTGTTCGTAATTTTTATGATGGTGAACCCCTTTCCAAATTTAAAAACAAATGACATTGCAGAAAAGTGTCCAGAGCTAGTGACTTCAGTCTCTAAAAAACTGCGTTTCAGTTGTTCGGTTTTGGTGACCCCTAGCCATGAATTAAAATGATATCATACCCAAATTTCTCTGTGTGTATGCACAAAACACTAGCCAACTATCTGGCTTGTTTTGGTGATCGCGGATACCCTGCACTGAAAATGAAACTGAAAATAAAGCCAAATGCGGCGACGGCGTCGCAGCTCGCCCCCTCTCACTTGCTCCCCATGCAGCTGTCTCTGTCGCGCCCGCTGGATTCTTATCAGCTGCCATGGGGCCTCTGCCCGGCCGCTGCCAGCGCTCCTCCTCTCGCTCGCACCCACGGCGACTGCGCCGCCGACTTCGGCGGTCGGCACTTCGTTGGAGTTGCAGACGCCGGCACCGCCGCATTCGTGAGATACAACTCGTGGTGGTCGGACGAAGTTCAGCGGCTGCTCTGATATCTAGAACTGTGCTGGTTCCGTTTCCCCCCCGTCTTTGTGCTTGTTTTTTTGTTTTTTGGCGTTGTGTATTTTTGTTTCCGTTGTCTTGTCACTTTGCCACTTTGTCACCTCTCCGCCGGACTACTACAACTCCGTTCCCGCCGACAGTCGCAGCAGCCTCTTTCCGATCCGAAGATCTAAGAGCATCCCAGATCCACATCCACACCGACATCCACATCTACATCCAGAACACCGAACTCAGAACCCAGAGCACCAGCATGTCGGACGGCATCGAGGTCGAGCAAATGGTGGAGAGCAAGCCGAGGAGGGTGAGTAGTGGGGTGGGCATGGGTCCTGCTCCAGGGTCCACGAAATGTGTGTGTATACAGGCAGGGGACGACCGAAAATTAAGAATTATAAAAGATTGGATGGGGCAGCCAGAGAGCCACGGAGAGCAGACCAGAGACATCTCTTTGAATGCACACAAATAAAAATGTTATAAGATGGGAAGAACCATTTTTGATTTTGTCTCACATTTAAATATCTACCTTTTTTAAACTGAAAAAAATATTCAAATTCAATTATCGGCAGTGAGATTAAGCTATTATTTCCAACTTAAAACGTATACAAAAAAATTGCAATGACCAGCGGTGGGATTGAACTCAGGCTTTGGGATAATAAATTATCTAGATCACTTTAAACTTAAATAATAATAAAAATTGAAAGACCAGCGATGGGATTGAGCTCGGGCGTTAGCCTCGAAAATGCATCAAAATCATATGGCAACCTTTTTTTCCCTGTGTATAGACAGACTGGAGTTGCTGGAGCCCAGGCGTGTGTGTATCTCTCTCTGGGCATGCGTGAGTGTCTGTAAATAACTCTGACATTGGCTCGCCGGCAACTCCACAAGAACCGGCCCAGAGGAGCAGGGCCAGGGGCGGGGGCACGAGGGGCAGGAGGTGCAGGAGGGACAGGAGGGACAGGAGGGGCTGGGTTTCTCGAGGCATCATCTCAACTTAAAAACTGCGGGGGCGGATGCAGATGCAGATTGCGGGGGCGACTCCGACGCCTTCCACGCACTCGATGCATATCAAGTTCAAGTGCGTTAGTCGGTGCACTTGTTCGCCGACACCATCGATACCCAGCAAAGATGCCCTGTGGTTTATGCGGCCGCTCCGTCTCCCTGGCAAACACGTATACTTTTCCCCAGATTACGGTTGTTTAGCTCGGCCGGCAAATCAGCCAGGGAACTAAGACCGTAATAGGAACGAAGAAAAAAGTTGCAGCGCTTTATCTTTGCGTTTCACCTGATCTGGCAAATTCATGTGACTTTATGTGCACTTCAGTTCGGTTCATAAACCTAATCTCTGGTTATGGGTTAGTCAGAGCTGGTTGGGCAAATAAATAACACCATTGGTTTTGGGGTTTCGTGGGCAGTAGGATTTGAAGTTGGCGAAATAGCAATACAGTGGTTCCACACCCTCGAATGTTGTGCGACAAGCGCTTCCTGGCGCGCCAATTTTGGTCATCCACTCTCCGAGTCGTCGTCACCTTCGGCCGGTATGAATCACGCACTCAGATCCCCCTCCTCCAATCCGAAACTCTCTCCTCTCTCCCCCCTGCTTTTTTTCTTTTTTAAAATCCAGCGACTGGGGCGTGAGCAGCGACAAAACAGTTTGCTCCTTTGTTTCCTGCGTTGTGGAGAGGCGAATCAGAAACAGAAACTGAAACTACAACAAAAAGAATAAAAAATAAAAAATAAAAAGAACACCCGCAGCAGCAGCAGGCATTGACATATCGGCGGTCCCAGACCCGGAGCAAGTACGTCATTGCGACTGCGCCGCGACAACTGGCAATTTGTCACTACATCGTTTTCGTTTTCGTTTATTTTTTTTTAATTTTTTCATTTTAGCCTGTCCAAGGCGAAGCGGTTAATAACCGATTCAAAGCCATTTATTCGTTATTTTCTAATTACCCCTTTTGATTAAAAGGCATCTGTGAGTCAGTCGTCGTTTGCCTGCATCGGGTCACTTTTCCCCTTCAGAACATCCCGCATTATGCAGATACTGTATCTGCTTTATTTCCTCCTTTTGTTGCCCCTGATTCAATCGCATTATTTGGAATTTTTCCTGTCTCTTATCTGAAATTCATTAGTCAACATAAAACAATTTCATTCCACATGTGCAATGTACATAACGAAAACGAATAAAACACGAAGTAAGCAGCAGTGAAGACCAATCGAATGCTCTAACTTTGATGGTTCATACTTCATAATTTCCTTTATTTTCTTTATGAGCTCATTGCATATCGACAATCATAGTTATTTTGACATATTACCGCACGATATTATGATATATTACGCACATCGAAAAAGATAGCGCAATAGCGTAGATAAAGCTGGTTGACTTCTCAATCCTAAGATATTTATTTTGATGTTGACTTTGACTATAAATATGCATTGAATCATTCCTAAGATTATCAATTTGATTTCCTGTGATTTTCTGTTGTATTAACAATAGCTCACTGCAATATTTGTTATGCATTTCGCAGAACTGTGATACCTTCAACAAGGGTATCAACATTTGAGTTACATGGCAAATCAGTTTTGAGCACCTGGCGCGGATTCAGTTTCGTTTTCGTTTGCAATTTTTATTTTAGCAGTAGTAGTATGCTTGGTTACGTTTAGCTGCAGTTTTAGCCATGTTGATGCTCCGTAGCCCCACTCATTGCCAGTATTACAGGCGGCTGATATTGATAGATATTGAAATAAATATATGTATAAGCAGTAAGCAATGCAATGCACTGTATGGATGCACATATGGGCATATATGGCTCATTACGTAGCTATCGGACATGGTCGCATGCCATTTCAGTCGATCGAGCTGCCTGGCAGATGGCTTTCCTGCTGCGAAGGTGGCAAATAAGTTGGATAGAACGCATCGGCTTGGAATATAATTATTTATCATATAATATTTAAAAAAACAAATACGATTTCCTGGCACTGGGCGACTGCTTATCGCTCTTAATATAAATCTCTAGTAGAGTGTGTCATGACACTGGTTTTCCTTGGAACTAGTCCCTTTTAACTATGATGAACAAACCCAATTTCTAATGACTAAGCGCCAACCTCTAGTGGATTTTTATGGTGTGTAAAATTGAAACAGTCAAACGACCGAGCCCCAGAGATTATTGCCAGATTGGGGATGGCTCGATTTACATGACCAAGTGGGTGGGTCCAATAACTTTCCGTAATAAATCAATTTGGAGTAGTGTCTTCCCTTATCAGAAATTGCCCCAACTCCGGAGGAGGGGCTATCCTAGGCCTATCCGGGCGGATCTTTGGGGGTGCAGTCGAGTCCGACGGACTGGTGTGATCTAATTTGTCGTGTTTGTCATTGTGCCAGAGGGAGATAACATATGGCGGTACTGTGTGGTGCGCCCGTTATCGGGCTTATCGGCTGGAAACTTAATTTCAGCTAATTTTAGCCAACAAATTGGCTCACGTACAACGAACAAACGGGCCACAGGAGCACCTACATATCTCCTATCTGATTTTTGGTTTGGGGGGAAATTTTGGGTTTTCACTCAGTCGGTCGGTCATTTGCTGCAACGGTTTCTTCTTCGCCGGCCATCCGCTCTTTTTTATAATTTTTTTTTTGGCACAGTTCGCGTCCGCATCATTTTTGACTAATTAATTCAGAGCCACGAAACGGGAGCTTCCGAGCTGTTACACAGTTCTATGTGTATATAGATATAGATATAGATATAGCCAAGTTCTCACCGAGAGCGATGCGTTGTGAAAGTCGTCGCACGAATCTTCATCTTTGGGTTTAATTGTTTGCCTTTTGATATTTTCGGCAGTCGTCGCTTTTCTAATTGATTTTTCTCACCAGACGCCGTACTCTCCGGTCATTGAACGCATTATGGAGCGGGCTCCAACCCGATCTCTATCTGTATTTCCATCTGTATCTGTATCTGTATTTCTATTTGTATCTCCATCTGAATCTGTATCTGTATCTGTATCTCTGGTCCAGCTTCAATGTCTATTTCTGTTTGTGTTTCGCGGTTCCTGGCTTCAAGCCCCAGTTATGGCAGCATTCTCTTTGTTTGTTGTCATCCCGTTCCGAAACAAAGTCACTTATCAAATCTCTGACCTGCTTTCTGTCGGCTACTGATTGAAAATTGTCACGCCTAAATTGCTTTTAATACAGCGATCCGCTTAAGACAATAAGATGACGAAAGCATTGGGCACTGCACTTCGTGGAAAGAGGGGCGTTCTCCGATCCATCTGTAGGTTCATTATATTGTATCAAGGGCATCGATCCCTCTCCACGCTTTCCAAGTTACAAAGCTGGGCCTAAGCGCTGTATTATCTTTTGTAGACTCTTTGTAGACGAACAGCAAAAGTATTGATGTTTTTCAATGATTGCATTTCTTCATTTCAAACAAAATGCATCTTAATAAAAGTACAAAATAGATAGGGTACTTAATTATAAAAACTGTTTTTAATAAAAGAGCAAGTTAAAAACTATCTTTACTTTTTAGTCGATTGATAGGAATTTGATCATTTATTTCGTTTTCCAAAAATCAGCATTGAATGTTTAAGAACATCTTATAAGCCATTTCAAGTAAATTTAAATATCAATGAAATAGAAAAAAACACTTTCCTGGGTTTTGAACCGGAACCCTCATAATTTTGGGACATGTGCAACGTTACCCTTCCGATATGATTATCAAAAACGTTGGAACAATATAACATGCGGGTATCCATTTGAAATTGATCTTATCATTATAAATCCACAGTAACGAGCCCTTTCCAATCGTGTTAAAAAATATATACTAACTCACTAATTGGGAACGGCTGGGTAGATTTGAATCCAATTTTGTTTCACTTGTTTGTAATTGCCAGAAGGTTTTTACGAAAGAAAATTGTTAGCTTAACATATACTATATGTGAGTTGCTACATTTTTAAAATACTAAAAGCCCAACAAATTGCTTTCCGTGAATCTCTATGTACATAATGCAAGTGGGCGATGCATTGGCGTGCTCTCTTTTTGGCCGTTTTGTGGTTGCCTGACACGGAAACGAATCGAAATGAATTGAATAAAATATAAGATATTAAATCGAAAGCGAAAGCGAAAGCCCCCAGATCGGATCTGACTCATGTATGGAGGCGTCGAGAGCACTTGGCCGCCGGTTGAGTACACAAAACACATTCATGGTCGCTCATTATCGCTGGCCAAGACACGATGGGTGATGGCGATGGTGATTCGCTTGGACGGAGCGAGGCGGACGTGGAACGCTTGACCAGGGCGTCCACTTCCGTCTGGGAGATGGGGATCCTGTTAGCCCTCTTATAACCCATCCACTTCCTTCTCTGCCCGCAGATGCCGCTGGCCACGTCGCTGGAGAAGGACTCGATCCGCGAGGCCTACGAGGATGTGCGCTCTGATCTCACGGACACCGAGTGGGCGGTGTTCAAGTTCGACGGTGCCCAGATCATCGTCCATGGACGCGGCCAGTGCTTCGAGGAGTTCCGGCAGCAGTTCGGGGATTCGGAACGCGCCTTCGGCTACATACGCATCCAGATGGGCGACGAGATGTCCAAGCGCAAGAAGTTCATCTTCCTGACGTGGATCGGCCAGGAGGTGGGCGTCATCCAGCGGGCCAAGATGTCCACGGACAAGGCGCTGATCAAGGATGTGCTGAACGTGAGTAGCTAGAGAATCCATCCGTGGACGTAAGCTAATCCCGTATTCCCTTGCAGAACTTCGCCGTGGAACTGCAGGCAGGCGTGGAGGCCGAGCTGGACATCGAGCTCTTCCGGGAGGCGTTGAATCGCGCCGGCGGTGCCAACTACGGCACGGGCATCCGGGATAACTAAGTGGCCGTCAAGTTACTTTATATAATTTTTTTTTTTGCATCTCTCAACCGCTTACCAAACTGATCCTTTCTCCTTAATTATTATGAATTAATTTTATGAAATTTAAAAACTGTACATTTATGTAATATTATACAAGCAATTGTAACATTACGTCCCTCTCTTACTTACTTTAAATCAATGCTGATTTTGGCACTGGGAAGAATGGTATAAGTAGAAGAAGTGTGAAGGAAAGCACGAATTCCCTTAAGAATGCCTTAACTTAACTTTTTAAATCATTGTCTGTTAAATTTCTAAACCTTCGATTTCGTAAGCGATATTATTCAATATATGCTAGCTTTACGCATAAAAATTCAGTAGATAGAAAACCAGTTCTGCTCGGAAACCCTCAGTTCAGTAGTACAAATTATAGGAAGTTAGTATCCCCCAGAAGATGACATTGTGTCAAATCAAAGAAAACATTTATATTTCTGGATTGTTGTTTTCTTTTCAATTCATTTTGAAGTTGACCGAGGATCATCAACATGGATGGATCACCTCGAAGCAAAAAAAACACATGGTTTTAACTCGCTAGTTTACTAAACAAACGCCGGGTGGACTGATTCGTATGGGTCAAGCGCGCCTAAAGTTTAAATTGTTGGCCTTAATACTAAGGAGATGACGAATAATGTAGCTGGAAAATTGCCTAGTTGCCAGTGTCCGCGGGCAATGCCTAGTGGTCCCGGAATAGCACCGAGTGGAGCGCATCGATGTCCACCTCCACGCCGGACGAGTTGGTGGTCACGGTGCGAGAGCTACGGAAGATAACTTTGTTAAACAGACCCCAGTGGTGACGCTTGGGCAACTGAACTCACCTGGCGGAGTGCGCCGAGCGGTGGGAGGAGTGTGGATTGACCAGCACACAGTGCATTGGCTGGTCATCGAACTCGCGTTGGTGGTACGCATCCACGGCCATTTCAGCATGTTCCAGGGACTTGTAAATGACCTCGGCGGTGCCCGGGCGCACTACATGGGCATCGTACATCGGTCCGATATCGCTAAAGAGCTCGCGTATATCGGCAGTGGTCACGTTAGCATGCAGATTGCTCACCAACAGCCGATACCCGGCCTTGCTGTTCGATGCCCCCAGGGGCAGTGTGGGTGGCGAACGGCGCATAGTCATCGGGTGGGCCATCGAAAGTGCACCACCAGCGCCGCCGCCGCCTCCAACACCACCACCACCTCCTCTGTTCTCGTTGGCATAGATCCCATGAGATACGCGACGATCCGGCTCACCGCCAAACAGACGAGCCCGCAGAGATTCCGGCAAATTGTTGGTGTTTACCATGTTGCGCTGACGGCGCTCAAAGAGCTTCTCGCTAGTGTCCGTGCGCCCAACCACCAGCGGGGTGGGCAGTGATGGACGCTCGATGCGATTGCGGGCCACCTCGTATATGGAAAATGGATCGCTGGCTATGTTGTTCTTGAGCGGAGCCGTAGACATCTCCACATCGTCGTCGCGATTGAGGTCGAAGCCACCAAAGGTGTAGCGCGGCGGCAGTGGCTGGCTGGTGTAGTGGCCAAAGTGCAGGGTGCGCGTGATTTCCTCTGAAAAAAGATAGAGTTGTAAAAGAAGAACTGGTGGAGGCACCGATCAGTTTTGGTCGCTACCAGAGTAGAATTTCGTATCAAAACTACTCCAGTGACCAGAACTGCTCGGAATCTACCGGCTTACCATCTTCGAGGTCCTGCATATTATCATGGTCAACGTAGCCACGTGGACCGAACGGTTTGCCCGGTTGGTTGGGTCTGGAATTGTATTGGCGACGCAGTCCCGTTGGTTTGTGTACAATATCAACGCCCGCAATGCCACCACCACCACCACCTAGACCCACGAGCTCCTCGTCCGAGTCCCACTCCGCCTGGATAGTGCCGCCTGGGCGGTTCGACATGGTGATGGTGCGCTGCCCAAAGTGTCCCATGTGCACCGATCCGCGGGCGTGGCGCGACGTGGGCATTGGCTCCCCGTCGGCACTTGTGGTGGGACCCAGCGGACGACCCTTCTTACGATCCAGAAGCAGCTGGCGGGCATCGAAGCCCGACTCGCGCCTACTCTGGTTGAGTAGATCCCGGGCGTCGGCTATCTTGGCACGTGTTTTCTGGATGATTTTGTTCCGGGCATCGAAGGACCGCTGTGCCGGCGGATCTGACTGGGAGCCACCTCCTCCTCCTGCCTTGAAAGCGGGCTTGTTGAGTACACCGCGCGGCTTAGTGTAGTTGGCATTGCTGCAACGGAAAACGCATGTAGTGCAACGCCATTTTTTGGACGCTCTATTGCTTTTGGGACTTACAACTTCTTGTCAATGGGAGGACGGCCGCCGTGGCCGCGCTTTCGCTCTATGATCTCGTCCAGACTCAGCTCGATGTCCATATTTTCCTTCTTTTACTGAATCGCCCCTTCTGATCAACGCAGTGTGGCTATAAATTCTTATATTTAAGTACGGACTGGAGACTAATTCCTACTCCGTTTGTAACAAAATAAAATTTTACAAGCGCAGGCGTTTTAGTGTTGGAAAAGTAGAAAACTTTAGTGCTTGTTGGGGATGGATGTCTGTACTATCGTGGCAGCCCTGAACGATGACATAACGATAACGATAACATTTGGTGTTATTAAACACTACACTGCTACCTCATTCGCACCCGCCAACAACAACAAAGCGTAACATATCGAACAAGAAAACAGCGGAATAGAGCCAGCTACCAAATATTTATATTAGATTTTTCACTTTCGGCAAAGAAGTGCGCGCTTTTATTGCTTTTATTCACACACGCAGTCAACCACACACACGGTGATTGCGCAATTCCAGTGGATCGAGAGTGTGGTGTGTGGCGGTGCGGTGTGTGTGTGCGTAAACAACAAACAACAAACAGGCGAAACAACGGGAATTGATTGGAACGAGTGGAGCTTTTGATGGGCAACTCGCAACCGCGGAATGCGAGCAGAAGCAGAAGGACATCGCAGTGGCCCCAAGGAGCAGCAGCGCAACTAGGCGCCACCGCCGATCACCAGGAGGAGGCGGAACAGCAGCAGGAGCAACAAATCCCCCCCATTCCAAGCCATTCCCCGCCAGACGAGGAGCAATCGCAGCCGGATCAGCAGCAGCAGCCACTACCAACGCAGCAGGTAAGGAGTAACGAGACATGGGGTGGAGTGGGTGGCGTATATAGGACAGGCTGATAAGGCACCTACATACATTAGTACATATATCGGGGCAATAGTGTTGGCCATGTTTTCCCCTTGTCATCACGAATAAATACTGCGTCATTGGGCGTTAAGTTCGCATTTTCCCCATCCAATTACGACGCGGCTTTTGACCCCTGACACTCCTTCTATCACCCCCCCAAAAAACAGCACGTGTGTGGGCGGTCTTTTCCGCACTTTTCAAATGCGCCGAGTATTTCCGCATTCGCGTACGGGTTTCATAGTTTCATGGCCATGCCAATTGAGCCTCCCGCTGCGCAAATTCTGGCGCCCCGTACATAACACACATTACAAACGAGAGGCGCTATCGAATCCGCCCTCCCGCGTGCTCCTCCAGCATCTGAATCTTTGGGTCGTGTAGCCCACATGGAGATCCAGATCCAAAGAGCTATCATCTGCACATACGCGCGGGTTCCGTGTGCGTGTGTGTAATCATACGGAATGGTGACCCTCAAGCAAAGAAATACTGGGCACAGTCGTGGTCAAAAATATTGGTATAAGTCCCTCAAACAAACAACCACAAATAGAACAAAAAAACTCTAAAACTCAACTTGCAAAACATCTTTTTGAATTAGTGTTATTTGGTTAATATTAGAAATCTTAAAGACTACATATCTACAAATCAACAACAAAAAATACCTGGCTAGAAAATACCTGACTTAGCTTTATCTTACTACCTAAGCAATTTTCAGAAATATGGTTTGTGCTAAATCATTTAAATAATAAAAGTTTATTATTTTCCATAAAATGGTAAACCAGATGTGTATAGAATTCTGCACTTTCTTTTTGAGTAAATTGAAAGAATAGAAAAGAAGTCTCAAAATATTTGTACCTTGCCTGCCACTTTTAGTTGTCACGACTGTATGGGCTGATTTCGATTTGCTCTCTCGCTCTCTTTTGCGATCCGATCCCAGCTGTTCGATCATCGATGGCGTTATTTGTTTGCAAATATTCACAGGCCATAGCGCACGTGTCGTCGCCCAGCGAACATCGCAGATCCGCCTCTACGCCTCCGTAGAAATTCGTAGTCAGATAGATAGACAGATAGATAGTTCTGCGAACTCGTTGGCTGAATTTCCCGGCGAAATCGAGTCGGGTAACCGTCGAAAACGACGCAGGTAAGCCGTAATAAACCGTATTCAGGCCGTTTTGTTGGCTTCGGCCGCTTAGCAGATAGTCCGCTCCGCGTGTTCAGTTTGTAATACACACATATGTGCACACATTCGTTCGCTTGAACAGAAGAACAACACCTATTCCAAGTCCTAATAATCTGCCTTGTTTCAGCAGCTTTCCACTTGGAGTCTTGGCAGCCTAAGCGGGGGACGACTCAATTGGAGCTTCTCCGGGGCCCGGAACTCATTTCGTCACCGGAACAAAGCCACGCGAAAGAGGTATAATTTCGTTAACCTGCTCTTGCATGGCCATTATAAATAAGACTCCGATTTTTGCAGCTTGACCTCGCTTCATGGCTCTCGCAGAAGCAAGACACAGTGGCACCGGCCTCTGACCAACTCAATCTTCAACTCGCACTTCAAGGAGTCCAGCCGGAACGATCTGTACCACATTGAGCATCTGGTGGCCAAAGGAGCCTTCGGCGTGGTCTTTAAGGTGTGCAGTAAAAGCGACAACAGTCTGTGCTACGCCCTGAAAGTGCTAAAGAAATCAAAGGTTGTTAAAAGATAGATTATGCTACTAGCGGGTATTTAGTAACATTTCTATGTTCGTTGCAGCTTATCGAGGACAACAGCGTGCGGCAGATAAAGGACGAGGCAGACATTCAGAAGGTCTGCGGTCATCATCCGTTTATCGTGAAGCAAATTGATCTGTGGCAAAACCGCCACAATCTACATATTCGTACGTTTGAGAGGGAATAATATTGACTATTCCGAATCTTTACTTAACATTTCAATCCTTTGCAGTATCAGAGTACGTACCCAACGGCGAGTTGTTCTCAAAAATAACCCACTTCTCCATTGATCTGGTTCGATTGTACATTGGCGAAATAGCACTTGCTCTGGGTGAGTTGGCACAGGCATTCATTGATAATATTACCAAAACTCACTTTCTCGGTTTGCGTTTTATTTTTGTACAGATTTTCTTCACAACGCCGGTATTATCTATCGCGATGCCAAGCCGGAGAACATCCTGCTAACGCAGCAGTTTCACATAAAGCTTACCGACTTCGGCCTTAGCAAGTGGCTCAAACTGGGGGCCAACACGCGCACCATGTGTGGCACTTTCAAATACATGGGTACGATCTAATCCAACTTAAACATAACAAACACTTAAATAATAGAACTAGCTGTTAAGCGGCGCGCCGATCCATCGCAATCCAAATCGTTCAAAGGCATTTCCAAAAGAAAGCCCAGAAAAGCAACTTAGAAGCAAAGGGAACAGAGCAGTATAGAAAGTAGAGCACACATAACCTCCTCTTAACGCTAGGATACTACCACTTAAGTTATAAAACTATGTACATTTAAAAAGAGAAAGGTTATTTAACTACAAATGCAACTGTGAGCATTGAAAAACAGTAAACTAGAAAGGAAAAGGAAAGATAAATCAGATTAGACTAAAGAGGCATAACAAAGTAGGCAGGTCGGAAAGGGAGCAAGGGAAACCAAAGGAGGAACGGAGTCACAATACCGAACTTACACTGTACATAACCAGATCACACAAACCCAACCCCAAAACCAAATCCATTTTCCATCTCAAGCCGAAAGAAGTTATCGCGATGAACGCGCGTTCGCAGGTCTTCGATCTGACCATGGAGGGTCGTCAGGTGGACGAGGCGGTGGCCACCATCTTTCACACCGTCCTCTTCCACCGCTGCCTGGGCAAGTACATGTACACGGGCGACGCCCAGTACTCGATCGGTACGGTCGGCTACACGGACGTCGATTGCAACTTCATTGACTTCACCTACGTGTGCTGCACTTCGGACAGTCTGACGCACAAGGTGAAGCGGGCCATCAACTCGTTCAGCGAGAAGCTGCGCTCCAACGAAAGCTGCGGCTCCGGCCAGATTAGCCTGGAGTTCTTCGAGAAAAAGAAGAACCGCTGGCCCTTTCCGCAGGAGTCGATCCCGTGGGAGGTGTGGACGGTGCACCTGGACCTGATCAAGCACGAGAACGAGGACGAGCGGCAGCTGTGCCGCGAGAATGTCTCCGATCTCCTAACCGAAAAGGTCATATACATCACCGAGCTGATGAACCGGCACGACTACGTGCCCAAGACGCCCAGCCAGACCGAACTGGACCTGATCTTCGACACATCCTTTCCAGACGTGCAGCCGTATCTGTTTAAGTTCGACTACTCCACTTCGGGCTCGGCTGCTCCGTCCATGGGTAATGCCATGAAAAAGATCATCAAAGAGACGCTCGCAATGTGACGGGCTGGCGGATCGTGATCCTGTCACCACCTTTGTGTGGAAATGCCAATCACTATGCGGCTGTCCAGACATCGAGTTAATTTATTTATGTTTTCTTTTTTTTTGTTTTTCAACCGTTTTTGCATACTGTATGTACTGCAGCTTAGTGTTTCTTGGTCGATTTATTTATCATTTACGAGGGTGATAAGATAAAATACCGAGTAGTCATAAATTTATGGCATGTCCCTGCTGAACTAGAACGTTTTTTATATAGGCTTTTATTTTGTTTTTTCTGCCTTAATACATTTAGTTGTTATTGCTTTAGTTTACAATAGATTTTAGTGACCATCACGAGCATGATATGAGTTACTCCTGGACGTCTTGTCCAACGCAGGATTTAAAGAGTTCATTTATTTCAGGCAAAAGAGCAAGACGACGAGATGTGTAGATAGCCGTGTATAGACAATGGGAGATGCACACAGAGCGCATGGGAGTTCGACATTTTAGGCTACCAATTGAAACCCCACCAAACCTCCCTTGCTCCAGGCCAGCATCAGAGCAGTAGCCTCCATGTGTAACTATGCTAGGTGCGGCATACGCTGAATGCTATCGATTATCCATGCAAAACGTTCAAAACCAAGCTTTGAGCTCCACTAGCAAGCAATTACCTGTCAGCAGAGCAAATATATCGTGTTAATTCTATCCTAATCGCCAGTGTAGATAATGAGAATGATGAAAGCTAAGAAAATATGCGGTGTGTGAGAGAAAAAGGAGAAAACCCATAACGAATTCAGAACCCATCTAATCTTGAGATCGAGGCAAGTAGCGGTGAAGCGGTAGAGATGTATGTATAAAAGATTGTGATTGTACTTGTAGTGCTTAAACGATAGTACCGACTCTATGTATCCATAGAGATCCAATATATAGATGTGTATGTATGTAAATCAATGTTTACCTGTATGTCCAAGCTATAAAAGTAATCGATAAATGTACTTTACGACTTAACTAATATTGTAAAATCGAATTAAGCAGAATAAATCCTTTGAAGCACACGTTCAAAGTAGAAATGTAATTGGCCTTTCGAGCATTATCTCCAATAAACCATCAAATCATTTCGACCAGCCATGTATCGTTCCAAGTTCCCAAGTCGTCCGCCATACAAAAGTATAGATTTGAACTATTTATACTACACCTCCTATCCGTATGTCCGTATCATCCGGATTCGGCCCGCCGAAGCAACCATTCTGAGAATAGTGCCATCACTACTGCCTCTTCACCATTTGTTTGCGGGTGGGTAAAACGTTCTCCCCCTCTCGTCTCGTTTCAGCCCCGGAGATTCTGTGCGGCGAACCTTATGGCCATGCAGTGGACTGGTGGGCCTTGGGCGTTATTGCCTGTCAGATGCTGACGCAGAAGGTAAGCGACCAAAGCCGGTAGTCTAGTCGGTAATTCAATCGGTAATAACCGTTCAGAATGCGAGCATACGCCATCTCGGCACTCGCATTTGATTTCCGACGCTATAGCTAAGTAGATCTGAAACTGGTTTGCACTGCATGTACACTGCATCTATGGGGAATACTCGGTATTGGCCGGTCCACAATGAAGCTCTACATCCAAGCTGGGGTGCCAGAAAATTGGACTAGCCATTCCAGCTGTATAACCAAGTATTGTCCACTCTAGTACTGTCTACTTGGATTTTACATTTAGATTTGTTTGCTTTAGGTTGTTGGCAAAGTCATCTTTCAATGATTTTATGTCCTTTAGTCCGCGAGGGGTTTTCTTTGTTCTTTGTAAAAAAGGTCTCCTGAAAATTGCGAACAACTGGACAAATTTAATCAAAATCGGTCCAACTGCTCTCAATTGCTAAGTTACTATACATTTTTCACAACAGATATATGTAGATTCCTATTTCCAATATTCTGTTTTTCCTGAATATTTTTATATATAGACTATAGACTATTATTATATTAAGTCTTCTGTCTTTTCCGAATCCCCAAGCCGAGATCCCATACCCGTTTAATCGATTTTGCAAGTTATTTTTGGATGATGTGATCCCCAAGAAAGTATTCACACATGCTGAATTTTAGTTTTTCGATTTTTATTTAAGAATTTTCTCAGTCTATATAAAATCATATATACTTCTTCTCATATATACGTTATAACACTATCGTTATTAAATGTAGTTTCATTATGTTAGAACTCAAATAAAAAAAAAGGATTTTCATTTATAATGTATCGAAGGCGATACTCGAGTGCTGGCTTCGTTCAGGGATTATTTAAGAAGGACAGTTGGACAGGCTGGTCTGGGATTGTGAAGGGTTGGGAGTGGGGGGGAGGGGGTTGAGTGGTGTTGATGCGGTTGCAGGGTTGTTGTCTTGCAATGACTAAGATTTAATTAAAATTACATTAATTAAATTATAATTATAAGTATTACTTTATGCCATCTTAGCGGTTTGTCCTGTTTGTGTGTGTTGAATTGTTATGCCTACGCGTGGGTCCCTTTCGATCCACTTGGTTCTATTGTTCCGGGCGCCATCTTCAGCTCCTCCCTTCATATTCATGGTTGTGTCATTTCTGCGTTGTGTCATTTTGTTCTGCTCCATTTACAACTAAGGATACCACTAACTACGATCGTAATATTAAGACGCTGCCAATGCGTAGCAGTGGTGCGATTGCGATGGTCTGGAGGGGTTCTGGTGGTGCCAGTGGTGCTAGTGGTGCTAGTGGTGCTGGTGTTGCTGGTGGGGGAAGGCAAGGCAAGGTGGAAGGTGTAAAGCTCTTACTATCCCTAGTTCTCCTTCGATTCGCTGCTCTCCTCCGACTCCTTGGACTCCGAGGAGTCATCGACCTTGGAGTCGGACTTGTCCGACTTCTCTTCCGACGACTTTTTTGGCTCGGCCGGTTTAGCTTGGGCATTGGGCTCGGCAAGGGTTTCCGGGCTCTTCTGCTCGGCAACTGGTTCTTCATCGATCTTCTTGGCCTCGGGCACGGCAGCGGCTGGCTCCGGAGCTCCGGCTGCCACTGGTGCTGCTGGTGCTGCTGCCTCCTCCGCCTTCTTCTGCTCGGGCAAGGACTTGGCGGCGTTATCGGTGGCTGGCTGCTCCTTCTCCTTCTCCTGCTCCTTGACGGGCTCCGTCACCTTGGTGGCGCCGGCAGGGGCCAGTGGGGCATTGGTCTTCAGGACGGGAGCGGCCTCGGCGACGGTCTCGGTGTTCTTCTGCTGGTCCACGGGCTTGGGGGCCTCACCCGACTTGGCCTGGGCAGCCTGGGCGGCGGGAGAAGCAGCAGCACCAGTAGAACCAACAGCAGGGGCGGACTCAATGGACTTCTTCTCGGGGGCAATCACCTGGATGTTGGTCTCCGACTTGGCCGGCTCCGGGACGGCGGTGGGTGCGGCTTCGGCGGCCTTGGCGGGCTCCTCCGGGGTAGTCTCCTTCTTGGCCTCCTTCTGCTCGATTTCGTTGATCCTCTCCTGGCGGGCGGGCTGCTCGGGGGCGGCTGTCTCCTTGGCGGCGGGCACTTCGGCGGGAATCGCTGGCTCCTCGGCGGACTTGGCGTCAATCTTGGGCTCCTGGGACTTCACCTCGTCGACCACCTGCTTCTGCACCTCGGCATTGGCGGCTGGGGCCTCGGGAGCCAGTTCAATGGCCTTGGTTGCCTGGGGCTGCACCTCGCTGGGCTCCGCCTCCGTGCGGGCCGTCTTCTCCTGCTTCTTCTCGGCTTCCACGGGGATCTCCTGGGCGGCGGGCTTGGCCTCCTCGGGCAGGGTCTTCTTCTCCGGAATGGCTGGGGCGGTCTCTACGTCCGGCGCACTCGACTTGAGCTCCACGCTGGTGATCTCCTTGGCCGGCTCAGTGGTCAGCGGAGCGACGGGAGCGGCGGTCTCTTGAGCGGCGGCGGGAACGGGGGCGGGGACGGCCTTGGCCTCGATCTTGGGCTCCGCCAGCTTCTCCGGCTCGGTCTTCGAGGGGGCGGGCTCGGCGGCCGTGGTCAGCACGGTCTTGGTCAGCAACTCGGCCTTGGAGCCGCTATCCGGCTGGATGGCCACCTCCTCGTCGGGCACTGGCAGCGCCCAAACGCTGGCCAGGCACACGGTGGCCACGAAAAGCAACTGGCACTTCATTCTGCAACGGGACACCAGAACAACAGGATGGACTCGAATTAGTGTGGGAGTGGTGGGATGTGGTGGAACCCATAAAGCAACCTCAACTTGCCGCCTCACAATATGACCCTCACTGAGATTTTCAGCTGGACTTTCTATTCCCGTGGTAATTCCCCAATCATCGTTTCGTCTTCCGCGGAATTACGCTGCGTTTGGCTCTTTTGTAATTCGATTAAATGAAATTCTACCTCTGAATTGAATTGGCTGTCGCCGCAGTTCGTAGACCCTGCGATGCCCGTCCTGGCCTGGCGCCTCCTCCTTTTCTCCCTGCCAAGTGGCCCACATTCGCGGCACTTAATTATTCAAATGTGGCGGCACTTAAACGCTGATGATCACTTAAGTTTTCAGTGGCCAACTCGGTCCATCTGATAACAACGACGGCTCGGCTGACTTGCAAATTTGAGCTCTTGAAACGGCCATCTGGCTATTTCCCTATGCTAATTAATTCGGCCGTTTAATGGCCATCGATAAACCCTAATTTATTTAACACAAGCTTGGACCTAACGGTAACTGGATTCCCAGAATAGAAATATGGGGTTCTTGAGCCCCAAAAATAATAATATCACCATCTACCATCTACATACATGTATATTTATTTAAATCTATGCCTGAGTAACCTATTGTTTTGCTGCCAACTATGTTACTATTGCACTGGCCACATGCATAATTTCGTGGGTGTTACGTAACTTTAGCTGTTGGTCGAGAAGCCGGGTCCCCGAGCCAAGATACGATCTTTATAATTTACGAGCAGCTCTTGTTGGCCAAAAACTGCATTTAGGTCCCGCCAAGACTTGGCAATCGAAACTCGTTAAGAAATGCTGCTGGATTTGCGAAACCCGAACCGGGTGTCTGTTTTGCCCCGGCATTTTGGATGCAGTGTGTCTAAGGGATGGGCCACAGATGCAGATAAGGCAGGCTGGGCCCCTTGTTTTAAGGATATCACCCCGATACCCCAGATACCCAGATACCTTGGCCTTGGCCACCACTCACCTTAGATTGAAGCAGCTAAATCGTCGGTTTAAACAAACTGTATTTGCACTGCGTATCACACAGATACACTTATTGTTATCGTTTTACGCTTTTGGCTTTTTCGGGAATATTCTAGGATTTCGTTTCGCGCCCTGCAACACACGCACAAAGTGAAAAAAAAATGGGGTTTTAAAAAAAAATATGGATATGGAGTCTTATTATTATGGTTATGGTATTCTTAATCCACTGCGCTGCTGGCCTGGCCTGCCGCGTGTTCTCACCGGTCAGTTTCAAGAAACACTTTGAGTGGATGCCAGCGCGCCGGGGCGTTTATATACACTCGGCGCCGGATCACGAACGCCCGATGCCCGACGCCCGACGTCGGCGTCGGCAGAGCGGTATAACCATAGACAGCGTGCTAGGCACGAACGTCGCAGCAACAGCAACAGCAGCAGCAGCAGAATCCGCAGCAGCAACGGCAGCAGCAGAAGCAGAATCCGCAGCAGAGGAATCAGCGGATGGGGAATGCGCGTACGTGAGCGTGCCCCGCAGGATCCCGGGACATGGATATTTTTAGTCAACGCAACGTTCTAAGCCGGCTGACAGAACCCTTTCTCCATAAATAGACAGCAAATTGTTCACAAGCGCTGTCTATTTTTAAAGCGAATGCAATTTGTAAGTCTTCCAGACTTGTGCAGACCGCAGACCCATGGATATCTATTTATAACCCCAACCAAACCAAGAACTGGCCAGGATCGCTGCTGATCGATTGCCATAAGCGTCATTAAACGCAGCACGATTTTCAAATGCAGTTGGAACGATAATATCAGCAATCAGCCAGGGCCAAAGAAAAATGCTTAATTGTGGTTCATTGCAATTGGCGAGGGGGGGTTGAATGAAGGGGGAGGGGATGTGAGTTTGTCGGGGCGGCAGAGGAGTTGGCAAAAAACCGGTATCGACTTGGCCCAGGCCAGGCCAACATGCCTACCTATCTGCTAGTTCCACCACCACCACCACCACCATCACCATCGCCAACGCCAAGAACTTTTGCAATCGATCCAAAGACGGACTTAGCCTGTGCCGAGGACCAGGCCAAGTCCCTCTTCTGCATTCGATCCGGCCGAGGAACATCATTAACATAATCAAAGCAGGGGGTTTCCGATCGTTGATTATCTTAGAATGATAAATGCCTTTGGGCAGAGCCCCCCCCGAACAGGCCTGCAGATTCTTTTTATAGACTGCAACCAGATATACTTCGTAGCACCAAAAGGATAGATATAGCTGCGTGTCCCGTGGAAAGTTCCACTCCCTGCCAGAGATTAGAAATTAGAAATCAGAAATCAGAAAGCAGAAAGCGGTACAAAACGCGGGCGTGGGGGCTATCAATTGTTGTCGCTTACAAAATACACATCCATCGCATTTTCGACTAGTCCCAATTTGGAGCAACTTAGAATGAAACAGTCACCAAGATATTTAAGCAAAAGAAAAGACGATGTGTTTCCAACTAATTTTTGATCATTACCTAAAAAATCAAATAATATCATTTAAGTCCTATCATATTATATCTTAATGTATCAAATACAATAGATTTTTTATTTAATGAATCATTAAAATAGTTTTCATCTGAATAGATATTTACATAAAGTTTTAATCTTAAGAGATCATTTCATATCGGTTTTAATTTAAGAGATCATTTCATATCGGATGACCTCAATATTTCAATTTCATTTTTATGTTTTTTTTAATAGATATTTTATCATATTGAACCTGAACTCATGTCAGTTTTTCTTTGGGTGTACCCATGTACAACCCATGCTCTATAGAAGATACGACTGCGTCGACGTCTCTAAGGTCAGACAATCGTTTAGCGGAAAAGTTCTGGGAGAGCTCTTAGTTAAACGTGCTCTGATTGAATTTGGAAACACTGCGATTGAGAATGGGCATGATACTACTAATGGTTGCGAGATAGTTACGGAGATGAAAAAGATAGGCGAAGGGAAAGCCACTTTAGGTCCGCTGTCGAAAATGTTTGGACGCGACCCATCTGTTTATTTACGACCCGTTTGGGTTCGGTCTTTTTGGTTTTATGGGCCTATGGATTATCGGACTGTTCGGTCTACCTGTTCCGTGTCTATATTTAGGCAGGATCGGTACCGTCGTCGGGTACCTACTTAAGTAAGAACGTGTGCAATTTGTGCAAACCGATAGCCTAAATACCCAGAACCCGAAAACCGTTATGACCCACCACCACCACCAGCAGTCGTTTGCTAATTTTGAAGGTCGATCGACGGCGCTGTAGATCTCGTCACGAAAAATAAATCTCATAATCTTTAGATATTTACGTTTAGTAAAATCATGCATAATTGCAATTATTAAGTTGCTCAATGATTTCCATGGATGAACGGCTGAGAAACAACAACTCAGCCTATGTGAACTATGTGTTCATGGAAAAAGATGACGTATTCTAATGGTTGTGGGGGCTACAGTGCTCCTAAGATAAACCTAACGTCTTTTAAAACCGGATCTTCATTTAATTGCAAATTTCAATTAGTTTCATTGTTTTTTATTTATTTTGAAAAATTCGGCAGCTAAACTCGTCTAAGTCCTTGGATATTTATAGTCCCACTATTTACACACTTAGCAGAAGATCCCCCACTAGCCATTTAATTGCTCGATCTAAAAAAAACCACGCCCTGCTGGAGTGCAACCAAGTTAGAAGAAAACCTGGAGGGACTTGGACCACTGAGTCCCAGCCAAAGTAGGCAATGCCAATAAAACAAATGAGAAAATAAAGATGGTAAGCCGAAACTCGTATACCCTTGCATATGTTAGCAATTTCGATTGTCTATACTTACATTAATTCCCCATTCCTTTTTATCGTTCGATGTATGCCATTAACTTTTAAAATAAATATTTATTTGAATTTCAAACCATCGTTCTTTTGGCAGATGTAAAATAAAATTGAATATACTTTTCCTCTGGCAGGTAAAGTGTATAGAAGGCAACCTTTTAAGGCTAGAGAGGTCCTTAAATAAATGGCTAAGGCAGCTTTAAACCGCATGTCTGAAATGATAATACCCCTTAAACAGGTTTCGGTAGGGCATCCTCAGTAGAAACCTTCATCCAAGCCAATACCCATACCCATACCCATTCCAACGCCAAATCAAATGCAACTTTTTGGCGTTGAGCTGGTCGATGGTGGAAAATTGGCCCGCAAATGGGTTGGGATTGCTTTGAGAGCTGGTCGCCGATCCTCGCGTGTCGCGATCGCAGAGGAGACTTATACTGAATAAACAGGAGAGGGGGGGGGGGGTTGAATGCAGCGACATGGAGGACAAGCAGCACTTGCCTGCTGGGCCAAGTGGTCAGTTAATGGTTGCACTGGTCTGCTCATTTTCTTGCGACATTTTTATGCTCTTGACTTGCATAAATATTTGCGAAGCCCGCAAAAGGGAGCCTCTGGACGTAGATTTTCTGCAGGCTGCACAACTAAAGCAATAAATTTGTGCGCCGCGGACACGACTTCTCGTTGGCTTGCCAACTTGGATGTGGATGTGGATGTGGCTGCAGATGGAGTGGGTTCGGGTTTGGGTTTGGGCTTGGGTTTTGCTTTGGTGCGGGGAATCGCCACGCTATACTGGTCTGCTATCATATAATATAAAATGCACATGCGTTGCAATCAACATTGTCCTGGTCGTCAACACAAAAGCGAAAGGGAGAAGAGCTAGCATAGATCGAGGCAGGAGCATTATCATCATCATTATCATTATCATCCTGAAAGGTAATTACACAGGTCAACATGGGTTTTTTTTTTTGGTATTAAAGTGTTTTCGAGTCTTTGGGAAAGAACAGTTCATTGAAATACACTTTGGTGAACTCACTTTTAGCTGGACTTAGTACCAGAGAAACTTCGAACTTGAGACACCTTGTTGCCCAGTGTTTTCTGCAAAAAACCCAGTGCTGCATGCCGCATCCACGAACGAGCCACATACATACTCGTGCCTCTTTTTGGTCCCAATACCAGTACTAGACCTGCGATCAGCAGTGAAATAGTGAAGCAGCGGCAGCGTCGCCTTTGTACGAGTATCTCATGGATACATAACTCTTTGTTATTGGCCTTGAATGTCCTAAGCACGGAAAAGAGGTCATTGTCGCATAATACGCCGCCTGTCCAGCGCTTGCCAACCGGTGGACAATGACAGTGGCGATTCCAACCCATCCCTTTCCCTTACCCATTCCCATTTTCATTCCCTACTTATTCCCCCGGGGGAACTGCGAAATCTATGCGCACTTTTATCCTCCACCTCGGCGATGTTCGCCTTTTCTGTTTTGAAATTTGTAATTAAAGTAGACACGCATTTTAATGACTGTAATTGAAAAGGGCCCAGCCCATTATGGTCATGTGGTAGCGCGGGTTCTGGAGGCGATCAAAGAAACCTTTAGCTACTTTGGATGTGCATGTGCATCTGCATATATTAAACATGCATTTAAATAAATGGCTTGAAACATATTGATGGCCAGTCGATGGCTGAATAGACTTTGGGCCATCGAATGGATTTGAAGCCAACTCATATTGGCCAGATCCCAGAGCACTTCCTGCCGCGTTTGTTTAGGGGCATAGGGGCTCATCACAAAACCGCAGTGGTCATCTGAAATTATATCTTGCAGATTGTTTTCGGTTTCTTCTACTGCTGCGCACTTTGTTTTGTCAATCTCTTGCTCTTTTCTTTCTTCTTTTTTTTTTATTTGGCTGACTGCGCAAGATGCGATGTACGGTCGATTAAGACAATTATCTCTAGACATTAATTCTAGGAAATATAAAAATAATAATCACTATCAAGTTTTTTGCTCGCACTAAACTTTGTCGCGACGATAATTGGCCAACCATCAAACCATCAAACCATCCAACTGGCGGCTGGAGGAGGTATTCGGTTGATGACCTATGATAGTTCAAACGAAAGATGGATTCCAGCAACCCATGACTGGGCCAGGGCCAACAGAACTCATGATTCTATGGTCTAGTTAGCCAAATCAAACGCAGAAATCAAATCGAAACTATTTGCCTACACAGAGAGAATGAAACGGTGTTCATATTAATATCAAATACTAGTTATAGTTAGGTGTTAATAATTCGGAATTATTTTGGTTTTTGTGAGAAGGTTTTATTGACCTGCTTTTAGAGAATAGGAATGTATAACTCTAAGTCAGGTATTTCCTATATGTTACAAATCAAGTTCAAAGTTTACTCAACACAGAACAGAATGCATTAAAAGACATATTTTGATGCTTGATTAAGCTTGATTTAAGCATTCTAAAATGTCAGATATTTGTACCAGTGCTCTAATAATAATATAAAGTAATTTTAGAACTTGAAACGCCACATAGACAGATATTCATAATAGCAAATATAAGTTGGGAACAATAAAAATTAAAGTAACACCTCTGGATGGGCATTTGAAAGGGATTTGAATTCTTTTGTGTGTTGTTCCGAGTGGAGTGACAGTCCCTTCTGGCGGTCAATCCGGCTCACGTGCCGGCAATTACTATTACCATGCGTCACATTGTCAGCGATAAAACAGATATAATATGGACTGGGCAGAATTGGCCAGCGTCTGCGGGAACCAGAGCAGAATCAGTGGAGCGCTCGTCTCATTTCGCAACTTGTTTTCGAATCAACGAACCAGGAAGGTGGCATGGCCATCGCAGTCGTATTCGCAGTCCCTGTACCGATGATCATTACCTCTTCGCCTCGCTCCGCTCCGCTCCTCCCTTCTCACCACACTCGTCTCTGATTTAATTTAATTTTTCTAAGCACAACCCAAACTGTTTCACTTTGTCAACTTTTCGTTGTTTGTCAGTTGGCGGCCGCAGCCGCATTGATTAAGCTTAATTTGTTGCTCCAAATGCAGGTCAAACCTTTCGAAATCTCTGGGCATTAGGCCAGCCAGCGTTCACTGCATCCTAACCGAGTGGTTTCCCTGTATGGCAGCGATGAACTTTTGCGACTGATATACGCTTTATAATCGTGTGTACTATGTGCTCAGGCAATCACCTTGAATCCGGAATGGATCTAGATGACTAAGGGGCATTCGCTGACATTTCCCGAATGCCACCTGTTCTTTTTTTTTTTTTTTTTGCGCCGCCGTGAAAGTGTCAGTCTACAAGCATGCCACATAAATGCCACATTTTTGGGTCATGCCTGAGAGACACCCACTTCGACAAGCGCAGTGCAAGTTAAGTTCAAGTGCGTGCATTGCTCGGACTCGGACTTGGGCCATCCCCATCCTCAGTCGCATCACCTAGCCCTCCACCACCATCCAAATCCCCATCCCCATCCCCATTCCCATCATCATCCCATCACACATGTACGAGTATTCAAGTGCAGCCGCTGTAATTAGCAGCTAGTCAGTGTCAGTAAGTGGCTTTTACATGACAATTGCGTTTGTCAAATTAGATTTGCATGAATTTTGCTGTTCTATTCAATGGGGAGTTGCTGTGGATTTAGCGACTATATGTGTCTTATCGAAGTGGCCCATACCGTGTTTTCTAACTAAAATTCCAACCATAGAAATCTTTCACGCTTTGACTATGAGGTTTAAGAACCAACCAAAAAACTTTATACCGAAACCAGTGAAAAACCTAGAACATGTCAGAAAACAGTTTAAAAAAATATCTTCTTAATGAGAGATAATCTCGAGACTTCCATGATCTACTTGGATTTTCAAGCGATTTGCTTGTACTTTTCTCGTTTGGTGCTTTGATAAGTATTTGCCCGTCGATCTCCCATATCAGTCCTCCCACTTTCCCGCATTATTCCCATTTGAAAACTAAAAGGAAGAACTAAAAACATACTCGACAAGTGAGAGTGCGAGTATTACAGCACTCTCCATAGCGACAACGACAATAAGTCCAGCATCAGCAACATCAACTCAACAAAAATTGTCTATTTCTATTTTAAAAGTAGTCGGCCGCTAATTGAATCCAATTTGCATGCATTAGCGTTCGTATAGCCGAGCTGAGCTTTGCCGGATTAGTTGAGCAGAGTCGATCTAAGACATAGGCATCCATAATATGGCTCTTATCCAATATCCAAGTTGGGTATCCAGATTTCCGACCGCCATGGATATTTTCGTAATCACTGTAATTGCAGCTCTTTTGCCGACTCATTGCATGCATTGACTGAATTGAAGTGATTCTGATCTCTCTTATGGGGCGCCAAACTAAAAAGTTTATTGTTATGTGATTCTTGAGTATACTATAGTTATTTTTTAGTCATCAGTAACATTGGTCCACAAGAAATATATTATTATATGCAAATATATAGTGCTCATAGCGGAATGCTTAACATTCATTTTTCTAGGCTTAAAGAGCTATGATCAGCTAGGCATACTTATTGGTGACCCCGATTCTTTCATTAGTTTCTCAGAATGGTGACAAATACGTGCCTTTTCTGTTTATATATCGAAACCAGATTGTCCAATATGTAAAAGTTGATGTTTTATTTTTCAAGTTAAGTTATGTTTTGGTGAACCCGAATATTTATTGTTTTGCTGTGCAGATAAGTAACTTGCGTTAATGTTCTACACATACCATCTTAGGTTTTTTAAATATTTAGTATTAGCATTTAATTTATATTAAGCTGGATCTACATGTTAGGTTTTATATTGGGTGCATTTTCGCTACATTTCTTGTCATTTTAATATTGCATTTAAACGTACGAAAAATTGATAAAAATATTATAACCAGCTTTTAATGGCAGAATATACTAACTTTTGTAATCTGATTAAATTAAACCTAAATGGGATAAGATAATGTGAGTAATTGGTATTGCCTTAATTTGGATTCAAAAATATACAAGGCAATTATATTTTAATAATATAATGAATATATTATTTTTGTTTCTTTTGGTGACTTATGAAATCGATAGTTATAGCTATTTTGTACAAGTATTTAAATTACCTTCATCAAGAATTTATAAAGCCCACTGGAAAGTAACTAATATACAAGGGTATACTGGGTGTCGTGTCCAGTTTCTGTTTATTCTAGCTTATTGAGTTCCATGGCAAAAAAACTCAGACCATGTGCGGTTGGCTCTGTCAATGAGCTGACGTTTGTGATTTGCGTATTTGCGTGTTCATGCGTCTGTTCCGAATTGTTTGGTTATTTAGATATGATTCAGGGCGCCACCATTAGCATTGTTCGGTTGGTCGTGTTGTCACCGGACGCTAATTATTATTTTTTAGAATAACTGACATGCGGTGAAAACAAACAGAGGTGGCTCATCGCTTTAATGCCGTGTGTATCCAGGGATTTAATACATGCCAGATGTTTCCGATCTTCGGTCTATTAGTTGTATACCTTTATATTTAGGGATACATTCGCAAGGGGCTTCTTAAACGAAGGTTTGTGACTTGACTATTCACCAGAGCCGCATAAAAGTATACCTTAAAAACCTTATGCCGATGTGAATTCCTACCATTATTCTCTATTTCAGTCCCCCAACATTAAACGCCACCTTCTGCGTCGCCGGGAAAGTCTGGAACCGGAGGACGGCTTGTCCAATGCCCCCTCCTTTGCCCAAATCAATGGTTGTCTGCAGGACAGTGACAGTGACAGCGAGGACTTCCTGCCAGACGAGGTGAAGGACCTCTCCCACGAAGGAAAGGATGTGCTGCGCAAGCTGCTGACCATCGAGCCGCGACAGCGAATCCGGAGTGTGATGGCGCTCCAAAGGATTGCCCTCTACAAGGGCTACAACCTGAGCTCCAAACAGCTGCTTAGCGTGAGTTTCGCTTTCTCAACCCACTAGGATGATAATCCCCTCTACCATTCCAATTCCCTGCAGCTTTCTGCCCAAGACATTATAGCCAGAGATGGAGTCCGCGTATACGAGGACAGACAGTTCGATCAGCTTACCAGCCAGTGTGCAATGAAAGCGTTTCTGGACTTCTAGTCTCCTCGTCAGAAGAGCCAACCAAACAAAATCACAAGAACTTGATGTTCAGCCATATTAAACATGAACGATTTCCACTTATTTTGGTACTATTTAAACTTTATCTTTCCATTAAATTTATTAAAAATATTCCAATTACCAATTTGTTTAAAGACTCTCGACTCGATTAGCTTATGCCTTAAATTTTCAATTTTAAATTTCTCTTGAACAAATTGATTAATAATTGTAAAAAAAAAACTGATAAACTAAATAATGCTCTTTTCCATGGCAACATTACAGTGATACAACTTATATAAATGAATGATAATCGGGTTTTTATAAAAATGTTTATGGTGATTCCAATTTAAAAGCCAACGTTTTTTATTGATCGTTCAGTGTTAATTTTCCATTTATTTATTCGAGCTTGAGAAGTAGTTAAAACAAATACTGTTATTTTAAACGAAACCGCCAAATTAAATGTTGTTATTGTACTTGAAAATAAAATAAATTTTACATTTAATAACATAAGAGAACCTAAATTGGGAATGATTAAAATATGGATTATAACTTTCAAGATAAATTAGTGAAATTTTAGAAGCTGGGAAATAATTTAGGCTTTAAAATTACTTATTACAGTCAATAATCTTCAAAATTGCACATATATTAAAAGCACTTAAGCTGATTTAGACCTTTAGCTTGGGAAGCTTAAATAAATAAATGTCTACTATATCCTTTGCCCTCTAAAGGATTTCGTTAATTGCAAGTGTATTATAAATCAATGTCTATTTGCTTGCTAAGCTCAAAGTTCGGTTATAATGTTCTATTTAGTGATATAAGCTCTATCCAAAGAAGAAACCCAAGTTTTCCGTATCAAATGTTGTGGTGAACTCAGTTACGTCAATGGATAACAGCCAGTGAGTTTCCTGTCCAACGTCATAAGACTCGTGCGTGTTGTTTGGCCAAAGATTCCATGGAAGAGTTAGTGTTCGGACGTGGGTGGCCAATCCACCCACCCACGTACATTTTCCGCTTTTCCCAAAGCTTTTCCGCTGAAGCTTTGTCAGCTGCTGCAAAGCTCGTTGGTTGGACGTCAGGATGTGAGAACAGCCGGAGGAGCGAGAGCGATTCGCAGCGAGCGAGGACTCGGACTCGATTCGGACTCGGACTCGGACTCGGACCTCGACTCGCTGGAATTGGAATCCTTGCAGAGCTGCAGAGCGGCAGAGGAGCGGAGGCAGCAACAGCAGCAACAGCGGCAGCGCAGTTACAGTCATTGGCAACAACAAATACATACACATGCACAACACTCGCACATCGATATCCGTATCCAGAAGAGGTCCTTTCTAGAGGCAGGAAAAAAAGTGGACGCAACTCCTTGTCGGATCGGGTGGAGCATGGAAATTGGTCACTCCTGGTTCACAGCTGGCCCAGTGACTCGCAGGTGCTAGGAAAACATCAGCCGCTCAACAACCCACAAAAGCACACGAACACACACTCACCCACTCACAAACACTCGCCCACTCGGCCAGGATACATGGCTCTACTCGGGATTAGGCAACTACCAGGTCACTGAAAACGGAGGAAGCCATGGCACTGGTGCACACGTTCCTGGGCACCTGGGAGGTGAGTTACTTCCTGACACCCACCCTGTTCTATCTCCACACACACACTCGACCATCTTCCGTGTTCCCAGATTGTGTGCTGCACCTTCGAGGGAAAGCGGGAGCTGTCCGGCTTGGAGGGGTAAGTGGTCATCCCAAAAACATGCAACGCACACACACCTGCTAACCTCCACCCCCACCCCACTTCCTAGCATTAAATTCCGATTGGACGATACCAGCGACATTACCTGGTACAATGACCTGGTCAGTCCGCTGCCCGAGTCCAAAGACTGCGGCTCCTTCTGCGAATCGGCCAGCGTACTCTTCAGTTGCGAGACCTTCGACGTCCATGAGATCAATCCTCGCCTCGTTTTCGGAGCCTTTGCCGGCCACAGCATTGAGTTTAGCGTGAGTATCCTTGAGCGGTAGATCTCCTTCGGGACTCCAATCTGTCTCACCCTTTCGCAGACCAACACGCTAACGCCGACTGATACACTGGTGCTGAGCTGCGAGAACTGGTATGCCGTCGAGTGCAAGCGCCTGCAGGATGGCCAGGCTGCTGGCCAGGAGAAGCAACTGAGCTTCGGCGAGGCCCTGCAGGAGTCCTACTTCAGCGACGTGGTGGTAAAGAGCTCCGGCGGACTGGAGTACGCCCTGCATGCCTCCATACTGCGGCTCAACGGGTTCGATTGCAGCATGTGCGTGAACAGTGCCCCGCCTTCGGCGACCGTTCGTCCGACCAGGACCTGCCACAGTGGCCCAAACACCCCGAATCCGATAAGGATTTCCGTGGCACCGGCCAACGATGACGGCCATGACAAGTCCCTGCCGCGGTTGAATCTCTCGCCCATTTATTTGCAACCGCCCTGTGACTTCCAGGCGATGCCGTCGTCCGGCTTGGGCGTCCAGCGAATGCATCAGTTTAGCAGCAGCTTCAACTGCTTGAGCAATGGCAATGCCGGGGACTCGGAGGCGTCGGTGGTCAGGACCACGAATCTGTTGAGCCTAGAATGTGGCGGTGGCGGGATGTACCGCCTGCCGCCCACCTCGCATTCCGATTCGCATCTGGAAACGTCACAGTCGCATTGCAAGAACATTTTCAACTTTTGCCAGGACCTGATGCTGCAGCCCACACCCACACCCCTGCCACCGACCGCTGGACTGGCCATCTGCAGCATCCGGAGGCCACCGCTGTCGCCGTACCGCGCACGCAGTCCCTCGCCCTTCCCCAGCTCCATGGACACGCCGCCGTCGTCGCCCCTCACGCCCGTCGGCGTCCTGTGCAACCTGCCCACCTTCCTCCTGGGCCCCATCCTACACTGGCTGTACACGGAGTCACTGCTCCCGGACCTCGACGAGGACGTGTGCGAGAAGCTAATCGGCTTTGCCGAATCCCAGCCGTCGCTGACCAAACTAGTGGAGCCGACTCGCAAGTACCTGCGACTATTGAGACTCAAAAAATGTGAGTATTACAGGCCATCAACTGTATTACCTTACTATATAAACTGGCCCAAATCCTTGCCGATAACTTTCAGTTGTGGTCAACGTTACTATGGATCTGCACGGCATTCTCAACAGGGTTATACAGTGCTTAAATCCCGGAAATATTACCCGCGATCCAACGCAGCTCTATGCAACATTTCAGGATGCCTTGCGCGAATGTGCCATTGGTAAGTTCAGTGGGCTGTTTTCAGATTGCAGGACAAGATCTAGATAGGACTAATTATCCCTGCAGGCTGCGCCAAGGTGCTTCAGTTCTGTAACATTTTCATTACGGATGCCACACACATGACGCGATATCAAAAGAACGAAATTGTCAAGTACATACGAACCCGCATCCCAATTTTCATGTCGCAAGTTCAACAGCTGCTACGGAACGTACTGGGAGTCTTTGTCGGTCTAAGTGTCGACGAAAAAGCCGAATTGGTGAATTATCTTGTACCTGAAGTGAGAGCACTCCAGTGATTGTAATGGAATTATGAAAACTGATCTACCTTATCCTACAGATCGAATCAACCTTATTTGTACTGACCGCTGTGATAGAGGAAATCAAAAACTCACTGGAAATCATGTGTAAGGTGAGTTGGGGATAGAATTGTTAAGGGTTTTAGGGGCCTATCACCTGGGTATAAACTACTTCTTAATTTGTAGGACCTGAAGTGTTCCCACTTGGATCTCCCCCTACAAGAACAGCAGGCAGACGATGCGATTGTCATGCAATTGCAGATCTCGGATGGAGGCGAACCCTCGCCACGACCTCGTCGCGGTGCTCCCGTGGGTCTAACGCTCTATGACAATCTCACGGACAAACAGCGCCTGAGTTCGGCGGAGAATGACCTGAAATTCGTTCTCTACATGTACGAAGTGCGAAAAATGCGCGACATCTACGGCCGTATTGTGGCGGCCCTTGAAATAATCAAGGACAAAAAGTGAGTTACTATCGTTTAATCATCGGAGGCCATCATCATTCACTTTTACTCCTGCAGGAGCACCTTCTGCGAAATGGATTTTTTGAGCAAAAGTAGCACAATCAACCAGAACCTCGAACAACTGATCATGGACATTCCCGCTTACATCTTCATAGTGGAGAACCTATCCGATCGACTCGACGACAAATTGGGTTGGAAGGAGTTCAAGTTTTGCTTCAAGCTGGCCACCAGTCAGATAGTAAGTGATTGAGCTATTCGTTATCCTGGATGTTCCTACCGTGTATTACCCACAGAATGGCGTCATTGCAAAACTACTGGATCACAAGGATGCCCTGCGGGATGCTATTAGCCAGATATGTTCGCTGGTGCGAAAACAGGAATTCACTCAGTCCGTAATTGAGCTGGGATTGCTGGAAGGCTCCAGTGGGCTGTCTAGCAATTTAAAAATGGCTGATCACGAGAACAACCTAAATCAGGGGCTTTGCGATAAGGAGGCGATCTATTTGGATCGCAAACAATACTACGATTATAATAGCATTAAGGTAATTTGTTTGTTGCTTAAGCTTGTATCTAACTAACGATTTGCTGTACACCCCAAGTTGAATCTCATTCGCCACCTGTGTGAGCCACCTATTGCGGCCAGTAGCAATCTCTCGAAGAACGCCCTGCGTCTGCTGCACTCCACCCAGCTGGCCGACATGGAGTTCGAGGTGCACACCTTTGCTGCTGGGAAGACAGAGACCGCCAGTGGGGAGTCGGCAGCGAAGGTCCTTCAGGTGCACAGCTTCAAGGCGCATCGGGTGATCGTTGCCGCTCGCTGCGAGTGGTTCAAAAAGGCCCTGATGTCGGGCATGCAGGAGTCCATCAATCGAAAGGTCATCATCACAGACACCTCTCCCGTAATCTTTCGACGCCTGCTCCTCTACCTCTACGGTGCTCCCATCGATCGAACAGTGGGCGCCGAGCAGGTGTGCGAGCTAATGCTCTTGGCAGATCGTTACTCCATAGATGATCTTAAGGTGAGATCGGTACGTTGCAATCAAGCTACAACTAATCTACACAAAACAAACAGGAATTGTGCGAAAACACCCTATACTCTTTAATTGACGAGGAATCCGTGGTCTGCCTTCTGGGCATTGCGGATCGCTATATGGCCACTGCTCTGAAGTCGAAATGTCTTTCTTTTCTCTCGCAACATGCGCAACTGACCAAGTGTGAAATGTTCAAGGAATTGCCCCAGACACTTCAGGTGAGCGTATACTTATGTCGGCTATACCCAACGATATTTGACCACGCTGTTACCCTTTCAGCTAGAGGTTATGGATTTGATACATTGGTTTGGACGTGTCTCAGAGCCGTGGAACGATCGGGGATTCAAGCCGCGCAGCAGCTCGCGCCACAGCCTCAAGAGTCCTTCGAAGCCGCGCTCGCGATCCCGCAAGTCCTCGCCCTCCTACATGTGACGCCGACAAAGCGCCATTGAACACACGAATGCCAACTTCTTGTGATAATTTTAGAAGACTTCGCAATCCAGATCCGGATAAAATAGTCAGTAAGGAGTAGGGGAGAGCATGGTATATAGGACGATAGCTCAGTGAGTTTAGACTTTACAGGGCGAGGAGGAGGTAGTCGAAATCAGTTACAGGAATGACCGGGACTCTGACTCTCGTCTCTGCTTTGGTGAAACGCCACCGGAGCAGAACGACTAACCACAATATCAAGCCAAATAGCAAGAGGCAAACATGACCTGATTTTAATGAGTTTTACTTAGTTCACTAGTAGATAGATAGGAATTCGACGTATAACTTGCATTCAAATTTCTCTATAATTAATTGATTTATGTAGGGAACCTGTTTTCCAAGACCACTGGGTGTTGGGAACCAGTTTGAAAACTTTGATATTGCATCCGGACAACAAAATTACATTTAAAGATCGAATAGATTTAGAAAACGGATAGTAACAAGCAATTGGCAGATACGTTATGTAAATACACAAATGATTAGTATAGAAAGGCTTTTCAAAACCACTCCTTTATTTCGATATTTTTCCTTTTGAGGTCCACTTGTGAGGTAGGTTAGTTGTACACTTGTAGTCTGACCGGTAGGTAGAATTTAGTCCTTTGGAAAAGCCAAAGTGAATAATTGTTTTGTATTGGGCGAACGGAATATTGACAAAATGCATAATACAACAAAATTCGGTACACCGAATATTAAGTGCTACACTATTGTAAAATAACTAGTGTATTTTGACATATAGTGACATATTCAATTTAACATTAGACTATTAACCGCGAGACCTATTCTCATATAGTCTTATGGGTAGGGGACGGATTTGAGGTAACGACAGCAGCGTATTTTTTCATTAAATTTGAAAGCGTATCAAATTAAAAGAATATATGTACAAATATTATGTGTAAATTATATTATTGTACTAATTCAATACATTTCTTGTTGTCTTTTTAAAACATATCACAAAATAACTCTTTTTATTAGATACCAATAATAAAATGTACGTATGTAAGTAACGGAAGTAAAAAAGAAAGTTGTTTGAAAAGTTGAATGCTCCAAATGCGTATTACGGCAAAAGTTTGATTAGAGTAAAGCAACCACCACTAAATTTCCAAATGAAAACAAAAGTTTAAAAACAAAAAAACATTATTTTACTTGGAAATAAAATACGTCCCATAAAAAAACAATTTTTTTTTTGGTATTGACATTATTCAAATTAGTAACGGACAAAGTTTGAAATATGTAATAAATCGCCAGGATTAAAGTAATTCTCATTACTTTGATTTCATTCACTCGCTATAAATTGAAATACAACTTTAGAGATGTGATGAAAATTAGCGAAGTGTCAAAAGCTTATTACGAGTATTACAAATATTTAAATTGCCAACGGTCGATAATAATCTACTTGTACATTCATTAAATGCTCATTTGTAGATGTGATTCACATAAGCAAAAATAATATAAGACACAGTTATTCGGGTGTAACCACTATTTCAGTTACCAACATTCGTGATTATCGCGTTATATTTCATCGCCGGAAATTAATAACGAGTATTGCACTCTATACAATTACAGAAAGTTTTGAGATGCAATAAAAAGGAGCGTTTTCTTTTTGCTGCTATCGCCATTTAAATTTCTAACGACCAAATCTAGGGATATGTAATAACTCGCCAAGAGTAAAGCAGCGAGTACAGAAGTCGCCATAGAGAAGGGCGGGAATTTTCCCCTTCCAGTGGCAAAGTTTGGGCTCCCTTGCTTTCCAGCGGAACGCAGGCACTGGTTTTCCCGACTGCCATGCCATAGGGCTGACCGCAGCTTTTCCAACCAAGTGCGCGCTGGGGAAAACTTGCTCTCTCTCTCTCTCGGCGCCACTCTCTCGTCGGCACTCTCTCGTCACCGCTCGGAAACTAAACTTCTGCTGCTGGCGCAGGAAAATCCATTTTCCATTTTCCTACACGCGGACACTGGCTCAAAGTATCGTGTGCGGCGGACGTCCTTGTCGTGCGTGCCTCGATTGCTCGCACCGACGGTGTTTTTTGAGTTCAGGGAATTGAATTGAGCAACATGGAAACATAACTGGCGAGGCGGAATAACAAGCTAGAATACCTCGAAACTCTTCATTTGCGAACTCGAACCGATATAGAGTGGTAGTGGTGCATTTAAAAGGATGCATTTGCATTTGCTTTTTTTTTCAGTGAGGTTTTTCCTATTTTTTCCATAAATTTCTGTGAGAGTGCTGTGCAACGAACGGGAATACGTAGAAACGATTTTTTTTAGAAAATCGCGAGAGTCCCCGAAGAAGAAGGCCAAAGAACAGAAACGCAAAGGAAAGGCGAAAACGAAGGAAAGGCAGCGCAATAAGGTAGCAAAAAAAATGTATTTGTTTGTGTGCGAACACCGTTAGTTATGCTAACATTGACAGTGAAAATGTGAAAATATGAAGAAAATATGTTGTGCTATCGGTTCTGCGGAAAATACAAAAAGTGCCAAATAATACATTTTCATTTGACCCAGACGCTCCTGTGTGTTTGTGTGTGCACACTAACACACAATATGGTGTGGAGAAGAAGAAGAGAGTTAGAGTTGCGAACCAGCTGCTCGGTGGACGTAAATATTTAATTGCCCACTGGGTATACTTATGTATACATACAGTTGTATAAAAATACGGAAATTTGTGTACATGGTGATTTTGTTTATTGTATATTACTGCAAATCGAATTTCAAAAGGTGTGAGAGTCAAAAAATCAAAAGGAACTTTAGGCCCACTGTAACTTCCAATGTCAAATAACTGTTTTGAGCTAAGTTTTCTCCCTTTGTTGTTGTGCTGGTTGTTGATATTGTTGTTGCACACACACGCTTACCCTCGCAAAATCATCATCAATTACGCCCCCTCCACAAAGTGTGTGTGTGCTATCTTTTGCGCCTATCGAAGCTCTCTCTTCGCCCACACACACACCAGCAAATGGGCACCCGCACTTGCACACACACATCGTCCTCCTGTAGGCCCACTTTCTCTGATACTGTACCGTTTTAGTTTATTAGCTTGTATTCGTATTCCCCTTCGACAGTGGTGTTAGTTGGCCAGAAAGTCTGTAAAAATGAGCGGCGGCATGTTTGCTGACTCGATCTACAGTAGAGCTTCGTAAATGGTACACAAGTATTTCTACGTCAGTTAAAACCCAACAAGCCCCGTTAAGTTTTTAAAAAGACAACTGTTATCGCAGTTTCAGCTCGGAAGAGTTTTAAAAACCCTTTTTAGTTTGGTGTGTTTATTAACTTGATCTAAAGTGGAGTCTAGTTAGGGTGGTTGGGCTTTCGTAAGTTATCAAATACAGTCAAGAATTTTAAGAGACATCTGATATCAAAGGTTTAGTTCGGAGGACATTGTTTAGATTCTTTATTTTTGTAATCCCCTTTATAAGGTCAATTTATTCTAAATTAAATTTCTTTATAACCCAAATATTTGAGAGGACAATTTAACATTAACCCATAGAGATTTTTGATTTCCAGCAATATTCGCGATTTTATTCCCTTATCGATTCTTTTAGCCATGCCTCACTCTGATCCACATCGGCTATTGTTTATCTTTTCTTCTTTGTACGCACGTGAAATATTTTTCAACAGATTCCGAGTTGTGTGAGTACATGATGTGCGTAGTCATAAGTTATAGGAAACAGCCAATTACTCTCTCTTGGTAAAAAAAATGTAGACGCCTAGTCGATCTACGAACTGCTCTTTGGTTTAGATTGGACCCCAGACCAATTCCAAAACATAATAATATATTGAAGGATAAATATTTTTGTGGTAAATTAGCTTTTCTTTTATAGCGATTGAAAATGATGCTTATGAACCACTTAACTATCCTTTCAACTATATAGACCAAATCTATTTGATTGCTCATTCCTATCTAACGATATCTAAGCTGAAAGAGTACAAACAAATTTGCTCCGGGCGGCAAGTACATACCAAATACAAACTTGGAAGTGTTGATGCCCAAGTGTACACTGCACACTGTTATTTTCGCATTTACGGCGTAATTACTCAGCCGGATCATGATGGAAGGCGGCGGAGCGATCGCCACAACGTTCATGTATAGACAGCCGTGTTCAATTAACTAGTGCCCTGCCGCCCATATTATATGACAAGTAGAATTCTGATTGAATCCGTTGTTTATAAACTTGCTCCATAACATTGTCTCACTTTTAAATGACTAATATGTTGCTAATTTAAAGAATTTTGTATACCACGTAAGGTAAACATCAGCATTGAAATTTATTATGATACAATATACATATATATGTGTTCCTACAACTAATTTAAGTCAACTAATTTTTTTGCATAATGGAAATTGTAGCACCGATACGTCTTTAATATAAACAAGAAAGGAATCAAACTTCGGCAAGACGAAGTTTATATACCCTTGCAGTTGTTACAAATCTACTATATTTCGATTTCTATGCCTATATTACAAAAAACAATGAAGCTACATATGTCGATTTTGCGCTGCATTTTGCCATCGTTTCTATGGCAGCTATATGATATTGTTGTCCGATTTTAATTTAATTAAAACCATAACTCCATAATATTTAAATATTACCAATCCCAAAGAACAAAAAGTAATAATTTAAAACAAAAAAGTTATAATTTTTTGGAATACTTTTTTTCGATTGTTCCTATGGGAGCTATATGATATAGTCGCCCGATCCGGCTCGTTCCGACTTATATACTACCTGTAATAGAAAGACATCTTTTGGAAATGTTTCAAGCAGATAACTTTAAAACTGAGGGACTAGTTTGGGTAGAAACGGACAGACAGACATGGCTAGATCGACTCTCCTGGTGATGCTGATCAAGATTATATATAATTTATGGTGTCGGAAATGTCTCCTTCACTGCGTTGCAAACTTTTGACTGAAATTATAATACCTTCTGCAAGGGTATAAAAATATGTAAAAATGGCGGTTAATTGTTAAAATTTTTGTATGAAAAAAAGGCGAAATGCCACACAAAACGTAAAAAAAGTGAAGAAAACAATTAAATGTCAATAAATTCTTTGCAAAGAGTGGGCTCAAAATGTTAAATATTAAACTAAGAACCGTTTATGACATTATAAACGGCGCGAAAAAAGAAAACAGGCTGGAATTACATAGCTCAAATGGCAGACCCGAAAAGCTTTCTCGACGAGATTGTGAAAATTGTTAAAAACAATTGAAGCAAACAAGCCTTCGAAAATTGGAGAGTGATATTCGAACACACTCTCATAATACCGTATGCCATGAGACCCGATATATGTGACAAGAAAGAGTTCTATATAAACATTTTACAAAATGAATTGACCAGAAGTGCCCAACATTTTGGCTTCATTGATCCGGAAAACAGTTTTTGCTGTCAAATACAAGCTGTACCAGGACAATGATCCAAAGCACAAATACCATCTGTGCCGCTTCTTACACCTTATAACACCTTATAACTGTAGAAAAGGTTTTATCCGGATCTCAATCCTATCGAAAATTTGTGGACATTACTTAAGAAAAAGGTGGCAAAATGTCGCCTCAGAAGTTAAAATTGTGTTACCCCTTTTTTTCATTTTGCAAGCATTTAGTTGCCATACTTTATGTCGGTTAGAATAAACACCGAAATCACACAAACAAAACTTTCATATTTAAGATTTTGTAGATATTTCTTTATGTTGTTCTTATTAGAATACAATACAATTTTGTGATATTTCCTTTATAGTATAAAACACAGTTTGCAGTACACAATAAACAAATTGATGCGATGTGGTTACATTTTTGGTACCAGATAAGGGGGCATATCTATTTAATACGGACAGAATTTGGTTATCAAAATAGCACTTGTTAATCTAATTAATATTTAAATGACATAATACGTATACGTAACATCAATTTTACCTGCCAGTATCTGGTCTATATCGAGCTCTATTGTTATCTTGGTAGTTCAGAGATTAACGAATAAATAGCCTAATTAAAGATGCTAATCTTGGGAGCTGCACTCAATCGGTTATTAGGAAAACGTTCTTGCTTAGTTTTGGTGCACTGATGCACTGGGGAGAACAAGGTGGGCGTTGCGATGGCGTCAGTGTTTCGGTGGCCTTGACCAAAGTTATGTGTGGGCAGATTAAATCCTCAAAAGAACGTAAACAATGGGGCATCTTAAAGTAATCCTTTAACAAAGCCCCCTGCTTATGGCAACTCAAGAGCACAGCAGCCAGCTGTAATCGCATCAACTACGCCGTGCGCACTGCACTGCACGGGATGGTAATCAATATCAATGCAAAGATAAGCTCCTACCACAAACCATGGCCATAGGCATCTCCAGTTCTCAGTATTCGGTATTCGGTATTCTAGGCTTCACTGCTAAAGCCGACTAAATGCTTCTTCCGAGTCGATTTGCATCTCATGCCTGTGTGTGCCCCAGACTACAAGAATATGGTACTTTCGCATTGTTAATTCCGACATACCTTGTTTACCCGTTTCTCAAGTTGGTTAAGATGCATGTACATAGGTACTTATACTTATCAGGACATAGGGCTGTAACACCTGGAAAATATATTTGGATGTCTCATAATTATGAATGTGACTTTTTCTCAGGATCATCCAAACATCAGGGAAAGTAAAAATGTTTCGAGGAAATTTCTAAAAGTTCGATTTTTGTTCCTGTGTTATCATAGCTCTTTTTTGAAAGCCTATAACTTTGGATGGTCCTTGGTGAGCTATCTTTCTGCTCCCGTGTGTAGGCCCAATATTTGCTATGCAAAACGTCCAGCTCATTAAGTCTTTGTTTATTTGTTTAGTCAGTTATTAAGAGGTCCACAGGTGTAGGCAGACAAACGAAACGAATATTTGTTTATTGTTTCTGGCAATTTATCATCTGTGGCAACCACTTGAATAAAAGTCTCATTGCTGAATTATAAAGGTCAGATTTTAGACAAAGCAATATGGGGGGGAGGTGGTGGTAGTTGAGAACTTCATTAACAAATAAAACAAAGTAGGAACTGAGAAGTATAGAAAACTCATATAATAATAAAATGTGGACAAAACCGATGTGCAGCAAATTAATAAACTTCTTGTAACTGTGCGAGTATGTAACAGCCGATGAACAAAAAAAGGGGGAAAAAAAAACCTAAGGGCGGCCAAAGAGTCAACAACAACAATAACGAAGGCAGGAAACCTCCCTCGCAAACGGAAACTCATTTGCCAACAGTTTGAAACCAACTTCCGGCCCAGTAACGACGACAACGACAAGGGCAGCCGCCTGGGACAAATGCATGACAAAAGTCACATTTAAAAAGAGAGTAAAACGGGTGACGGGCCTTAGAGGACGTTCCGCGGTTGTGTGAGGTGGCGAACATATATCGGGACCAGCACGAACAAAGCCCAACAAAATCAGCCCTTGCTATCAAAATTAGAACAGCAAATCTGGCCAAATAAATTAAATATAGTTAGGCAAGCTTTGAGCGTAATTCATCTTTACCTCTTTAGATTTATACTCTGGTACTGGTTATTCAAAAAACCCTTTAAATGCCATAATTATAGTCTAAATATCTAGAAATGGGTATTAATTGGGGCATTCAAGACATCCCAGAGGGCATTTATTGGGATTTAAAATATATTACTCATACGTACTGTTGCCCCTGATTAAAAAAAATTTTAATTGAGGTGGCGTAGGTTTATATAATTTAAAAGAAAACAAAATATATTTCTTGATCTCTGTTGTTGACTCTTATTTCAACGAGATCAGATTAGAATGGCGACAAAATTTAATTCGTATGAAACTCTGAGTGGCTACGTGTCGTATGAGTAATTCGCATTTAAATCTTAAAATAAAATTGGTTGGTCTTTGAATAAGTTTGTTGCCTACCAAAATGTACCCCTTGAGAAATTTTTTCTTTTTTTTTTTGGACCACTCTAATGCGCACTTAGTCCAGCCCGCCATTTAGTCCTGTCCGTTGAGTGGTTTGCGTTCGCTAAGTACGCACAGCGAACATCTTACATAATTTAATTAAATCCTTTTTAATTTTTTAGAGGAAGAAACTCTTTGCGTTGTGTGCCTTCTAATGCTTTGCATGTCCGCTTGATTGACAATTTAATGAATCGATGCGAAAACGCGCGGAAAGAGTGCACTATTGATTGGATTTCCCCTGCGGTATTCAAATTGGCTTTAATGTGGAGGAGGTTATTTGTGCTGGGAAGGCTTTTAAAATACTATTTCAAAGTGGTATATAATAACCAATAACCCAATATCCTCCCCACTATTACCTAGTTCTTAGGGGCGTTGTTCATTGCAAATTTATAGTGTCTTATTGGTGTCAAAGCCCTTATTTCTGCCAATTTCAGCCAGTCTTTGTTATTTTTAACTGCTATCATTAAAGGACGCCCGGGCCCAGTAAAGCTGGCACATCGGAGTCGCACGCAAGCGATTCGACTTATTCTTGACTGGAACGGAAAGAGGTCGATAGGGCAAAGTGCGTGTGTTAATGACAAAATGGTTACACAAGTTCGCGGCGGGCACGCATCAACAAATAACGAAAAAGGAAGTTAGCTCTATGAAAGTCTGTGCTTAGATACCCTTGCAGCCTACAGGATATAGTCGTCCGATATTTAACATATTCTCCCAAAGTTGTAAATAAAATTGTTGTTAGCAATAGTGCAAGTGAAGAACATTAAAAACTAATTGCGCTATAATATGTATTAGAATTGTTTCTTTAAAACTGAGTTGGCCAATCGGTATAGAAACAGTCAGACAAAGACTCTTCTGTTTAAGCGTATAAAAATATATATATACATATATACTTTATCTTATTAAATTATAATACTCTTTGCAAGGATGTAACTTAAAAATAAGCTACTTTTTGTTTTTAGGTAGTCTGAAGTAAAATGAATTTGCACTTAAAACTAAATAGTGTTCCTATGACTAAAAACTAGATGTGTAAGAAACGAAAGTGCATTGAAATTGATGAATTTTTGTAATTAGCCTTTTTGAAGGTCTCCACCGGCAGCCGGCACCACGACCTTTAAAAACCTGACGCTGAGAACCCGACACTTGGAGGCCATGAAAGCGTGCTATGTATGGATGGAAGTAAAAGGAGCCCCAATTAATGCAAAGATCAATTCACCATCTTGCCGTGGTTGCTAAAGGAAGCTGGCCGAGCAGAGGGCACTCAAGAAGGGCTTCAGCGGCGTCGTTGGGGGCGTCGCTTTTAACGGAAGGAAGAGGGAAGCCAACCCGACCGAATCATGAAACATTGTAAGTTGGCTGCGATGGTGTGTTAACCAATACACAAGTTTATTTAAGGAGTAAACAAGGCCACGGTTGAAGGTGCTTAAAGAGATGCGTTTAGTTTATGGAAAACTTTCCACCTGTGGGGACATTTTCACTGGAAATGCATAATGAAATTACAGTTTTACAGTAGGTTCAATGAAAACAGTTTTCTAACGTAAATAATTTTGTTTTGATTGAAAAAGTAATGTCAATAAAAACAAATTTCATTTAAAATACAACTTTGTCAATGTTAATAAAATTGAATTTTGCTGCCAGCCATGCGTTTCTTCTTAAAAAAATAATGAAATGTGCTTATGTGCACAACTTTGCCAATATATTTGTTCATTCAAACTCTTTTGCATTTTAATTTGAACTTGAAAATGCTTTCAGCTAATATTTCCATACACAAGGACATGATGGAATTCGGATAAGTGCAACCGAGAACAACGTACAGAATTAGATATAGGACATTTTCAACAAATAATTCATTTAGTGGTTATAATGCGCGTTAAAGATCATGAAGCGAACCGATATTGACAGCCACGGAAGATCGCGTAAATGAAAGCCATCTCTTGGGCAACGCAACTCTGATATATATAGGACACCCACACCAAAAAACCTCTCCCAGCGGAACACCAAGGACCAGGAGGAGGAGAAAGAGGCCGTCGGGCCAGAGACGGCAGCGAAACCGCCGCCGCAGCAGCGGGCACAGCGGTCATGGAACCACCCGGCGGAGTGCCGCCGGACAGGGATAGGCAGCTGGTGCTCCGGAATCAGTCGGCTGCCCTCGTGCCCGTGGTCGTATCCGCACCCACTGCACCGGGGGCCATCACGCCCAGCCCGCAGCCACCGGCACCGCAGGCGTCGTCATCGTCGTCGCTGCTGCCCAGCAAGCCAACTAGTCTGAGTCTTCAGCCGCATGCCGTGCTCCAGGCCATGCAACAATTGTCTCCCTCCGCCGGAGGCAACAACAATGCCACAGTTGCCACGGCCACCAGCAGCAGCAGCGGGAATGCCAACAGCGGCAACAGTCCCGCCCTGGCCTCCACCGCCACGGCCATATCGGCCACCACCCAGGCAGCCACTGCCTTCAGCGGCAGCTCGGTGGGTCACCACCATCCGCAGCACCACCACCAGCATCCGCACCCGCATGCCCCACCACCACAGCTCCAGCAACCGCATCCGACGGCCACTGCAGCGAGCACAGCGCCACAAACCCACCATCACGGCTCCATATCCGGCACTGGCTCTGGCGGCGGACTCATCGGTTCCAGTGGCGGCAGTGGCAACCCGCAGCAGGCCATCGAGAAGCTATCGCGACCCATGGCATTCGACAAGGTGCGTCCTCTGTGATGATCCCCAGTGCTCTGTTTCAGCTACATAACGTATTTGTTTATTCCCAGATGGAAATGCTGGTGCGCGAGATGCAGGATCAGGAACATGGCGTGCCCGTGCGGCAGCAGAAAATGTTCCTCACATCCATACCATACGCGTTTATGGGTACGTTGTCTACTATTTAGTTTTTTTTGAAACCTCCAGGTCGGTTAATGCACATTGTTTACGCTGTGGGTTTAACCTTATTGAGCTGAAAAATCGCGACCTATATTTATACCCTTGCAGAGGGTATTATAATTTCAGTCAAAAGTTTGCAACGCAGTGAAGGAGACATTTCCGACCCTATAAAGTATATATATTCTTGATCAGCATCACCAGGAGAGTCGATCTAGCCATGTCCGTCTGTCCGTCTGTCCGTCCGTCTGTCCGTCCGTCTGTCCGTCTGTCCGTCCGTTTCTACGCAAACTAGTCCCTCAGTTTTAAAGCTATCTGCTTGAAACTTTCCCAAAAGTTGTCTTTCTATTGCAGGTAGTATATAAGTCGGAACGAGCCGGATCGGGCCACTATATCATATAGCTGCCATATAACTGAACGATCGGAAATGCCATATCTTTGGTGTTTTTAAAGTTAGGAAGTTGGGATTTTCTATGGGTTTTATTTTTGGCTAAAAAATCCGACCTGCCAAATTTCATAAGGATCGGACGACTATATCCTATAGCTGCCATATAACTGATTGATCGGAAATGCCATAACATTGGTGTTTGTAAAGTTAGGAGGCTGGGATCTTCTATGGATTTTATATTTGGTTAATCAATCCGACCTACCAAATTTCATAAGGATCGGCCGACTATATCTTATAGCTGCCATATAACTGAACGATTGGAAATTACATAACTTTGTTGTTTTTAAAGTTAGGAAGTTGGGACTTTTTTTAAGTATTAAGAATGCATCATATGAATAATTTTGGAGAATATAATTTATAGAATATTCTGCAAGGGTATATCAACTTCGGCTCCGCCCGAAGTTAGCTTTCCTTTCTTGTTTTTAATTCAAATAACAAGATAAAAAGTTTTTCTCAGTGTAATTTATTTTGTTATTTTTATTAATTTATTTCTCCAAATACGTCTTGCACCAGCACAAAAAAAGTAGTTCGTTTACAATATTGTCTCACAGTCTCTTACACATCAACATAATAGGAATATTGTAAATGATTTTATTTTAAACATATCACATGTATAAGATTAATGGGTTACTTATTGTCTATAACCATTATACCTGGTGTTTAGGATACGATTTAATTGAATGGCTAATGGACCGCTTGCAAATCGAGGAGTCGGAGGCCCTAAACATTGCTAATCAGCTGTGTCTGCACGGCTACTTTTTTCCGGTCAACGACTCAAAAACGCTGACCGTGAAGGATGATTCGTCGCTGTATCGGTTCCAAACGCCCTACTATTGGCCCTGGCAGCACAAGGCGCCCGACAATGTGGAGTACGCCATCTATTTGGCCAAGCGATCGCTGCGCAACAAGCAGCGCCATGCACTGGAGGACTACGAGGCCGAGGCCCTGGCCTCGCTGCACAAGAACCTGAAGGGCAAGTGGGACTTCATCTCGATGCAGGCCGAGGAGCAGGTGCGACTGGCCAAGGAGCGCAAGAAGGGGGACAAGATCGTGGGAGACTCGCAGGAGAGAGCTTACTGGAGAGTTCACCGTCCACCGCCTGGCCAGTTCACTCCGTTGGAGCCCTGTCCAGTGCCTTCGCGCGATCGTCAGGGCCTCAAGCCCAATAAAAAAAAGACTGTCGAAGACATGCAGCGCGACGTTGACTATTTAAGCAAGTCGCTCAATCGGACGCGTATGAAGATGTCGCAGGCCTGCGAGTCGCTCGTTTGCTATTCGGAGACCTTCACCGAATACGACTTCTTTCTGCAGCCGGCATTGCCCTCCAATCCGTGGGTCACCGAGGATATTACATTCTGGCAGCTGAACAACACCTTTGTCGACATTCCCACAGAGAAGCGTGTGAAGCGCTGGGCCATTTCCATTGAGGAGCTCGTCTCCGATCCCACGGGCCTGCAGGAGTTCACGGGCTTCCTGGAGAAGGAGTACTCGCACGAGAACATCCGCTTCTGGATAGCGGTCAATCGCTTGCGCCGATCCGCTCACTCGCAAGTGGCGCGAAAGGTCAACGAAATCTACGAGTGCGTATCATCTCCCATTTTTTCCTTATCCCATCTATATGTTTATATATATTGCAGGGAGTTTTTGAAGCCGGGAGCACCCTGCGAGATAAACATTGACGGCAAGACAATGGAAAGCGTGCTGCGCGGCCTGAAAAATCCATCGCGATTCACCTTTGACTCGGCCTCGGAGCACATATACATGCTGCTGCTGAAGAAGGACTGCTACCCACGATTCATCCGATCCGAGCACTATAAGCGCCTGCTGGACACGGGCATCCAGCCGTCGTACAAGAAGCGGTTTTTTAACTTTGGCGGCGTTAGCGGAGCCAAGAAGAAAATGACAGCCGCCCTGAGCAGCCAGCCGAATCTGGGGGATGCGGCCAAAGGAGCCAGCGGCACTTCCAGTGGCAGCTGCTCCATGATGCAGGCACCACCGCCCGGCAACCTGTCCCGGCGCCGTGGCAGCGATCGTAGTCTCACAGGCTCCGCCCACGAGCTGGCCGTCATCGGGGTGAACAAGGATGCCGGCTCCAAGGTACCGCACTCTCATTCCCAGAGTAATCTCAGCGAAATTCCCTTCAGGTAAGTTCAGATCCTCGCGCAGTAGGAGGTGTTTAAAATGATTTGATATTTTGGAGCGAGCTAATTTTTTTCTGATTTTTCGCAATGTTTGATTTGCCTGAATATTCAAAGTGAAAGAGCCAAGCTATAACATCGTTTTTATTTTCGGTAACAAACGTTTTCGTTTACATTCAACATATCGTATATACAAATTAACTCTTTCACAATGCGCACGAGACATTGAAGCGAAAACAACTTGAAACCCAGTTGAACAATTGATACTCTAACAATTGATTATATCATATATGTCATACGTCACACACGCACTGCAGTAGCGATTCAATTTATCGAGGCGATATGCCCCAGCGCCACATGGCGGTCATGGATGTTGGGATCTATGCGGCCTACGGGAATCGCGAAAGTAGTTTGCAGGCACTTCCGTAAGACATGTTTATTGATTGGTTTTGCGAAACGCTTACCACCTGTACCAAATACAATCTTTCCAATCCTAAAACGTAATGCTAGTGTTTTCTTTCCATTTTTGTTTGTCGTTCGATCTGTGCCCTGGCCCCACCCTTTCCAATATTTGCCTTCTTTTGCCTTCTGTTTCTTCCTTCTTGTCGCCTCTTCCTCCCAATTTAAAAAACAAATGGTTTTAACAAAGATGCTGATTTTGATATTAAAGTAAATAGTTCAATGTTCTATATCCTTAGTAAAACAGGCTTCAATGTAAGCAACAAAATGTATTAAATCGAGCTTTTGAAAAATGATATTAAAAAGCCAGAATGTCCAATTGATGGGGGAATGGGCGACATGAAATTCTTGTGTAAACTTACTTGTTGTGTAACTTCACCGCAAAAACCTTTGTTATAACCGATACTCCGGGCACATTGACAGGAAGACTAGTTCTACTTTTGTATGTATGTTTCGCTTTAATAAATAAATTAAAGAATAATCGTTTAAATGTAGATCAATAGCTCGTCCGACTCTAAAAATGAGACTCCACAATGTTTTATTTACTTGTAATGATTTATTAATATATATTTTAAATCTGAAATGTCGACCAAATGTTATTTAAATAGGATTAAGAATTTCGAGGGATTTCAGTGGCAATTACTACTGACATTCAGCAAACTTTAGCAGTATATTAGCTATTAGCTTTTGAGTTACAAGTCGAGTACCGGGTATCTGAAAGTCGGGCCCTCGACTTTGCCATTCCCACCTGTTGTTTCCTGTCATCTGTCGAGAGAGTTCCTAGTTACCCTCGGATTCTGTATCTCACCACTGTCACTGCTGCGATCCTGTATGCCTCGCCTCTTTTCTTGGCTTTATCAACTGTCTCCGAATATAGTTTCAATCGTTTCTATGCTCGAATGTTTGCTGTTGTTATTTTGTGTGTTCTGTACTATTTCGTCAAAAAAAAAAGGTTACGGATGCTTCTCCCATGCGCCTCTTACCCTTTATCTGTTACCAATTGTACATATGCATATATGTAAGTCTACGTGTTGAACACCAGCATTCCTTTTAACCACCGTCTAAGTGTAAAGATGAATATAGAATACAGAAACTGCCATAATGTCCGTATGTATATTGCCCCGCAGAGAAACGCCGAAGACGAAGACCACCGCCCTCGACACCACGGAGTCCACGTCGTCGTCCACAGCTCTGGTGGTGGCATCGAGCAGCGCCGTCTGCCCGTGGGACGAGCCAGCCGATCCAGTCCCGCCGCCGGCGACGCAGGTGAAGTTATCGGTGTGTCCCTGGGAGGTGGACAGTGCCACGGAGCCGGCAGCGGTGGTGGCGGTGGCGACACCTACTCCGGCCGCAGGAAGATCGTCGAAGATCTCATGTTCCGCCGTGCAGCCACAGCGGTTGAATAGGTAGGGGCGCACCGGAAGCACCGCAAGTTCCGCCAGCAAGTAATTACATTTTATGCGCAGCACTTCCTCGGACAACAGCGACGTAAATGACCGAATGCAGCGGAATTTGGGTATTCGCCATCAAAATACCGTGGACAGTGGTGAAGCAAGCGTAAAGCGTCTGATTCCGAACTTTCCGGAGCAGCGCCGGGCATCAGTCTCATTTACTCCTAGGTAAGTCAGCAGGTTTATTCTACCCTAAAATGCTAACTCTAATGTGTGCCTTTGCAGCCGTACCCCGGATTTCCAGCTAGGACGGACTCCAACGACGACATCCTCGCCCACCGTGGTCACCAGCAGCCCTGCTCCGCTGCAGGCTCGCAGTGCCGTCTACGGTAGTGGCTGTGCCATCGCCAAGGATCCGCCATCGGGCTCTGATGTCGATGCGGAACTGGAGGAGGAGCTCAACAAGTTGTCACTTGGCGGGTCCTCGGCATCGGAGTTGCCGCTCCTGGTAGTACCCACCCCCACGCAGACCCCGCCGCCCATAACCAAGATCACGCCGCCGCCTGGAGAGTGCGAGGATCGGGCGGCGATCGGTTCGACAGAGGCCCTGGATTCCGCCGGGTCAGCACAAGCACAAATCCAGTCGACAGTGGCCACGGTCAAGGAGGTCCAGATCGAGCTGATCGAGCAGGGCAATGGTGTCCATACAGAACCAGGAAGTCCGCCCACCATCAAAGTCCTGGAGCTAGAAGTAATTACGCTCGTATCTTCTGAGTCCGCAGCCGATCCAGGCCAGGATCAAGCACCGACAACAGCAACCACCACCACCACCGAGGATCCCGTGTTGGCGGACGAAACGGAGAAGTTCGTCGAGATGGAACCGCCGATCCTGGACGAGCTTTCACCCACCACCGACGAGTACCAGGAGGGACTGCAGTTTGGTGGCGATACCAAGGACGCGGTCGACGACTTTGACAGCATAGACGTTGGCTACATACCGCCAGCACCCACCCCGGCTCCCTCTATGGCGCCCCTGGCCGAACTGGACGTGGACACGGTGGACGATGAGCCGTGCGAGCCGTGTGAGCCACCACCCATCCGGGAACCGGTGGTCACCTCGACCTCGGCCACGGCAACGCCCACATCCAGCAACGAAGATGCGCGCAAGCGGCGCAAGAAACGAAACTCGGAGAACAAGAAACTTAGCTCGCAGGACGAAAAGGATAAGGAGGCGCGCGAAAGGGCTGGCGGCAGCAGCAGCTTGGATGCTGATCACAATGCGGTGTGTCCCTGGGAAGACGAGTTCGTATAAAGCTATTTCTATAATCGCTCTATTACCTGGCTAAGAAATGTCCCTTCTCCTCCTCCGCAGAAACGTCAGCACCAACGACGGCACCTTCGTGAAGACATACGCCACACTGGGATACTTATGAATAAAGCCAAACCTGTTCAAGACGGTGGTCAACAAGTTGCTGAAAAGGAAGCCATACAAGAAGTAGGGCCTGGGTAGCTAAGTTTATTTTACGGAGTATCTATTATAATACGTACATGCAAACATATTATGTAAATGTAAGTATTCCAATAATCGAGTGTATATGTAAATGTTAAATGCTTCTCATGTTCTTAAAACCACCAAACGAGGCACAGTGGGTTTATTGCTGAAAATTTCAATATAAATTAACAGAAAACGGTCTATGAATGAAACACAAATGAAATATATACTTTATCTACAGACGTACATACTTATTTACAAAACGAAGTGGCTGATGTGGCTAACTAGAATTACAAAACAAATAGCGACAGTGGCAGAGATCATTTAAATGAAATGAAAAATAATGTGTTAAAAATTGAATAAACTCCAGTCAAATACCGCCTTCTGATCAGTTGTAAAACGAAAAATAAACGGAGCTTAGATTCGGCGGCAGACATACTTTAATGTATACAATGTATATGATCTTTCTGCGCATGAAAACCCATTTTCTATAGTTTACTCAAAGCTATATAGACATTTTCAAAGTCTAGACAGTAAAATGCAAGTTATAGCCAAGATTGAGAATAATAGACCCAAAAGTGTGTAATAAAGTTAGGACAAATATTAATTTTGCACAAAATGTCAGCGATAGCAGTGACTTATTCTTCCCAAGAATAGGCATGGTTATCCCAACAAAATTGTGAAAATCAATCCTAAGGGAATTGAGAGGAGCTAGTAAAGGGCGAATTCTTGTTTTGAATACCCAAGTTATTTTCAAGGTTCCTTGAGCTAAAAATACCTGCGATTGGCGGTCGGTAATGAGGACAATACAAACCTATACTATTTAAAATTGTGATGGTGATCTGTTTAAGCACTTATTGCCCTTTGCCAACTCGAAAACCCCTGACATATTCAAATACTAGTACAAAGTGTTAGCCCGGATGTGAATTGGCCCATATATGTTTCCCATGCGGCCGAGTCACCCACTATAAATTTTACCACAAAGTCCCTTGGGTAATTATATGCACAAGTTGCTGCGCAAGTAGGTTTTTTCATCGCTAGCTAATTTGCTTTTGTTTATTTTTTGCTTCAATAATGAAAAGCCGTTTCATTTCACGCGTACATGCCAGAATTCACGAGCCCCAAATATATGTGCAGTGCAAATGAAACACAGTTGGAAATCTCAAATGTTAAAGAGAAATCCCCAAGTCTAGATTTTCCTTAATAAATCCTCAAAAGAACCCCTATGTTATTTAAAACAAAACTGACTTGCGCCAATAACTTGTGCGTTTTAAATTATATGTAAACTGTCCTACGACTACTTAGTAATTTTCTCTATTTGATTAGAAATGTATTTAGCTGTCCGCCCAAACAATCGCAGAAATCGAGCTATGCTGTATAACACTAACAACTTAAAGCCAACATCGATGGGAGTGAATCGTGATGGCCCGCATCTTTATGATCAAATTGCATACTGTTTCATTCGAACGTGTTAACCTTACAAAAAAATGATTAGAAAATCAAATTAAGATGAAATCCTGGTTGTTCGCGACTAATACCTTTATATGAATCGAAAGAAGATATAACTTATCGAAGAACTATTACAATCTAAGTATATTTCTATTTTCATTGTGCATATGAATTAGCTACTTACTGTCAAACCCGTTTTGCTGGTAAACAATCTTTATATGGGATATCTGAATTCTCTTTGTGCTTTCTAACAAAAAACAAAAAAAAAACATTTTTCAACTACTTCAATTAACAAGCAAAACAAAACTGTAAAACGATATGTACCCAATGTACCAAAGAAGAGATTTAAATGCCGAAAACCTAAGCGAATCCAAGTAAATGTTGCATAGATATTACGAAACGAGGGGTACATATAGAGAAATAGGGACGATATGCCGAGTGTAGGGCGTGCGTACAAAATATGTACATGAAACCACCGTTAACTTTGCTTAATGCGAGCCGAGCAATTAAAAAGTTAAAAAAAAATATATAAAAAAATAAAATAAATCAGCAGCAGCAATAGTTCCAAATTGTTGTCAAAATATAATAGCAGCTTTTAGAACAACACCAAAGAAGTTGTAGTAAATGCGGAGGAAAATTGTATTGTTGTTGTTTTTTATGTACATTTACTTTTTTGTATTACCGTTGTTGTAAGTCAAATATGCCAAAAAAAAATAGTTTATTAAGAGTTTACAACAAAATTTAAATGCAGGCAAGATATGAATTACTTTAACGCAAATCGCAAGAAAAAAGTTCCGAATGTTTTGAGTAGTCAATGGTAAATATCTTTTACTTGCTTATACTAAGTGTTCCCATACATATTTATGGGATCCTTGCCGAAACAGAAATCTTGAATAAATAAAACAAAGCGCGGCTGTCGACTTTACTTTTACCGGTACTCAAACAACTACAAATCCAATAAGTTACTGATTTAATTATATCACAAATGGTTTAGCTATTATTAGATCGTATTTAATTGTTACCTGATTTTATGTGTTGAAACTTAGACAATTATAAACTATCCGAGTTAATATGTGGCTTAAAAATTCGATGGCTAAAATTTATGAACGTTTGATGTGCATTTACAAATTTTCTCACCTATCTCGCACATTGAAAAAATTGTCCTAGTGATTAGAATTTTGTCATTCATAATAAGTTTGTAATTTCTAAAATTGAGACTTTAATTCCTTTTTAGTACCTTTGCAGAAATGTTAATAATTTAAAACATATATATTTTTTTTTATATTCATTTAAATCTAAAATAATTTTAGGAAGTTACAAAATTTGTGCCATGAAAAATTTGTTTATAATAGAATTGTTAGTTTCGAAAACCACTTCTTTTTTTATATAAATTAAATTAGAGTATTGAATTTAAATGCTCCTAATTTCCAGGAATATATTTTTAAGATTCAAAATATTGTTCAAAAATGTAAAAAATATTTCTGGTTTGCAAAGTGAACTGGGTTTAATGATGATTTTCTAAAACTTAGGGCGATTTTTGTTTTAATTGCGTCTTGGAATGGTTAATAACATAATTTTAGCCGACAGTGACTGGAATTCTAAACCAAGAACATTGAATGTGTATTTAGTTGAATAATATTTGCTTCTTTGAGTACCGGGTAAACATAGAACTATACATAAAGGGTCCGATGGAATGATTGAGCCGCCACAGCGCCATTTTGATAATAAACAAATAATTCGATAACTAACGTTTAATAAATTACATAAGTACGTACTACTTCACGCGACAGGTGGGTGGCATTTGCCCTACAAATATTTACTTTAATTTCTGGATAATTAGTGCTCATATCACTGATTAGAGAACAGGAATGCGCAAAACAATATGCTTAATACATAAGATTCCAGAGCTTTTAGTAACGCCATGTAAATTCTGGGTCATGAATACAGTTGTGAAGAGTGTAACCGAGGCGTTTGTTATTATGTATTCAAGTCATTTACTATAAGTGTATACAGCTTATACTATTACAAAAGTGTTAAAAACATGAATTATTTTGAGAAAACCAAAAAAAAAGAATATACAACAAAAATGTTAGTCGGTAAAAAAATCAAATGTAAAACAATTTAATGTAGACTGTACCAAAAATTCAAGGAAAATTGAATATCAACACTCCATCACGCAAATAACTAAAAGGAAATTCGCAAATTGAATAGATGTTGATGGGAAAATTATTTGCACAGTGCAGAAAAACGTGTTATAAAATTATTATACTATACAAAAAATATATATTATTGAATTATGCTGATGAAATTAAAAACCATAAAAGTATGTAAAAAAATTCAAATACAAATGATTTAAATGAAGTACAATAAATATTCAAGTGACGAAAATGTACGCGTTGTTCTATTTACTCAAAATGGCATTATTTTCAGGGCGCTTTACGGACTTAAAAGTGGAATACCTCGTCAAAATGTTGATCATTTTTAAGCTTTATTCAATCTTTTACAATTTTAATGAGTTTAAATATCAGAAAAATTGATACAAATTATAAAAGTTAGTTTTCGACTATAAATTCTAAGAATAACAAGATTTAATTTTTCATAACGGAACTATTAAAAAAAAGTTATAAGATCCTAACTAAAGTTTTTTTGTGTTTTAGAGTTTTCCACAATTTTTAAGATAAGTTCAAATCAATTCACAATTAAAAACGAAAATTTACTGGAACTTAAAAGTAAGTTTTAATGCTTTTTAAATGACAATAAAACCAAATAAAATAGATTTACATTTAACTTATTATTCATTCTTTGAATTTTTCCAAGGAAATACGATTTCTGCTTACTAGACCACTGTCAAATGTATGAAAATTGGATATAAAATACCAAAAAATAAACTTCCATTAAAAACGGATTTATTTTCTTTTATTAAAACTTATAGATAATTTGAAAATGTTAAAAAACGAATTAATTTGAATTGATAACGATACGTTAGAGTGACCGCAAATTTATTATTTTGGTATATTTGGTGCCGAATATTTGCATTTTGGTATTTTTCCCCTTACCACCTGATATCGATAAACAGCGAGTTGAGTTTGTTTTGGTAAATTCAATTTAAATTAAATTGAATAATTTGTGCTTGCCATGGAACCGGCCGCCATCCGCCCGAAGCCGTCTGGATCTGGCAACCGCGGAGCCCTGCGGCTGGCGGCCAAGAAGGCGGGACAGAAGCGGATCTACCACTGCGGCGTCTGCTTGGCGGGATTCCCGCGTCATCTGGCCACCAAGCGGCACGAGCAGCAGTGTGAGGCCAAGTTGAGGCGCCTGTTCATCTGCCGGCACTGCCTAACGCTCTACGGCGAGGAATCGCGGCTGGAGCGGCACCGGGAGCGGAAGCACGCGGACGGACAGTTCCTCTGCCTGCAGTGCGCCAAGCGGTACGCCTCCGCCACCTTCCTGTACCGCCATGTGATCAGCTGGCACGGCGAGCAGTCGCTCTTCTACTGCGCCATGTGCGCCGACAACTGCAACGACGTGAAGACCTTCAGCGGGATGCGGGAGCTGCAGGAGCACGCCGAGGAGGTGCACCGCCTGTGCTCCCTGGAGTCCACGGCCAGCGAAACAGGTCGGTCAAGGCAATAGTATGTGGAATATAGCCACACTTATGTTTATATCAAAGATGACATATGTACATAAATATTTAAACTTAATTTCTCAATGGTTTGGGTTTAAAAACTCGATCATGAAGCACAAGAATATACATATGTACTAAATTGTAATACAATACAATACAATCGTTGCAGGCAGCCTGGTCGACGATACCGAAGACCTGGAGATGCTGGAGGAGAACATCGAGGACATCCTACCCAGCATCGACTGGGACGACGACCTCACCTTTGGGTGGCCCATGGACCTGGACAAGGAGTCGTGCATTGCGGATGCCACCAAGCCGAGCGTCTTTGTGTGTCCCTTCTGCGCCAACGGGTTTTCGGGAAGCTTGGGCCTGGTGAGGCACCTGGAGCAGGTTCACGAGCGCAATCCCCTGGACTGCTGCTACTGCGGAAAGAGCCATGGCAGCCGTGAAGCCCTGCGGTCCCACCTGCAGCGAGTCCACGTGCTGTTGCGCGGTCATGTCTGCGACGTTTGCCGGGCGGACTTTGCCACCGCCGATCATCTGAAGAAGCACGTAAATAGCCGGCACCTGGCCCACCGCCCACACGTGTGTCCGACCTGCGGCAAGGGCTTCGCCCAGAGGTGTCACCTCACCCAGCACATGACCACGGACCGGGGCCACGGTCACGGCAACTTCGTCTGTCAGCTCTGCCTGTGGCCCTTCTTTCGGGCCATCGATCTAGAGCGGCACGTCAACGAGAAGCATCCTTAGGAGCATCAAAAGGTCAGACACTCGGGCGGACATTAAAGGTATCTTCGATTCTATAACTGCCAACCTTATAGAGTTAAAGTTACGTTAAGAACAAAATCAACATTTTATATACCTCAATCTCTCAAAGAAAGATCTAAAATTAGGTAAAGTTTGAAAGATCCTCTAAAAAATACTAATTTAAGATGACTGATAATATACAGGGAAAGACATCATATCGGAAAAAAATGGATTAAGAATATAAAATTGATTAGGAATTGATCTGTTTTTGAAGCAATACGAATTTCTCTGATCATGAATGGTAAAATTGAAAGGGTTTTATATGCATTTAAAAATTAATATTTAACTAAGTCTAAATCTATGGTAAATAATAGATTTAATATTTCATTTCAATTCTACTTAGGAATACACTTGAATATTAATCTACAAGAAGGTATAGAAAAATCGGGAAAAATAAGAAATTGGAAAGGTTCATATGCACAAAGGAATTAAAACTAAGCTAGTAAAATTTATAGAACCCAATGGATATTTCTGATGGTAGTATGTGGAATATACATATGTGCCCTGTAAGAGATTTTTCCTAAAACCTATTTTATTAACATATCTGATAGGGTATAGAAAGGTCGGGAACACAAGCCCCACGTGTTAACAGTGGATTTAATCACGTACAGCCGCTGTTAGCTAGCAGCTGATCCGGGCCCACAGCAGCCCCAGATCGGGAGAGCGGTGAGCATAGCGGAGAGCGGGAGAGCGTGGAGCTACGGCGATCGCTACTGCTGTTGTTATTTGGGATCGTGATTGTGATAGGGGCACAGTAACTTGGCCCACACCGACCACACGACAGTTTTGAACGGAACTTGCTGGTGCCTGGATCGCAGTTCGGCCGATCTCCGCGAAGTTAACACTACATATACCGCTCTCGTCGCCGTCGCGCTCAAATATTTATCACAAAATACAAAACATTAATCCGTGCATTTATTTTTTTTTCTTGTTTTTCCGTTGCGTATTAACTGATTTGTGTGCTGGTGATCCCTGTATAAATATATTCAGAATTTTGTTAAGTGATTTCTTGATTTTCAAGCCGTGTTTGCATACAGTAAGTTTTTTTTTGTTAAATTATTTAAACGCGTGCAATAAACACAAATAAGTATCAAAAACGAACAAGCCAGCGACCCTCAAGTTCGGCTAACATTTAAACTAAAACAGCTTTTTGTTATTGTTTATATGTTTTTCCACTTCTGTCCCATTGAAGCCGGGCCTTTAAAAAGCTCTCTATAGCGCATAGCCTCTTGTTATTTTGTTTTGAATAGCTTTCGACCAAAACCAGAACAAAGTTTTATCATTAACAAATGCAAAAAAAAAAAAAAAGTACAATTGCAATTAACGTTTTTTGATGTGACTGTTGAGTTATTTCAGTGGGACTGTGGAAAACCCCCCGTGAAAATGGTTGCGCTTGAGTTCCCTCTACAGATACAATACAAAGTCTAAGCCTGGCTTTAATCGATATTCAAATCAAAATACGTCAAATCGCGTGCGGGATGGGGATTTCTGAATCATTATTGCGTTCGGTAATTAATGCAAGTGAATCTAGCTTACATTACAATATATCAAATTGTTTATGGCCAAAGAATAATGGTCTATCGCTAATAAGGTTCAGCAATATATTGACCTATTAAACGCATTCCTTGTTTTGTTCAATTATTAAACTTGCTTAATATACAATATTCACATTATATTGTGTAGATTTATGATTTTAGGAATTATGTTGTGCTGAAATGAAAGATGTGTGTATTCTGTATTTTTTCAACACTATTGATTATAAAACTTTTTCGGAAAAGTCAGATCTAAACCTAATATTGGAATATTATATAAACAATTATACCAGGTTTTGTTTTGCAAAGCAATCACGTACGACGGCAAGCTCTATAAATTTCTCTACAATTATCAAATCAGAACGTGTTATATATAAACTATATATTAAAGGTATATATTAAAGGGTATAACTAAAAGTAGACTGGATTGAAATGGCAATTAAATTTATAGTTTTCATTTAAATAAATAACATGTAGATCAATACTGGCCCGATCAAGTTTACATTTTTCCAGTACAATTTGAAAATAAATTTGAAACAAATGACTCATTGAAATTGTAAGTCGGTTAATCTTAAACTCACATTCCAAACAGTTCATTAACTTGTTTTTTACTTTGCCTGAATAAAAACCAATGTGATTTAATTAATATGAGATAAGTTCATATTGGTGGAAAATGCAATATTATTTTTAAAAATGTGGCTCATTGTTTTGAATTTTTATTTTCACCTTTGTCAGAAACTTGACTATGTGTTACCTTTAGAAGTAGATAAAGTAAATATTGCAATAAGGTTGTCGGCTTATATTTCGTAAACATTTTGTATATATTTCCTGCTACTGAAAGTTGAAATCAGTTAATCTTTAACTCGCATTCCAGACGGCTCTGTTAACCGATCTCTTTGGGGAGCCTCAAATCCATAATTTATCTTGTAGAACCCATTGCCCTCCTGTCGCCCCAAGTTTAGCCTTCTGTTGTTTGTTGTGATGCTACCCATCAACATCATTCCATGGATGCAGTGGAATTATTATCATGTCTATATTGTAATTGATTTGCCTGAGCGAATGGCCAGACGAGGAGACAAGCTCTGGGCCTCTTTCCTGATCTGCCACGCCCCCGCCACCGTCGCCGCCCCTCTCAGCAGGCTTATCATTAGCGCTCGAGTTTTTCTTTTGTTTTGGAATTCTTTTGCAGGGAGCAATTGCCCGGTCGAGGCACTCCCTTCGTATAATTGAGGACCGCCCAAGTGGAGATCTAAATCCCGAGATGATTCCTTGCGACTCTCGCTTTTTCTTCCTTGAATTTATTTTTCATATCTTTATCGATATATTTGTGTGACGCATCGGATAACAATGCTTCGGAACTGGAAGAATAAAACCCGCTGACACCTGCACAAGCTAAATTAAGATAATTTAGGGCAGTTCTATAGACAGTGTGATACCTAATATGCGTGCTTCAAAACATAATAGTTTAAATAATAGTGTTCTTTTTTTTGTGCGGATTTAACCAGAAGTCATGAACATGTCCTGAATAACTTATTTTTATGAAACTTAATTCTTTTAGAGTAAGATGAAATTTGGTTTTAAATGACTCCTAAATCAATATATTTATCAGGACCTTTTATTAGATTATTTTGTTATATTTATTTTTCGATTAATAACATTGGTTTGCTTTTAAAAAAATTAAGATACCCTTTCTGTTCAATTCGAAATGGATATTACAAACAATCAGAAAGGGTAGTAACAAAAACCTGTCGCTTTCGCAATAAGTATTTATAATTTTAAAACGTGCTGAATTTTGTAATCTGTACGCAGTTAATGTCTCGCGCTCTCTCTGTTCCTCCCTCTGTCCCTGTCTCTTTCTATCGATCTGTACTATATTGGCTGACGAAATGCTTAAGTAGCAACAGACACTGATAAGCGGGTTAAAGAGACCTTCGATATGACAGGTTATGTAATCGCTAGCTTAACAGAAGCACTTGCCACCGATCCTGAAATAACAATATTTTATAAGCTGCTTGAAAACTCTGCTTTATTAATGTATTCGCAAGTTTCTTTTTACAATTTATGATATTTTTAAGATACTTTAACTGACTAAACATGTAATGTGATATCGGCAGAATCAATATCCTATTGTTGAGTATCCTGTCGAAATTTGAACGATTTAATTTAGCGTACTTAGGGAAATAGACTTATGAATAGGGTAATTAGCCAAAATCCCCAAATCTCCCTCTGTTAAGTCTACATCTGTTATTTTGCATTTAAGCTTGTGCAGCAGGCGCCAAAAAAAAAACCAAAACTGAGAGCAGCAACAACAACAGGAAGGCAAAGGAATGTCAAGATGAATCACACAGGTGTGCGTGACACCTGGCAACAGAGAGAAAGATAGAGAGATAGAGAGCCAAACAGTGGGAGAAATACGTAATAATAACAATAAAAGAAACAATAACAACTGTTGGTCTGTCATATCAATCGGCATTTGCTTAACTGTTAAAAAGAGGCAAGAAAAATGGGGAAAAAACAATAACAGAAAGGAACACAATGATAGCAGACGTGAGTGTGGGTGTGTGTTGATTGCACCCAACAAATAAACACTTGTCTGCTCAATACGTATTTATACTCATTACACCTAAAACACAAGTGCAGAATCTTACATAAATTAAAAACCAGCGCAAACTCCTCGGGTCCCGTTACAAGGCGAGCTTAAAGCTATTTTTAACACCATCCGATCTTTCCCTCTTTCTCCCCCTCTTTCTGCTATCTCCCTTCCTGTGTTGTTGTTTGCTCCACTCTCTTTACTTTTCTTTGGGTACCCTTAAAGCACAGAAAGAAATTAATATCAATTTACAATTTATTTGCAACACTTAATATTTAATATCATGTTATAGACCGCGAATTCTTTAGCTCAATTGATTTAACTTATATATTAAGACAAGTTTTTAATGAAATTTTTGTTTTTTTTTCTTTTAATATTTGTTATTATTATTTACAATAAAATAGGCTTCAAAAAGAAGCCTTGGGAAGCCTAAATTCGAAAATAATAGTACCTGGTGACCCCGATTTAGCATTATTCACACCAGGACTTTAGTTTCTTTGTCCTTAACTTTAACTTGCAACCAGGGTTTGCTAACCTTCTGATCCGCAATCAGACCTTTCTTTCCTTGCATCGCCAGTCTTTTTATTTTCTGCTCAATGGGGGAGCACGATTCCTATGTTTACTTTTCCTCTGCTTCCTGATCTTCTATTTTTTGTTTTGCATGAATGAATGAATTGCAAAACGCTGCTGCGTTTTTACTAAGCTGATAAAGCGCCTTGACCAGTAGTAGCCGAAGCTATTCTATATCTGCCACAACAGTTACTGGGGCCTATCACTAGCGCTAGGCGTGCGTTCCGTTATCGACGGCCCAACAACAAATTGAGCAGCTGAAAGGGAAACGCGAACTGACCTATAATAAGAATTTTCATGTTTAAGCAGTACGCAAAAAAGAATAAGAACAGCAGAGAATGAAAAGAATAAAAACAAATAACAAAATAAATTAAATGCCACAGCCACATTGGAGCCTGCACTCAGATTAAAAATTTAACCGTTTGATCAAAGATTTCATGAATTAAAAGCTAGCATTTTAATACGAAATAAGTTTTTCCATAAATAATAATATATGTAAGGTTTGAAACAATCTCTTTTTCTAGGACTGACTTTTATGTTTCAAGTTGAGATAATATCCGCGAATTCTTCAGTTGAGAATGACTCGCCTCTATTTCAATATGTTTATGCTAATCTAAATAACCAAAACGCGAATTTTCTGCTTAAATAATATGATCTCATAACAATTTTCGTGTAATTAGTATGAGTTTTGTTTCAAGTGCATAATCAGTAACTGAAGTTTACTCCCATATGTGCAGGAAATATTAAACTTCGTACGCATTCTGCATACAAAATGAAATACCAAAGGCATATTGAATGCAGACAGGAAATTGGCCAAAGTCTTCGCCCAAAGAATACCCACTCGAAACTCCTTGATTGTCGCCGATTACACAAGAATCCTGTCGCCTTTTGCCGGCTTGGTGGGCGTTAATGGCCACAATTGTGTCTGATTTATGAGTCAGGGCATGGCCATTATAAAAGAAACGGGCAAACAACCGGCGAACAAACGCTTTTCATTCATAGCCAAATGTGGCAGTGGCAGTGCATTGTTTAATACCGTGTAAACATTTTGAAAAGTGGGGCATTTTGGCACACATTTTTAATAGACTTATGATAAGTTTATAGAATTCACGCGATATTTATGATTCATTTCTTGATTATACCAAGCTTTATTAATGCGAATTTTTTATTTAATTTTGAACTAGTCATTTAATGGCCCACAAATCATTACAGAATTAGACATGGCTTCCTCTTAACTTTAAATTTATGAGCCCTTAAGATTGTATAGTCTCAAGTTGTAATAAGTTGTATTCTTTGTTTTAAAAATTTGTTAAATGACTATTAGCCAAGTTACATTGTTGACTTATTTTATAGGTATATTTGTATGGTTTTGATAGTGCCCAAAGGGGTGTTTATCTAGTTGATCATGACTAACGTGTGGCTTCCTGTCCTTACGGCTGTATTGTCATGCAGTCGGCGGACTGATTGTCTCATTGATATGCCTGACGCACCATTTGGTACCCTCGGGCGGTGTATGCTTATGATAAGACTTTTTGTATCAATGTCAAGTTAGCCATAAAGAGTTTTGTTGCCTCGTTGGTCAACATCGCATTCATAACCGATCTGACCCCAATTCGAATGGTAAACGTGCCCGCCCACCTGTCACCTCCACCTGTGCACACCCACACCTACGCCCGCCTGTTTTCTCAGCTCAAAGAATTGACATTGTAAATCGAGAAACCAGAAGAAGAAAAGCAAATTAACCACAGCACAAATAAGATGAAAGCCTAGGAAAACAATACAGATCTCTGACACTGACGTTTTCCCAAATCGCCCTGTAAATCAACTCAAGTCGTAAATCATTCGGAGGGAGTCTTGATAAAAGATACTTTTTCACACTTTTTTAACGCTCGAAAAAAACATTGAAATGCTTTTGGAGTTCTAAAGGGTCCGAAGCCTTCACAAGAGTATGCCTGCTTTTTGAATTATTCAATTCTTAAAAGAATTTCCTAAAAATAAATATATTTTGATTTTAGTTTTTCGGTTTTATTATCAAAAATGCAAACATATATACCTGATAATTTCTCATTTACCAACTTTATGTTCACATCCGCAAATTGTAACTTCCGCTTTTGATAACACACTGCTTGATGAAGAATTTAATGAACAATCATTAATCTTATAATTCTGTGAAATTTTGATAGTTGGAAATTCGTGTGTTCCATTTTATCTATGACTTTTTTCCGAAAACAAAAAATGATTTTAAACATGATGCCGATGAATAAGTACAAAGTTAAAAAGTTATTCCCAGAATATAGAAAAAAAAACTCACAATATTGTGTTCTCGTTAAAATCTATGTATTCCGAGAAAAAATATTTTTCTTATCTTAATATTTAATTGTACATATAACTCAAAGAATAATAGATTTTTAATTAAAAAAAGAAATTAGCAAATTCCTAATGTTTTTTTCTTTCTTTTCAGATTGTAAACCAATTCTGTGACATTTTGTGTAATTGGGAGTCAGTTTATAGAGAACCGCTTGACCATGTCCCGATCCCGAATCCACGAACCTGTGCAGCAGCCCCTGCTCGTCCTGCCGCTGCTGCTCCTCCTCCTGATCGTTGGCAGAGCAGTGGGCGTGGCACACGCATCCTCAGCCAATAGGCTCCCGTCGCAGCGCTTCTTCTACGCTGCCTCCTCCACCTCCTCCTCCTCCTCGCAGACCAAGGTGCGCCTGCTCCGCCAGGCGGACGACCCGAGTACGACGCCGGATGCAGTGGAGGGCAGCTGCTGTCAAGGAGCGGCCGCCGCAGCCGGAAAACCAGTGACGGTAAGAGGAGATAGTTGCCTTTGGTCGATCTTACGATACTGCCTCAGATACTTGAAGCCAATAGTCAACTTATTTTCTGGGACGAAAGATTTGTACAAAAAATGAGATGCAGTTATTAATTTCAATAATAGGGTGATGAGTCTGAGCATTAGTTAAATAATAAAATACATTTTGAAAGAGAAAAATAAAAAAAAGGTTCCTTAAAAAATATATTAATAATAGCAAACACTAAAGCTTAAAAATAAAAATTAACTACCTTTAGTTCCTTTTAAAATTTGATTGGTTACTAACGCAATGTTTTAAAAAGGTACCTTGTTTCAACTACTATTCATTTTCAAATTTTCGATCTTTGGAGAAAAGCCTTTTAAAGTTTGTCTTTTATTTACCAAATAATACCTATAATTTCTGGCGCGATCCCATCTTATGCAGCATCCAGATGGCGCCACTGTGCCGCCTAGAGACATTGCATATTTGGGTCAGCATCATCGCCGTTGTTTTGTTTGCAGTTTGATAAGGCGCAGTCTCACTGCACAACCCCAACTCGTAGCCCGATCCCAGACCCCAATCCCAGACCCCAGAACCCAGACCCCAGACCCCGGCCCCCACCCAAGATCGGGAGCAATTCGTGGACAGTGGCGCCGTTGTCTCAGCCTCTCACGTAGCGAAAAAAGTGGAATCGAAAAAATAGAAGTATATACATACTTGCATTTAATTTGAGGCCAAGAAAACGGGGACAGCTCATACATTAATTTCTAGTGTAGAATAATTCCACCTTTGATTGCAAATTAGTCCTTCTGAACATATCAAGATCCCTTGGAGACATTTTTGTTATGGATAAATAACAATTATAAAGATTATTTCAATTAACTTTCGTGGTCCATTCTTAGACCACGAATATAGTAGCAATTATTTTCTCCCAGTGAATGCCTTTTTTGTGCTTCTGTCTGCGTCTTTGGCATTGATAGCGGTGTTCGCCTTGATTCCAAAACAAATAATTCGCACTACGTTTTTAATTGGGCGTTACTCACCGCCCTCCGCATCCAGCACTTTCTATCCCCATTCCCCACCAGAAGTTTTGTTTGCGTCAGTGCCAAGGTAAATAAAAATGATTTCCTTCGCCGGCGAAGAAAGCTACATATGCGGTGGAAGGGTTTCGGCATTGCGATGGAGTCGTATTGGCTGGGTAAACAAGTGGGGGATCGCTTTGTGGGCACTCGGCAAATAGCTACACAGAAGTCGAAACAATAAGGGATCCGATACCGGATGGCAATTAGTGTTGGGCCAATTGTTATTTCACAGAAATGCGATTTGCTTCCTGGAACAGAAAAATTGTCCAGATTACGTTTATCAGTTGAGAAGCACATGGCGTTTGGAGAAATGGAATTAAGCTTTCTATAGGGAATTATGAGGGGGAATCTATTGTTTCTTTTTTTAATTAAATTTGTCTAACGAAATGTGAAAACAAACAGTTGCACTTTAATTTGAAATATAATTACTCTTTTGGCAATATAAGATTGTTATTCAGCTCCAAATATTAGCGAAACAACGATTATGAGACCGCAAATCTACATATTTTCTTTCAATTTGATATTGAAACATTTTTTTACGAACTGCTAATCTTTTGAAGTTCGTCAAAATCAAGACTGTTGGTTCAAAAACTTTTATACGCGTTCATAAGTTACAGACAGGTTATAATACACCTCAGTTTCTTTCTTTGTGATGATTATAATCACTGGAGTTAAAATATGCCATTTCCTCGGCGATCGTTTGTCATTTGCCCTTGAACTTTCTCCGTTTTGTGACGCAGCTGTTGCTGTTACTATACCCCTGATTCCCCAGATTGAACAATTAACGGCTTTGAGTCGCAAATGTCGCTAATGAATCATGGCCAGAACATGGACATGTGGCTACCGTCACATCTACGTGCAAATTGGCCAAAACCAAATCGACGGCGCCGAGAACTCGGCACGCGGGCACAATCCACTTGCTCCTCTTCCGCTCGGAATGGGATAACCAAATCATTTTCGTATACCGCTAAAATACCTAGGTGACGCACGATGGTGTTGATATATGTACACTTATTTATTCAAACCATTTCTATGCAGTTGACGTTCGTTTTGCCACGGAATTCGGGGGGGAATTCGATCCGTATGTGGAGTAGAGTAGCCTATGACTAAGTTGAAATGAATGTTTTGGTTCGAGCTAATCCATGTTCAATTTGATTAACAGCTTCCAGTGGAAGTGTCTGCTGAGTTGACCAACGTGACCACCGATTACGATGTGTCCGGCGAGATTCCATCCTCCAAAGGTAAGTTGTACGGAAACAAGAAATATTAAATATATTAATTAATTATTTTTCCTTCTATTTTTCTTTTTTGCAGAAAACTTTAAGCGCAGCATCTCAAAATGTAAGAGATTTGCAAGTATTTAAAAGATTAGAATAGTTAGAAAATATGTTCGTGGCCCATGAAAATTTTATATTTATATCTTTAACCTATACAAATCAACAAAGTTGCAACAGCGAATCCTTAATCCTTAATTGTAGGCCAATGCACCAACTTTAAAAACAATTTTTAAATTTTAAATAAGTTTTATTAATTTTTATGAATCATTTCTGTTGCATATTTTTCAGAGTAATTAGTCTTTGCATTTAAAACGAAACAGTAAACGCGAATTCCTTAGCACTTTGATTGTGTTTAAATCATCTCTATTATACATATTTAAACTGATTTCGTTGTGTTTTTCTTCAGCCACCGTGAGGAACGCGACGCCGGCGAGCTGCTCACCGCAACCGACGATCGTGGAGCTGAAGCCGCCGGCGGAGGACGAGGCGAACTTCTACTACTCGCCCAGCTGCACGCGGATCAACCTGTGCAACGGCTGCTGCGCCTCCACGCTGCTCTCCTGCCAGCCGACGGATGTGGAGCAGGTGCAGCTGCGCGTGCGGAAGGTGGACCGGACTGCGACCAGCGGACGGCGGCCGCTCACCATCATCACCGTGGAGCAGCACACGCAGTGCCGCTGCGATTGCCGCACGAAGGAGGAGGACTGCAATGTGTACCAGTCGTATCGCAAGGATCTGTGCCGCTGCGAGTGCCACAACACGGACGCCAGGGACAAGTGCCTGGAGCAGGCCGAGAGCAAGTACTGGGTGGACGACAACTGCACCTGCGTGTGCCGCTACAACCAGAGCTGCACCACCGGCACCGTCTTCGATGAGACGCTGTGCAAGTGCACCGACGTGAGTGGCTCCCGATAGGACTCCACCTCCACCTCCACTCCCCTGAGGTTCCATGGGCAGGCATTGGTTTCGAACTGGTCTGGTCTGGTCGGGGAATCGGTTGTGCTCGTCCTTGGTTGGTTTGCGGTTCGTTCCTGGTGGTGGCTCTCTAGCTTAAGCTTTTCTCCACACACTACCAGCTAGGCAGCACAAGTTCCTAGCGTATTTATGGAATAGTACTTATCTTTTTTTTGACAATTGCTTTGGCGATTCATAAGAATAATTGTTGGTAGAATTGTAGAACCCATTTGTTAGATTAGAATAGTTTATAAAAATGGTGCTTTAAGAAGCCTTGTAAGTATGTATATATTTGGATTATCTAATTTCCTCATGAAGAGAGTAAAATATTTATAATTCCATTTCGATTTGTCCTTTTTATATATATTACATGTTCAATACATTAAATATATATCAATTAATTTAGTTAGTTTCCTTCCCAAAAGTATTATTTTCTAAACTAAAACATCATATCAATACTTACAATTTGATTTTTTGTTCTGTTCCATTAGCTGTACCAAATATTTATAATGACATTATCCAAGAATACACTAAATCTAAATAAGTCGTTGGTATAAAAGTTTACCAGAAAATAATGACAACTTAGTCTTTGTTTTTTATATAGGGGTTAATCAGTCTTGATCAACAGATTACTGATAGTAATACAAAACCAACCCTTGATATTTGAATGTATTTGTATTATTTTATGTATTTAATAACATTTTCTAAAATTTCACCATTATTTTGATGTAGAAGTCATCTGTTAATATAGTTAAATGACTGAATAAATTTCTAAAATTTGGTAAATATAGACTTATTATTGGTTTTTAGCATATTTACATTTTTATAGGCAACTTTAACACTTGTGCTATCAGGATTATCAAGTTACTCTGTTTTGTTTTTATTGATGCAAGTGTTTGAATCTAACTCAGTCTGTTTGTACAACTTATTTGTTTGACCAACTGCTGGAGGCTTATGGACTAAACTAAACAATCCAATCCACACTTTATTTCTTCCACCTAATTTAAGTTTGTCTTCGTCCTATCACTTTTCATATGTTTTTACTTCTGTTTCTTTTGTGTTTCATTTTAGATAAAAAATGTCGAGTATTATTCGTAGAGTCCACAAAATAAAGCATACACCACACATAAATTTATTCGATTGAAAACCTAACTTTTTGTGATATTGTTAAATTACCTTTCTCGAAACTAAAAACTTAAAATTAGCTACTTTTGTTAAGCGATTGGTTACGGATACAAAAGAAAAACAATGTAACATATAGCTGAGTTGAGGCAAAAAAAGGGAGAAGGGAGTTGCATTGTGTGAGTACTTGTCGTGCTTAAATGTTTATTGAACCCGCAAAGAATTATTAATTCTTATATCTGCATGTCTAACCTTCTCTGCAAACTAAAAACACAAATATTTCGATTGCGCCCTTCCCGATTTCCCGCTTAATGATATATATTTTCATCTGAATTAACTGGTTAATTAATGGTTTTTAATTTTTCCTCATTAGCCAGCCGCACCCATCAATGCCTTGGACCGCAAACGCTTTATTGTCCAGGCCGTACAGGTGGACCCCGATAACACCACCCTGTACAGTGTTTGAGGGCTATTGGGACAGCGAGGAGTACGAAGGAGAAACGCCAGCTTCCTAGAGGGGAATTCCCGAGTACTGATACAAAAAACTACCCAAGAATTGCACTAAGCGTGTTGCCCATGTACTTTATAATATTTATAGTTATTGATTAAACCTAGGCTATAACTATTGTCCCCTTAAAACTAACTCACAGTATTTTTCCCTTGCATCTGCGGCACAAAGAAAACGTTGAGGGGTTTCACAGAAGTCTCTGAAGATTTGCTATCGCTTCACAATGTTTCTTAAAATCCAAAATAAAAGTGTACTTTTAAACATATTTTCAAGAGATTTCTGTGCAACGCCAGTTTATTAATTTTTATTAAATTGTTTATGTTACTTTTTAAGCGCCTTCTACTTTGTCGCGGCATTGTACACATTTGTTCATTTCTGCTTCTTTAAGTTTTAAATCATCAAAGAATAATTGTCCACAAATTTAATGCTGTCCAACAATTTGCCGTACTTCATTTGTGCGTAACCATTTTTTTTGTATAAAATGTTAGCCCTAAGTTTACGTAAAATAAAATACAAACAAAGTATTGAATTATTAAACTACTTTAATGTGTTTTTATTGACAGTACTTGGTTTAATGCAAGAATACTTGCTGATAAAGATTGTTGGGGTACAGATTTGGAAGTTTGGGGAATAAAACCTTATACTTATATAAATTATTATTAAAATGTTGTAAATCAAAGATGTAAAAATACACAAAAAATAAATATTTTTACAAATTAGAATAGAATGACTTATATCGAAATGTTTATTGAAAATCTATTTCTCTTCAAAATAAATAAAATATCTTTATTTAAGACCAGCTGCGAGTGTGATTTGAAAGTCCGTTAACTAAATGTTGAAGTCTCAATTATTTTTGATAGCGCCATCTATGACACATGTATCGAAAATCTTCCTTTTTCAAAATAAAAATATCTTTATTTAAGACCAGCAGCAACGTGTGAATTTTGTAGTCTCAATTATTTTTAATAGCGCTAGCTATGAGTCATGTATTGAAACCCTATTTCTTTTCAAAATAAATAATATTTCTTTATATAAGACCAGCAGCAAAAGTGATTTGAAAGTCCGTTAAATTAATTTTGTAGTCTCAATTATTTTTGATAAAGCCATCTAGGAGTCATACTGTAAGATGGTATTTTTCCTTACTGCGAATACGGTTACTCTGGCCAAAACATTCCGCCCACCGATAACTTCCACGTTATCGACAGTCGTCCACCTCTAGCGAAAATTTCATGCGCCAAAAAACGTAAACTAAAGGAGTTTTATTGGAATTGCTGCGATTTCAAGGACACCCATCTGCCCAATGTGCAGCGTTACGCAAAACTGAGACCAGGCCCACCAGATTATTAGAACTGCTGCAGTGCATCCTGCGTACGGCGACGTGGAAAGGAAAACGGAACGTCCACCTTGTGGGTGGTGGTACAGCAGCGCTGGAAGAAGAAGAAGCGGCATCGCTGCAGTCCAGTTAATAAACAAACGCATAGAAAGCCCGAGAACAGGGATTGAATCGGCGGCAGGACAGGATGTCCAGCTGGAAAAAGTGAGAGTGATCTTTGCACTTGAACCTGCAACACAGGAACATCGAGATTAAGATGCAGGTGAGTGGGCGGAACCAAAACAAAACATTGGAAATGACACAACTGCACGTAATTTAATTGATATCCCGTTTTTTTTGGGTAGGATTCTTGGAATGTAACGGCTATAAGATTCCTATTAACTAGTGATTAAACGAAATATTTTATTTTGATAAACATATGTACATATGTAGGTAGCCTAATCCCAGTAGCCATTGGCACAAATGTCCGATTTGAAATATATTTCTCAAAAATCCATTGAAATTTTAAATCTTATTTGTATGAGTTTTCTGGAGTAGTTAGCTTAACACGGAGCTATCACATCATATTAAAATTAATAAAATCAACGCAACAAGATGAAGGTGATTAAAAGAATGGAAAACTTACCATTCGCTCTAGCAAAACTGAAAAAGGACCACTCCATATCGGCAACTGTTAACTAAACCTAAACCCTTACCCTATTTTCCAGCAAATGGACGACCCGCCATTGCTGCCCGTGGGCACGGAGGTGAGTGCCAAGTACAAGGGCGCCTTCTGCGAGGCAAAAGTCAGCAAGGTGGTGCGCAACATCAAGTTGAAGGTGGCCTACAAACAGGGACTGGGCTCCGGCATCGTCTCAGATGACGCCATCAAGGCGCCGACGGGCCAACTGCGCGTGGGTGCCGTGATGGAGGTGCGCCATCCGGATCGCAAGGAGATCGTGGAGGCCACCATCACCAAGATCCAGGACTGCTCGCAGTACACGGTGGTCTTCGACGACGGGGACATCACCACGCTGAGGCGGACAGCCCTGTGCCTGAAGAGCGGCCGTCACTTCAACGAGAGCGAGACGCTGGACCAGTTGCCCCTGACCCATCCGGAGCACTTTGGCAATCCCGTGGTGGGCGGACGCAGGGGCAGGCGGCGCGGGCACCTTAACGAGGACAGCTCCGACGACGACGACGAAAGTGACGCCAAGGAGGTGGTCAACGAGAAGGAGGAGAACATCGGCAAAGTGGTGTGCGTGGAGACAGAGTCCAAGAAGAAGGACAAGGAGAAGTGGTTCCCGGCTCTGGTGGTGGCGCCCACAGCACAGGTAAGTCTACTCGGGATGGCATCAATGAAACACAGACCTGATTTCAATATTTCTTTCCCATCCAGGCCACCGTGCGCATCCGTGTTAAGGACGAGTACCTGGTGCGCTCGTTCAAGGACGGCCGCTACTATACGGTGCCCAAAAAGGAGGCCACCGAGTTCACCCGCGAAGTGGCTAGCAAACAAGATGTGCCTGCTGTGCAGGCGGCACTCGAGTTCCTGGACAGTAGCATCCTGCCGGCCCACTGGGACAGAGACTCGCTGTTCGGCCTCTCGAACATCTCCAGCGATGACGAGGGCGAGATAGACTCGGACTCCTCCGACGACGAGCCGCACGAAGAGAAGGATAGGTTTGTGGCCCAGCTGTACAAATACATGGACGACCGGGGCACGCCGCTGAACAAAGTGCCCTCCATCCAAAGCCGGGACGTGGATCTGTACCGCCTTTTTCGGGCGGTGCAAAAGCGAGGTGGCTACAACCGCGTCACCTCGCAGAACCAGTGGAAGCTAATCGCCATGCGGCTGGGCTTTACGCCCTGCACGGTTAGCGTGATGAATCTGGTGAAGCAGGCGTACAAGAAGTTCCTGCAGCCATACGGCGATTTCCACCGCAAGTTGGGATGCTCCATGCTGATGACCTCGCGCAACTCCAACCGCAGCAAGGGCCGAAGCCTGGTGCGTGCCAACTCGGTGGCCTCGCCCAAGCCCATGGAGACCCAGAAGACGGAAACCATCAGCAAACTGGCCCAGCCCAATCAGACCAATGCGGTGGCTTCAACTTCGACCTCTGCAGCAGCAGCAGCGGCGGCCTCTGCTGCCCCGCCGAGAGCTGTATCCACTGCCTCGCAATCCGCCGCCGAGGAGTCGGGCAACACCAGCGAGTCTAGCGTGGTGGTGGAACCGCCCAAGAAACAAAGGAAGGGCTCAGCGGCCAGCAGTCAGCAGGGCAAGGTCAAGAGTATGGTGGAGAAGTACGAGGAGAAGTCCACCGCAGGACCGAGCACTTCGGCTGCGTCAGCTGCCGGCGGATCGGGAGCCAGCGGGTCTGCAGCCACACCAGCCACTGCGGGAGCACCTTCCACGCTGGCTAGCTCATCCTCAGCCACTTCTGGAAGTTCTGCTCCCATTGCCACTGCTGGAAGCAACAAAGATGCCGAATCAGATCTGCCGCTGGCCAAGATCAAGGCAGCGGCTGCTGCAGCCGCTTCGACCAGGCACAGCATGGAGAAGGAGACCAACATCAGTTCGGGCAGCAGTGCCTCTGCCTCAAGCAAGGCCAATTCCACGGAGATGCAGCGCAGTCGAGATGCCTCGCCATCGGGTAAGTGAAAACAATCGGCAAATAAGGTCAGGGTTAATTGGGATCAGGAAAAACACTTGTGCCTGTGTTGACAGAAATCGATTCTTTATTTGTGTATGAACAATCCTTAAATCCCATGTTTCTAGACAGAAACCTTCATGCTCCTCCATAATATTTAAGTTATTTCTTCAGACAATCTTCACTTTGACCTTGTGATAGGCATTGGCCAAAACACCGCGTAGATTCCAGATGTGCTCGAACTTCTCCGGCTGCACATTGTAAGCCGAGTCGACGGCCTTGGCCCAGATCTCCACGTCTCCGGCCTTCCTTTGGGCCTCGGAAATGGGCAGGCGAGCGGTCCACAGGGACCAGCCGTAGTGCCTGCCATCGGGTATGTCCTCCTGCTCCAGTTCGGCCACGTGCCAGCTCAGACCCTCGTCATTGGTGAGGTCCACCCGCACTATCTTCCTGCCGCCCCCGCTCCACGCATAGCCCCTCACCGTGATGTGTCCCTCGTCGTCGTCCACTTTCACCCTCGATCCCGGCTGGGGCGTGCAGATGGCCGAGGTTACCGGCATGGCCTGGATGGCCTCGGACTTGCCGAAGTCCACCGTGTCCCAGTCCGTGCTGGGGCTGAAGCCCTTGTAGTCGTTCTGCTGCCAGTGCGAGTCCGACTCCTGATCCGCCACTACAATTCGCGTCAGCCACTTCACATTGCGGGCGCCCACTGTGCCGGGTACTATAACCCGGATGGGATAGCCGTGATCTCGGCTCAGCGGCTCGTCGTTCATCTCGTAGGCCAGGATGACATCTCCCCGAGGATCCAGAGCTTTGGAGAGCGGTATGGATGCCCCGTATGGGTGGGAAGTGGGATCCAGGTCGGCGCCTTCGAAGATCACGTGCTTGGCCTCGTCCGGTTGCACGCCCTGCTGCTTGAGGACGTCGCAGAGTCGGGCTCCCGACCACTTGGCATTGCCCACGGCACCGGCGCCCCACGAAAGGCCTGCCGATAAATGGCGATGAGGTTTATGGAAAAGTCAGAGAGATGTGCGCAAACAGACTCACCCTTTACAGCCTTGACTTTGGTCATCTCGGAGCGCCGATTGCCGCCGCACATGATGGCCGCCGTCACCGAGTGTTTGGGCAGGGCCTTGATCCCCTCCAGCGTAAGGGTCTGCTCCTTCCCGCCGACGCCACCACCTCCACCATCGATCTCCAACTCGTAGTCCTCGGGACTGATCACCGGCACTGGCAGGTGGTTGCGCACATAGAACAGCTCGTTGGGCGTGTAGAACTGCTCGGCCAGCAGGCCAATGGGTGGCTCCGCGTTGAAGGGCCTCTTTGAGGCGGGCTTGAGCAGGGCGTGGCGCTGCGGCTCTTGCGACCAGGGCGAGCCCAGCTCATCGTCCACGCTGGTCACCAGTTCACCCTCTAGATTGCCAATGCGGAAGCCCTCCAGCAGCTCCAGAACCTCCAGCGTGTTGTGCTGCTGGTAGATGGCCCAGAAGGGATCAATGGCACTGCCGGCAGCCATCAGAATCTTATCGCCACCCGGGTGATTCTCGGCAAAGTCCGTGACGTCGTAGACGCCCAGGCCGTAGGTGACCCAAATGCGATTCTCGGGGCAGTTGTGCGGCTCCACTTGGTCGGCCCTGTAGGTGGGCAGTTCCTTTCTGAGGGTCACGTGCCAGAGTCGGGCCAGTGCCTCCTGCTCCTCCTCGGTGGGGCCCTTCTGCTCCTCGAGCAGGACATGGTGGTGCCTGTTGGTCAGCCAGTGGAAGCCTAGTGTTAGGCCACCTGCCCAAAAGGCGGCATAGAGCATTTGCTCCGGTCTGCTGCCCGGGGAACTCCACTTATGTTGCTGCTCCTCCCGGTCCCCATTGCTCCTTCCACTGGTGGTCACTAGGAAACGCCGGTGATGCTGGTGCCGCCTCTGGTAGAGCAATCCCGCCCAGCTGCGCCTCAGCAAGCGCATGATTATGTAACCGAGAACTCCGCTGTCGCCGGGAAAACACTCGTTTCGAAATAAGTCCAAACCAATCTCAAGCTCCTCTGCTCTGCTTCTTGCTGCTCCGGCGAATCTGATTTTGTTGATTTATGCGGCCCCCAAGTGATATGTCTTGTATTTGTCCACTGGCGACATTGGCCCCTGCAGCCTCTGCCCCCAAATCAGCGTTGGTTTAATTGATAAGCAATCTTAGAAAGCGCTAATTCGGGTGTTTACCGCCTGTTTGTTGACAACATAACAGACCATATCCCCGATTCGATATTTTTTTCACTCGACAACTCTGTTTGGGTTTGTTTTTAATACCCTAATAGAGAGTACTATCATTTTGTCCAGAAGCCTGTTCCACTAAAAAAGTTCATTAAGTTCTTCAAACTTAACTCACAGACAATTTTAAACTTTCAAACCAACCGAAGTAATGGCATTGCAAAATGTAGTTCTAAACATGAAAAAAAGGAAACGTACCAAAATCTTCAGAAATTCTGGGAAGTTTCTCAGACTTTTTCAAAACCATCAATAATTTGTTCAGATTTCTTGAATACTCCAGTACGAGTTACATTCGTTTTGGTCAAAAGTGTATTACTCTTAAGTAATTTAATAATTATTTGTATCCTAAAATCAGAAAAACAACAAAAAACTGCAAATTCAAAAAAACCTATTTCGTTACATTTCAAAAACATTTGGGACACCTAAAGATTTTAATGCGATTTTCAAACCAACTCTTTTTTAAGTTTTCCTCTTTTGTGGGGGATATTATTTTAGTAGTTGTTTGTTATAAGAATGGTGTTTTCGTAGCTGAGCTAGAATAAATATCGGAATACTGTCGGGAAAATAGTTTTATCTTAACCGAAAAAGTGGACAAAGTTGATATCACTTATTGGTAGGGTATAAAAACTTTGGCTTTCTTCTGTTTTCCTTTTATGTAACCACGCACGAAGTACTCTCACGCCGGCAATAACAACCGCAAGTATCGATACAAGTATCGATACCGCCACAAAAACAGTCGGTCAAGAGTAATTAACTAAATATGCAAGTTAATAAAGGAACTAAGCTCGTTAAAAAACTCAATTCCGTAGATAAAAAGCTCTGACAAAAGCACTTGTTGCTTTGTTTTTTTTGTGTGCCTGATACATACATATTTGTATATTTGATAAGGGAAGGAAATATATTTCTTTCTCTTTCGAATTAGAGGTATTATGTTGAAATGATTATAGATAACAAAAATAAGCAGGAGGAAAAATGTTAGTGGTTGTATAGATACTTTATAAATACCATTTTCAATTTATAACCACCTGTTCATTTTGAACTTTTGCTTGGTCTCTTTTGGGGGAAATGCTAATTAATAAACTAGTCCTCTCTTTTCAACTGGGAAGCTTTTTACAATACTCTATAGTAATATTTGCAGATAATGCTTTTATGTTGTTTAATTTATTATTCTCGTAAGTTGTATACTTCCGTAGCATCTTACCATCTCTTTCGAACCAAGATATCTCAGAAATGTTTATAAATAAAATACAAAAATGCGCAAAAGCTTGTGTAAATAAATATTAATTGCTTCGGGTGATTGTTTCTGTGCTGTTTCTTAAGTTATCATTCATAATAATTCATCCTAAAGTTACACTTCATGTTTAAATACTGATTGTGAAGATAAAGTTTTGACAGTTTTGTAAGAAATTTATGTATTTATCCTCGTACAATGACAAAATCAAATTATATACCATAACTTGGCCTTTATAATAAACTAATACAGTTTTCAATAATTTTAAAATGACTCACATCAGTACAATGGCTAAAAAATTAAAAAGAAAAAAAGATACCTTTGGGTCGCTTTCGTCTTTCTGCAAATTATACTATTAAGATATCGGGGTCGCAGATCATATCATATTAGGGTTACCAAAAATCCTACCTTCTGCCCATCTCGATTTGAATAAAATATAGTTGGAAATGGGGATTATTAAATAGCTCTTCCCAGAATTTAAATAAGCAACCCCAATGACGACTACCCCTTTCTTCTTTCAGTCACTGCACCGCCTCCAACCGCTGCAAGCACATCCGCTCCAGCTGCAGCCGCCCAGCCGGCGTCCACCAAGAAGGAGAAGCACCAGCGGAGCAAGCAAGCGGATCGGGATAAAGAGAAGGACAAGGACAAGGACAAGGAAAAGGATAAAGACAAGGATAAGGATAAGGACAAGGACAAGGATAAGGACAAGGATAAGGACAAAGATAAGGACAAGGATAAGGACAAAGAGAAGGAGAAGGAGAAGGATAAGGAGGAGAAGCAAGCGGGCAGCGGGAAGCGCAAGAAGGAGAAGATTAGCGTGGAGAAGATCGACACGGGCGACTTTGTGGTGGGGATCGGGGACAAACTGAAGGTGAACTACCACGAGAAGAAGTCGCCCAGCTCGCATGGCAGCACATACGAGGCCAAGGTCATCGAGATCAGTGTCCAGCGGGGAGTGCCGATGTACCTGGTCCACTACACCGGCTGGAACAATCGCTACGATGAGTGGGTGCCGCGCGAGAGGATTGCCGAGAACCTGACCAAGGGCTCCAAGCAGAAAACCCGCACCATAAGCACCAGCAGTGCGAACAGCGGTAGTGGAGGCGGCGGAGGAGGTGGCTCCCTTTCGGGACAGGGTTCTCTTCCGCCGGGCGTAACGGATAAGCATCAGTCGGGCAAGGATGGTGGCTCCAAAATACCACCCTCAGCTGGAAATTCCTCTGGACCCGGAGCTCCCCCTGGATCTCTGGGCGGATCCAGTTCCACACCCTCGCTGCTGTCCACTGTTGTGAAGACCCCAACGACGGGAGGAGCCAAGCGGGGACGGGGACGCAGCGACTCCATGCCACCGCGCTCCACCACACCCTCATCGGTGGTGGCCCATTCCGGTCGCACCAAGTCCCCAGCTGCCTCGCAGCCACAACTGCAGCAGCAGATGAAGAAGCGCCCGACGCGCATCGCACTAGGAGCCACCATTTCACGTCGCGTTTCCGATGCCTCGATGGCCTCCGAATCGGATTCGGACTCCGATGAACCAGTGCGGCGTCCAAAGCGACAGAGTGCCAAGGAGAAACCGCAGACGGGCAAGGCCCAGCCGCCGGGAAAGGGGCGCGTGAGCAGCAGGGCCTCCTCGACGGCGCCGGCTCCCCGTCCCAGCGATGATTCCGAGGAGGATGAGGAGGAGGAGGAGGACGAACCGGCGGCGACAAGAGCTGCTCCCTCGAAGCAGCAGCAACAGCAGGCCACCTCTGTGCGGGGATCCCGGGCTGGGGGCAATCGCGCCATGAGCAGTGGCGCCGCTTCCGCCAAGGGACGCGACTATGATCTCAGCGAGATTCGCTCGGAGCTAAAGGGATTTCAGCCGAAGCTTTTGGCGAACGCCGTGACCAACGAGGAGCGCAAGGATGTGACGAAGAAAGAGTCCTCTGTTGAGCCCGTCCTGCAGGACATCAAAAAGGAGCCCAAGCTAGAGTCCTCGGCAAAGAGCAGCTCCACGGAGCTGTCCTCGGAAACCGAGTCCTATGTGGACGAGGACTCGCAGTCCTCCGACTACCGCAAGCAGCCGAAGGCAGCAGGAGCTGGCAAGAAGGAGCCACACGCCACTCCCTCCAAATTACATCACGAGCAAGTGTCCAAACGGGAGCTGTCCGTCAAAGAGGAGCCACTGAAAATAAAACCCAAAACGGAGCCCAAGGAGGAGAACACCAAGAGCAAGCCCTTCCTGTCGGGGGCGGACATCAAACCCACCGCACTGATAGCGCCAGCTAGATTCGGAAATACCACATCCGGTGCCAGCTCTTCCACGGCCAAGTACACATCTGTGATTGTGGAGAAACCCCTGACCATTGGCGGAAAGAAGGCAGCGGAGCAGCATGTGCCCAAAAAGGCAGAGCTGCTTAAGAAGCAATCTGCCGGAGCAGGAGCCCCTGCAGCCAGCTCTTTGCTGGCAAGTCAGGAGTCCAAGAAGTTTGCCGAACCGGTGGCCAGTTTGAAAGTGGAACTACCGGCAGCTTGCTCGCCCTCGTCGTCTTCCTCATCGTCCAGTTCCTTCTGCTCGACTGGATCCGCGGCGAGCTCCAGTTCAGCCACTCGATCCCTGCCGGACATGAGTAAGCTGGAGATCAGCAGTGGCACTGTGCCGGGAACTTCAGCCGCAGCAGCGGCATCCCAGCCAGGCAGTGCCACGCCACTCAGCTCCTCCAGCGTCGCCAAGGAGTCGAAGTACAGCAGCAGTGGAAGCAGTGGAGCTGCGGGATCGGGACTAAGCATGCGAAAGCTGCTTTCCTCGGATGTGTACGAGTTTAAAGACACGGAGCCCTTTGAGTTCGAGAAGCGCATCTCGCCGATGGCCTCAGTGGGCGGAGCTGTGACCGCTGGAGCCGCCGCAGCGGGAGCAGTTGTGGGGGCAGGAGCTGCCTCGGTGATCACAGCAGTGATGCCAACACCAGGAGCCTCCGGATCAGGATCAGCGGGCCCAGCAAGTGCCCCTTCTGCAGCACCAGCGGTGGTCAGCTCGGCGGCCAGGAAGCTGGCAATCAAGGCCTGCGCCATGCATCAGAGTCTGGAGCAGCACCAGCTGCCTCCCGCTGGCCACGATCGTGGCTACGGTGCCATGACCTCCGCACTGACCGCGCCAAAGCTGAAGAAGCGAGGATCTCCACTGAAAGAGTCGGCCTTGGGCCTGGAAAAGCCGAAAATCTATAAGCTGGACAAGGAACAAGTGCAGCAGCCGGTGGAAGCGAAGGCCCAGCCGCTGACGCCTCCCACTTTAAAGGTGCTACAGCCCGCGGGACAAGTGACTCCTTCCACGTCCAATCCAGTGAAGATGCACACGCCACCGGCAGCCGCAGGAGCAGCCGTTGGATCCGCTGTGGGTACGCCCACCACATCGGGTGGCCACTCCCTGCTGTCCTCCGCTCCTCCCAGCCAGCTGGCGCCGCATCATGCCACGCCCTTCGATGCCCTGAGGAAGTCACCCAGTTTTAATCTCAACATCACCGCCCTGAATGAGGAATTGGCACAGACCGTCCAGGAAACCACTAGAGTCCTCACGGACGCACTTCAGCCACCTACAACGCCTGGGCCACCGCCTGCGCCGGCGAGTGCAGCGTTGCCTGCCCCAGTGACACCAGTGATTACGCCCACGCCCACTGCTGTGCCGGCCGCCCCTAGCTGTCCCAGCACACCGCCCACCGGAGCCAACCCAGTGCTGGCCTCGCCCAAGCTGAGCACTCCGCCCCAGGTCACCCAGTCCAGCAAGCAGCCGCCCGCTCCCCACATTGTGGGCAGTCCCTTCATCGAGACCAGGAACGTGTTCGAGCTGAGCACCTCCAACGAGGGCAGCGGCTACAGTTCCGGCGAGTCCAAGGACAACAAGCTGGAGAAGCTGGAGAACGTGAAGATCCTGCTGGCCGGGGCAGCAGGACCCTTTGACCTGGATGCCGGCAGCTACGAGCAGAAGACCAGCTCCATAGCGGACAAGGTGCTGAAGGCCATCAGTCAGAAGAAGGAGGAGGTGGAGAACAGCAAGAGCAAGCCGCCGGTGGAGGCCGTCGCTAAGACTCCGACCAGCGACGAGGTGGTGGTGGCCAGCCCGCCAGCCAAGCTGGACCTAAGCAGCAGTGCCATCAAGCTGGACACCCTTAAGCTGCTGAGCGAGCCACTCAAGATACAAACAGGTCCGCTCCTGGGTGAACTCTATAGACCCGGTCCGGCGACCAGCAGTCCGGAGACCAAGTCCATTCTGGAGTCCTCGCTTCCGGCCAAGAACAGCGAACTGAGCGAGACCATACAGAAGCTGGAGTGCGCCATTCAGCAGCGGAAGACGCCGGTGGGTGGAGCCCTCTCGCTGGCCAGCTCCACGGCGGGAACACCGCCCACCGCCCACACGCCGAACTCCACCGTCACCGCCGGAGCCGGATTCTCGGACGAATCCATGGACAGCACCGACTCCGAGCAGCGCCTGGTCATCGAGGATGTGATTGCGGAGGAGCACACCACCACCACGACGACTGGCGAACAGAAGAGCCCGGGATCCGGACAGGAGGAAGGTCAGACCACCACGGCCACCATGGTGACGGCGGCTACAGCCGAAACTGAGGGCACCAGCAGCAGCACTCCCACGCCCCCGGTCTCCGCCCCCGTAAAATTGGAAGTAGGTGGCAAGGCCCTTCCCGGAATCCAAGCTCCCATTCCGCTCAAGCCATCGGAGGGCAGTTCCTTTGCTGGAAAGCTCACGGCGGTGACTCAGCCCCCTCCGCTGGCCAAGCTCCAGCAGCAGGAAGAGGTGGGTCAGGCGAAGAGCATGAGCAGTTTTGGCATCCCCATCGTGCTGCCCGAGATCCCCGCCTCTGTGGTGGTGGCAACGCCTGCCCTGATGGTGGCCTCCACCGCCGCCGTGATGCGTCACAGTCCCGGCTCCACGCCGAGCTCGCCCGCGCCCGTCCTGATCTCGCCCAAGGCGTACCTGACCGCACCGAAGGTGGGAGAAGTAGGGGGACTACTGCTGAAGGCCTACACGGGAGTGGGCGGAGCGGCGGTGACGGGAGGCGTGGCAGCTGCCGGAGGCGTAATAGCAGCGGCCGGAGGAGCACCCACGGTCATCTCCACCTTCCCCCAACAGCAGCAGCCGGCCAGTGTGCTTCAAGTTGCGTCTGACATCCCTGCCAGCTACATAATAGATGCTGACATCGCCGAAGCCCCCAACAGCAGCTCCCCGGTGGTGGCGCGACCCTTTGTGATGCACGCCGTGAGCAAGGAGCTGTACAATGTCGTGGCACCGGCGGCCAGCTCGCCCCTGATCAGCGATCCGCACAACGAGTCCATCAACTTGCTCTGCGAGGAAACCATACCGGGCAGCCCGGCGCCCAATTACGGTGGCTCTGAGCAGCTGCCCCCCGCCGCGGGCTTGTCCCTGGCCATTGTGGGCATAACGCCTCTGCCGCCGGAAACACCGCCACCCGGAGCCATTTCCGCCATCCAACAGCAGCAGCAGCATCAACAATTGCAAGCCGGGCAGCAGCAGCAGCAGGCGGCCAAGACGGGAGAGGTGAATCCCTCGGCGCCCAACAGTTCGCCAGACTCTGCCAGCCAGGATGAGAGCGGCGAGGAAACGAAAAAGAATGCCGAGCACGAGCTCGAGCACGAGGATTCGGGCGGCCTAGGGGCGCTGAACAAGCGCAAGCGCACCCGGAAACCGCTGCCGATGAGCGCCCAGGCGGCGGCAGCCGTGACCGCTCAGCTGCAGTCGTTGACCAAGAGGCGACGCCAGGTGTCCGGGATGCGCAGCCAGAAGACGACAGCCACCACAGGTACGAGGAGCCCTCTTCCAACCTCATTAACTAGTATTCTAATGGCATCTTGACTTTTCCAGCTGGCTCCGATACCGACGACAATTCGGATAATATAGCGCCAACGGTGGGACAACAGCAGCAGCAGCAACAGCAGCGGCAGAGTGCCCGCCAGCAACTGTTGCCGCAGGACAACGCCCAGCAACAGCAGCAACATCAGCTCATGCAGCAGCAGGCGCAGCTGCAGCAGGGAATCCAGTCCGGCAACCAGTCCGGAGTGCGTCCATGTCCGTACAACTTCCTCGTGGAGCTGGGTGAGTTTACCTCGAAGTGCCTGCTATCTATTCCTTCTCTTATTGCTCTCTTCCTACCTTAGATCCTTCGCTTAGCTCGGACGAGTGCATCACGATCCTGCGCAAGCAGATCCAGGACCTGCGCAAGGCCTACAACACCATCAAGGGCGAATTGGCGATAATCGACCGCCGGCGCAAGAAGCTGCGTCGCCGGGAGCGCGAGAAGAAGCAGCAGCAGCTGCAGAGCCAGCAGCAGGGCAAGATCTGTGCCTAGCTTGGATGCAATCCACATCCAGCGAACAGCGACAACGGCAATTGCAGAGAGGTTGCAAGTGCAAATGCAAATGACTTTGAAGCCGCAGAAGGGAACGAATGAAGTTCGTTGAAAATGAATTACGAAGAGTAGAAATTGTAAATCTATGGACTTTTTTTTTTCCATTACTAGTTTGTAGGCAGAATTCTTTAGGTTTAAGCAAAAAATCGCGTCTGTATATTTACATTTCATAAGATGTATGTATTCTTAAGCAAAAAACGACACTTTATTTGACTTATTTTGGAGATTTGCTAGATTTTGTAAAAGGATAGTAGCAATTTCAATAAAAAAAAGGTTTTAAAAGAGAATTTCAAATTATTTTAACATTTTTCAAAAATTTTAATGGTACATCACAGATCATTATACCACAAGCTTTTCAAAGTAGTACTTTGAGGTCGAATATCTGTATCTCTATTTTTGGCCACTTTTCTGCAAAGTCGGTTTACCAAAAAAGTTTAAATTCTTTGCGATATTTTCGATAACATACATCCAAGTATGTAGAAGTATAGGTCGGCCAAGGATATAAAACAGTTTTTGTGCTGGCTTTATGTTTTACTTTATCGAACTTCCGGATTTCACATTGGAGTTTTAAAATTTATTCTTAGGAAACGGCGTAGCCTCCTTCGAGAAGGATGTGGTGACCGTTCACGAAGCTGGACTTGCTGCTCAGCAGATAACCGGTGGCGTCCACGACCTCCTGCACCTCGCAGAATCGGTTCAGCGGAATGTGGGCCAACAACGGCCCACTCTTGGCGGGATCCGACCAATTGTCGGCGCCCATTTTGGTCAGCACCACGGTCGGATTGACGGAGTTGACACGGATCTTGCGCGGACCCAGCTCCAGGGCCAGTGACTTCGTCAGCGAGTCGAGGGCCGCCTTGGTGGCACTGTAGGCGGTGTGGCCACCAAAGGATCGGGTCGACGCTATCGAGGACACGTTGACGATGGAGGCTCCATCCTTGAGGCGGGGCAGCAGGGCCTGGGTCACACTGAAAACCGCCTTTATGTTCACATCAAAGTGGCTAGAAGAAAATGTATTTGTTTTAATCCACAAGAAAACCGTAATCCTCATCCTAGATACCCGATACTCAGTCTTATACATATATATTCCCAGCATGGAAACTACTCGTCAAAAAACTAATGTTGCAATGGGGGAACTCCAATATTTGGGCTAGTACTTACAATTAAAACTAGGTAAAATACGTTTGGGGGTAGGTCCAATTTTTGGAGGTCAGTTGAAGTTCTAGTTGCCCTGATCGTGATAATCGTTATCAGAATTCATGAATTCGGTGATCATGATCTTCCAAAAACAGCGAAACTTTTTTGATAAGAGCGCCGGTCTGTCAAATGATCAAAGCAACAAGTGGAGGCTCCTAAACACTATCAAATTTTGAAAATAATTTGATTTTAAAAATTCAAATGGATTACAACAAGAAAACGCTTACTACTTTTAAAATTTGTAAGTACGAATTTAAAATTAGCTGATAGGTATTAAAAATAAGCATTTGAACTTGTAGGTGTTTATATTATGTTTTGAATTTTCTTATAAAAATAAAAAATCCAATAAAACAATAACAACGTTTGCAGGGCAATAATTATAAGCAATTTGATAAGATAGCTGTTTTGTTTTGTGTGCTGGCATTTAAAAATTAAACATTTAAAATTTAAATGTATTTATTTTTCTGTGCACTTAAGAATTAAATTTTTTGGGTTTCAAGTCGAGAAAAAATTAATTTAAAATTTAAAATCAAAAGAAGAAAAAAAGGTTTACCATGCAAGCCCAATATATGTAAATTATAGGACAAGTCTTAAAGTGATTTGTGATTTAACTTGGGTCAAGTATCTTGGAGTTCTTGGGAGAATCGCCGCTTACGTATCGAAATCCTGTTCGGTGAGCTCCTCGAACGGCTTGATGATGGCCACGCCCGCGTTGTTGACCAGTCCGTCCAGTTGAGGCACCTTTGCCAGGCCCTCGCGCACCGCCTGCCACCTGCTGAGGTCGAGGAGCAGGGGCTGGATGCGCTCCGGTTTGAAGGCCACCAGCTCCTGGAGCTGCTCCGGCTTTCTGGCCACCGCGATGACGATGGCTCCCGCGGATGCCAGCTGCTTGACTAGGGCCTGGCCAATTCCGGCTCCTGCTCCGGTCACCAAGATCACCTTTCCCGCAAGATCTGCCCACATAGTGATCGCTGCTCTATTTGTAATCGCCTGCCGTGGAAAGTTCCCTTCCGAGTATTTACGCGGAGATCGCAGACAGAACTGAACTGGAAATAGTGTTCACATCTTATCGGGGCAATATCGCCGGCCAGAGCTTTCTCCGGACAACCAGAGATCGGGAGCTTTGGCTCTCTTCACTAGGGCGTTTAAGGTCGTTTCTCGATCGCAGATTTAAAGAAGATCTCCCCTGGAAAGGGGGTGGCGGTGGGTGGCCGTCGGTTTAAAGGCCCCCCAAAGCTGATAAACAATCGTTTATAAATAGAGCCGCCGATAAGCTTCAGATGCCGGATTCGTTGGAGGAGTTCTCAAGCTGAACCTGTTTCTTAATTTATTGGAGACTTTATTATCAATAGGTGGCTGAGCTCTTGATTTGGAAATATTTTTGGAGTTGCAATTATATTTGGAGCTGGAAATATGTAGCAGCCCAAAAGTGTAATCTATTTTTCATTTAAATATAGAAAACCTTTTTGTAATGGTAAAAAACTGTACGTTTAACCTAGTTCTCATTATCACTATCAAGATGGGTGTGAAATTCATTCATACAGATTTCTTTAAACTTAATTTAACCAGTTATGGGTCAAATACAATGGATTTGGTGACAACGTTTGATTATTAAAGCACTTAAATTATATGTTTATCTTGGGCTACACTTCTGAACCCATATCATAATATATTTAGTATTAATCTTAACAAACATTTTCAAAAACCAGAATGGTATGAAAATTACCTGAATTTTTCACTTTTAGCAAAGAAGCGTCGTAATAAGGATAGGGTTTGTATCTTAGGCTTTATTTAACTATGACTTAACGTATTGAAACCGGATTTCGAAGTTTTAAGACGACAAAATAAATGGATTAATTTTAATATAATCTATTCAATTTTAATTGACAGTGGGAACGGCTTCAATATCGCAACCAGACATCGATTCCTCAAGTTATCGATGTGTTGGTCTTGTACAACACTGCCACCGCCTCAAACTTTCCAACAACAAAACAGGCAGTCAACAATTTTATTTTTTTTATAATTAAATGAATTACTGACTTAAGGCGTCTTGAAGAAATGGCGCAAACACAACCACCAGGTAGGTCCTAAGATATTTAATAAATTCGGATTAATTTTAGTGCCTAAAACAACTATTTAGCAGCCAAGCGCGTAAAGCTGGAGAAGAAGCCGGCGAATCTCGTCGAGGATGATGGTAAATATTGTTGATATACTGCGATCTAGAGACAAGGCTACTAATGAGCTTTACCATCGATAGAGACGCCCTCCGTGTTCAATCCGAAGTACAGGGTATGCCCCTACTTGGACACAATTAACCGCAACCTGCTGGACTTTGATTTCGAGAAGCTGTGCTCCATTTCGCTGACTAGGATTAATGTTTATGCGTGTCTGGTTTGTGGCAAGTACTTCCAGGGGCGTGGCACCAACACCCACGCCTACACGCACTCTGTGGGCGAGGCCCATCACGTGTTCCTCAATCTGCACACACTGAGGTTCTACTGCCTGCCGGATAACTATGAGATCATTGACTCCTCGCTGGACGACATCAAATACGTGCTGAATCCCACGTTCACACGCCAAGAGATCAGCAAGTTGGACCAACTGCAACCAAAGCATTCGCGCACTGTGGACGGAGTTCTCTACTTGCCCGGTGTTGTAGGTCTGAACAACATCAAGGCCAACGACTACTGCAATGTGGTGCTGCACGCCCTTTCCCACGTCGGGCCACTTAGGGATTACTTTCTGCGGGAGCAGAGCTATGCGCATGTCAAGCGGCCACCTGGCGATTCCATGTTCACGCTGGTCCAGCGGTTCGGGGAGCTGATGCGCAAAATGTGGAATCCGCGCAACTTTAAAGCGCATGTATCGCCGCACGAGATGCTCCAAGCGGTGGTGCTGTGGTCCAGCAAGCGATTCCAGATCACCGAGCAGGGCGATCCCATCGATTTTCTGTCCTGGTTCCTAAATACACTGCATCGCGCCTTAAAAGGGAATAAGCAGCCGAATTCTTCTATACTCTACAAGATCTTTCTGGGCGAAATGCAGATCTACACGCGCAAAATACCGCCAGTGGAGCTGGACGACACGGCCAAGGCACAGCTGCTGGCCACCGAGGAGTACAAGGACCAAGTGGAGCACACCAATTTCATCTACCTCACCTGCGATCTGCCACCGCCACCGCTGTTTACTGATGAGTTTCGCGAGAACATTATTCCGCAGGTTAATCTTTACCAGTTGCTGGGCAAGTTCAATGGCAGTGCCGAAAAGGAGTACAAGACCTACAAGGACAACTTTATGAAGCGCTTCGAGATCACCCGTCTGCCGCAGTTTATAATTTTGTACATTAAGCGGTTCACCAAGAACACGTTTTTCCTGGAGAAGAATCCCACCATCGTCAACTTCCCCATCAAGTGAGTTTCTCAATGGCAATTGTTATGAATCTTTAATACAAATCGTATGACTTTAAGGAACGTGGACTTTGGAGATATTCTGGGCATGAGGCAGCGCGATAAGGATGTCAAGGACACGAAATATAATCTGGTGGCCAACATCGTGCACGATGGCGATCCCAAAAAGGGCACCTATCGCGCCCACATCCTGCACAAGGCCAACGGCCAGTGGTACGAAATGCAGGACCTGCACGTCACCGAGATCCTGCCTCAGATGATCACGCTCACCGAGTCCTACATCCAAATCTACGAACGCTGTGCGGACTCCTCGTGATCCCCTTGACTTGTAGTTAGTGCTAGCTGTATTTCGATAAACAAATTCTATGATCCGAAAGTAATATATGCCGTAGTCGAGCGAAGCGACTATATGAGTAACATATTACAACTTTTTATGTGTTTCAGTAGCTTAAAGAAAATACTGATTGATTTCTTTGAAATCAGCGGAATTAGGTATTAAATTAGTTTAGTCCACCGCCTTGGTTTATGTTTAAATTCTAAGTCGCAGCATCAGCTGTGATGCAAGATAGCCAGAGATGCGCATGCGTTGTGCCCACTCTATGACCAAGTGGGCGGATTGGGGCCACGACCAGCAAAAAATCGATGCTGTCGCCAGTCGTTGGGTGACAGAGTGTTTGTAAGGAAGCATGTCGGATCAGCCTGATAACAGCACCTACGAGCAGGAGTGCCAGCGCGCGGAGTTGCTGGGTCTCCAGCCGCCAGATCCCGAGGAGTTCGAGCGGAAGCGGCAAGCGAGATTGGAGCACGAGGTGGCCGAACAGGAGGCTGCCGAGGCGGTGGTATGTAGTTTCATTTGCCCATGCGAATCGCCACTGAATTTCACCCTTCAGCTGCTGGAGCAACAAGACGAAAGCCTGGGCAATGTGGGCGGCAAGTTGGGCGAGCTCAACAGCATCCTGTCCAGCACCCAGCAGAAGCTCAATCGCTTTAAGCAAACGGCCTGTGGCAGTTTAACTAATATATTTGCTCGAGCCAGCTCGGGCTCAGTGGATCTTTCAGCGGGCGTGGGGGGATCGGGATCGATGGTCAGCCAGGAGGAGCGTCCGCCTGTCCAAGATCAGCCACAGGCAAAGCCGCCGCCCACGGCCGCCGAGGTAAGCGCCGCCAAGGCGGCCAAGCAAAAGCGCATGGACTCGCAGCTGGACAAGTTGGATGCGCTGATCAATCAGGCGGACAATGCCCAGATCTCCATGAGCGAGCAGACCCAGCAGATGCGACGCTTGGCCAAGTGAACTGCTTTGACCAAAAGCGGATGAAAGGTGATCATTGGCATTTCTAAAACCCGAAACACAAAAGATTAAACCCTAGTTTCCTTTATGAAATGAATGTACGATTCCAACTTTATTAACCCTTACTCTTCAGGTGATTTGCTTCGCCTGATCCTGGCCAGCCTTCTGTCCCCTCTTTGTTTGGATGAACACATGAGTTTCGCTTAAAACTAAACACAAGTTGAGATTACCCAAAGCGTCTTCAATCACATTTATCGAGTGTGCAGACAGTGCGTGTCATAACTGTCCTGTCTGAAGTACCGTCTTTTAGTCCTGGCGCGCACTGCTCTTCTTTACATTCATCCCGTTGACTTTACATACAAATAGGTATTTTTATAGTTTACATCAGAGTTTCAAAAATACAGAGCATTTTTTCGGCTATTTCTTGTCATAGTTAAAAACTGAATTACAAATGTTGACAATAATAGTTTCGTTTAAATATTCTAGGAGTTGAAACGTAGTCAACTCTATTCCTGAAATTATACATATGTAGTTTAAATAATTTTGTTTGTTTTAACCAAACGAGACATAAATGATGTCCTTTATTCACATATATTTTAAATTTTTTTTTGGTAAGTCACATTTTGGAAAACTTTTTTTTCAGTTCTTTGAAAGTATAACAATAAAATTAAATATTTAAATTTTAATTTGAATATATTACACTCCTACTCTCTTTTTTTTTTAATAAGTTTAAACTAAAGTGAACGTGTAAAAAAACGGAAACTATTTTTTGATTAGATGTGCAGTGCGATTCGCAACTGTGAGACCAAGATTGTAACTTCTCAGCCCTGGCCTTACAGTTATGGGACTCACTGTCTTTGTGCTAGCATAAGGAAGCAATGTCCACCACATTGAAATTGTTTATCCAGCTAATACTTGTTGCAAAACGTTTGTTATACTATATCAAAATATATACGGCTAAATCGAGTCAAGTAATAAAATTAAATTTTTCTCCACAAAACAAAAGATTGAGTATCAATAACCACACATTTGGAAGGCTATTAAATTGACTTAAAGAATGGACTACCAACCAATATTATTTAATGCTAGATCAATTCCGCTTGCTTAACTATTGATTCTAACGATTATCTACAACGACCAACGAAACCGAAGGATTCAATTTTAAAATTAAGCAGAGGATTATAAGTAAAGAATAACCAAGTAACCATTAATTCTATCACCTATGTACAACCAACAACGAAAGCAAAGAAAACAGGGATCTAGACTTTTGACTTGCGGAGGGTTATAAACGAGGGGAACTACTTATCCTCCGAAGAAGCGGACGAGATGGAGGTGGACATGTTGAGGCAGGAACGTGGCGGAGTCGGGCAGCGTTTGGGGAGCGTCCGCTTGCCCAGCGAATGAACCGCCGCCTCAGAGTCCGTGTCCGTATCCGAGTACTCGTCGTCGCTTTCGCTAGCATGTCCTGCATCCGTTTCGTACTGATCCTGCTCCTTCTGCTTGTCGTCCATATGGCTTAGCTGATCCAGAAAAACATCCGAGGTAACGGCCACGCCCTCGGGCTGCTCCTCGTTATCATAGAAGAAGTACGTCAGCTGCAGCTGCTCCTCCTCGGAGTTCACGCGCCAGGCGTGCGGAATCAACTGACCGTTGAACTCGAGTCTCTGCTGCAACGCCAGGAACATATCCGGCGAGATCTCCATTTGGGGCAGTGTTTGCTGGGCCTGCCACTTCGCCAGCAGCGGTGGATCGGATCCAAAAACGCCGTAGTATAGTTTGCAGGTGCGGTAGCAGCGCAGCCGGTTTGAATCCGGACGAATCCGACGCAGAACACGGAGCTGCGACTCCACTACGTGCAGGAACATGTACTGTTGCCTCCGGCTGGGCAGCGAGGTGACCAGCAAAGCGCGACTAGTGCTCAAACAGAGCTGGGGCAGGGGCTGTGGCCACAGAGAGTGGAGCACTCGCTTGACTAGCTGCGTCAGCGTAGAGCTCTTGAAGAAGTGACGCCCGGGGGCAGCTGCCGTCGCTCCTTCAGGCAGCCAACGCACTGCATCCGCCCAGAGGCGAGCGGCGGCGCAATTGAACATGGTCTGACCCAAAAAACGCATGCAGCGCTTGCAGTACAAGTGATCCTCGCGATTGAGAACGTGCGGATTATCTTCGTTAAGCCTGATGACCACATAGTTAAGGCCGTAGAAAAGATCTACTTCGCCGGGCACCAAACTGACAGGTTGGGTCTTGCATCCCTGTCCATGATGATTGTGGCAGAAGAATTCGCTTGGATCCACCACGCAGCTGGGAAACTCCCTCAGCCTTCGATAGTTTCTGGCCTCCACCAGTTCCGCCCGGCAGTCGCGGCAGTTGATGGAAATAACCTCATCCTCGTGGCAGGAGAGGAGAAGCGGTGCTAGAGGCACCTCCACCGAGCCACCATCCACGGCATCCAAATCTATCTGGTTGTAGTTGAAGCGGAAGCTTATGTGGCTGCCGCTGACCAGGAAAGTGGACAAGCAGCCAATGTCCATGCCGAAGTGGTCGTGCCGGATGAGCAACAACTCGTCGGAGTCTTCGCTATCGCTATCCGAACTGAAGTCCTCCTGATTCTCCCGCCTTCTCGGTTTCTCGCTGATGTAAACATTGTAGTCCCGGATGACAAGGCGCGTTTCGTGGGTCTGCGAGATCTGGTGGTCGAATCGCAAGAAGGCGACGCCGCTGCGCAGGTTGGGACGCAGCTCGATGCACAGCCCGGTTATGGGCATCTTGTCCTGGCCCGAAATATGCTTTAAAAGATCGGGAAAGCCAGGAAATAAAGCTGGAAATGTTTGCGATTATTTTAGTAAAATCCATCGATTAAACTCGATGTTTAATAGCGCCGTGAGTTTCTATCGATAGCTTCCTTCTGGCAATATCGATAGAATTGAATAACCATCGACTTTGTTTCAGCTCTAGCACTGAAGCAAAGAGTCGACGATGCGATGGGTAAAAACAAAGCCCCGTGTAAAAGTGTCCGAAAACCGTGCGTAGCATCAAACAAATCGTAACTCGGGCAGCAAATTTAAGAGCCGCACTTTTGGAGGCCGCGTGTGCAGTGCCGTTTTAATTGTCGGTAATCGCGAAATCCGCAAAAAAAGGATTTTTTGAAAAACGTTAGCCTTAAACGCATTTCGTTTCGTTCACACACACCAACAAACACACTCGGTCGCAGCAGACAAACACAACGCGCAGCGCATATACACACAAAGAAAAGAAGGCAGTGAAAATCGACAAGCGCACGCATGCACACTCACAGACACACACGCAGGCGAAAAAGTGTTGATATATATCCAATATATTGATGTTGTGTGCAGCGTTGTTGTTGCTGCTAGTGCTGTGTGAGTGAGAGAGGGGTAGAGTAGAGCAAGTGAGAGAGCGCGCAGGATAAAGCGAAGATGAGCCACAAAGCAAAGGAGTGAAAAAATAATTAACGGCGAAGAGAGTGGAAAGGGGAGAGTGGAGGTGGAGAAGAAGAGGAGCAGCAACAACAACAACCTAACAACTACAACTACAAAATTGGCCCTCTCATTTTGGCAGTCGCATCGCCCCATCTCGCTCCCTCTTTCGGTGGGGGATACGGAAAAGTTCACATGCAACAACAACGACAACAAACAATAGTCGCAGTCTACGCGGGCAGAGGCAGCGACACAGGCAGGGGCAGCGACGCACTGAACGTATTTTGTACATATAAACAAAAATAGTTTTTAAACTCAAAAACCTAAAGTTAAAAGTAAAGCACTTAAGCATAAATCTACAGTAAATAAGTAATTAAAACAGCAAGCAAATCAAGCAGAGAGATAGATAAGAGGGACAGAATAGAGGAAAAGAGACAGAAAGGAGAACGCTCAAAAGAAATTCGCCTTTTACACGATTTTAAATTGAGCGTTTTGGCAGAGATCCATTATTATACATCCATCCAAAAAGAGAGGAGAGAGCAAAGAGAGAGAGCGTAACGGAGCAAAAACAAACAAACGGAGGAGCAGCTGAACTCAGGAGCAACTGTAAACACACACAATCTCAGCCTCACGCTGGCGAATCGCAACGGCAGCAACAACAACAGAGGAGGAGGAGGTGGCGACGCTGGGGGCGGGGCAGCTGTGGCCGCTGCTGCCCGAAATAACAACAACAACGCTAACAACAACAACAATGGAGGAGGAGGCGGAGGAACGGCTGCAGTCGGCGCTGGCGCCGAAGGAGCAGGCGCCGGAGGAGCAGCAGCCAACGAATGGAACCCAGAGGAAATTGATCGCTACAGCTTCGACGACTCGATCCGCTTCGAGGAGGACTCCCTGTGCAGCTGGAGCTCCGAGCCCGAATCGCTGTGCAACAACTGGCGCGGCTGGAAGAAGCCCGCTGCGGGCAGCGGTGCTGGCAGCGGCGGTCTGAGCGGCTTGGGAATAGGAGGAGCGGTGGCTGGCGGTAGCACAGGAGCCCCTCCGTTCGGAGCAGGTGCCTCCTCCGGTTCATGTACACCGGGCGGCAGTGCAGCGGCAATGGCCAACACATCCACCTGCGGCAGATATTATGGTGAGTGTCCCCACCATAAAGTGATTGTACTCAGAGCAATAAGTTATGTGATATTACTATTTTTGATGATTGTCCGTACAATAGTGCAATCAGGTTATATCAATTAAAAGAGAATCCTTTGAAAATATCGGAAATTAAGTTTCAGTTATTCAAAACATGAATGAGTTTCACCGATACATGCATAAACATTTGGCTCATATATTACGTTTGTTAGGGAAAGTTGGTTTGCATTGGTATAGTCGTGAGCAAGATACAAAAGTATGAATTATTTTATTGCTCTTCGACACTGTGAGGTTCTGTCGAACCAATTCTAATGCTTGTTAATTGGTTATTTAATTTAAAACTAAAAATTTGTTTGTGGCGTCCAATAATATGTATATATATAAAATAACATTTTGTAAACAGATATGAGAATTCATTCTTAAGGTATCACCCCCAATTTGCAATAGTTCTCGTAAAATGCGACTCTAGGCTGAATATGGCCACGCTGTGCTGTCTGCAATTATACGCGTGACCTTTTCGCTGTTGGTAAATTTTGTAAAATTGGCTTAAGCACAACAACAAGCTGGCTGTAATTGTTGTTGGCCCGTCTGCAATTGTCTTTTTCGTTTCCCCTCCTCTGCTTATCGCGAAAGTCAAAATCACGACTTTAGTTGCCAACGTTTTATTTTTATTCGTTTCTTCCTTTTTACCTTTTTTTGCGTCTCCTTTGTCTTTTTGTGGCTTATTACGTTTGTGTACGGGAGGGCATTGTTTTGGGCCTGCTGAAAGACGTTTTTACACGTTTTCGGTATCCTGTGCGCAGTTGCAGTATTATCATCATGTAATATCTGGATATCTGGTTGCGACTGCGCAGTTCGTCCTCGTCTCTGTCTTCCTCTTTTCTTCGTCATTTGCCCATTCACTGCATTCGTATGCTTCTTTGTTTGCTCGAGTATGAAGGATTGGGGGAGAAAAAGGACTATACTTGGAATGGGCAGCAAAGGACTACGGAGAGGGAAACAGAAGATCCATTATCCATCTTCTTAACTTTCTTCACTAGGGAGCGTTGCCATGTTTCTATTTACATTTCCTGTCTAGAAATCGCAAAAAAAGAATTTAATGTTTTTGTAATCTTAAATATTATTTATGCTGCTCTACTACTTTAAAATTGTTTAAAACTATAAAGCAGATTATTTTTAGGAGTATTTCACTTTTAAATCTAGCTTGAGTTGGTCATGGTAAGAGCCTTATTTGGCGGGGAAATAGCTAGAGTGTTAGCCCTGCGGCTAGCTGTGTGCGCAAAGGCAAAGCCAGCTGCATTTTCATGCTCGAAAGACATAATAACCGCAACAAAAAACTATATAGCCTCAAAACGTTGTCGCTGCTGCCAGCTGAACGATGTCGAAGTCGATGCTGAGGCGTATAGAGCCTCGCTTTGTTGTGTCAAAGAACCTTTTCAAGGATACCACCACAACCTGCCCGAGGGGATGTAATAAAAATAAAGACGACGGCACGGACGAGAGTTCATTATTCCCTTCACACCTTGCAGCTCCTCTGTTTGCACAGGCTCCACAGATATAATACATAGCTGTGCTTACAGTTGGCCGGAAACCCACTGAATTGATTCAGAGTTGTAATTGTTTTATGATTTGATTTCTGCTACTTTTCTGTATATTTTGAGGCAGGAATGTCTTGCAGTAATTTCAAGTTCCGGAAATGGATGGCTTTAAAAATAACATAATTTGTAATCTAACGTCCTGATTAGTGTTTTGTAATAAAATAATTTTATGTAATAAAAGCTTCTGTTTCCGTTTCTGAGTTTACACAGATTTGTAGCATTAACATTGTAAACATTCCATTTTGGTGACCCCGATTTGCCATTATAATTTAATGTGGTATACCTTACAAATTTTGACATAATTCTTTAACTCGGTAAAAAGGTGACCCAGACTTTAGAAGTTTGCGTCAATTCATTCACTACAATTGTTTCTCTTGTTTTAGATTTATTTTTGATCAATTGATCTTATCATTTTAATAAACAGTTATGTCAAAATTTACGAAAAATTTGCAAATATTTGTTTATGACAGGTGATAGAGCTTAATGATCTGAGACAGGACAAGCGAAGAATTTAATGTTTCAACCGTATTCGGCCAAGTTATGATGTGCTAGGTTTGGGTGACCCCGATCCATTTTTATCGAGTCCATAACTCTTGTGTTCAGACCTTAGGAACACCCCAGATAAAGTATGTTCGCAGAGTGGGGCCCCGCATGAACGTGGAACGTCGATGCGATGCGATGCAATGACCCCGAATAAACCGAAACCGTGGAATGGTCACGCTGCAGTGCTGACAATGCAGCTCCACTCTGTGTCCGTGAGAGGTGTGTGTGCATGTATGGTGGTGTGCGGGCAGTGTGTGCGTGCCTTGAGTGGCCGGCGTTGCCATATGTCATCATCTAATTAGTGGGTCGAGGCCCGCTCGGTGTCAATTTCGAATTGAAACCGAACTGAAACTGAAACACCGCACGACCGACCAGCTGAGGCTGAAATAAACCCACCGGCTCGCAATTTTATATTTCACTTTTCGCCGTACATATCAGTTTCATGCACTTCCGCAGCCAAAACAATTGCACCAACATATGCAGCACACACGTGCAGAAATGCTTGTTGGCACTTTGACCCCTTTTTTGCGTAGGTTTATTTTGTTTTTGAGCGAGCTTTTTGTGCCGAACAACCTAAATTTGCCATTGGAAACACGGCGGACAAAGCCAAAAATATGAGGGCGCAGCAAAAAGATAATTTTCAGCATATTATCATTTACAAGGTCTAGAGAGCTTAAGGACTAGATAGTTTATTTTTCATAAAAATGTTATTCCATTTTCTTTCTATGTGCTTGGAAAGTATTTGTGACTCAATTCTATTACATATGTAAGCCTTTTCAATTATCATAAGTATGTGAAAAATGGTCCATTTTTATAATTGAGAAATCTTTTCCCAGGCATTACTGATTGATTTTGATAAATTAATTAGACTCTGTGAGGCACACTAAGTACTTAATACACTTTCGGTTTTAATATGTTACACCACATATAAGTACACATTCACGAACTCAAAACTGATTATTTCCTAGAAATAGGGGGAAGGGGTGTCGTGCACATGGTATGTAAATTGGAACCCCCTGCTGAGACATGTAGCATTTGTACATATGTATACACGACTCCAATCGGAGTTGGGGGTGGTAATGGTAACCGGTGTGACGAATGCATTCGCCGTAGTTCGGCACTTCAGCACCTCCGGCCCTACTTTTGCGAGTTCGTTCAGTAATAACAAAAATAACTGGAGCATGAGACATTGTATTATATATTCTCCTTTTTATTGTTACATGTTTTGTTAGTTGCGATGCATTAAAATTGAAAACAAATTAAAATGCAAACAAAAACTCCGAAAGGGAATGCAAGAGCAAGCCCAGTTCAATCGAAGAGGAAACCAGTTTGAAGGGGAAGCAATAGCCTTGAATCCGCAAACAAAAAAAAACACGAATGTATACACGAATCGGTTATTAAACCTTCTTCAATCAAATCATTCTGACTCATGCGGCCATTCGGAATCGGCTAAGCCCCGTACCTGGAGGCTCAGCCGATTTTTCATCTGACAAATGCATTTAATTGTTTTGTCTTTTTGTACCCCCTTTCCCGATTTCCTCAGCCAAATGGAATGGAAATAACGATCCAGATATATATTTAAAGGCAAATGTTATTTCTCAAAAATAAATTGAAATAGCACTATAAAACATACACTTAAAAGCTAAGGAGTTTAGCTTATATTTTTATCCTCATCTTGGGTACATATCAGTTTGCTTAGAACGATTCACAGCTTACAACACCAAATTAATTAATTCGTAATTCAATTATTCAAAACTATTTTGTTAGCCTCCGCTGTAGCTGTGTGTATGCATGGGGACAGGCATGAGCAATAAGTTAGCGCTTGCGGAAAATGACTTTGAATAAAATGGTGCCAAAGTGTCTGAAAATTAAGTGACGACTGAGCGAGACAGTAGAGTTAGGTGAGGGGGAAACGGAGGGCACAAAGAATGGGAGCAGGCAAACGAGTCGACGAACGAGCGAAAAAAACAAACAAACAAACAAAACAATAAGCTTCGCCGTTCAGTGCTGACGATTTGGCTTGTTTATGGCCACTCCAATTATACTGAAAAGAATTTGTATTTATTTTAAATTTATTACTTATGGAATCTTTTTATCTACACAATATGGAATATTGAATACTTAATTTTTAAATATGCAAAATAAATTGTTGTATGAATACTCTCTTTTCTATCTTAAATACAAAAAATTAACTTTGATTTCATTGATTGGGAAATCGACTTTTTGAGATTAGTAAAGAAATTTTTATAAAGGAAGCCTTTTTAAATTTTTGAAACACTTGTAGTAACTGTGCGGTCTTTTAAAATGCTATCTAAAAAATATCTAACAAACTAATGTAAAAGAAGGAAACCTTTAGTTCTGATCGATACCCAATTAGTTGACTTGGGATCCAGATTGATCGATTATGATTGAAAGTGAAATCTGAGATCTGGTTATGCTCGAGTATTTAACTCGCGTGGGCGAACTTGAACCTTCTGTTGTTTCTTAGCTCTGCATCATCAGCAACACCATATACCATATAATATTGAAGCTTCTTGTTCCTTGTTTTGCTTTGGGGCTCTTGTTTTTGTTTGTTTGTCTTTTGTATTTTGCGTTCTGCTTTTTAAAGGCAATGGGAACAAGACCTTTAAAATTCAGGCCCCCTCTTCCATTGTCATTTGTTTATTTGCATGCCAATTCAGTGGATTTCTGTTTATTTACAACTCAATTGCGCTGCATCACATTGGTTTACGCAGGGAAAAAGTGCGTGGCCAATATATATTCTTATGATTTTTCCAAGACATCACAGAAAGCCGAATAACGCTAGAGTTTATTTTTTTAATTACGCTTGCAGGATGTATTATAATACTGACCGGAAGGTGGAATAAAGCTTTGGTGATTACAGTTTCAATTAAAGCTACAGCTTTATTGGGAGCGATCGTCCCTAACAATTTGGCATTTGTTTTTTAATAATCTCTGTCAAATTTTCGAGTTCAATGTTATACATACATCTTTAATGTCAATCAACCAAACTCGTTCTTAGGATTATAATGTATTTATATGCTAACATAGTCCAATAGCAGCGAAAGAAATATTTACGTTATCTTCATGGGTATGTCAGTATTTCTTTATTATACATATTATGGTACTACATATAACTTGAATATTTATCGACGATACGTGTGATGGTAGTATCAACTTGATATGATTAAGCTTAATTTGTTAGCCTAACTAATTTGCATAGTGAATATGGTGTGGTTGTGCTCATACCTCTGTGTACGACCCTTACAACAACCTCGTTGTTGACCTCTCTTTCGCTGGTTATTGCCCGTTGGCCTCAGAAAAAGTTCTTTAATTAATAAAATGCTCGACATGTGTATCTTGTGTCTGTGTGCATGCATGTGGTTTTTCCTCGCTTTGTTTGTGTTTAATTATGGTGGTAGAAATATGGAATTAGTCATTTGGCAGCTTCTCTAATTAATAAATATTTTCATTGTTTTCCTTTGTTGTGGAGTTTTCAACTGGTTGCCCGGTTAGTTTTATGCTTTATTAAAAAATATAAAAGATTCATGTTATCCATATGCCAATTTTCATAAACATAGCACATTTTCTTAGTTGCTAAACGGAACGGCCCCACTTAAAAGAATTGAGTTTAAAAAGGTCGAGGTCTTGGATTGAATGGATAATAATTTGTTTGTATACAGGCCGATTTAATCATATTCATAAAATGAAGTGAAATTTGTTTGTAGCCTTTACTTGCAATAACAAGAAAGGCAAGCCGAAGTTAATATACTCTTGCAGTTATACAATAACAAATTGTAGAAATTTGACCAATGGCACTTTGTGCATTGTTATATATAGATATGTTCTCTATATTCCTTCGACCTTCTTCCAGAAGTTTCCACATTGGCCGAACTGGCAGCACGTTGTGTGGCCTCCTACATACCGTTCGAGCTGGTGGAGCACGTGTATCCGCCGGTGCCGGAGCAGTTGCAGCTGCGCATTGCTTTCTGGAGCTTTCCGGACAACGAGGAGGACATCCGGTTGTATTCCTGCCTGGCCAACAGTTCAGCAGACGAGTTCAATCGCGGCGACTCGTTGTTTCGGCTGCGAGCTGTCAAGGATCCGCTGCAAATAGGTAAGTTTGAATAATAGGGAATAACTGGATGCTAACCCTAACCTTCTGATCCGCTTGCAGGCTTTCACCTGTCGGCCAGCGTGGTCAGTCAGACGCCACGTGCATACTTCAATGTGGCCGTTACCTTTGACCGTCGTCGCATCTCGTCTTGCAACTGCACCTGCACCTCGTCCGCCTACTGGTGCTCCCACGTGGTCGCCGTTTGTCTGCATCGCATTCATTGCGTAAGTATGGCAGGGTTAAGTGACTAAACGTGATTTTTCTAAACATTAGTATCATAAACTAAATTAAAAGAGCTCATAAGTGATTTTAATCGATCTAACATAGTTAAATTTACACTTTATCAGTTTGAGAATCTGTAATTAGTACCCGAAGTCAATTCTTATATATAACTGAATGAAACGCAATGACCAAGTTAAGAAACAGATCAACTTCGAAACAGTTGCGAAATTTGTTGAGTCATAAAATGATTTGTTTGTATTAAAAATATGCTTATGATCAAAAAGGATAGCTTCTTTTTAAAGGTTTTTGTGAAAGTAAATTCCTTTAATCTTGTTTATATTCAAGTGGATAGTTTGTATATCCAGTTTTTGTGAAAGTAAATTGTCCAACTTGTAACTTACTTTGGCCAGAGACTTAATTTAATCTCATCTTAAATTGCAGCCACAGGAAGTTTGTCTGCGGGCTCCCGTGTCCGAGTCGTTGACCCGGCTGCAACGCGACCAGCTGCAGAAGTTCGCCCAGTATCTGATCAGCGAGCTGCCCCAGCAGATCCTGCCGACAGCCCAGCGGCTCCTGGACGAGCTGCTTAGTGCCCAGCCCACGGCCATTAACACGGTGTGCGGTGCGCCCGATCCAACGGCTGGGGCCTCGATCAACGACCAGACCAGCTGGTACTTGGACGAGAAGACGCTGCATAACAACATTAAACGGATCCTCATTAAGTTCTGTTTGCCCGCCCCGATTGTGTTTAGGTGAGATTTTTTAAATTTCGCATTAACGTAATATATCCTGAACATTCTTTTCCCGTCGCAGCGATGTGAACTATCTGACAAACTCGGCTCCCCCGGCGGCGGCCGAGTGGAGTTCCCTACTGCGACCGCTGCGAGGTCGCGAACCGGAGGGCATGTGGAATCTGCTCTCGATCGTACGCGAGATGTACAGGCGATGCGATCGGAACGCAGTGCGTCTGCTGGAGATCATCACGGAGGAGTGCATGGTCTGCGACCAGATACTGATCTGGTGGTTCCAGACGAAGCTGGCGCTAATGATGGGCTCCCACGGCCATTCGGGCGGCAAGCACTCGAACACGCACTCCAACTCGACGGCTCTGCAGCATGCGTGCAGCTCGCTGTGCGACGAGATCGTGGCCCTGTGGCGGCTGGCAGCGCTCAATCCCGGCCTGGCGCCGGATGAGCGGGACATGCTGCACGCCCAGTTCACGGCCTGGCATCTAAAGATACTTGACAGGGTGGTCAAGAGCCGGATGATGCCGTCGTCCTACACCAACAAGCACCAGCAGAACTCGCGATCCGAGACGGAACTGTTCATAGGGTTCAAGCCGGCCATAGAGGCGTGCTACTTGGACTGGGAGGGCTACCCCATTCCGGGGGTGACGCACACCCACGACACGAATCCCATCTACTACTCGCCGTTCACCTGCTTCAAGCACACGGATCTCAAGGGCGAGTCCAACAATCCCGGCCAGCTGAACGCCACCCAGGCGCTGATGACGAACAACAAGCACTACAATTACTTTAGTGCCTCCAGCGATCATGGCATGCACGCTGGTGTATTCAAGCAGAGATTGGACAGACCCTTTCGGGAGTCGCGATTCTATACGAATCCGGCCGATCTGGAGGGATCAGCTCCAGTGGCTGCCGGAGGATCAGGCAGATTTCCCACGGGATTAGGGGCTGTCGGCGTGGGAGGACTTGGTGCTGGTGTCGTTGGTCAAATAAGCGGAGGAGTAAGTGCCGCTGTTGGAGCAGCCGCCGCCGAAGTGAATCCCGCACAGCAGCAGCTGCCTAGTGGATCGGCTGGAGGCAGTGCCTCTGTGGCAAACTCCAAGGCAGTGGCAGCAGCTGACGGCAATCGTTCGAGTGCCAGCAGCGAAGGATTCTGTGAGAATGACGATTTCGGCGGCGACACCAGCAGCAGTCACAACTACTGCCCACCTGGACAGGCGCTCGTGCCCGGCCAGAAGTCGGCCCTTACGGAATCGGACTCCCAGAGCAGCTTCGATGCAGTGTCGCAGCAGAGCAAGGATGAGCCGGCAGTCGGGGGAGTGGGTGTGCCAGTGGGTGTTGAACAAGCCCTCTCCACCTCGGACACTTCGTCAGCATCCTCGGCCTCCTCATCCGCATCTACGGCGTCGGGAAGCTCCAATAGCTCCACTTCTTCCATGCTAATGGCTGGACAGGAGGCGACTGTTGGAGTGGGTGGTGCAGTGCAGCAAACACCTCGTCGTCTGAGCAAGGATGAATCCTTCAGCAGCAGCAGCGACGAGTTTAACCAAGGAGCAGTGGGTGGATCAGCAGTTGGAGTTGGTGGTGCCGGTGGAAGCGGGTTAGTTGCAGGAGAAGCAGTGGCGGGAGGAGCGGGAGCAACAGCAGGTGGAGATCTCACGCCAGTGCCCAGCACTTCGGCAGCCGCCAGAGCTGCCATGGCCGCCAACTGCTCGGTGCCGGTAATGCCCAGTGTACCTCACCTTGCAACAAGCCCAGCAGGAGGATTGGGAGTGCTGGGACTGGGTGCTTCGGTGGACCAGCCTTGCACATCATCCGTGCACGCAGCCCGAGTTCTAGCCGCTGCAGTTGCCGCCTCCAGCGACAAGCCGCATGTGTTCTCCAATGTCCGACCGACGGAGGACGCCTGGGATATACTGCTGGCCAGAGCCGAGGGTCTACATGCCCACGGTCACGGCGGGGAGGCCTGCATACTGGCCGTACGCCTGGCCGAGCAGATGCTGGCCAATCCGCCCAACCTCCTCCTGGAACTGCCACCCGCACCCAAGCGGAAGGGGAAGAAACAGAACGTGAACCCCATCTCGCATCAGCTGACAGTCGTGGCCTCCGCCACGCTGTCCAAGTGTGCGTTCCTGTGCACCGTGCTGTCGGAGAACTCGGAGCACTACCACATCGGCTTTCGGATATGCTTGTTTGCTTTGGAGATGCCACGACCGCCGGCCAGCACCAAACCGCTGGAGGTGAAGCTGGCCAACCAAGAGGCGGACATACTGGCTCTGCTCAAGCGTTTGCCGCTGGGATCCGCGGAGCTGCAAGTAATTCGAGAGCGAGCGGAGCAACTGCGAAGTGGAACCTTCAAGACACGAGGCGAAGCATTGCTGCCGATTAACTTGGCCACGTTTATCTTCGACGCCCTGGTTACCTTTAGCCCCGGAGCTGGGTCTACGATTGGCCCTGGAGTGGCTTCTTCTAGCGGCGTAGGAGGGGCAGCAAGCAAATCCATGGTCAACGCGGGCTCACGTTTGCTGCTTTACAAGCACAACAGCGATGAAAACCTCGGATTCGATGCTGCAGTGGCAGCTCTGGGATTGAAGGCCAACGTCTCGGAGGCAGAGCATCCGTTGCTGTGTGAAGGTACCCGCCGGCAGCGCGGGGATCTGGCTCTGACCTTGCTGTACCACTACAAGGACGAGCCGCGCAAGATAGCCAAGATCATGGAGAAGCTGCTGGACAGGGACATACACACGCTCCTGAACGCGCCACTCCTGCCCGCATACTACTCGAGCAATCCGCCGGTGAGGACGCCGAGCAATCAGCCAACGCGCAGGGAGGAGCACGAGTACGGCGGCAGCTCCGGGTGCGCCTCGTCCAACTGTAATCCGGTGGCCAATCTGTGTGAGCTTCTGCCGGCGGATTACGGCAGCGTGGGCGGAAACAGCCGGCCACACAGCTCCACAAGTGCCGAACTGGAGCTGAGCATGTGCGCACTGAGCATGGCCAGCAGTGGCAGCCAATCGGGCGGAGGCCAGGGCATTGTGCCCACACCGAATGCGGCGGGAACTACAGGAACACCCAATTCCAGCAGCACTACGGCCAGTGGCAGCCAGAACCCCAATGGCAATCCCAGTGGCAGCGGTGGAGGAGGAAACGGCGGAGGTGGCAACGGCGGTGGCGGTGGCAGCTCCAGTAGTAGCCGGAGCAAGGAGAGCCGCTACAAGGGAAAGAGGGCATACCCCTCGATACCCAACCAGCCGTCGGAGGCGAGTGCCCACTTCATGTTCGAGTTGGCCAAGAATGTGCTGACCAAGGCCGGCGGCAATAGTTCCACATCGCTGTTCACCCAGGCGAGCACCAGCCAGAACCACCATGGACCGCATCGTGCCCTTCACATGTGCGCCTTCCAGCTGGGCCTCTATGCCCTGGGTCTGCACAACTGTGTGAGTCCCAATTGGCTGTCCAGGACGTACTCGTCGCACGTCTCCTGGATCCTGGGGCAGGCGATGGAGATTGGAGCGCCGGCGATCAGTTTTCTGATCGACACTTGGGAGGCGCATCTTACGCCCCCCGAGGCGGCTGGCATGGCGGATCGGGCGTCGCGTGGATGGGACACCAACATGGTTTATCCGGCGGCGGAGCTGGCCCTCTCCGTTCTGCCCCATGCAGCCGCCCTCAATCCCAACGAGATCCAGCGTGCGATCCTTCAGTGCAAGGAGCAGAGCGATCTGATGCTGGAGCGGGCCTGTCTCACCGTGGAGACGGCTGCCAAGGGCGGCGGAGTCTACCCGGAGGTGCTGTTCCAGGTGGCACGCTATTGGTACGAGCTGTACATGCGGAATACGCCGAACAACAGCGAGCACGAGCCGCACGACGACACCATGGACCACTCGGCGGTCAGTCTGAGCGCCTTGATCGAGTCCCAACAGCAGCACGAGCTCCAGCAGCAGCAGCAGCAACAGGCGGTGCAGCAGCAACAGCAGGTGGTGCAGCAGCAGCAGCAACAGGTGGTGCAACAACAACAGCAGCTGGGCATGCCGAATCCCGGGGTGCCGGGCGGAGTTGGTCCTGGACCCGGACTGGCCGTATCCGTGCCCCCGCCGGTAGTTGGCTCTGTGCCGAATCCGCAGGCCCAGTTTCAGCCCGTGGGCGTTGCCTCACTGGCTCCCCTCGGCCTGGCGCCGTACCCGCCGTACAGTTTCTGCCAGGGCCTGTACGCACACCACCACAACCTGAGCTATCCTCCCGGCCAGATGCAAATGTACATCTCGGCGGGACTGCCGCCGCCTCCACAAGGTTACGGCGGTTACCAGCAGGCGCCGCCCCAGCAGCCGCCCAATCAGCAACAACAGCAGCAGGTGGTGCAACAACAAGTGCAGCAGCAGCAGCAGGTGGTGCAACAGCAGGTGCAGCAGCAGCAGCAGGTCCAGATGGCGGGACAAGCGCCACCGGGTCATCCAGGACAGCAAGGACATCCGGGCCAGCCGCCGTCTGGCTTCCAGCAGCAACCACCACCGGGACCGTTCCAGGCGATGCCACCGCAGGCCTACCAGGCAATGCAGGCGGGTCCTCCGGGTCCGCCGATTGGTCCGCCGCAGGGCTACTACGGCCCACCGCCGCCACCGCCTCCGAATGGACCACCGGGCGTGGGTGTGGGAGTCGGAGTGATGCCCATGCGTCAGCATCAACACCAGCACCCCGTGTACCCCTTCATGCAGCAGGCGCCACCACCACCGCAGCAACAGCCGCCGCCTTCGCAGCCACCCGTGCGACAAAGACAACCGCATCAGTTTACGTAAGTGATCCCGACTCCGATCACAATCCAGCTTTAGCTTGGCTTTGCTTTAACAAATTCCTTCTTCTTATTTTTGCGCAGACCCACCCAGCTGCGCTATCTGCTGGCCGCCTACAACGTGGGCATGCTGGCCATGGAAACACTGGCACGCCGCGTTCACGACGACCGGCCGCAGGCAAAGTACGCCCGGAATCCCCCATACGGCGAAGATGTCAAATGGCTGCTGCGGATCAGCAAAAAGCTGGGCACCCAGTATCTGCACCAGTTCTGCATCTGTGCGGTCAACTCTATTGTGAGTCCGTTCGTGCTGCACGACGTGGCCATCGAATCCGCCCACTATCTGGGCAGGAACAACCACCAGCTGGTGATGCAGCACCTACGCTCTGCGCTTACGCCGCTCGTCCAGAAGTGCCAGCAGATGTGAGTACTGTGTGCTTGGACAAATGTATATATCTAATGTGTTTTTTTTTTGCTGGTTTCACAGGTACATCCAGTGCATACACCAGAAGCTGTACCACCTGACTCAGGGCGACTACGAGGAGTTTGCCAGCATTGTGGTGGCGGCCCGCGCAGCCTTCCAGATCACGCCCGAGGGCAGCGCCCAATTCAAGGACTGGCTGCAGTCCATTAAGCGGTAAGCTTTCAGGGAGTTCAAGACAGTTGCAGGTGCATTTTAAAACCAAACAAACCCAACTCTTGCTTTGACCCTTCTGCAGATCCAAATCCTGCAAGAAAGAGCTGTGGACCCAGATTAATACGGCACTGCAGAGCAACTCCAAATGACAAAGACTTGACTCCTGCAATCTGATGACGGCAGTGGCAACAGCAACATTGGCGACGGTGGCGACAGCAGCAGCGACAACTGCCACAGCAGAGTGCAAGTCCACAGCGGCGTCTGGCGGTGGCACCGGCAACAACAACAGCGCTCCCAATCACAACCACATTGGCAGCAGCGTCACCAACGCCACCACCAACAGCAACGGCGGCAACATTAACATCAACATCGGAGAATCTGTGGCCGGACACAACCATCATCATCACCACCATCACCACAGGCATCATCATTTGCTGGAAACGCCGGTCAGCAGCTCTGCGGGACTAGCAGCACAAGAAGCGGGAGCAACAGGAGCAACAATAGCAGTGGCAACAACATCACTTGGCAACCCCCCAGCAACAGCATCAGTAGCTGCAGCTACAGCAGCAGCACTAGCAGCAACCAATGTTGCCGGCTACGAGCGATCGGAGCGCATGGAACGAAGACCACCACTGCTGGGAGCACCACCGCCGCTGTCCGCGATCAGCAACGGCAACGGACGATCGGCGGCAGCGATCGCTTATCACTCGCTAATGCCGAACTACTATCCCAGCACGCGGCAGTTGCATATGCATGGCCATGCCCGAAGTCATGCGCATCCCCCGCAGAACGGGCATCCCCACCCTCACCAGCAACAGCAACCGCACCCGCTACCGCCTCCCCAACAGCATCCACATCCCCATCAGTACCAACTGCAGGCGCTAAGCCACTACCATCAGCAACTTTAACAACGTGTCGCTGGCACTGCCTACCGGCACGGGTGTCCAGCGGCTGGTGCGTCTGCTGCTCCTGCTGCAGCGTCGTCGCTTTGGCGGCCGGAAGAACATGGCGGCGGAGGAGGGGGAGCAAGAGCTGCAGCAGCCAGCGGCAGTTGTGCCTGCAGGCGATGATCCTGCCCCTGCGCAGAAATCCATCACCACCTGGCTCTGGCTTTTGCTGCTGGTGTTGCTGGTGCTGCTTCTGGTCCTGGGCTTACCACTGCTGCTGCTAATGCTCCTCTGATCCCCATCCACAGCCATTCCCCTCCCGAGAACCACCGCACTTAGTTCATGTTAAACATAGTTTTTATTTTTAAAATTGAGTTTTCGTTAGGGTTTTTTTTCGTAATTAATCAAGCCTACATTTATACATAAACGAGCAACTTTTCATCAGTGGTGTGTGTGTGTGTGTGCGTGTGCACTTTTAGACTGAGATATCTGCCAACAGCAACAACACCAACCGACACTCCCACACACACACAACCACCCACGCATACTAACACACCCATAAGCATAGAAGATGGAAAGCTCTGTTTATTTTTCAGAAATGTGTTCAGTTAAACTAACGTATTTATAGACGATCTATCAAATAGTTTTCTACACCTACAGCTATATAAACTCGGACTTATACGTATATGCTTACAACCCCTAACCCTACCTATTATATAATTTAAAGTAATGCCACCTTCTTTCATATAACACCAGTTTCGAAAAACGCAAAAACAACAACCTTCTCTAGTTTAGGCTAACGACTTTTTATTCATTGTTTCTATATATAATTTTTAGTGTTCGGTAAAAAAAGATGATCGATTTATATAACCTTATACATATTTAAAACCTGTGGTTAAGCAATTTTTTAGGATTTTCAAATTTATTTCACCAACAATATCCACCAGACACACGAGCATAATCGATTCAGTGGAAATTCTCGGCTGAGTAGTTTGTTTTTAATATTTAACTAGCTAAAGATCTCAAAAAAAAATCGTTATAATTTTTCAAAAATGTATAAAATGCAAATAGAGAAAATGCATTTGAAAAATTAAACAAAAAAAAACACCGCATGTGGGCAAAGTGGAGTTGGAGAAGTTTGAAAATCGCTTCGAAAATAACTAAAAAGTTACTTTCAAAATGATTTTACTTTGCCATGTCTAAGTTTACGGCCACCGCCCACAAACAGCTGCATCTAAGGGATATATATCTAGGTCTATACAGCTGAATTATAGATAGCAAATATTTGAGACAAACTGCCAGAATTTCCTCAGTTTCGACTGAGGTGAAAATACACTTTTCCCCCGTTTGTCTGTCTCTGTCTTACGAGATGATAACGACAGAGCAAAGACAACCAATCGAACAGATTTCTAGATAATGCAAATCATTATGTTCACACACACACACACAGAAACACACATTTTTTACAATGTATAACTTTAAAAAATAGTTGTTGGTGAAGCAAAAAGTTTTAGCATCAAAGTAGTTTCTATTTTTATATTTTAATTAAACAAAATTTTTGCTTTACAAATTTTGTTTATATTTTAAAACCTTTTTAATTATTTTTTTTAATCCATTAAATTCTTTTTATATTTATACACACAAGTAAAAAAAAAAAACAAAACAAAAAAATATGAACAAAATTTTTTTTTATTATAGACAAATAATGCTGTTTTGAATAAATATGGTTTTTTGGATTTATTTCAAAACGCAAATGAAAAGCGAAAAAAAACGAAACAAAAAACAAAAACACAAAATAAACAATGTTTGTTTTATTTATGTTGGTTTCTTTTCCAGGCCACACTATTGTTTTTGCTGCATTTTGTAAAAATTTAAGTCTTTTAAATTCGGCCTAATTCAATTGATTTTGTACTTATTATTCTTACTAAAATAATTTAATTTAATTTATCCTGACTGTATTTGAATTCTGTTCTTGTTATTATTCTTTGCGGTTATACAACCCAATCCAATCATTTAAATCCAACGCATCCGAACATCATCCTAAATTAAAAACTATAAAAGGAAACTGCCACTTTCTTGAGGATTCAGTAATGTTACATAATTATTACAAATAAATAGTTATACACGATCGCGACCCCCTGAAAATTCCTTGAGAGCAGGCGGCCTAAGGTCCTTTGTATCCGTGGATTGGCTATCGCCTTCGCCGCCGGAACGCCTCAGTCCCCGCTTAAAGGTTGTAAATACGGACGATGTCTTATATAAGTATTGTAATTCCATTGTGTTTTGTATTATTACGAGTAGAGAAACCGAAAGCCGATTACGATACGGATATAAATGAAATTACATGAGAGTCCAGATCGATTCGGATTCGAACTCTGTAAGCAATCGCGTAATTTGTAATCTTTTAGTAGGCAGTGTTTTATACAAAGAAAATACCGAAAATAACTTAATCTATTTATATAGTGAACAATCGCAATCTGTAAATTAAAATTAACAAGATGTTTTTAAATTATATTATAATTGAATTTTTCCGTGAAAAATGAAAAAAAAATTTAGAACAGACGACTTTCTCGCTTTGTTTACCATTAATATCTGTAAAATATCAATATTCCCAATTAGCAAGCAGATCGAAAAATAAATTTGAGAAAATATAATTATAGGAACGAAACCAATAGACAGATAAAGACCATTAACCCATTGACTAGAACCACTCAATAACAATAACGGAAAAGTAAAACGAACAAAGCAAGAACATACGATTTAAAATAATAATAAATGCAAACATAATGTTAACGTAGCCGATTAGCCTTTAGATCACATATAGCGCATATTTTACACAAGCGTAGTGAACCAATTTCCAAACTAAACATAACTCCACGAACCCAAAACACACAGTTCCAGAAATCACCGCCTTTACTATGGCTGTAACCTCTGGTGGCGGACTGGGGAAAATTTGAACTTTAAAGCAATATTTCCTTTGAGAATACCGGCTTAGTGATTCAAAAAACAAAACTAATTTAAAAAAAAAAATTTTATCTAAAGTTAAAAAAAAATTTAATTAAATTAAATAGACCATCTTTGCTTTTGGTATAACTTGTGAATGAGTATAAAATCTCTTCTATATTTTCCTGACTTTTTATTGGTAAATTATAGAAATTATAAATCCCTGCGCAATATTTTTGTGAAAACTAATAATTTAAGAAATCCATCATATCATTTAACTGCCACTGATATGAAAGTTTAAAAAAAAAAGCCTTAAAGTTCCCTATAAAAATTCTTCCCCAGACACAGCTTTCTTAGATATGGTCATAGAATTCCAAACTTCCCCACAAAAATCATCGTAAAAATATCTTTGCACAGAGGCGTGTAAATAGCCAATACACAAGAACACAGAATTCTGGAGCTGATCGGGGTGTCAGCCTGGAAATCAGCTTTCCGTTCCGATCTGCACTATATAGCCACCTCTCGTATATTTACAGATACATATTAAAATTGACGCGGACATAAAATATATTAATCTTAAGTCGAAAATAAAGCATTACCTCATACTTTAAAAACTTATGAAGACAGTTACAAGTAGAAAACTCGAAAATATATAGATTATATACAATATACACGATAAATATAGGGCATTTTTTTGTAGCAAACAAACTTAGGCTTTATGAAATTCTATAATTTATGAAACGAATTCCAGATATGATTTTCTTGTTGTAAGGGAGAGGGAAACGAGGCAAAGAGAAGGTGGAATAAATGACTCTTGGTAGAGTGTCGCCTCCCGGGGAATCCCCATTTCCTGGCCTCGTTCATTTGCTCTTTTCGTTACCCGTGTCTCTTTGTACATTTTTGCACTGTAAAAACTAAAATATTAAATATATAAATATATTGCTTGCTAAAGAAAAGTTTAAAAAAACGAATGGAAATCGCGCAAAAACGTTATTTATATATATGCCTACAGAAACATGCAAAAAAAACTATTATATACAAGAAAATATATACATACACATATAAAAATATATATACAATACTTATTTACATTGCGTATTTTAGCGTTTTATTCGACATCGGAAAATAAAAATAAAAACCAAAACCAATCGTAGAAACGCTACAAAAGTGTTCTTTTTAACAAAAAAAAAAAAATGCGGAAAACGGAAAATAGAAAATTAAATTAACAGAAAATATTTATACATAGAGATGAAGCGGGAAGTTGAAAGCTAAAATATAAACCGATAGGAGGACAGAAAATATTTAATTAAATGACTAATTTTACAAAAGAAATGGACGTTTTTTACCAATCGCTGTAAATATCAAGCAAAAATGTAAAACACTAATATGGCGGGTTTTTGATTTTTTATTTGTTTTGCATTTCAAACTGTCTCCACTATTCGGCCGCAGACCCCAGCCACGCCCCCCGAAAAACTAACACCACTACAATACAAAGCTTTAATTCATTGCCACACACACCACAACACCCACACCCACCCCCACACACACAGCGATGCTAAAGTGCTTTAGAAACTAAAAACAAACTTGAAAACATACACGAAAGTAAATAAATACATTTCTCTTAAGTAAATCTAAAAATTTTTACGAACAGACAAAAAACACAAGAACAGAAACTCTGCCAAAAATAAAGCTAATAAAAACTAAATGAAAAGCAAAAGTAAACCGATATCTTCTCTAAAAATAGCAACAAATTGTAAACATGAAAATAATATGGAACTAACTAATTATACATAAATAATTAAAGGACGAAAAGAAGAGCAGAACGAATAATAAGAATGGAAATTAAAAACAAAGCTTATTTTATATATTCAAACATACAAGAATAAAATAAACAAAATGACCATTAATTAACTAAATTATATATGATCACATTATAAACCGAATATAGTGTATATTAATGATTTTAACCATGTAAAAAAATTGAAACAATCTTTTCGAATTTTAATAATTTTCAAATGGTTTGAAAAACGAGAATCAGCAGCAGCACACAGAGTTAGTGACGAACCGAAGGAAAAAGGTTAGAGCAGCGCATTATTATTAACTAATTTATGTAATATGCAATATATCTACTATATTAAAAAAATACAAATAAATGATCGAGGAAAATTAAAATATACACAGCAAAGGAGAACATAAAATGAACACATTTTAAAACAATGAAAATGAAACGGAAAAAATTACAAAAAAAAAAACACTCAAATAAAAAAGCAGAAGAAAAAGGAAAAAAAAAATATAAGAACAATTAGTTTTTCTCGTTCGCGCATCCAGAGTGAAATCATAATTTTTCCTGTCGGAATTAAGTGATATCTCTGATTCTTCCATATGGGTTAAGTTTCGAAAACATGGTTCTCTTCCATCAGAGTGAATTTTCGCAATAAGGTTTATCCTATAAACTGAACTGAAAATATATATTTTCATAATTGGCAACTTATAGGTTCCTGAACTGAATTATGCTCTATTTTAAAGGATCTCTTAATGATAGTTAATTACAAGATTTCGTAAAAATGGTTTATTTAGCATTTTCTTTTCTTTTTGTAAGTAAGCACTGACCATCTTGCAATCTTCAGGATTTGATCTTCATTTAAGGATTTAATAAGTTGTATTAAGTTGCGTTTTTTTAAGTTCACTAATGAAAAGAGCTAGTTTTTGCAAAAGGAGTAAAATAAAAGATAGCAGTAAAAATTACCATAGGCGAATCTAAATAACGTTATAAAATATAATTGTACCTAAGTGTCTAGTGTTGCATATTTACAGGCTGAAGGGAATTTGAACTTGATGTTTTTAGGTACATAAATATGTTACATGCACCGATAGTACTATCGATAGATATATGCAGCTTAATATCGCAATGACGCAGACCGTTGACAAGACCATATTACTAGGGCAAGAAAACATCTGATTTATGTTATGTAAATTTAAAAATATATTTATTTACCCAAAATGACTTAGTAGCCAAAATTAACAAACCTCCTGCGAGAATTGCGCTAACAAACGATAACTCCGATCAAAAAAACCAAACGGCCATCACCAACTAACAATCGACTCCAACTGCCAGCACTAAAGCGAACTGAATATTTTTGCAAAGGAATTTTGTTGTCATTCTGGAATATGGTATAGAACCGCCTTGAAAAGCACACGAACCACGGAAAGGATGGCCAGCGCAGTGGTGGTGCTGGACAACGGGGCGTACACGGCCAAGGTGGGTCTGGCCAGCCAGGACGAGCCGCAGGTCGTCCCCAACTGCATCATGAAGGCGAAGAGCGAGCGGCGTCGCGCCTTTGTAGGCAATCAGATCGAAGAGTGCCGCGACACCTCGGCGCTATATTACATCCTGGCTTTCCAACGCGGCTACCTGCTCAACTGGGACACCCAGAAGACGGTGTGGGACTACATCTTCAGCAAGGACGGCATCGGCTGTACGCTGGAGAACCGCAACATCGTGATCACCGAGCCGCAGATGAACTTCCAGAGCGTACAGGAGGCGATGCTGGAGATGCTGTTCGAGGAGTACCGGGTGGCTGGTGTGTACAAGACCACCGCCGCTGATCTGGCCGCCTTTAACTATGTTGCCGACAGCGAGGAGCGCACCACAATGCAGTCGCTGAACTGCATCATCATTGACATTGGCTACAGCTTCACGCACATCGTTCCCTTTGTCCTTGGACGACGCGTCCTCGAGGGTATCCGTCGCATCGATATGGGCGGCAAGGCGTTGACCAATCACCTTAAGGAGCTGATATCCTATCGGCACCTAAACGTGATGGACGAGAGCCATGTGGTCAACCAGATCAAGGAGGATGTCTGCTTCGTGGCCGAGGATTTCAAGCAGGCGATGCAAGTGCATCAGTCAGATGAGAAGCGTCGCGAGCTTTCGCTAGACTATGTCCTCCCGGACTTTACCACCGTACGACGGGGCTATGTCCGTGTGCCGGGCAAGCCGCGCGAGGACGAGGAGCAGCAACAGATGGTGCCGCTGTGCAACGAGCGCTTTACCGTGCCCGAACTGCTCTTCAATCCCTCGGACATCGGGGTGCCACAGGTGGGCATCCCGGAGGCAGTAGCCGACTGCCTGAAGGCATGCCCCTGGGAGGCGCATCGCGAACTTCTCCTCAACATCCTTATTGTGGGCGGCAGCGCCCAGTTTCCCGGCTTCCTGCCCCGTCTCAAGCGCGATTTGCGCGCCCTGGTGCCCGACGATCTGGAGGTGTCGCTCATTTGCCCCGAGGATCCGGTTCGCTATGCCTGGTACGGCGGCAAGGAGGTGGCAACCAGTCCCAACTTTGACGAGTTCGTCTACACACGAGATGACTACGACGAGTACGGTTTTCAAGGCATCAATCAGCGGTAGTGAGCATATAGTTTTAGTCTTTTTTCGTACAAAATAAACCTGTTTCAACAGCGATCTTTGGTAGAACATTCTTTGTCTATATATTGAACTAGGGCTAAGAGGACAAACTGCCAGCCTGCGGCCAGGAAGCGGATGGGTCACTTACCTAGCGCTACAACTAAAATTTAACTATAGAACACAACTTAAGATTTACAATTCGTTTGCGAAGTAAAATTTACAAAGGATGCGGTGCTTTTGCCAACACAGAAATGAGATACTAGGTCAGGCCGCGTACTGCATTTAACTTGGTTAATATAGGTTTGCGAGGCGGGTGTCGGCGGATCTCCTCCGGATCTCCATCGGTTTACATGCTGAATGATTCGCCGCAACCGCAGGTGCCCTTGATGTTCGGATTGTTGAACACGAACTCGCTGGACAGCTTCGATTCCACAAAGTCCATCTCGGTGCCTTTAAGGGGATTAGCAATTGGATTAGCTAGGCTACACAATTGTTTGCATTTTGGGGGACTTACCCAGCAGCGAAAGTTGGGCTTTCTTGTCGATAAACACCTTGACGCCATCCTGGATCACCTCCTCGTCCAACTTGTCTGCTGGCAGATGTTAACAAAGAAAGTCTTGGATTAGCTCTACACTGAACAACTCCAAGTGCAGTGGGGCTTACCTTTTTGGCTGGCATAGTCCAGCGTGTAGGAGAGACCATTGCATCCTCGTTGCCGCACGCCCACCTTCAAACCAACCTTTGGGATAACAACAATGAATTATTTTGAACATTATTTTTAATAGGCACCCATTACTAAAGCCTTAAATTAAGTTGAAAAACGTATTAATTCCATATTTCTTAGTCTTTTAATGATTTTGCACTCCAATATCTTGGTCTGGTTTTAAATATTTAAATCATAAACTACGTAAATCTTAAATACGCTAAAAAAAACCCTGCGATAAAACATTCTGTTAACTCAAAAGTAAGAAGAGTATTTATTCTAAGAGCCATAAATGCACTTTTGTGTGTGTGGGAGGTCAAAATTTGCAGAGTCCATCTAGATTAATGTACACTTATAAAGATATAGAAAGCTTAGAACCATAATACAGCGACAATAAAATGCTACTTTCTATTATTTATTTTGGGTGACTTATTTAGGAACCAAATTGCTACAGCAACTAAGTTACCAAAATGCAAGGTAGATCTTAGAAGTCTTATTGGAATGTTGAAGGGCTAACCAATACCCATCTATTGGCTGCCCGGAGTGACTCACCATGTCCGGCTTATCCTGCAGAAGGGTCTTAATGCGCAGCACGGCCGCCGGAGTCTGAAACGGATCGGGGTATTAGGATCACATCGAAGGGACTGTTACTTCATCAGCAGAACGCGCCGATTTCGCCAGGTTGGACACTTCTTACCAGAGTTAGAGCAGCCCGCGTCGGGATCAGTTTGCGACCCTTGACCGCCCGCACCGTCGCCGTTGCCACCACACGTGTCGCCATCGGTTCCTGCGCTTTATATAATTTGTTTTCCCTCGACAATTTCAACAAAAATATTTTGAGTGCTACTACCAGATGGTTCTGACACTACTGTCGATAGTATCACGTGAGATGAAATGAGCTGGAGCTATCGATATGCCGGAATTGATTTTCAAAAATCAACAACATCATTTTAGTTACTAATTTAGTAGGTCGTAAAATGTTAATACGTTAAAAAAAGAGGGCATTATAAAACCATAACTAAAAAATTTTAAAAATTAATCTGATATTTTTTTAAATAAATTAGTGCGTCATTTCATGAATCGATATTGCTTCACAAATGTGGCTCCCGCTTAAAGTGATAGTAGGGAAAAAGCCATCTCTAACCCAACTGTATTTCACGCGATTCGATCAAATTAAATAATATCAATATCTCGAAAATGTGCGCCCTGCGACAAGTGTACAAAATAAGCATTGGAGTGGCAAGAAGCGCACTATTAACCAATATTCGAAAATTGCAACTCGAGGCTTTAAATCACCCACAATTCCAGTTGCAATTTCAACGTTTTGCAACCAAAACACAAACAGCTGTTTTAAGCAGCAACAACAACTTCACGTGCATTTCCCGGAATTTACACTGCAGCAAACCGGTGGTAAGATTTGGAAAAATATAATTTACTTATTCGCCAAAATAAAATAATATATATTTAGTTTATTCAAATTTAAAATTAGGGCTTAAAAAAAGTATTTGTAAATTAAATTAAAAATAAATAACAAAAAAATAAATAACTCTGTTTAAAATATTAATATATAATTATTTAATTTAAAAAAGTGCATTAAGTGTTCTGACATTTTGTTTGTTTTGTCATTATTACATGATTTATACCGCCTAACTGGATTATTACTATGTTTTCCGGTTAAAATCTAAGGTAATCTTTTATATAATGTTTTGTGAGAGGTACAAATAGCTATCATTTATAAGCAACAACAAATCGGAACTTATATATTATTCCTTTACTTTTAGGAAGATGCGGATAAGACGGTGGCTACCAACAGCGTGCCCCTGGCAAAGCTGGAATCCAAGATGCAGCTGATCTACACCTGCAAGGTGTGTCAGACACGAAACATGAAGACCATTTCGAAGGTGGCCTATCAGCGCGGCGTTGTAATCGTGACTTGCGAGGGCTGCTCCAATCATCACCTGATCGCCGACAATCTCAACTGGTTCACGGATCTGGAGGGCAAGCGAAACATCGAGGAGATTTTGGCGGAGAAGGGTGAGAAAGTGGTTCGCCTGTCCGACGGTAACTGCGAATTCCTGCCCAAAAATGATTAAAAGCGTAGTGTGTTAACTGAAAACGTAGGCCACTTTATTGAGCAGCTTCAGGAGCTGGGCCCACGTGTTGGCGGACAGGAGGGCGCGTAGCTGGTGGGCGAACTGTCGGCGACATGGGGATTGTGTGGCCAACATCAGGTGGGTCACATAAGTGGCCTCGTCCACGGGCAGTTGCGCCGCACCCAACGCAGGAGCGTCCGCGCTCATTTGCATCTCATCCAGGTTCATATAGGGCAGGTTTCGGCTCCATTGGCCGATTAGATAGGCAATCAAACTGCCAGCCAGACGCACATGCTCCAGACAGGCCCAGAATCGTACCTCGTTGGGCGGCTTCGAAACGAAAAGATAAATATTGTGCAGGAAACCGGAGCAGGCGGGTGATCCGCCCTCCGTCAGAGTGTCGCAGATCATGTGGCGCAGAAGGTGGCAGTCGAAGTGAATGTCGCTGTCCCTCGATTCTCTAAAGAGGTGCAGCCACACCTGAAAACCCACCAGCCTGAGGGCTCGCTGCAGGGCGATTTCCATGTGCTGTAGGCTGGACAAGCGACCAATCCGTTTCACCAGGCGGCGCATCTGCTGGAGTTCGGGACTGACAAAATCGCCGCTGGCCAGGGCCTCCGATCGCCGGATCTCAGACCAGTCCAGATCACGGATAACACTCCAAGCAGGCTGAATCTCAGCGAAGGTCCGGTGCATCAGGTGGAGTAGCGGCGCATGCGCCTCTCCTTTTTTGGTGTTTACAATGGCCGTGCACAGCTCCCGGATGCATTGCCTCCGTTCCTCCGGAGTGGAGCTCCCCGCGAAAAAGCCATAGGAATCGCATCGATCCGCCAGCGGTTCCCCAAAGCGATCGTAGCATTCAAACAGGTACAGGTAGGCCTTGAGCAGGGATTCTGTTAGGGACTGGCTGAGCGGCAGGTGGCGGTGCTCGGAGCGCATCTCCTCCTGGCAGGAACGAAGCCAAGTAAGCAGCTTAAGGCACTTCGGCGCCACATCCTCCAGACCGGTGCTGCTGGTTAGGGTCAGCTCCTTCCTGATAAACAAATCCATTTGCTATGCATTTGTATAAACATATACCGCACAATCGATAGGACTGATCGTTTACCTTCAATCGTTGATTTCGATTATTTTTGTAGCTGTCGCGATAGTTTAGAATTAGCTGGTCTAACGAAAAATGTATGTATTATGATATTTTATTTATTTATAAATATTAAAAGCATACAATTATCTGACTTAGTAAATACCACAGGATGGTAGGAATAAAAATTAGTAAACAATTTCAAAATATTAAAATTATGAAATAATAAGAAAAAACTTTTAAAATGTCACTCAAATTTAAAACAAATCCAAATACTTAAAAAATAACTATAAAGTGATATGTGAATACATATATATTCAAAAAAGATGGGTTAGTATTGCAAATAAAATTTAATTTTAATAAATCAGAACATAATTTATGTTACATTTTAATTCATATTACAAAATTAACGGAATCTATATCAAAATAAGGGATAATGGAACGAAAGCAAACTTCGATATGACAACGACATAAAACCATCATATTAAAAACAACCAATATTTTAACCAAAATCATTATACCCCGTATAAAAAATATTTTAACAAAAATCCGAAAAAATCAAGCTTGATTATTCGATTTTGTAATGAAAAGTCGAATGTAAGAATGTCATATGTACATCGTTGAATTTGTTATAAAATGTTTTCCTATTTCCGCAAAAAATCATAATGAAGGATTATCATGATTCTATATATATATATATATATGCGAATATCGGTTTAAAAAAATCCCCCAAGGATCGTGTTAAAAATCCATAAGCCCCAAGTAAAGAAGCGACTTCTGAAAATGTATTATGATAAATGAGCTTACTCTTACTTTATTCCACATTCTTTAAGTTACATCTGCGGCTCATTACTCCAAAGGTAAACATAAAATGCATAACATAAGGACTTATTTCTTACATCAAAATACTTTAATCCATTTAATTATTTTGTTTCTTCCCCGTTATCTTCGGTAAATTCACTTAAGTAAACAAGAAACCAAAGTGTATAATCTGTGTGTTTATGTGCATTTGCATTCTATATACTACGTTTAATCCTTTGCTATTCGGTTTCGTGTTTATGTAAATAAAAATTTGTGTTTTCTTTTATATAAATCCTTTTGTTTTAATGAAAATGTGCAAAACGACAGGGATAGATTCCAAAACAATATAATAGGATGAGTTACGCAGACAAATTTAAATCGAATATGCTTGTTTCGCATTTGTATCAGTTGTTTTAGGGTTGTTTTTTTAGGTTTCCTTAGATTTTTTCCGTTTCTTTTGAAAATTTAAGAAAATATATATTGTATATATATAGGCGCGAAAAATTAATAATTAATTCAACATTTTTATATATACTATATAACTATATGTACTGTGTATGCATGCAGTTTCTGTTGCCGCTATCGCACATTTGCAGTGGCTGTTCTGTTCTGTTCAAATCAATTATGCATTTCTCGTCGTGTTGCACGTGTTGCGTTATAGGAATAGTGTTACGTCCATGGGTTGCTGGTTGCTTGGTAGGCCTCGCTGATGCCGTTGCCACTGGGGTTCTTGTTTAGGCGAAGCCAAAGCCCTCGGAGCACTCATGTATGGCCTTTAGCAGGCAGCTCCGCAGTTTGTCGTAAGACTTGTACATGGGCAGATCCAGTTGGTTAAAGCTGGAAAATCAAGGAAAGAAATTGGTCGATTAATTAATTATATGAATGGTTAAAGATCTTGCTTATTTATTTATATTGTAAACAGATATATATAGAAAAAATAAGGCTTAATAATTTAAAATCTGCAATTTTACGTTAGTTGTACTCACCAGGTGTGCGCACAGGGCAAACGATCTGTGGATCGATCGTCCCGGTGGATTTGGAACTTTTGAATGCCGTTCATGCCCTCTAGGGAGCCAAAGCCCTGCAGCGGCACCTTCGAGGTGCCAGTGACGAACTGCAGGAACTTGGCCCGGTCCGCTTGGTCAAAGCTGCGCAATGCTCGCCAGAACCATTGAATCTATCGGATGGAAGAGGCATGGTTTAGAGAGGGATGGCAACAAGAACATATATGGTGAAGGCCTTACCTGGGCCGATTTTGAGGTGTACTTGTGGTACTCGGTGTTCGCCTTTAGATCTTCAATGTCAATATCCGGCAGGCCGGATATGAGAAGTTCCAGTTCCTGTTCGTTGAATATCGAAATTAAATGCTTTGGAATAATGTCGTAGAAGCCCTCGAGGAAAGCGTCCAATCTGGTGCAGGGGAAGAAGAGACAGCGGGAATTTTAATCCATGACATGGTCCAGAACAAAATGCGCGCATGTATACTTACTGCTGTCGAATGGAGCCGCTCATCTTAAGCTGGCACACTAGCTGCACATACTCGAACTTGTTTTCCTCGGTCACGGCGGTGTCGCGTCCGTTTGGCTTGAGATCACGGATCTGGGTGACGCCAAACTCCTGCACCTCTGTGGAGAAGGTCAGCTCGTAGCCCAGAGTGGAGATGTCGTTCTTCATCAGATAGTCGAGACCCTTGTAGAACTCGTAGTCCTGCGACTCCATGTCCGTGTGCTTCACCTGTTTGCCCAGGATGTGCTTGTAAAAGGATCGGGTGAAGTAGCACTCCAGCAGCTTGTTGTCGTGCACAGCCTTGGCTGTTGAGGGCAATTAAGGAGCCATTTAAGAGCTGATGCTGGATAATAATCTATTAAAAGCCTTACCAATTACGCGGCCGACGAACTTAAAGTAGCTCAAGTGATTCGGATTGGCATGGCTGGAGGGATTGATCATGTAGGTGACGCGATCGCCCGGCGATACGCAGAACAAGGCATACATCGGATTGAAGATCTCGCGCGATATGATAACATACCATTCGCGCAACAGGCCGCCAGCGTCCTGGCCTTCCTCATCTGCGGAAAAAGTAAGAAGAAGTATGAGAACAGTACGGTACCAGTACAATTTTTAACTTGTGGCTAACATAACACACACTTAGGATTCGCTGTTATCAGCCAAAAACTCACCCTCGAAGACGATATAGAAGCGGTTCTTCCACTCCTCCGGTCCCAGGCGGTACAAGACGCGGAACGAATCCTCGAAGACGGTTACGCGACGCACACTGACCGTGTGCTCTTCGCGCCGGATGCCCTCATCCAGGCGCTCCAGCTCCGTCTGGAAGTACTTCCGCTTAACGTCAAAGTCCAGGATGCGGGTGTGGTCCACCAGCACGGCAAATGGTCCGTCCGACAGATGAGTGGGTGACTGCCGTAAGATCTGATTAAGCACTGTGCGGTGCTTTTCGGCGAACTGGAGGAACTTCTGGCGGTCCTGCCTCAGCTGCGCCTCGTGAGCGCTCAGTGCTGTGCCGGCGGAGCTGTTGTCCGAAAGCGGTGTGTTTGTTGAGGCATCCTGCATCCGCGGCTCATCTGGTAATGATAAAATTTGCAATTTATTTAATTCAATAGGCGATAAATATGCTTGAACTCACCTTCGAAACTGGCCGAACTAAGGGTATTGGCGCTGCTTGTATCGTCCATCGAGGGACTGTGCTCCTGGACGGACGATGCGGCTGCACCCAGTCCTCCAATTCCACCGCCGGCAGCTGCTCGGAGTCCAGAGCCCACAACTCCGGCAAGGGATCCGCGTCCCGGCTTTTTGGCAACTCCGCGATGCGAGGCGTGGATGAGGAAGAAGGCCTCCACGGTGGGCTGCAGCACCAGGACGGCAAACTCGTCCTTGGACTCCTCCAGCGCAACCAGGCACTCGCTGAGCGTGTGCCACAGAATGTCTAGGCAGAGAATCTGACTCAGTGTGGGCTTGGTAGATTTGCCAGCGGTCGCCGCTGCAGAACTGCCGACTCCCGGAGAAGCCCGAGTCTCGTCGTCATCGTCGTCGTCCTCATCACCATGCAAGGTTTGATTGGTTTCCATGGGCGGAGGAGGCGATATTGTGCTGGCCGATCCTGGAGCCATATCCGAACTGCTACCGTTGGAAGCCCCACCATCGCCCTCAATGTCAATGATGTCGTCGTCGTTGTCGCCGGAAGAACCTGTTATTCCACTGCCAGTGGGCAATCCATTCTGCGCCTCGTACATGTCGCGTACCTGCATGAAGATCTTCAGGGTACGCAGGAAGTATGGCTGGGCGGAGGAGTTGGACATCAGCTTCTTCATCGACGGCAGCTGCAGCTCGCAGGTGGGCTTTGCGTTTTTCGGCGCCGAGATGATAACATGCTCCGCGGTGAAGCGATCCTGCATGATGCCCTCGTGGACGGCCAAGTTGGGCAGCAGACTGGCTCCCGACACCGTCGGTGCATACCCAGTAGATGCTGCTGCCCCAGAAGTGGAGGCGGCCTGCGAGGTGGTGCTGGTCACGCCGTGGTGAATGTTGTACATGCGAATCTCGTTGAGCAGCATCTGTATAGCCTGACGCACCTCCTCGGCCAATCCAAGTATCGCAGCTGTCAAGTACTGGATGAAAATGGCATTGGATGCCTGCGAGCATTGCGTCAGGTTCACAATCAACTTGGCCACGTTGTCCAGGCCCTCGGTGGTGCCGCACTGGTGGGTCAGCACCTCGATGACCAGTTGCAGCTGCGAGAAGTTCTTGGCGTAGATCTTGCGGCGTGGCTTTGATGGCGCCACCGGCAGAGCCACACTCAAAGTGGGCAGTTGGGTACGCTTCACAGCTGCATTGCCGTCACCGGAGGCGGGATTGCCGCTGGCGGGAGTCGCCTGCTCCTCACTGTTGGTGGCCAGGCCGTCACCAATCTCGGATGCATTGGTCTGAGAATTCTCGGCGGATGCCGCTGCCGACGCTCCCGCCACCTGGCCAATGGGTATGAGCGTGGGCATTTGATCGCTGAGCGGCAACTGCTCCTCCTCCTTGGGCAACTCGGTGCTGAGCGAGGCAAGCAGTTTTACCAACATGTCGGTAAGATGGGGCGATCGGCATATCACCTTGTAGGGCAGCATCTCGAGCAACTGGCCGAAGGGCGAGTCAGTGAACGAGAGGAAGTCGGCGGTATTCGTTTGCCATTCCCACGCGGGCTGTGAAGTGAGCGGGAACTGGGCCACATGGGCTAGGCGCACTTGGGTCTGTCGATCGATATTCAGCACAACATCCCAGAAGTTCTTGGCATTGGTCTGATACGGCACAGAGTGCTGATTCAGGCTGCCTGTGGACACCTTGGCACTGGCAGCGGCCTTGGCTGCCGCCGCCTTCGATGTGGAGGGTGCCTCATCCAAAGGCGTTGAGGGTTTCGGTGCAGGGTGATCGTCCAGTATGCCGCGCAGCCGATTGGCCACCTGGTAGCGGCAAAAACGTGAGCGGAAGTCTAAAGTTCCACCTGGTGGTCCGTCATCGGCCAGCCGTCCTGCCAATCCGCCAGCGGCTCCTCCCGCTGTTCCTGCACCAGCGGTGGGAGATGGCATGCCAAACACCGCACTCAATATGCGCCTGGCTTTGACCTCTCGATTATAGGGTACAAAGCTGGACGGATAGTGTTTGGCCAGCACGAACAGCAGATCCAGGCAGTTGCGCACTATCATCTGTGCCGCCTGCGGATTAATGCTGACGCTCCGGGCACTGCCCTCGTACAACCGATTTATCAGAAAGATGTTGCTCTTGTAGCCGAATGCCGCATCCACTCGCAGCTTTAGCCATTCCGGCTTGCCGCCCGCCTGGCCAGCCCCAAAGTTTGCGTTGTCCTCGTTGGTCTTCTGGACGATGCTGATCAGGGCGCTGATGATCCAGTCGCGGGTAGGTTCGTGGTGGCACAGATTGCGGATAACGCGATGCAGTCGCATGCTGTTTACCTTCTGGTCCTCGACGAACAAAAAGAGCAGGAGTGTGGCCAGCGAATCCGGATCGAGCAGAATGTTCTCGTCCTCCATCATCAGGAGAGCCAGTGGTTTTCCCATGGTAGGGGCGTGATGTGCGTGGGCATGGTGATGAACGATCGTTGTGTGCTGGTGATGCTGCGGCTGGGCATTGCCACTCGCGTCGTACCAAATGGAGCTGTGCCAGCGCGCTTCGTCCAGGCTCTGGAGCGTTGTTTGGAAACGGGCTGTTTTTAATGAGGGAAACGTCAAATTGATGAGCTTGCAAATGTATCAAATACAAATACGACCACTTACATAGCGCATTGCTGGGCGGATGAGCGTCCATTCGAGCGCCGTTGCGTGATTCCCAGTCGCGACGCAAAAACTGCGCCTCGGCAGCCAACTCGGGCGGCAAACTGGCTATCTGCGACTCCTCCATGTCGGTGAGTATCTATATTCATAGGGGATTTAAACGTAAAGTTCGCTGCTCATACGAAATATCCACTTTGGAGTTCTTAAACTTACCACTTGGCGCAAGCTTTCGGGCAGGTTCTGGAAGAAGGCGGCAGTGTCTACGGGATCCTCCGGGTTGGCGGTCTGAGCCGCCTGTCGCTGCTGCTCGATACGCTGCTGCATCAGCACCTCCGACTGGATGTTCAGTGGCAGGGCGGCAAGGAACTCGGGGTTGACCTCGACCAGCGAGTCGTGGGCTATTTGAATCGCATTCTGCTGCGCCCGCTGTCGGATGCGCTGCATGCGCAGGTGCTCCTGGATCACCTCCTCGCGCATATCGCTAGGCAGAGCGGCCAGGAAAGAGGGATCCACGCCCTCGGGCACTTCCAGATCGCCGAGAGCGGCCCGCACCTCGGGACTCATGTCCGTTATAGTGGCTGTTGTTCCACTCGTTCCTCCTCCACCAGATGCTGCTCCACCTGCTGCAGAATCTTCTGTTGATAATGGGGTTTGCGTACTAGCTGAGGCAGCTCCTACTCCGCCCGATTCCACTGGCGTCGGCTCAGGTGGGGGAGCCTGTGGAATTGGAGGACCAGATTCGCTGCTTTCTGTGGTTTGATCCGGTTGGTTTGACTCGTTTGCAGCCTCTGTGTTTGCTGCTGCCGCCGCTGGAACATGTGAATCCGCTCTGAATACCGAACCGGGCCAGAAATCGGTAAGCACTAGCGGCTCCGTATCACTGGGATGTGGCGGCAGAGGTGGTGACAGCAGCAGCTGATGCCTCTCGGGTTGCGCCTCCTGCTGCGGCATGTCTAGTATGCCGGGAAGCACATCCACATCAACCTCCAGGGAAGGCGGCAGGGCGAAGTTTCTTTCTGTGCCAACAGCATCCGGTGCGGTAACGTTCAGCTGCTCCAGGTTCGCACTAGATATAGGCGTGGGCATGGAAACAAGCGTCGGAGCTGGCGTGGATCCGGATGCACTGCTGCGTCCGGAAATGGAGCTGTGAGCCTGCACAAGACGCTGCAGACGGGCGGGTAGGTCGCGATTGGGCCGAGCGTTGATTAGCGCCGAACCCGACGTGCGCGATGAGTTTGTGTGTCCGCTGGACCCTTGCAAGCGACTGCGAACAGCCTGGCGATCGGCCAACTGAAGGTGATGAGAAAGTAGTTTTGAATAAGTACTTACAATGTAATAATCTACAAATAAATCTACCTGCAACAGTAGCAGCTCCGCCTCATCAAGACGTGAGTGAGGTCGCGATGGTCTTCCGCTGGACGGCAGGAGTGGCACCGGCGGATGGCGCTGGTGATGGAGTATTGCCACCGGCGCCGACGAAGCGGAGGAGTTCTGCTGTGGCTGTGACTCCGCTCCATCGGCTGGAGTCCCTGTTGTCGAGTTGGTTGACGTGGCTCCTTGGCTATCCTGTTCGTTAGTCAGGTCAATCTCGGCGTAGATGTTGAAGGGCAGCTGACTGTGCTGGCGCAATCCACCGCGTTGGCGGGGCGCACGGGTCGTCGTCTGCGTGTCCAGGGATCCGCTGCCGCTTAGGGACGCTGAAAAAAGTCGATCATATCGATACTTCTATATTGTAACGTTTTGATTAGTACTCACTGTTTGTGGGTATGTAGGGGCTAGTGGTTCCCCCAGTTGTGGCCGCAGCGTCACCAGAGGCACTGGCTCCCGCTGCACTAGTTAAGCTGCTGGCACCAAAGCTTGAGGGGATCAGCACGGGAATCGAGCTGCGTCGGGTGCCTCCCGTGGCAGAGGCGGCCACCGGTGGCACGACCATACTGTTGCTTCCTGATCCCGCGGCTACGGCATTCGCCAGTATACTGGACGCAATTGAGGCATTCGCTGTGGGAGCTGCTGTTGTCGACGCCGCCGTTGAGATGGAGGATGTAGTGGCTCCAGTCGCTGCCGACGCTGATGTTGTGGAGTTTGTGGCCGTCTGGCGGGCGGCTTCCTCCTGTTTACGCTGGTGATGCGCTGTCTTCAGCTCCTTAATGAGATGGGGCAGCAGAAAGTGAGCGGCATATAGACAGACGTCAGTTTGGCTCTCCATGTCCAAAAGAGTGGCCTCCTCCAGCCACCAGTGGAGAGCTGTGATGGGTTGGCGAGAACATTAAGATGTGACTACAAGAGAGAAGCACTAAAATACTCACCATCCTGAGTGAAAGTCTCCATCTGGGTCTCTTCCGTGGGATTCTGATGCGTGGGCATGCATACACAGTACTGCTGGTCCAGATAGAGCAAGCGTCGGCGCACGCCATTCGTGCAGAGCGTTGCGTTCGGATGCTGTCCCGTGGTGCCACCGCTTGCACCGCTTCCAGTGACACCAGCGCCGCCACCAGAGGCAGATCCTCCCCCACTGCCTCCACCACCTGGCACCGATGGCTGTTCGTCCAGGAGATTGCTCATGTTCTGGCCACTGCCGGAGGCACCACCAGTGCGCTCCAGCTGCGACAAGGAGGGCGTGAGGAAGGCGTTCACCTCGCCCCCATTGGCGTTGCCACCAACAGCTCCTCCGCTGCCAGAGGCACCTCCAATGCCAGATCCGCTCGCTCCGCCCGACACTCCAATGAAATTAAAGTCCGGTGCCATCCATGAGCCGGATGAGGGACGCAGGGCGGCGGAGGCGATTGCTCCTATACTGGCCGTTGTTCCGCCCGTCGACGAACCTCTGCCAGAGCCACTGGCCAGTCCAGTGCCGCCCGCACCGCTTCCACTACCACCATTGCCGCCATTGACATCAATGTCTAGTGGCTGGGCTATCGAGCTGTTCATCCGCACGCGGAAACCGACTGGCGGTGTGGGCATTAAGCCGCTGCCCAATCGATCGTATAGATAGGCCTCAGCCTGGGCAGCCGATGGTCCGCCAATCGGATCCACATCAGGATCGCCATCGCCATCACCATCCACGTCTTCGTCTTCATCGTCCAACTCGTCATCGGGATTGGGACGATTGGCTGAGCCATCGCCAGAGGCGTTAACCGCTGCGCTGCGTCGCGGACGATTGTTGGACGATACCAGGGCGAGGGCGATATCTATTTGGTTATCCAGCTCCGCATCCATGACGCTCTGGCTCTCCTCGCGCTCCTCATCGTCGTTGTCTTCATCGTCATCATCGTCGTCGTCCACGTCGTCCTCGTCCTCGTCATCATCATCGTCGTTATCCACATCCGCATCGTTGGACGCCGTCTCCGAGGATTCCGGTTCATAGATGTGATCGAAGACCTCGATAAACTGTCGCGGTCGCTCCTCGTCCACATCGGTCTCGCTGTGCTCATCCACATCCTCATCGGGAGCGTCGTCATCCTCGTCTTCGTCCTCCTCGTTCCGCTCGTCGTTCTCCGTGGAGGCATCTGAATCCGAATCGGAGGTGCTGACTTCGCCCAGCAGCGAGGGGTTCATATCGCGGGCGCCACCCGGAGCTCCAGTGTCCGATGAGGTGGAAGCGCCATCACTGCCGCCGCCGCCGCCGATTCCATTGTCATTCACAACTCCTGTGTTGGACCCGCCGCCGCTGCCATTGGCGCCGCCCACGTCCACATCGGGATTGGTGCGCAGGCGTGGATCTCCGCTACCGGAATTGTTTCCCGAGTTCGCGGAACTAGCTGTGGCGTTGCCTCCGTTTTGTTGTCCGGTTAAGCCGGATCCGACGGCTCCACTACCAGATCCGGCGCCGCCGCTTCGAGAGGCCAGACGTAGTCCCTCGCTCTGCAGGAAGTCGTCCCATAGTTGATCAAAGTTAAGCACTGGTCGCACTGGTCCACCACCGGCCGAGGACTGACCTGCTACCGATGATCCAGAACTCACGGTTGCCGGGGGATCGTTGGTATCGCCGCCATTGCTCCGTTCCTCGACCACGTCGATAACGGCTGCGGTGCCTCCACCTGATCCCGATCCCGACACGCCTCCTCCAACACCGCCCGATCCAGAGCCACCTCCGCTCACTCCAGCGCCCGGGGCGGACGAGTCCTCCGAGTCCACGGCCATCTCGTCCGAGTTGAAAATGAACTCGAAGGCATGACGCCGGTCGGACAGCACATTTCGGATAATGTCGCGCAGCACGTGCTCGCCACCCATCGCATTGGAGCGCTCAACGGCGGCATTGACGGCTGTGCGTGCGGCCAAACGTGGATATAGTCGGCGGTTGATGATGGTCCCGTAGGTGTTGCCCGATCCCGGTCCGGTTCCACTGCCTCCTCCGGCAGCACTGTTCCCGTTCCCGGCACCATTCGCACCGACGCTACCAAAGAGAATCCGCTTAGAGCCAAGCGTGGTGGTGGACACACTGAATCTCAGCAGGATCTCCATGGGTCGTAGGATGGCCGCCAGAGTGCTGAGCGTATTGTGGTTGGACAGATCCTTGTACTGGGCCACCTTCGTCAGATAGGTCATCACCCCCTGGCGGAGGAGAACGCGATACATATTGTTGCGGTGCAAGTGCACCTTGTCGTACAGCATCGGCGATTCAATGAGGTTTGGGAACAGGCTCATCAGCACCTGTAGCCGCGTGTGCTTCTCGGCGGAATCCGGCTGTGCCAGGGCCCGCGCCACCGCCGCGTGCAGCTCCTCTGCCACATGCACCTGGACTCCGGGCTGCTGGTAGCAGTCCGATAGCGAGCACACCAGCACACGGGTCATTGTGCTGACCTCGGGGACATGATGCCGCTGGGTTATTGGCAGGAAGCGGTCGAGCAGCACGCCCAGGAACGTCTGCTGCGGTGCGGAGATCAATGGACTGTCCGCAGGTGTATAAATGTGGGACAAGAGGACCCGCGGGACCAGTGACTGGTATGCCCGGGTCGAATCCGCCAGCAGCTTCAGCAGGGTGGCGCGCGAGATGGTTGGTTTGGCGTGGGTGTGCCCGCTGGTTGGGATGTGCCAGGTGCAGCAGCACGGCTCGAACTTTTCAGCCGCCTGGGCTTGGCCAGCAGCTGCTCCGCCTCCGCCCGAGGATTGTTTCTTGCTGGTCGCGGGAGCTGGGGTCTCCTGAAAGCGGAAATATAACTAATAAAATAATATTTAGTGAAGAGAAGATTTGAAAAGTAAAAGTAGCATTGCTTAGTAAAAGTGAATAGTACTAATGAACCTATTATTCAAGATGGATATGCATCTAAAACAAAACAAATTACGAGAAAGAACGCTGTAACAGAAATGGTCTAGCAATATACATGACCAACTCGTTTATGTTGCACATATAAGAATGGGTTCAGATTCTTATAACGTTCCTAGTTAGCTTTACATAAACAAATAAAACAATTTTTTAAGACAAAGAAATTTGCCTATTAAATTGCTTGATAATAAGTTATACAAATAGATAAGCCTCTGCCATTATTTAATATTATATTATTTATTTATATCTCAATTTATGTAAATGCAAATATCATTAAAGACTAGGGACTAAGACTCACCTCATCATCGTGGCATCCCTGCGCCGTTCCTGGCGGCTGATCCGGCTGCAGCAGCTCGGCAGCGCCCTGGCCGCGATCCAAGGACCCAGTGCCGCCGTAATGCCAGCACGGCTGTACTAGTCCGTGCAGAAGATCCTTGAGCACGGCCACCGATGACTGCACCTGGGGATCGTCCTTGAGGTCATCCTTGGGCGCTGTCGGTGGCGTTGGAGTTTGTGAATGGGGCGTGGCCCCGCCCGCCGCCGCCGTCGGTTGCTGGCCAAACTTGGACTTGACCATGACACGGGCATCGTCCGCCAGCGTCGAGCTGGTCGTGTTAAGCAAGTACTCGCCCTTGAGCATCTCCTTGGCGGCGGCCACGAAGATCTGTGGATTGCGCGAAACCGCCGATGACACCTGGGTGAGCACGTAGATGAGATCGCGATGGCTCACGGGCACGATGCCGGCAGCCCGCATGCCTAGCACCCGTTCCATTGCCTCCTGGAGCACGGGCGGTGCCTCCAGGACGTGGCGCAGTATAATGTTTGCATAGGTGGGGAAGCCCATGAAACTGCAGGCCTGCTGCAGATGCAGCAGCATCCGTACTCCGCCCCGCCGGATGAATACCTGGGCGTTGTCGTAATTCCGCGTCAATCTCGCACAAAGCCGAAGCAACGAAAGCTTCGTCTCATTGAGCATCAAATGCGCCGGCTGTAGTAGGTCCACAATGCTGCCAATGATGCGACCGCAATCGAACTTGCTCAGGCCCACCTGCTCCTCGTTGAGGATGATCTTCTGGGTGCGCTTGGGTATGGGCGGCGAGCTACCTGGCTGGGATTTCACCTTGGCGGCGGCTGCAGCGGCCGCGTTCTTCTGCCGCGACTTGCTGCGCGTGGTCATGGCTGCTGGCGGGGATCCGCCACTGACTCCGGTTGCGTTATCCTCACTGGCTCCCTCTTCGTTGTTGGAATTTCCAGAGTTCTCCTGCTGCTGCTGCTGTTGGCCATCGGTAAAGTTGATCAGCTGGCGCAGGGAAATCAACTCATCGGAATGCACGGTGCCCGAGCCGTCGGGTGAAGTACGGACGACGCGGTTTAGCAGATGCTCAAACTTGTGCAGCGCCATCGGGTTGTGCAGACTGGTGATGGCCTCGCTGAGCTTCAGAGCCGGACAGACTGGCCGATGTGTGCCGGATGCCTCGCTCACCTGTGTCATGCAGTTCAGGCTCACGGTGCAACGCTGGCGGCCAATGTTGATGTGCAGCCAGCGTTCGCCGGCCGCGAACGCATTCCGGATGAGCTCGTTGTTGGCCTCCGAGTAGGCATTCCATTTGCCCGTTGAGGCGTCATACCAGCGCCACACCTCGCTGCTCACTGCACGCATGTTGGCCTTGCGCTGCAGAATGTTGCTGATGCTGTCGATGGCATCGATAAGATCCACCAGATTCTGCACCCAACGCGGTACCGTTGCACGCTGTTGCTGACCAGGAGCAGTCTCACTGGATTGCTCCAGCATCCACTGGCTCATGCAGTCCAGCAGCTTGACCAGCGACACCATGGCATCCTGGGCGGTTATTGCCTCCACCAGAGGCTTATGCAGGTCACTGAAGTTCTCCTCGAGCAGCAGCGTTGATGTCTTGAGACGCACAAATAGCCGGGTGGCCGTCATTCCAGTCAAACATTCCTCCAGGCGGGAGGCCTTCGATCCGGTTGACTTGGCTGGCTCAAACAGCTGCAGTGTGAAGTCCACCCACTGGATGATGTTGCGCACAAAGTTGGTGACAAACACCTGCTTGTTCAGGTGATTGTGGCGTCTGTAAAGCACGGCTATCAAATCCGCAGCACTGTTGACCGTATCCGGTATCGCCTCCATAAACTCGAAGGCCCTCGAGATGGCTTCGTCGCAGAAGCGATCGAAGATCAGCGACGGCATCAGCTTAAGATGCTTATAGTCATAGCTTGAGTTCGCCGAAGCGGACGATTTGCTTTGCGTCGATTCTCCGTCTGCGGGCAGATCCATGTCAATGTCCATTGTGGAGGCAGTTGGTGGTGGCGGCGGCGGAGGAGCAGAGCCGCCCGATTGAGCGCCCGTCGTCGAAAGAGCACTGGCTTCAGGGTTGTTCAGCAGGTAATCGGTGGCCTCCTCGAGGGAGGCATTCGTCCGCAATGCCTCGATCACATGGTAGTGCATGAAGCCCATGTCCGTCAGGGTCTTGATATGATCCGCATTCAGACCATCGTCCGTGCTTCGAATGTACAGATTCTCGAACTTGATCTCCTTCATCCGCGTGTGATAGCGATCCAAGAGGGTCTGATGCGACTTGATTAGATGCTTCAGGATCAGGATCATGGTCTCAAACATACTCGGACCGTAGTTTGGAATCGGCCGACGTGCCCAGATTCTGCGCAGTGCTTGCATGGCCAATTGGTGGATGTGTATTAGGTAGAAAACCGGCTCAAATGGAACCGAATCGGGCAGATAATTTAGCCGGGGACTCATCGTGTACGGGGAGTCCAACATGGCGCGGGGGTTGACCATCTTCTCGAGCAGCTGCAGCCAGGCGTCGAGGAACTCACCAGTGCCCTCTGGACAATCGCGCTTGTCGTCCTCGTGTGCCTGCATAAGGTCCTCCATCGAGGCCCACTGATCGAAGTCGAACTTTTGGGATACATTATCCAGCGACAGCGCCCAATAGAACATCTCAAAGAACGCCTTCAGTCCATTCTCTGCGCAGAATTGCGAAATCATCAGATGGAAAGCGCTACGCTTGTCGTCGAACAGCATCGGGCCAGTGAATCCAACCGAGCAGATGAGGAAGGTGAGCTTAAGCTTCGGCACCGGCTTGGGTAGAATGCTCTCGTGACTAAATCCGTTTACCAGGATCGAGCTGAGGATGCGGGCTATTTCGCGCGCCTCTGGCGTAGGAACTTTGTTGATATTACTGATCAAATCGTTGATGCGACGCTGCCGTGTCTGCGGCGATCCCACCGATAGCTTCACCAACGTGCCTAAAAGTTCTGCAAGCGCTCTTCCCAATCGGGAACTCGCCGCTAGCAGAGACTTGATGTAACGGAACTGCTCCTCGGGCGTGTACTTTGTCCGGAATTCCGCGGCGCGCTCCAGTTTCCTCGAGAGCTCTGCTTCGGTAAGGGGATCCGCGGTGCCAGCTGCCGCCGACATCTGGGCTGCAATCTCATCCCAGATGAGATCCGGATGTTGGGTGGGCTCATCCGAGCAAAGATTCAGCAGAATGGTGCTCTCCCACACCAGTGAGATGTACAGCTGGACGAGTTGCTGCAGCAGTTGAACTCCGGTCTCGCGATTCACGCCCCAGCGCTTGAGAAGAATGGCTCGCATGTCGTTGGAGGCGTTTCGGCAGAGATGCACCAGCATCACCACGTAGCCATGCACGAAGCTCATGTTGTGCAGGATGGGCGTGTACTCGGCGTTGGCGAAGCCGTCCTCCAAGCGCTGGCAACAGACGAGCTCAGCAAGCAAGACACTGCCGCCGGGAAAGGTAAAGTGCTTGATCAGTGGCTTCAGCTGAGCCACAATGTCCGCCAGCTGCTTGAGCGCCACATCCAGCACTTTGGTCTCCTGCGCCTGGCTGAGTATGGCCTTGCAGACATTGGCCACTGCCTGTGAGGTAGTGGAAACTGGCGAATCCACCGGTAGGTTGGGCAGTGACAACAGCTGCAGGATGGGCTTTAGTCCGCCGTGGAGCACAAACTCCCGGCAGTGATCGCCATTCGGACTGTTGCTGAATATCGCCTCGATGAACTTCATCACGTTGAGGATGTAGTCGATTAGTGGTATGGCCTCTCGTTCCGGTGGCGTCACCACTTTAACAGCCTGCGATGTGGCTGCTGGCGCTCCTGCTCCTGAAGCTCCTCCGACTTGTTGTGTCCTGGGTGTTGTGGCTCCTCCACTCTGACCCGGAGTCGTGGGTTGCTGCTGTTGCTGCGAAGCTGAGCTCATTTCGTCATCATCGTCGTCGTCGTCGCCGCTGCTATCGTTCGTATCCGCTGCACCCTGGAGGACCGAAGCAGATCCCCCCGAGCCAGCCACCATGACCATGGGCGAGGGTGTTGACGCCACGTGATGGGCACCGCCATGGCTGCCGGAGCCAGATCCAGAGCCACTGCTCTCCTTGTTCGCGCGCCAGCAAATGAAACTGGGATCGGATCCTAGGCGTACCAACTCATTTAGCAGCCTGACAATCGCCTCTGTGGCATCCGCCCGCAGATAAGGATGATGCTTGATTAGATCATCCATGGCATTGCCCAGATTGGTGGCCGTATCGCCCAGCGGATCAGAGGAGCGGCGTCGCCTCATCGCCACCAGGTAGTCCGGAGAAAGCAGCACCTTCAGGACTTTGTCGAACGGATCGTAGGATAGGAACTCAAACAATCCGCGCTCGTTCAGGCACAAGGCTGAAAATACGTTGGGCAGGGATCCAAGCACTTCCCGGGTGGCTGGTACATCCTTTTGTAGCAGAGCCTTAAGCATCACACTGGTGATGCCCAGATCCTGCAGCGAGGAGAGCAGCGACGGTTCGTTAAACACGTACACGGTAACCACATCGGTGGCCAGGAGAAACAGCGACGGCCCGTAATACTCCGCATTGGCGATAATGTGGCGTAGCGACTGGGTCAGACTCGTCTCCATAATGTTGCGCATGTTGCTGAAGTGGGCATGATCCTGGATGCTCTTTTTCAGGAAGTTTAGCATCGACTTAAGCAGCGCCGCCCGCTGAGTGACGCAGGAAGGCTTCTTCGGCGCAAGGCTGCTCGGCAGCTGCGACGATAGCTCCGCCTTGCGCTCGGCCAGCGGACGGGCGTAGTAACTGTTTGTGGGATACATGATGGTTGGCGGTCGAGCGGCGCTTCCATCTCTATTAATTAATCCTAGGGATCGATCATAGGGTATACCACCAGGTGCTCGACTTACTCCACCACCACCGCCTGCCAGGCGTGCTCCACCAATGTCTAGGAGTCCCGCTCCAGACCCAGCTCCACCACTATGCTCGTGGTAAGCTCTGTATGCGCTGCTACCCGCGCCGCTGACGCCATCACTAGAATTCTCGCGACGCGGCGATCCGCTTCCACTGGCGACGGATGCGTTCTCTCCAGTTCCATCTGTAAAAAGAGAAATAGGAGTTATGTTTGTGTTATTCCGTTTATATTTCCACTCAATTATCATTGTCAATATAATCTTGAAAATAAGGTACGCTAAAGCTTTAGATAATTGAGTTTTAACATTTTTAAATAAAGGTAATATTAATTTCAATCGTTTGAATTTATTAGTCCCCACCTTCCACATCCTCGTCGACCTGGTCTAGCGAGGTGTCCAGCTTGTGGTCGTCGCGCAGCGTGGACTCCTTCAGCGTGATGCCGATATCGGCCAACGCCTTGCAACAGCTCTTGATCTCTTTCTCTAGACGGTCGATGAACACGTTGAGTCCGTTGTTCTGGTGGAAACGTGCGATATCTATGTTGGTGATCAGGTCGATGACCCTCACTGCGCGAGTGACGAAAGTGATGTGCTCGAGGTCAACTCCCGGCCAGCTGATGACGCACAGGAGCGACTGCATCATGCCGCTTTTAACCAGAGCGGAGCCGCCCATCTCGTAGCTGGCCAAGTGGTACAGCAGTGAGAACAGAGAGGTGGCTAGGATGAGCGGGTAGCGTTCGGTGAGTCCGTGGGTGGTCAGATTATCGATGCAGTCGCGGACTAGCAGCGGTAACGTTCCGCCCTGCCGCTCGGCACCTGTGTAGTGGACGATCTTCATCAGACGCGACCCGGCTCTGCTGCACAGAAGTCATGAAAAGGCAAGAAATTATCGGGGGATCTACAATATACACATCTCAGCCACATTCAATTATTTACCTTGGCACATTTGGATTGCGGTCAAAGTGCAGCATCGAGGTGAGTGTGCGCAGCACGGCCGCCCGTATCTCCACCAAGTGTACGTCCTCCTTGTCGATCAGCTCACACAGCTCCTCGCCGAAGCCGGCATACAACACCTTGTCCGTGTTGTCCTGCAGGGCATTGGAGTAGATCAGAATGGAGACGGCCTGAAGACGCGCCTGGACGAACTGAAGGCGCAGTTTGTAGTTGTTGAAGCCTGAGATCAAGCGCACCCGGTGAGCAATGCGCATCTATGGACACAATGGAAATATATCGTGAATTTACAATTATGTTACAACTTAAAAAATATCGTTTAGACAAAGTCTGTGTTCGTTTTGATTCTAGGTTAATCATATATTTCTTTTTCCAAGAAATATTCAATAATTTAGTAATTTTTATTCAAAATTTAGGAAAAACTAAAATCAATTTGTAAGTAGATGGAAAATAGTTTATGCTTTCTTTTGTGCTTCTATTAGAAAAAGGAGTGCTTTTGCAATATTTTTTGAAATGGGATTCAGTCCGCTATATATAAATATTATTAAGTCTTACTACACACCTTGATTGCCTCACTGGGCTTTGAGATCTGTCCGGCAATCGTCTTGATCACCTCGGGAGCTGATGCCGTGTGGCAGAGGTCCATCATATCCGGAATTTCCAGCTGTGCGGCGTGACCGTGCTCGTCCACATAGTCGATGCACAGCTGGTAGAGGAATTCCAGCTTTGGCTCGCCAATGCAGCAGTCCTTGAGCGACAGGCCGTAGTTGGGATCCCCCCAGCGCTAAAACAAAACATAAGTGTTATAGAAAATGGCAACAAAAATGCTTTTCCAATGATATGACCCACCTCGGCTATGTTGAAAAGCTTGACGATCAGTAGCTCCTTCTTTTCGAACGGCAGGCGGGGTATGAAGTTGCTGCGCTTGGAGAACATGTAGAGCAAATTGAGGACGGCCAGGACGATGTCCATGTTCTGAGACGAGAGCAGCACCGTCAAGTGCTCGATGGAATTGTACAAGTGCCGCGAGAACGAGTGCTCGATCAGCAGTGTGGTAAAGTTAAGTACGTGCAGCAGCAGTGTGACATCCTGCGGATAACAAAAGGCATATTTACATTAACTATGAGGCACACAAAATTGTTAAGGCGAAACAAAAACTATTCGCAAAGAATAAGAAATTTAAAACATTTAATAATAGAACTTAGTATTTAAGCTCAGCTATTTTCTTTGAAGAGACTTAAATGAAAATATCCTACTATAATCTGAAGTTTACTTATCTGCGATGTATTTCTAATGAACTTTAAAAGAGTAATATCAATATTTAAGATGTATTAAATTTAAACTGACTTAACATATTAAGATTCAAAATTATATCATAAGAAAATTTTTATTCAATAATAGTTAAACGTTACTTAAACTTTGTGCAGTTAAAAAATTAAAAATATAAGAAAATATGAATACTTGTTACTTCAAAATACGTATGTAAAATCGACTTGTTAGCCTATATTTTAGTCTTTTCCCAAATTAAGAAACTTAAGTGGTTCGAAGGAAAAACTTTAACAAGAGCGAACTCAGTATCAGAAAGTGGTTGGAATTCCTTGAAATCTTAGTGAAAAATATTCTGGGAAGCAATGATATTTAACCGAATTCTAATTTATATCCGTATAATGAGTTCTGGTAAACCGGGGAAACTAACCGTTGTCCTTACCGTTTCCTGGAAGTTGGTGTCGCACTGCAGCACGAACTCGTTGGCGTTGACATGGCGCGAGGCCTCCTCGAGAATCTTGTCGAACCGGTCGAGGATCTCGATCCAGTGGTACAGCTCACACTTGCCGTAGATCCAGACATGGACGGTGTCGAGGAAGTCGAGAAGTTCGGCCCGCGTGCGCCGCTTGGTCAGCTCGTCGATGAGCTCGCGGCACTCGGCCGTCAGCTCCGAGGAGCCCTTCTTCAGCTTCACCGTGTCCACCTTCATCGCGGCAGTTGTTCCTGGAGCTTCTTGAGCAGCAGGTGGCCACCACTGGGCGATGTGGTGGTGGTGGTGCGCCTCCTCCTCCTCCTGCTTATTTTTCTTCCTCTTCCGGTGGCTGGGCGTCGAGTGGGTGGTGTGTGTAGAGTGGGTGGTTTTGTGTCGAAAGGGCGTCGGGCGTCAATTGTTTATAGGTTGGGCATCGAATTGCGGTTTAAACGTATACGTCAGCGTGTTCAATAAACTGCAAGTGCAATTGAATGGGTTAGTTACTGTGGTATAACTATTATGAACATAAAAAAAGTTCAATAACAACACACATGCGTGTGCGGAGCTTTAATTGAGAAATCCGAATTTTCAGTTATCTCTCTCTTGCTCTTTTTTTGCGTATTTTTTACAGCTTAATGGGAGGTGTTGGTGGGTGGTTAACTGCACTTGTCAGCTGAGCCAAGCCAATTGGGCAGCATTTTCCAACTGGCAACAGCGCAAAGAACGGCAAAAACAGCAAGAAAAACAAAAGGGAAACCAAACAGAGCGCGCGCGCATTAACAGACTTTTGTTGTTGCGTTTTGGGCTATATAGAAATTAGGTGTACGACTTGGATTTCCGATTCAATTGTTGTTTTGCACTATTTTTCTTTCACACACAAACACACACACACATGTCAAACGCAACATGTTTGAGCAAAATGTCAAATGAGCGCCAAGCGCAGAAAGGTGCAATGCGGAGAGGGAAAGAAGAGGAGAAAAGGAGTGGAGAGTGAAAAAAAGAGGAGAAGCAGAGGAGAAATGCGTAAGTCAAGGTTGACACAACAACAAAACAGGAGACTGCAGCAAACTCCTTTTCCCCACATACACACACACATCAGAACTACATTCTACTGTATGCGTCTCCATGAAAAACACACTCTTTTTACGCCAATTTTTATTTAATTCACAATAAACAAGTGAAAATGAGCAATGAACTAATGTATGCATGTATGTGCCTGCTTCACCGAATTTTCATTATTGCAGCCACAACAACAACAAAAACTCTCTTCATCTCTCCACTGCACTTAATCTCGCTTTCAGGGCTGTTACGACCAAACATACTCTTTTTTCACACGCGAATTATATAGCGTATATAAAAGTCGAAGAAAAGTACCGTAGCTGTAGTACAACACAAAAAAAAAAAGAAAGAGACCAGCGAAAAGAAATTGCCACAGTCAGAACAGAAACAATGCAGTGGGTGAGAGTTTGTCTGTGTGCGTGCGTATGTGTGTGAGTGTGCTCGAACTGGCGTTTGTGTGCGCTGGGAAATGCGACTGGCGATACTCACAATTATATTTAACTGCAGCATATTGCTGCTATTGTATTTCGGTCTAAAACGTTCTAATTTGGTTAATTCAACAATCTCGGTTTTGTGAAATGAAATTTCCACAGACAAATGCAAGCATAAACAGTGTGACCACGCACCGCAATTGCTCCAATCCACGGCCACGAAGAATTGCAATCGCTTCTGTCTATCGATAGGGGGTCTGTTTTTTCTTAATTTTTTAGCAAACAATTGAAAATTGGTGGAAAAACCTTGTGAATTTTTTTCAGCTGTGACCAAACGAACTCAATATCAAATAAAATCTAAAACGAATCGAAGTTATAAGTCGTAGCCTTGTGATTTTCAAATTAAATTGGCTTTAAGTGAATCGATAGTATGCACATTGGTGGTACTAATAACTATATCTTAACGAAAAAATTAAATTAAAATAAATAATAAAGCTTGCTAAATATTGATAGTTCTACTAATTTCATAGATAACCATTTTCAAATCAAATGTTAATGCGACTTAAGAAATATCGATAGGCTTGGTGTTTTGGCCCTTATTTATTTTTAGTACAATTATTTAATAATATATTTATATAATAATAATAATATATTTATATTTATAATTTTTTGATTGTTTTATTATCTTGAAAATTCATACATTAAAAGGATCGATAGTTTAAATTTAAATATTTCTAATTTTATTTTAAATGACTTATATTTTGAAGAACTGATATTTACAAATGTATTTTATTTATACAGAGGTTTAGCTTTGTATTTAACGAGATATTAAATCGGTTTCCAGAGCATAGTACAAACCTTAAACCTCGATAAACCGATCATTTTAAACAATTTTTCTCCACAATTGTATACGTTTTTACAACATTTTGAAAGAGTTACAGTTCCAGTCACCAGTTTACCCATATCGGTTTCGATTGCTTACAAGGTATATACATTGTTCCTAAAGGTATATTTACATGTTAAACCTAATCGTCAATCATTGGAATAAACTTACCTACAAACACTGAATGACAAACGGGTTGGATATACCCCTGGAAAATGGTCTTATCCAGAGCTTCTTGGCTTTTGTTACCGGGAAAACTGAGCACAAGGACTTTTTAAACTAACGATTTGACTAAAATCTAGGCTTAAGGATTAAAAGGAGTTCTGGAGCTGGGTACTATTGACTTCGGTGCTTTGAAATTGTCCAGTTTCCGCCTCGAACAGCACCTGCTGGATGCGTAACTTAGCCACGGACCGGGAATAAGAGTCCGTTATGGTACGTAACTGGGAAGCAATGCTCTGGCCGAAGATCATTAGTTCATCTTCGCCGGCGGAGTCTAGACCAGGGTTGTACCTCAGTTTCCGATTAGCCGGCGTGGTCGGGAGCTGTTGAGGATGCCCCTGATGTTGCTGCTGCTCTACCACGCAGAGCGAAGAATCATCGATGATTAGCTCGGCGGCCTTGCCACTACGTGGGTTTTCCGTGGCCATGGAAATGATGCAGTTGCTCCCTGCATGCTTGGCATGGTCGGGGCGACACTCCTCCGCCTCGCCATTCTGCTCCTCATCCTCCTCCTCCAGCGCGTCCTCGCTCATACTGATATCTGCTGCGGCAGTGAAGAGCAGTTTGCTCGAGGGCACCAGCGACTCCTCCGTTTTAACCGGCGTTTGGGGGGCATCAGCATGCTTGTTCTTCGACTGCCGGTGGGTTACAGTACAAATTAAAGCATAAGAATTAAAATAAACTACCAAGTCTTACCCTTTTGCAGTGGGAGAGCGAAACGGAGCGCAGGAAGGAGTCGGCCAACTTGAACCAGAACAACTTGGGCTCGTAGCTCCTGCCCAGCTCCTTTTCGCGCATCCAGATGCGAAGCTCCTTCGAATAAACGGTGCGCACGCTCTTGATCTTCAGCTTGATGTCCAGCACAGTCAGCTGCGGGATCTTAAGAGCCCTTATAATCGCCTCGTAGGCTTCCTCCCGGGACATTCGATTCTTGTAGGTGTCCAGCAGAGAGTTGTAGAGGCACGGTTGGAGACGGTACGCCTCCAAAAACTCCTTGATCGGGATCTTTGTGTCGCTCAGCTTCGACATGGCCTCGTAACGGCCGTTTTACGCTCCTACCCACTCAAATTAAATCGCCAATAAACAACACAACTTTTGTTTACCCCAGTTTAGTGTGGCCAGCCGGTAGTGAAGTACCAAGTAGTGAAGACCCCAACTTTTTCCGATAGTTTGTTTGATCTATCGTTTTCAGTTCAAGCTCTACGGAATTTAATGTATTTTATGTAATCTACTTATTTTTATAGTATACATATGATATTTTAGGAACATGGCTTATATCGTATCAGCTTATAATTTTAGTGATATTGTTAAACAAAATTTAGAAATCCACAAATTTAAGTTGCAAGTACTATAATTAATCTTTTAATTTTTTTATTTCTGATTTAACACAGATTATGTAAATACTATGTAAATATTATTAGGTGCTGAATAGAAGTGCGAAGTAGATACAATTCATATTTAGCAGTTACAAACTAGCATCGATAGTATCGTCAGCCATCACTCGGCCAGTGTGCCCGTTGGGTCAGTGTGACCCTGCCGCGATGGCGCCTGAATCCTCCCCCGCTCCGTCCGTTGCGCGCAAAACGCCACCGCCACCACGTGGAGGCTTTCTCCTGTTCTGTTCCGTTCAGTCGTCTCTCTCTTTTTCTACCGAAAACGGTAACAGGCAGCAGGCACTTTTTAGCAGCTGCTCCGTGCGTGCGTGTGTGTGTGCGATCCGACCGATCTGTTCCGTTACGTTCCGTTACCGCTACCCTCCGCGAGCTGCAGGCGTCCTTGCACAGCGTTTAATTATAGGAAAACTACAACTCCTACGCGCGACACTTTCCCGTTCTTAATTACTAGCCAAGTCCACGCCAAGGTGAGTAATTGCACACTGTCATCGTCATCTCGCCGTGGAAAATTCAATAATGTGCGCTGCGCAACACACATGCAATTTCCCGTTTCTGCGAATGAGCCTGTCTGTGTGTTGCTGTTTATGTGTGTGCGTGTTGTAACAGCAAAGTGTGTGTGAGGGAGAGGGGCAAGGGGTGGCAGATCGTGTGCTGCAGTTTTTCCGCGTTTTCCTGCATTTTTCCGCTGCCATTATACGGTTCCCTGTAACCAGGGTGTCCCGCAATGCGCCAGTGAATCATTCATTCATTCAGGTATCCCAGCCGCAGGCGGAAGAAGAATAAGTAAGCCCCTCGGCAACAGAGAGAGAGAGGGGAGTATGTCTGTGTGTGGGCGAGAGGGGCGCGGAGAGAGGCACAGTGGAGCACAGTAAGCACAGTGGAAATTTTTGAGTTTTTGCTGACGCTGTCTAATTTTAAAATTGAGTTCAAATTTTTGTTGAAACAGTTGGAAACACGCCGTGTATGCATGTGGGAGAGAGCGGTTCTGAAATCCAGTCAGGTGGCCTTGAACGTGATCCTGGTTTTCTCGTGCACTGCTGCCCATCGACATAAAGACGGAACACTGCTGCCCCAAAAAGAAAGGGAAATTACGAACTTGACCTTAAATTTAAAAATAAAGAAATGCAGCATTTTAATATAAAGGCCAATGAAGAAATGTAACAATTCGAATTTTCAGTCAAGAATGATTTTAATAACTTATAAAGGGAACAAAACAATGGAACTTTTAGAATATGCATTGTGGAGGCAAATTTTATATTTGCAAAGTTTTTAATTTTCAATCGATTCAAAGCAATTGTGCATGAATATTTAAAAGAGTTGATAAAGTTTGAGGGCCAAGTATAGCTTTTAACACAAAGTGGCGAAATCGCAAATGCCACTTCTTTAGTATGCCTGGATAAGCAAGCATTAAGAGTCTTGAGTTTAAGATAATATTTTTAATTTGTTAGTAAGAAAAAAATAAATTAGAAAATTCACGCATGTTTTTGAATTTCCAGTTATCTGTTCATAATACAACGACAACAGCTTATATCGGCAATACCAAATCTTTCTAGACTCAGGGATCTTTTTTTAATCTTTAATCGGCACCAAACACGAATAAAAAGAACGATAGTGTCTGGGTTTCGTAGATAAGGAAACCACAACATAACTTGGAAACTGTTCCGGTTCTACGACCTTGCAGAAATATCTAACCCTTTTCAGTCACTAGCTCTTTAAAATAAAATATTTTATTCATTTGGCAGGCTAAAATATCTATATATTGTGTTCCGATAAATCTTTAACGTAGCTGTACTTTTATTTAATATATAAATAAAATATATATTTATATTTTTAAACTTTTTAGTTGTATAATTTTGTTTAAGTTCTTTAATAATTCGAAATTTGTAGCACCATAAAATCTAGGGAGTCTGTAGTTTCTATGCTTGTCATGCGGTCCGGCTACACAACAGAATATCGAAAACTTTTGGCAAAGCAAAATAGAAATAGAATCATCCAAAGAGAACAAAATACCAGTAAAGTGATTCGATCTGATTTATCCATTTTCAGCCGAAAGAATGTCATCTGCCGCAAAGAAACGCGACGCGCAGAAAAAGAAGGATGCACGTAACAAGAAGATCCAACAGATACCCTCCACGAAGAAGGCCAATGGCCAGCCGGAGCGCGAACTGACCGAAGAGGAGAAGCTGTGCGCCAAGCTGGAGGAGGAGGCCCGGATCAGTGCGGAGGCCCGATCCTGCACCGGATCGCTGGCGGTGCATCCGCGATCCCGCGACGTCAAGATCGCCAACTTTTCGATCACGTTTTTTGGCTCCGAGCTGCTGCAGGACACCATGCTGGAGTTGAACTGTGGACGTCGCTATGGTCTGATTGGGCTGAACGGATGCGGAAAGTCTTCGCTGCTGGCGGTGCTCGGCGGCAGGGAGGTGCCCATACCGCCGCACATCGACATCTTCCATTTGACGCGTGAAATCCCGGCCAGCTCGAAGAGCGCGTTGCAGTGCGTCATGGAGGTGGACGAGGAGCGCATCAAGCTGGAGAAGCTTGCTGAAGAGCTGGCCATGAGCGAGGAGGATGATGCCCAGGAGCAGCTGATCGACATCTACGAGCGACTGGACGATATGTCCGCCGATTTAGCGGAGGTCAAGGCGGCCCGCATCCTCCACGGTCTCGGCTTCGACAAGGCCATGCAACAGAAACAGGCCAAGGACTTCTCAGGTGGGTAAATCTTCTTTTGCCCCAAGGCGTACTTAACAAATCCTTGTTCCCTTCATGCACTCCAGGTGGTTGGCGGATGCGTATCGCCTTGGCTCGCGCCCTGTTTGTGAAACCCCATCTGCTACTGCTGGACGAACCCACGAATCACTTGGATTTGGACGCTTGCGTGTGGTTGGAGGAGGAGCTGAAGACATATAAGCGCATCTTGGTGCTCATCTCGCACTCGCAGGATTTCCTCAACGGCGTATGCACGAACATTATCCATCACACGAGCAAGCGGCTCAAGTACTACACGGGCAACTATGAGGCTTTTGTGCGCACACGCATGGAACTGCTCGAGAACCAGATGAAGCAGTACAACTGGGAGCAGGACCAGATTTCGCACATGAAGAATTACATTGCCCGCTTCGGTCACGGTTCCGCCAAGCTGGCGCGGCAGGCGCAGTCCAAGGAGAAGACGCTGGCCAAGATGGTCGCCCAGGGTCTCACCGAGAAGGTGTCGGACGACAAGGTTCTCAACTTTTACTTCCCATCGTGCGGGAAGGTGCCGCCACCCGTGATCATGGTGCAGGTTAGTAATTCATCTGAACTGGTTATCCTTCAAGATCATTAACATAAGTAATACTTGCCATAGAACGTTAATTTCCGATACAACGATGAAACACCTTGGATCTACAAGAATCTGGAGTTCGGCATCGATCTGGATACACGTCTCGCTTTGGTCGGACCCAACGGAGCCGGCAAGTCCACGCTGCTAAAGCTGCTGTATGGTGATCTGGTGCCCACCTCTGGCATGATCCGTAAGAACTCGCATCTCCGCATCGCTCGCTACCACCAGCATCTGCACGAGCTGCTCGATTTGGACGCCAGTCCGCTGGAGTACATGATGCGCGCCTTCCCCGACGTCAAGGAGAAGGAGGAGATGCGCAAGATCATTGGTCGCTACGGACTCACCGGTCGCCAGCAGGTCTGTCCGATCCGCCAGTTGTCCGATGGCCAGAGGTGTCGCGTGGTATTCGCCTGGCTGGCTTGGCAGGTGCCGCACCTCCTGCTGCTTGACGAGCCTACCAATCACTTGGACATGGAGACCATCGACGCACTCGCCGACGCGATCAACGATTTTGATGGCGGCATGGTGCTAGTTAGTCACGATTTCCGTCTGATTAATCAGGTAAGCGATAAACAATATATTTCCGTTTAGTTTTCTGTTTAATCTTATTTGTTTAATCAAAACCGAATTAAATTGAAACAAAAACATTATTCGTTTAATATACAACTCATCCCTCAACAAATTTTTTTAAATGTTTGAAGTCTTCGTGATTATGTGAAAAATTAATGAGTTGTTAAAGTTAGCGCAAATGAAGGCTCATTCGTAATCGTTTTTTTTTCGTTTCCAGGTGGCTGAGGAGATTTGGGTGTGCGAGAAGGAGACGGTGACCAAGTGGAAGGGCGGCATCCTGGACTATAAGGATCATCTCAAAAACAAGATCACCTCCGAGAACGAGAAGAAGGCCAAGGCGGGAAAGTAGATGTTATCCGGTAGCCAACGCCCACATACCCGCACACACACAGTCGCGCACCACGCCCCCAAAGCCCCACACCCCCACCCACAAGAACATTCAGGCCACGATCCTTTCACTTCAATAGGCGGCGGGCTAGATCCGGATATTGGGCTGCCCGTTCGCTTTAATTCATACTGTGCAAAATTAGTCTTGAGTTTACACTACGCTATATACAAGTCATGTAAACAGCAATTCGATCTGCAAAATACCGTCAAGAATAAAACTATACCACCCAATCCAACCACAACCAAAACCACACATAACACACCACAACCGTTGAGAACTCAACAAGAATACACAAATTTTAGCTGAATTTTTTTCTTTTTATGTGTCGAGTTAAACTAAATAAAAATTATAAATATATAAATATAAAGTGGACAACAACAACCAGGAACTACAACTTATAAATACAAACCAACCAACTACAAAACTGCTTGTGATCTTGCGCTTATGTAATTTCGTTTAATTCTTCGCTAGGTTTCATATAAACATATATATAAAAATATATTTTATTTTTTGTAATTTATTTACGCCTTAACTATATATTTATATATTAAACAATTTAAACTACAATAACGAAAGTATGTAATTAAAGTTCTGATTAAGCGAGTCGAACCAAAATGTGTGAGAAACGATGTTAAACTGCCCTCCCAAATCCGAACCGTGATTTATTTGCCCGCGGATTCGACAAAGCCAGCGTGTGCGTAGCGATTCAATATTCGATTAAAATTAAAATAATAAAAAAAAGCAGACATAGAAAGGATCAATGGGTATTACATGAAACGTACATATACATATATACATATATGAAAATTTACAAATTACATAAACAAAAAAGATATTATAGGTTATTTAACAAATTGGAATTGTAAACTCCAGCGAAAAACAAAACGTTTTGTATGCAAAAAAAAAAAACAGAAAAATACGAAATAGATTCAATGCGTTATAGATATCTAAACGATTTGAAGCTGAATAATAGTTGTGGCAGCCGAAATGTACCGTATTAATTAGCTAACTAAATTGAAAAATTGCTAAGTTAAAAAAGTTGCTTGACAAGGTAAATAAACAAATTAAATGACCAAATTAACGCAATGATGTCATGGTTCACTTATTGGAAAGGAAAAGCCCCTCAGGGTAATTTTAATAAGGCTTCTTGAAGAGCATTCTTAAAGATATAAATTTGCTTTGAACTCGTACTTAACTACTTTTTTCCATTAAAATGTGGGTTTTTTTTTCATTATTTGTGATTGCGTTAAAAAAAATGGTAGATCAGAAAATTGCTGGCGAATTAAACCATTGAACAAAACTCAATACGTCATCTGAATCTCCATTAGCATTTCTTTATTTATTGTACAATTCTCAAATGTATTTGTTTTAATGTTGTTACATTTCATTGCGTTTCGCACCGTCTCTTTATTGCTGCATTCACCTGGTCTTTTGTTTATTAACGTTTCTATATGCGTGTAGGCACGTTCAAAGGTTAGTTGGTAGACTTGGTTACACTTAAGCGATAGTTACAAGTGCTATTCAGTGGTAATAGTATATAATGTACAGTACGATCTTTAGTCTATAATCTAGTAGCTCCTTGCCAGCTCCACATGCATGACCTTAAGGAGCTGCCTTTCCACCCCACTCAGGTCCCCGAATTCCGCCCCAAAGTCGCGAAGCAGGTGCTTGAGATCGCACATCTTGCGCTCCACCCAGGCACACGTAATCTCCGCCAGCGCATACTGCTGTTGCTCCGGCACAAACACGCCCGGACGCTCTACGGATCCACCGTCGTTTGCAGAGCATGGTCGCGCCTCGAACTGGGCCAGGTTGTAGTAGTACTCGATCAGCTTGATGTGGGCAGGTGACTGGCGTGCAGGCGGCAGGTTCAAATGGACCAGGAGCAGCAGACGCAGCACCTCCACGCGCCGCAACAACTCCCCGTACATCCGAGTCCCGCGCCGCTCGTACACATTATCCACAATGTCGTCGTAGTGCTGCAGGGCACTCCGGAAATCGCCCCGCTGACCACATGTCTCGGCGCTGATTTCCAGGTCATGGATCTGATGTGTGGGCGAGGCGAAGCTGCTGGTGCTGTCCAGCTGGCGCTGCAGTTGCTTCAGCTCGCGGAGAATGGCAGCCTTGAAGACGCATCCGTCCACCGCTCGCTCCGCGGCCCGGTGATAACAGTGGAGGGCGCCCTCCCGGAATTCCGAGTGCCGGGTGCGCAGGTGCAACTGCCCGGATTCGTTGTGTGCTCCAAGGAAGGATCTCGCTGCCCGCAGGTAAGCCTCCGATTCGCGCTGCGGGGCGCCGCCGTAGGACTCGCACTTGGCATAGCCGATGTGGCACATGGCCGCGTACTGTAGGATGCCCGACTCCTCGAAGCTGTAGGCCAGTCGCTGGAAGTCCGCCTGCACATCGCCCACACTGGGCGCAAAGCGTCTGAAGATCGGAGAAACAATGGGGTTCAAATTGTTAATACAATATTTTTAATTTTGTTATATTTCAATATTTAAAAAAGTGTTTTTTGCACTTATCAAATAAAAACATCGTTGGCAATTATGCGTTTTAGGCCTTTAAATGTTATTACTCATATGCACTGTTGCCTTAATTCAATGTTTTTTCTAATATGTTCTTGCGGAATGGTAGTTACTCCTACCATTCCGCAACGCCTAAGCCTTTTAATCAAATGGATGTCAAATAATAATGTATATAATAATATAATAGAAATAATACTATATATAAGGAGTTTTTATTTTAACTTTCCGCCTTTGGCGCATACTATATTTAATGACAGCTAACGTGGGATAATCCCAAACTACTTTTGTATATTTGTTTTAGCCAAGATGAAAAACAGTAAACGAGATAAAAGTCGAAATTGTTGTATCTCTGTAAAGGAATTTAAAACTTGAAAACATATAAAACTAAGATAAAAAATAAACTAGATTAGAGTAGTTAAAAAATACTCAAATGCTTGTAAGCCCTGTTTTGTGTTTTGTGTATGAATGTTTGAATGTTTTGTGTTCAAAGCGGTCTAAAAAAAGGATTATTATTAAAAATAAATCGTTTGAAATGAGGTGAAGTATATAAGCAGTTGATCTTGGCTGTAGGGTTTTTAAAATAATTGCATACAAATTGAGTTCAAAAATGTAATTTTAGTCTGAGAAATATGAATTATAGAAACGGTACTATAATATTTTATTTTGAGTACAAAATTTGAGAAAATAAAAGAATTTATAGCCCATGAAATATAAAACTTATTAAGTAACGACTAACTGTCGTGGACTGAAGTGCTTTCGAATATGATGGAACTAATCATGTACTCCACAACTACTTGTACTTAACCTTTTTTAGTTTCTACTTGTGCGCCCCAACCATGCTCAAAGGCTAATCTCTGGGGGATACATTACAAAATCTATTTATCCTTAGCTACTCACTTGAAGAAGCCGGCTCGCTCGAACTTTTTGATCTTGCTGGAGGCCCTAAGATATTGCTCGATCAGGTTTTTGGGATACTGCTCCAGTTGCTGCTGCTCCGGACCGGGATTTGTTGATCCCATGCCGCTGGAAGATCCACCGCCCACCAGGCTGCCGCCGCGGAGTTTATCCATGCTAGATTATCGGGTCGCGTTAATTGTTCATTATTTTCGCTTTTTTTTGTTATTATTTATTTTATTTTTTGTGGAATTCGTCATGTGCAATGTGACCGTGGCATGGACCGCGGAGCGTAGGAATATACTAGTTAGAAAACGGTGAGTAAAGTGATATTTACACTACCGCACGTTTGCCATACATATTGAAAAGGGCGGCGTTCAGCAGAAGAACATGATCACTGATAGATTGCTGATCTGATGCAACATGATCGGCAAAAGAAAAACGTAAAAATAGTACGCTATATATTCGTGTTTTTGATGCAGCTGCTGGCGTTTATTGATTATTGAAATATCGATTAAATGAACAAAAAAAAAAGAAACGAAGCAGTGAAACGAAAATAAAACACATTAATTTACAGTTAATGCGTTGTAATTTTTAAAAAATAATTTTAAAATGATGCTTTCACGAATGTTGTGCTTAATGCTGTAATGGGTGGGGAACCGTTTTCTTTTTAAAAGAACATCCATTTGAAATACAATTTTTTGTCGCCATGAAACTTTTTTTGTACAAGATTTGTCTTGTACTGAATTTAAAAATTTTTAAATCGGTAACAGGCTCACAGGACAAGAGAGCAAACATAGGCACGGCCAACACATTTATTTTCCATCTCGCATCTGGGGATGTGTGTCAGTGCAAGCAGTCTAAGATCCCCAATCCGGTATATTTTGATATCTTCTACGACGTTTTATGGTATTTATTAACGGTCGCGCTGCGGTCACACCAGATACAGCAAAATTGGTTTGCTCGGTTTTTTTGCTATACTTTTAGCATTTAATTGGATAAAAACAAACCGCCAAGACATCACAACTCGCGATTTGAACTAGAAAACCACAAGACAGCAGCGGACGACACAAAATGGCTATTGCCGAGCATGACAACGTCTTTATCTTCGTGCCAAATTTGATTGGTGAGTTGTTGTTTTTTAAGATCCTGTGGGGTAAACAAATCGTATGATCGATTTATGCGGCGCAGTTATAGCGCTTGGGTGTTCCCTAATTGGATTAATAGGGGATGTTGGCAACCTGTGAAATGCAGGGCGCAAGTTCACCGATATGTGGCGCACCCACCCACCATGAATGCCACCCCGATATTTCCCCGCATATTGATATGTATTCGCCACTGATATATTGACTTTTTCCAGGCTATGCCCGCATCATTCTGGCCCTGATCGCGTTCTGGTTCATGTCCACCAACTATGTGATTGCCGGCTGGTGTTATGTAACCTCCGCCCTACTGGACGCCGTGGATGGACATGCCGCCCGGGCCTTCAACCAAAGTGAGCACTTCACACACGTACCGATTCCCCCCTTAAACCCACAAAAACACACCACTAGCTGTAGCTACATACATCTGTATCTGATTTGTGCGCGCACTTTGGCCGCAACGCACCGCAACACCTGTCTCCCCAATGGTTATCTGCCGATATCTGATTTAAATGGCACGCCCAGAGAGCCCGATATGGTCACGGCTGGATAGCCAATAGATGGGTGACGTGAGCCCACAAAGCGGACAGAAAGCAGGGCTAATATATTCTCTGAAACGTTATATATAGGTACCAATATAGATAATTAACTATCTGAAACGTTATGGCTAAATATCTTCATATCTATGTTGACTATTTAGCTAACTGTCCTATCTATATTGGTTATAATTTTTCAAAGTTCCAATTAGAATATATGGTGCTTAAATATACATAGTATGATATATTAATACTTAGTGAAGTTGAAAAGTCTCTTTACTGCTTAGTCATTAGTCATAGTCCCCCCGAAACGTAGATTATAAGTCTGCACTACAAGAAATATTTCTGAAGTGACGAAGCATATATTTGTTTATTTAATGACTACCAAACCATCTGATTCTCCACCCTGCAGGCACTCGTTTTGGGGCCATGCTGGACCAGTTGACCGACCGGTGCGGCACCACGGGCCTGCTGGTCACCCTGGCATACTTCTATCCCCGGTACATGTTCTGGTTCCAGCTGTCCATTGCAATCGACGTGGCCTGTCATTGGCTCTTCATGCAAACGTAAGTGGAACGCGTTGTCTGGACTTTGAAGGTCTCCTAACTATTGGCATATCTTTGTCTTTTGACGTGCAGGAGCGTTGTGGTTGGACGCAGCTCGCACAAGGTGAACGAGAACTTTGTGATGCGCCTTTATTACCAGAAGGACATCCTCACCTTCATGTGCTGTGTCAATGAGCTGTTCTATGTGTGCTTGTACCTTTTGCATTTCACCTATGGCCCGCTGAGTGAGTATATTTGTCGTAACTTGGACTCTGAAATCTTATCTAATCGGTATTCGCCAACCAACTGCAGTATTCGGCGCCTCGCTCTTCAAGATACTCGCCTTCCTGACGGGTCCCTTTGCCGTGCTCAAGGCTCTGATCTCGGTGATGCACGCCTATTTGGCGGGCATTGATCTGGCTGCTGTGGATGTTCGCGAGCGTCAGGAGAAGCGCCAGAAATCAGAGCCGGTAGCCGGCAAGAAACTGGAGTAAATATGATCCGGACCACGATCTTCCAGCGTCAGTACTCTCAAGGAAAAGTACGAAAGCGAAACAACTCTAGATTCCAAGGAAAATAAAACATGAAAACAAAACTTTGAAGGCGGAAAGCGATCAGATGAAATATGGGCATTAGGCAACCAATTAGGCCGTAGAATAATTTAAATTATTTGTATGCGCTATTGCATGATTGTTGATTTTATTTGTAATTTTAGTTAGACGGTTGGCAAGCTCACCCGACAAATTGTATTTAAATGATTTAAGAATTGAAATTGAAACTCAAGCGATTCGTTCCAGTCGGTAGCTGTTACATATTTATTTGCCTTTAGTTAAACGTAATTTACAATTTCTGTGACGCTTACACCCAATATATATATATATATATTTTACATAAATTCAGGCCGATATATGAATGAGTGTCTATTTCCAGGACTTATCTCACTGATTCGGCTAACACCTCCCCCCAGCAACTCTCTCAATGTAACTAATGTATTTCTAATCGTAAGTGAAAAGAATGTAATTGGAGACCTGCAAGAAATATACGAAAAATGAATGTTAGATGTAGGCGAAAGCCATACACGTATATATGTATGTATATGCCAGGCCTGGCGAACTAAGTCAACATTATCGATGAAAAGTAGGAGTAAATATACGTGGTGTTATGTGCTAAATTGTTGTTTCCCTTGCTATTTTGGCCTCCTTTTTGGCCAATTTCAATTTGAAATTTGCGCTCAAAAATTTATCGTTTTATTGACAATACTTTTTTGTGGGAGCCCTCGTTTGCCGCTCACCTGCTGCCGCAGTGCAGCCCTGAGTTTTACACAACAACATAAACATTCGTGTTCGGCGGAGCATTTTCCGGGACAATAACACCTCTGCCGGACAACTGGAGATGCTCTGATCACGGGCGTATGTGGATGTGGAGCAGCCAACTCCGGAATCGCCAGCTACGTCGTCATGAAGGTCCTTTCCCGACTGGGCAGCCTGGTGCGCTACACGGTCGCCTATGCGGCCATCACCCACTGCACCTTCGAGTACATTGGCGACTTCGTCCTGGTGAGTTATCTTCGATTATGCACTGTACCGGGGTACTGTTATGATCAGGGTTGCCAGTTGGTATCCCAAGTCATCCAGGACAATGTACCTAATGTACCTTGCTTTGCACATATGTCTGATCATCGCTTCTTATCATCTTTGTACCTATCAATGTATGTTGGGTATTTCAGTTAGGTATTTATTGGAAGCAATAATATCCATTGGGCCTACTTTTTATCCTACTTATGGTACTTCCAAGTGACCGAATTAATTACATATGTACATATGTAAATAATAAATTATATAATTGCGTTACACAGTTACATACTATAGCATCGAGTTCCCAACCAAAACCTGTACCTTGTGTGTCTTTCACCCAGCATCTGTCACTTCATCTGGTATGGCATGGTACATGTACCGCTCTTCGGGTACAATATACGGAAGTATTGACCTAGTATCTTCGCTATATCTATTCGCAGTGCAAAGGACCCTCCATGGAACCCACTCTCTACTCGGACAACGTGCTACTCACCGAGCGCCTGTCGAAGCACTGGCGAACCTATCAACCCGGCGACATCGTCATCGCCGTGTCACCCATCAACGCCGGCCAGTTCATCTGCAAGCGAATCGTGGCCGTGTCCGGTGACCAGGTGCTCACCCAAAAGCCGATCCCCATCGAGGCGGAGTACAGCGGGAGCAAGGAAGGTGCCGCCGACAAAAAGAAGCCAGTGATGATCAAGGACTATGTCCCGCGCGGATACGTTTGGATCGAGGGCGACAACAAGGGCAACAGCTCGGATTCGCGTTACTACGGACCCATCCCAGTGGGCCTCATCCGGAGTCGCGTGCTCTGCCGCATCTGGCCAATATCCGAGGTCACTGGTCTCTAGATTGGCCTGTCGTAAATAGTGTTATCTTGTTTTAAATCAATTTGACCAATTCAAGTCGCCTATTTTAATTGAAAATTTTAGTAGATCCCTTGTGTAAGAAATTTTCTTCTCATTTGTGCGATATTTGGCGACCTGTTGGATGTGATTTAAAATAAACTAGAAAATCTTTTAAAAAACTGCCAGAAACATACACAAATATTCATTTATTTATTTACCCAATTCTTAAATTCAATATAATGCCTTTAACATGTTATTTCATAAAAAAATCTTAAATAAATAATTCCGTAAAATTTTAAATTCGTTCCCTGCTATAGGAAGATTTGAAATACTTAAAAAATTGTAAATAAAATATGCAAATAAAATATACAAATGATCATTAATGAAACATTAATTTAATTCGGGCACCTAAATTTTCATTCAAATCTTGTAAGAGGAACGGTACTATTTTTTTTACAGTTTAAAAATACATTGCATTAAACCTTTTTCAGACCTTTTAAAAACAAAAATCAATTCAATGAATTACACTCTACATATTTATGACCCTTATTCGATAGATAACTTGTGAATATACATTTACTTAATTAAGCTTTGTTTATCCTTTGAATTCAGTTGATAGTCAGCAACTCTGCCAAAATACGAGAATTTTGGAAAAAACTGGTTTACAAATAATAAAAACAGCAGACCAAATTAGTCATTTAACAAATAATTGTTCTTAAAATATTGTTTCTAAAACATATAAAATATTTCTTTAATGGTTCTTAAATTAAACATACATTTTGTAAGCTACTTACAATTTATAAACTACTTACATTTTTTATCACAATCTTTTTGACTTTTTAAAATGGAACAAAAATATTTTCTTTAAAAATCTTTTCTTTTTTTATTGTCACCTTAACAGCTACGTCCGAGTTCGGTTGGGTTTGTACTCATTTAATTTTTTGTAAATTTAAATTCGTATGTTTCTCTATTTTAATACGGATAAAAAATACTTATTTAAAACGTAAAATTTAATTAGATTTAATTTTATTTTTAAAATATTTTCTTACCTTTTAGGAACTGTGTGAATAATACCTTGTTTTGCGGTCCAATTTTGAAGTTAAACAAAAACTTCACAAATGATTTAATAGCAATAAAACGTATCCAAAGAAAAAGGTATTTAAAAGTGAGTGATCTTTAATACATATATAAAAAAAGGGTTTATTTAACTACATTATGAACATTTTAATATGCACTTGTGCTGCTGCTGGGTTGGGAAGAAAAAACTAAATAGAAATTGCACTATGAATTTGGCCACTGGACCGTCAAGTCTCACGAATTTCTTTATCCCGCTGCTGCTTCTACTGCTCCCGCCCCACGTAATACAGGTTGTACTTCTTTTTGAGCACCTGGTGGACATCATCGCGACAGGTGATGGTCAGGCCGCGCTTCTGGTAATCCAAAAACGTGCAGACGAACTGCCTGTTTGTCTCGTGCACCTGCGGATGCTGCAGGTACTCCGCGATGGGCATCCACTGGAGTCGCGCTATCTCCCGCTCGCACCGCTTGAAGTCCAAATTGAGGGGCTTCAGGGCGACGACCACGTAGAGATCGGAGCAGCCGAAGGTGCCGCCGTGGGCGTGTCGCAGACTGACCACCGACCGGAACTCTGTGCGGATGCCCGTCTCCTCGGCCACCTCGCGCATCGCTGCATCGATGAGATTCTCCCGCGGCTCCACATAGCCGCCGGGCAGCTTCCAGCTGTTGGGTATCATCGCATACCGATCGGACACCACCAGGACCTCATCCTTGTCGTTAATCACCAGTCCGCCGACCCCCATCAGCGTGTGGGCGTAGGTGGGCAGGTTGTTTGACTCCTGTTCCGGCAACCAGCGGTACATGACCACCACTCCGGTCCGTGCGTGATGGAAATCGAAGCCGTTCTCCGCCAGAATAGGCACCCAATCGGCCTGCTCCTTGTACACCCGGAACCAAATAGCCCGATTCTTATTCAGCGTCCAGAAGTCCAGCGATTCTGGAAAATATTTAAGAAAATTAATGTGAAAATTTAAATAAAAATAACCACAACTTTAATTTGATTTAAATTTAAAATATTTTGATTATTATTTAACTATTTGTAATTTACTCATTAAAATAATAATAAACTCAATATTGAATTAATAACAAGTTTAAAAGGGAATTTGTAAGCTTTTGGTTACGAATTATTAAAAACAATTATTTTAGGACTCAATATCCATAAATGAATTCTAAATAGTAATCTTTTAAACAGATTAAGGTACAAACCGTTTTTATCATCGTTCGTTATTAAACTGTCTTCTTAATTATAGATTGATAAGGTTTTAATAAATTTTTGATAGCAATGAAGTTAAAAAAAATCATTTCTAATCTATTCCTCCTCGACAGTTTAAGTACTAATTTTTGTTTTTCCAACGCAAATAAATAATTGCACACTTAACACTTTAAAAATAAAAACAAACAAGCGCTTAATGGATTATTTTATAAATTATTTGGGAAATTACTTTTCAGTTTGTCCCGGAAGCTGGATTTGTCGACGTTCTCCTCGCGGCCATCAACTGTGACTCCGGCAAAGCGATCCAGCAGTCCGCGAAACACATCCTCCGGCGTTTCCATGACCTTGGAGCTGTGAGATGGAACATGGATCGCTTTCAAGGAAGGTGTATAACTAGGTATTAACAGGCTCATACTTACGCTGGGTATGCTCTTGTAACTTGCCGCAGTGGCTGATGCTGCTCCAGAACCTTTAGTTGGGTTTTAGACGTTGCCGTGGATGAGGGGCGTTTTTGAGCAGTCCGGAGAACCGTCCTCCATGAATTGAACGCCGGCAGGTTTCGAAAGTTTCTGCGAGCCAGAATACCTGTGGCCAACATTAAATATTCGCTCAATTCGACGGAAACGACGTGGATGACGACGGCGGCCGACTTAGTTGGCGTCTCTAGCTCGGAACCGGAGATCTTTCGGCCCGGGAGTGGGCGTGGCGGCTACAATGGCTCTGACAGCTCAATATTTCCACAGTCCGTGACGAAGCCAATCCCCGGGCATGCTGTGTGTGTGAAACGAGGCAAAGGGACAGGTGAAAAAGCGGCATGACTCCAAATATAGATGCAAATGTGATTGGCTGCAAAGCAAGCGGAGGAGCAGGCAGCCACTATCTCTCGCCGGCGCAAGATAAGCGATATGGTATGGTCGGTGTTACGCTCCGATTTTTGTTCCTGACATTTCGAATTTGGCGCTAACGTATCAGTATCAGAAACGTGCGAGAGAGTTGAGCAAAAATGTTACTGAAAAAGTAAAGCCAACGGAATTAAATTGCATTTAATGATGTCTACTAGAAAAGTTACACCATTAAACAAGGGAGAAAAGAAACAATTAAAATGCCTAAAAGGCATTGACCCCTCAGATTACTCTGATCCCTGGTATAAATATTATATACTTTATGTAGTTTCAAGTTGCTAATTTACCGAGTTCCCAAGTCTCTGACCAAAAATGCTATTCCAACAATTTTTCTAAATACCCTATAAGAGTGGATTACTTTTAACCGTTTCGTGAAACTGTGACTTGTGCCCAGAGTAACGGACCGTTACGGTCACTGTCACAGTCACCGTTTGGCGCTCATCTCTAGCACAACCTTGAGCGGCAATCCAAGGTGCGTGTGGGTGGCGGGTGGTTTTGGGGTCGTTTCAATTGTTTCCGCATGGGTTCTGTGTATGTTTATCAGCTGAGTAGCTGCTGTTATCAACGCGCCAGACAATTTATACGCGCTTTACATAACAAACAACGCCAAACACAGCGAAATCAGTCAAATCGTATCGAATGACATTTTTAATGCTATCTAGGCTAGCAAAGCTATAGATTTGCTGAAACTCACTAGAAAACCCACTGGTTAATGGTGTCACTGAGCGGTTTCTGTCCAGTTTCAGACGACTAATTAATAGATCCAGCCATGGACTTTGGCATAAACAAGCGAACAAAACAGCGCGCGATTTCAATTCGCTTACACTTCCGCTAGCACGTTAGTTTCTAGGGATGGGACAAAAGTCAATCAGCTGTTTCGCCAGTGGTGACAGCTGGGCCTTTTCCCCCTAAAAAGCTATTTGACCTTTTAATAGCTTTTACTACACAGAACAAAAATTATACTATATGATGATATTTTTATGATGATTTTCTGCATCATTTTGTGCCAAATATTGTTTTAAAGCGTTTACTATATAGATACAAGATAATGTATTAGATGTATTATGATCTTGTTTATGATTTGCTTAATAATTTGTTGACTTATTTATTCGACGTGAACGATTAGTCTACATAACATTAATATAATATCCAAATAGCTCATAAAGTATCAAAAAGATATGTTACATATGTTACTTACAATGTAATTATCAATTTTACATGTGAATATTTATTCTACATTAAGTACAAATATATGTGTAAATGTAATTTAATTGTTAAACCTAAAAAAAAACACATTTGAAACCATTTAACTAAAAACTTAAGAGCTGTTATTAAGGGTATGGTTAACCATTTGCTATTTATGCAAAAGTTAACAAAAGATGTACAGAACACTGTTTTTTACAAGAAATCGAATCTAATATTTCTGACTACATGTTGAATCTATTTGAATCTACTTAATTTAATTTAAAGATTATTTTAAACTTAATGAACTTACAAAAGTGTGTGCTCTTAGTGTTTCCAACATTTTATTGAGCTTTCTATGTATTATTCTATGTTAAGTTGTAAAAATGGTTATGAGCTGGTCTACAGCTTGGAAATACATTTTTAAACAAATTATCCAACGATTTAACCAATTCCTAAAACGCGTGTTGCTACTGCAGGCGCACTTTATTAGAATTTGAAATGTCTACCTACATTAGTCAGCACATTTATATATGATATACTATTAGATCGGGGCGATCTACAACCGGATGGAGGCAATGAAGCCTTTATGCCTCGCTTTCCCCGGGGAAGATCATGGTGACCCTCGGATCGGGGGTTCCCGGGCGTGTCTCGTTTCCGCCGGCCTCCATGCGCTCCTGATTGTGATCCCCAGGGCGATCCGGATCCCGAAGCGAGTCCTCGTCGCCATCCAAACGCAGCCAACGGTGAAGCATGGCGTCCAGGGCGGAGACGCGCTTGGACGGATCTGTTTGCAGCATTGGCTCCAGAAAGGACACGAACTCCTTGGCGTCCTGGCGCGCCCATCCGTGTTGAGTGATCAGGACAGTAACCAGCGAACGTGACTGCAAGTGGGTGATATTGCGCAGCTGGCCATTGGGCTTGAAGATCTCCGACGAGTACTCGCCGTGCTCGATCAGCTCGCGAGGGATGGGTCCACAGGTCTCAATGATGTTGGCAATGTGCACCTCATCCTGGCCTGCCCTGCCGCGTGCCACCAGGGGATCGAACAGATAGCCGCCGGTGGCCAGCTCCCAAAACAGGCAGGCGGCACTCCAGATGTCGGCCGTCTCATTGTATCCGGCGCCCAGGATCACCTCCACCGCCCGGTACTCGCGCGTCTGGATGTCGTCGGTGAAGTGGTGGTGGAACCAGCAGCCATTGCCCATGTCCGCAATCTTCACCTTCAGGTTACAATGCTGGGTGGCTGGGTCCTTGGGGGAAATCATGCCCAAGTTGGTTGCTTTGTTGTGTTCCTTGTGGTGTTCTATCTTAACCTGCTGGGAAACGGAACATATTTTTATATAAAACTGACTGTTTGATGTGTTATAACCCTTGGGATTCTCAGGAGTTGAAACTCGTTATACATGTATAATAATAAACATTATTATAATAAGAAAAATAATATACATGTATTTCAAAGTGATTCCAAATTAAAAAAATATATATATCTTTAAAAAATTATTTTTTTTCAATCAGAACATTTTTAAATATTTCAATAATGTATTCTCCAAAAAAGAAAATTGTTCCTATTTTTTTTTTTAACATTTTCATTAAATGTTTTGATTGACGGAAAGCGGAAATGAAAAATTTTTTTTTTTCAATTCAGAACATTTTTAAATATTTTAAACATGTATTCTGCAAAATAGAAAATGGTTCCCATTTCTTTTTTTGAAAACATGTTCATAAAATGTTCTGATTGACGGAAACCGGAAATTAAAATACCTAATAATAATAAAAGCATCAAAAAGTATGCTACAATATAGGTTGACTACAGAAATGGGAAGGATAAGTGCCGGAAGGCGAAAATTCCACAGACCCCTAGAGACTTCCCCACAGTATTTTATAAAGATTTGTTGTAACTTAGCATACTGAGTTGGGTCCTTTCTTCCGTGTCCCATATGGGTGCTTCCTGACGCCCCTCAGCTTCCTGCCCAGCTGTTGGCGAGTCCGCTCCGCCAGATCCGATTCCGTGGCCCTCACCTGGACATACCGCATAAACTGCTCCGGACTGTTGAACAGGAGCCGCAGGGCGGCGGATGTGCCAACCAGCTTCTGGCCTGGATTCGTGGCCGACTGATCCGTATTCGGTTGACGGCGGCGTGGCGATCTCTTCTGGGAATTGCCGGGACCGGGCATATCGCCCACCCGTTCGACCGTGGCCCTACTCTCCATCTCCAACTGGCGCAAGTCGCTATCCTCGAGGATGACCAGGCCGTCGAAGGAGAAGGGCATGAAGGGCAGCTTGCCGGTGACGCCCTGGGCGGCGGTGGTCGGCAGCAGGAGGCCGCGAGCCGCCAGACTCAGCAGATCCTCGATGGCCCGCTGGCGCAGCCACTGGCGGTGCTGCTGGAAGAAGGTGACGCTCAGCTTGGCCCGCGCCCGCATCCTCTTCTTTGCCGTTTTGGTCAGCTTGGCATCGCCATTGTCTTGGTTCTGGTCACCACGTCTGCGGAAGGCCAAAAAATGTGTTAGAAATATACTAGCAGTATGAATTTCCGAAAAAAATAAATATGACTCCGCCAGAGGGCGCCAGCAATTATATTCACGAAGCGAGCTCTAATGGCAAAAGCGCCATCTGTTGTGAAGCACATTCAAAGAGGCTTTAATTTTAACTCTTCGAGTAACGGTTTTAATAATATGCAATATTAATTGTAACTAATTTCTCAATTGTAAGGTTAGTTTTGGTTGTGGTACGAACCTTGGTCTGTTCAGCTGGGGCTGGGCCTGGATTGCCAGGAAGTCGGAGGTCGCCTGGTTGGCTAGACCCCGGACGGCCACATCGTCGGCCACCACCAGCACGTTCTCTGGCTTCAGGTCGGTGTGTATAATCCGGCACTGGGTGTGCAGGAAGCACAGGCCCTCCAGGACCTGCAGGGCTATCTGCTTGATGTTCTCGAGGGGCAGGCCCCGGTAGCGCGATCTCTGGATGAGGGTGAGCAGATTGTCGCCGAGCACCTCGAACACCAGACAGAGGTGGGTGCCGTGCAGGCCGCTAATGTAGAAGTGATCCAGGAACTCGACGAGACGGTCCCTCAACGGATGCCAATCGGAATCGGCCACGGAGCGGAGCAGGCGGATCTCATCGCGGGCGGTTTCCGTGAAGTGCTCCGCCGACTTGACCACCTTGATTGCACAATAGCGCTCCAAGCGAGTGTCGAAGCACAGCCAGACGGTGGAGAAGTGGCCCCAGCCCAGCTTGTGGATGGCATGGTAGCGATTCTGGAAGATGTCGCCCACGGACACCGGATGATAGCCACCCACCCGGTACTCCGCCGAGTTCTCCTCCATCCCGTTGTTCTGGCTGCAGTTGGACATCTCCGCCTCCTGCTCCTCTATGGGAGTTGGATCCGATTGGAACACTAGCACCGACTCCTCCGATTCCGGATAGCGGTCTATCTTCGACGAGTGTATCCTGGGCGTCAGATCCTCATCCGATTGGTCCTCGGAGCTCACGTACCGATCCCCCCTGATGCGGTAGACGCTCTGCAACTGGCGATCCAGTTCCCTCAGATTCTCATCCATCGTCCGGTAGAGCTCCTGGGGCGATAACTCATCCTCATCCGACTGCACCTGGGACTTCACCTGCTTCTGCACCTGCACCTCCAAATCGTCCGCCGTTATAAAGGGTATGTCCATCTGGTCTGACATTGAAACTGGAATAGGGAGCTCCAAAGAGGACTCTCGGGTGCCAGTGGAATTTGAATTTACATCAGTGTTTGAGTTTCACCAAGGGACTCCGATTGGTGAAGGAATCCTTGATATGAGGAGTTGTTTTCTTATGAGATGAGCCAAAGTAAAGTACGCCAAGAGGCACGACTGTCAATAGTAACAATCTTTATAACAATTTTTTTTGACAATCTCGGAACAGGAAAAGTATCGGACCAATTTATTGTTATCGATTAACAATAAGGTGGTAGTATTAGCTTTTTCATAAGCAGTGTATAAGCGATATCCTAATGAGTGAGGAAAATAATTATTATTATGATGGGCCAAGAAAAGACACTCACAGTCACAAAATGTGTTATTATTGTATCGTATCCTTGGTTAATGGGTTTCTGTTTTTTGGTTATATGATCATTAAACTAAATTGAAACTCACATTTGCAATTACTCCTTGCTTCTTAGATGGTTTCTCAAGATAACCAGTGGATGAGATGTTCTTGTGCCGTTTTGCTTGCCTTTCAAAAAAATATATATGTTTGTATATTCTCTAGGCAAAACGGTTTCTTGACTGAAGCAGCAAATGTCCTTCTTGCTTGTTGGTTCAATATTTATTTTCCTAGTTTTTGTTTTGAGAATTTTTTAGAGCTGTTCGAATGTTGCCGTTAAAATATTTTCTGATTGACTTCCGACTCAAAAAAGCAGGTCTCTCTACAACAATTTTCGCAGGGCTTACTGTGATGAAGGAACAGTAACGACAGTTAGTCAAAAGCTACTCAATTGGTATACATATTTCAAAAACAGAAACTGTTTTCAAGAAATACCAAACAAATTAATCAAATGTCTTGATTATTATTTAGTGTCCTTATTTATTTATTTAGTATCAATTCTGAATAAAATCTATTTTTATAAGACTATTCTATGCTCTAGTTTGTAACATATAACTATAAGTAATATTCAGTTGTAAATAAAATATAAGTATAACTATTGGGCTTGAAGCTGGGCATGAATGGTATTTAGAAATTATATATCTGAATTAATACCTCCTAAACTTATACATTTTTCTTAAATTAGTTGAGACTCTTCTATAGGTTTTAATTTATATGGTCATGTCCCTAGTTTTTACAATTAAACATTTTTTTTGTTGTGCCCAGTTGTGCCCAGTTTGGCCCATTTCTCTTTTTTTCCCAAATCGAAATAGTTGTGCAATTGAGGGCGAATCCTTTGTGCGAGTTTAGTGATTCGGAAAAGGCTATTTAGAGCAACAAAGCGCCAGTAACCAGGAATCAGGAACCAGTTACCAGTTGCCAGTTTACAGCGCGATTGAAGGGATTATAAAGGATCGTAAATCTGTTGCAAAATGCACATTGGCCAGAGTCAGCATGGGGGATGCCCTTGTTCCATATACTCAGGTGCTTCAAGTTGGACAACAATAGCTCCCATTGAGTCGCACTCGTTTTTTTTTATTATGTTTGTATTTTGATTGCCGGCTTAGCAATTTTTTGTTCACAATTTTTTGGGGGAGAAATTCCCAAAAAAAGTTAAAAACTTACCCCTCTCTAGCGGGCGAATTTCCGAATATTTGCTCAGTTGTTTAAACAAATTTTCCGCTTAGGGTTGCTGGAACGACCTCCTGTTTGCACACAATGGATTTCCATGCGCTGGCTTAAGTGAAAATGCCATGTCAAATATTTATTAAAAAATCTATGGCTGGTTGGGGACACATTTTCCACCGCTGGCTTATCGAAAACTTCAACTTCGAACTCGATGGAAAAAATCGAGGTTTTTGGGTTTCTAGGTTCCCAGGCGCGTCGTTCTTATTCAACCCTTTTTTGCGCGCACCCGGAAAATTCTTGTTTGTAATTAGGGAGTTTTCCTTATCATTTTCCAAATGCCTTCGGCATTCGGCATTGTTTCTCCTCCAATTAAGCGTAATTTCAAGTGTCCCGTTCCTGTATTTGTCCAAAACAATTTCAAAACAAGAAGAAAAGGCGACGTCGCGTTTTGAATTTCACTCTCATAACTGGTTGGGCTCCTAATGAACTGTTTATATGCAGACAATGGTTGGAAATTGAAATAAATTAACGTCGATTTTCCCGTTTTAAGTCGGTGGGTGTGCCATCGGCAGCTGAAGGGATTACGTTTTTTTTATTCGTGTGTAAGCTCAACTGAAAGTCAGGTAATGAGCAACGCAAAAGGCAATTTTTGGTGTTTTTTTTTGAAGGAGTGATAAGCGGAAAATTAACTATTATTAATCCATTTGCACACCCCTTTAGCCATCCTTTTTTCATTTGAACATCAACGGGAAAAACTTTAAAAATGTACAAAAATAGATTTTAACCACTTTTTTTTACTTCGATTAAATGTTTCAATTCGTCATAAACAAGCTGAAACTGATCACAAATATTTATTCATTATAGGGATGCTGAGAATATTTACTAAATTCTTGTATTTGCTAGTTTAATAGTTTTGTATTCTATTTTTTTTGATATCGAGTATACACGAGTAAAATTAGTCCTGAATCCTCAATTACAATTATTATACATGTTCATATTTTTAAAAGCCCTAATGCCATTTTCCCATTGCAGCATCATTCGAAGGATCATGAAAGTTTGAATAAGGATATGCGAGAAATATTTTTGGTGCCCACTGATGTGTGCCTAAATAACTTACAAGTAATAAAAATCCGCTGTGGGCATGGGTTGCGCGCTGTTTTCTTAATTAATTTCCCGTGTTTTTCCACGGGCTTGAAAGGGCCCATCTTGATTGCCGGCAGCATCCGAGGGGTCGAAGGGTCAGAGGGTCAAACGGGGATTGCCGGATCGGATGCTGGACTGGGATGCCGAAAAAGGGTTGCGCGAATGCCCTAATCCAATTACCGCGATTGACCGCGTAGTCGCACGTAATGCTGTACATTTAAAATATATCTTTCAGCTTAAAAGGAAAGTAATTGTTTTGGACCAAAATGGTTTAAAAACTCGTATCTCAATAACATTATTTTAATCAAACTGATACAAATAGATAAGATGTTGTATACCTTTCGTATTTATTCTAAATATACCTTTATTTAATAAATTGTTGTTTAAGAGTACTTAAATACTGTTGGCTTACTTAACTCTTTTTTAATTGCTGTTGTTTTCACATGTGTTATGATCAGATTAAGAATGGAGATGCCCTTTTGTGAATGTTCGATATGAATGTTCGTTGAAGAGTTAAGAATGGAGATGCCTTTTTGTGAACGTTCAATATGAATATTCTGCATTTAAATGTTGTTGGCATACTGTGCTGGGATCAAGTATATTATTTTTGATCAATCGTCGGAGGTTCTTCGTCTAGTCCTTCTTGCGGGGAATCACAAACAGATGGAGACGCAGACAGCTGTCCTTTGGGTGTTGCCTCCGAAGGAGATTTTTCACTTTTCCATTGTTGCGACGCTTCCTTTTTGTCAATGTGCAGTTACGTATATTGCCGACTTGTCCCCGTTTTTTTCCTTTTCCAACTTCTTCCCTTCTGTCCCCCGATTTCCCATTCTTTAGATTTGATTTTTTTCGCCAGTGTCTGGCATGTGCCGCTCCATTGTGTGCCAATTGGCAGAGCAGCTGCTCCTCTCCTTTTGTTGTCCCTCGAGTCATTGTCGAAATCCTGCAAAATGCGCCAATTACGTTGCTCATTATCTTCGAACTTCGAGAAGGAGTTGGTAGTGGAACTGGATCAGGATTACCATTCCCTCAGCTGCCGAACTTTGTCTTCTCTGAGCTTCCTTTACTGTTTCATACCTAAAATAATCTGAATTATATAAAAGATTATTACTGTTTAAGTCAAGGGCACCGCTGCTTATTAAGAATTATTTCTAAACATGCACACTTGAATTAAATTAAAGTGTTATTAAATTGGGATTATCAACACTTTAAATGTGTTTACATTAATATTCAAAATGGTTAAATTTTTTAATGATCAATGGTTAAAAAATATTAGTTTATTATGACCAATGCCAATTTAGTACTATCGTTAAATATACATACCACTCCAGCTTGTTTTAAAAGACATTAAAGTTCACCAGCTGCGATGCAGTACAAATTGGATTATTCTCTGTGATGATTTTCTATTACTATAGATACTTGGGCCATTAAAAAATGCAACCATTTAATGCAGTTCGCATCCTGAGTATTTTATCGTTGTGGGAATCTCGTGGGTTGATTTTCATCGGGAATCACTGGGATCATTCATCACGCCATTCAGCGGCAGGATATGCCTCAGGATATGACACTGCATAAACTGTCCAGCGTTCGGCGATCGTTACACAAACCGCATCCTGCGGAGATCCTGCCGAACAAAACGCCATTGTCCAACTGGCTGATGCTCCAGAAAACGCATCGAATGCGAATCCCGGCCAGGATGTGCAGCTGTCCGGCGGGAAGTCATCATCGCACGGTGATTGTGTCACCGAAGGACCGCAAAGTTCGCGCCCATGTCGCGGCCGCTATAATCCTTTAACTGTCACGAAGCCAAAACAAACAACGCCGGCGGGTCCGGTGAACCGAGTGACCTCTTCATTACACGGCGACAATCTTGGCGGGTCACCGGAACATGAAAGGGCGGTTCAGCGGGTCGGAAAATTATGCAACACGACGCGGGATTAGCGCAGCGAAAATATGCCACAGTCCTGATTTCCGAGTCCTGATTCCAGATTCATGATTCCTGATTCCTGGTTTCCGACCTCGATTCCCAAGCCGACCAACTGACCCCTGCGCTTGTTTTTATTGCCTTGCGTCGGACAATTGATTTTGTGACATAAATTTGGTGTAAACAGCTTTGGTCAGCAGCTTTGCTACCTGGGAAGAAAAATAGAGTTGTCAATGACAATGGACATAAATCAGTGCCCCGTCTCTGAGGATCTTACAATGGTCCGGTGATAGATGGGCCTTACATAATGATAATCCATAATAATTACATCTATCAATGTGTTTACAAAGCATTCGAGTACATTTTTTCCAGTTCCAGATTCGCACTCTCTATAACGATGGAAAGTAATATCTATAGGCTCAAATTTAATTGTTTATTTTAAAATATGGTACTTACATTGTCTCCAACGGGAGATTGCGCAAATCACTATTATTTGTTGAATTCTTAGGGAATTTTTACCAAAATATGACCGGAGGGTCATATTTATTTGTCATACTCGAGTAAAATCCAAAAACTAAATGGTTTATTAAATAAGGAAAATATATGTTAATTTTTTTTTTGTATTCAGAATACAGAATTATTATTTTTAACGATACACAATCTACATTTTAGATACGGTTTATATTCCTTTTCTTTAAAGAATAAATGTAAATTAAATTTTATCTAATTTATAATCGGATCACCTTTATAATAATTTTCTTTTCCACATAATTATAAAATGTAATTTACATTTATTCTTTGGAGAAAAGCCGTATCTAAAATGTGGATTAACAAAATAAATTTGAAAGTATAAATTTAAGATTAAAAAAACAGAAAATCAATTAAAGTACCATATTTTTCCGTTATTTCGCTGTTTCCGAATCTTTTCCTCGTTCAGAAGATCTCCAATGGCAACGACCAGTGACAACTTTCGTAATTATGCAAGGACCTGGCTTCCTGACTTCCTGGCTAGAAAAACATGCCACAAATGCATTAGAACGCGCTCGGTATGCAAACATATAATTGAAAACTGTCAACGTCTGACAAATTTCCAGTCGTAAAACCTGGCGGGTAACCCTAAATTAACCCCACACAATGTCAAGGGCATGCACCAAAAATATAAAACCAAAAATATATGGGAAAAGCGAACCGGGGGCGGGACGAACGCATTTCCAGAAGCCATAAAGTTGTGATCGACAGCCAGTCGGCCAGCAGGTCCTTGGTCCTTGGTCCTTGGCCCTGAGTCCTTGGGCCGTGTTAATGTGTGAGGCGCGTGGGTTATTCTATCGCTGGGGTGGTTTGCTCCCGAACGGTGGCTTGCAATTTGCCGATATGATCTGGCGGTGTCGTTTTGACAGTTTATCATTATGCCGGCGCGATCCTTGACCCTGGTGGTGGTGGGTCATCCGGTCGGTCGGTCATTGGTCATTACAATGTAAACATTTTGCGTTTTGTATTTAATTGATTTTCTGCACCGACCCAGGTTGCCAGGTTCCTTCATTAGCCGGGGGGTCTCCAGATTACTCCTGCGATAGCAGTGGCATGATTAATGCCTCTAAACAAAGAAAATACAATTTTTAGTCTGATATTTGCATTTAAATATTCACTGGCAATTTAATTTTTAGGGATATGCTTTTAATTCCTCTATAGATTAGTGGAAACATTAGCGGCTAAGAATAAGAAATGTTATTTAAAACCTTTTTGGGCTATAATAGAAAATGAAAGGTGTAATATTCTGGAAATCATTATAAGTCTGTTTTCTATTTTATTTTAATTATGTGCTTTTTTGAAACAAGGAAAATGGCATGTTTTCTGTTAAGGATTCGAGATCGCGTTGCTTCTTATAACGAAATATACCCAATATCGATCATCAGACTTTTTCTGCCCACTGATTTTGGCTCTTTCTCACGTCTTCCTTCCGAGATCCTTTGTGTTTCCTTTTCGCTGAACACGGCGCGCCAAAAAATTCGCACACTCTCCTCAGAATTATTATTTGGAAAACATGCGCAATGCGCACACACATAAATCTCAATCTGTCTGAAAATGTGAAATCGAAAATGAAATCATTGTGCCAAAATCAAAATTTAACCGCAAATTAGGCAATAAACAATGGCTAAAGCGGTCATGGGTTAATACGTTTAGCATCAGCAGACAACCGCCGGGGTCACAACCACCGCGCCGAGGTAGGATCGAAAGGGTTAAGCGATGGGTTGATGGGTTAGGGGTTGCGATAACGAAATCACCATTTTAAACGTGCGAAAAACTGCAGTGATCTCTGTTTGTGCTCCAGTTTTTGCCTGCTGGTGTGCAAAAGGCCCTTTCGCTATTCGCAAGAGATCCGCAATTAAATGACAGCAGTTTTAAAATGTTGCGGATCCGATGTGCGCCATTTTAGGCCTCCTCCAAAAATGTAATTTACAATTTCGTATTCCAAAAACATGGAGTAGGAACTAGTTTATTATATTCCAATTAAAGCATCCTATAGTTTAATAAGAGAAGTGGAACTGAGATCATATTAAAAATAAATCGTCGAAGATGTCCACAACTCTGGGATTTAAGAATCAATCAGAACTCTCACTATCACTAGAGCTCGAGTCGGTGTCGCTCTCGGACTCCGACTCGGTTTCGGTCTCGGGCAACATGTCATGAACCTCCGGATCGGCGGCCATTTCTTCGTTTTCGAAATCGATTGATTGATCCCAGACTCGTAAGTAAACCATGGCTAAATGGAAATATAGGCATACATTAGCAACTATTTAGTGTTGGTCTACAAGGCTTACCGTAAATAGTACGCAGAACATTTATAAATAAATCCATCACGAAATCAACAGCTTTTACAGCAGAATAAATAAGGGTTTGCATTCTTCTTCGAATTGGGAATCTAAAATTAAAATTTAGAACAAACATTTATTTTGAGTTACCTCTTATTTTAAAAAATATTAAAATATGAATTTATTAGAATATCAAGACTTTTTCTGCCCATTTAGGTAGTCTACATAAATGATAAGAACAAATCTAAAAGTCCTTAAAATCAATCAAATTTTCTATTGAGTTTAATTGGAATCATAAGGTTTTTGAGACATCCCCGAAGAATATTTTTTCCAACATGCATATGAAGTAAAGAAATTAGTCCTCTTCGTATTTATAATATTTAACAAATGTTATAGGATCTTTGAATTTTCTGATTTGTATAAAAAAGTGGTGGATCTGTGAAATTTATTTTCGGGAAGACCGAAGAAAAATGCAGTTTTTAGTCAAACAAACATTTACCGAGTCGATCCACCTTCGCACGCCATATGGAGGCATTTAGTTCCTTGACTAAAGGTCGGTCACTTGCCATAATTGGGTTTGGGTTTTGGGTCGCAATTAGCGACGCCTGCGCCTGGACACAGGACATAAGACATAGGACATTTTAAAGGTCACCGAACGTTCGCAGGACCCCGAAGAAAAATGGAAAAGGAAAATCCCGCTAGTGCCGCGGGCTAATCAATTACGCAACCTTAAGAAAACGTCGCAGAGGGTTCTCGCCCGATAAACTTTTACATTTTATTCACATTTAATTGCAGCCATGCATTAATTTCGGAACCTGATCGCTGTCAAACGTTTGACAAACTTGCCGGGGTGACATGTGATGTGAGGAGGTTGGGACGGATTGGAGGGAATGGATGGGGTCGGCCTGGATGGGATTCCGTTCCCGTTTGGGAATGTAATTTGCATTTTAACCCTTTTCTTTGTCTAATAATGCAAGTCACGACGTCTTCGCCGCCTTGCGGTCACGGCGTCGTCTCGCTCGCACCCGCTTTGGCGTGCTCGTGTCATCTCTCTCGCACCATCGCGCTGCTGTTTAGTTTGCGCAGGAGATTTATGGAGAATTGCTTCGTTTTTTGGGTTGATTTCCACGGGAATTGATTGCATTGCATTCCCGAATTTCACCGCACTTTATTTGGGTAATTTTCTTTACAATTAAATATGCAAATGCGCGATAAACGTTTATTTTTAAGGCGTTTGTTTTTTGTCATTTGCGCGAGAGTATTAAATAACGACCAGAAATGGTCGTAAAATAACGACCAGAAAAGGCAATATATTTTCACTTACCCAAAATAATAAAGCTCGTTTCAGATTTCTTTGACTTCGACTCTTCGAATGGATCAAGATGAAAGAATACAGAAATATGACAACCTGCTTAACGGTGTTGAAAAAAGCACTTTTTCTTAAAATAGTGTTGCCACTTGGCTAACAAAAAAGGAGTCACTACACGAGCAGTTATTGTGCTTAAGAAATATGGAGTCCTCACTATCACTCTAAATATATATTAATATTTTAAGAATTATAAACAGGCAGACCTTGGGCCTAGCAACTTTTCTGAGGCCAAAACTCAAATTAATTTTAAGTATCAGCGATACATAAAACATTTTAAAGTTTCAACTTTAAAAAGTTTCCACACGAAATATTTTTTAAATTATACATACATGTAAATCACTCGTAGATTTTGAATGATAATACCAAAAGTAAAGATTCCTTCAAAATAATTTTAAAAGTTTCCTTAATTTTTATTTTTAATGCAAAAAAAGGTGCACACAAGAAAATACTACGGTTAAGGGGACCCCCCCCCATTTCGGTTTCAAAAAATCGATTTTTTTATTTAATTCAAACCTATAACTATTCAAGAATGTTCCTTCAAAATTTCAAGTGGAAATTTCAAAAACTTTTGAAGATATAGCCGATTTATGGTGGAAGCCTCAGGCGACGGCGAGAGCTTCTCAAAATTTTAAACGCGTTTTTCTCGAAACAGTATTTTTATGACTGGCGTATTTTAATACGTTTTTCTATGCATATATAGCTATAGCATGAACTAGGATAAATCAAATCGGTGCAGATCTTCTTTACTTTTTACCTTGATTTGTGGCTGAAAAGAAGGCGATTTTCAAAAAAAAATGTTCAAAGGTCAGCAGTTCTGTAATTTTTTGTCCGAATTTAAAAATCCTAGTTCATGCTATAGCCATACATATACTCTTCCTAATCCCGTTGGAATTTTTGGTTTCAGATGTTCCAGTGAGCTTTAATCCACTACGCCGACGAAAAGAAAGGGTTTTTTCATGACAAAAAACAAAAAAAAAAAGTTATGTTACATTTTTTCTTATTATTTAAGTCTTCAATTAAATGAATGCAAAGTTGCAAGCCTAAAAAATAATATATGTACATTTTCCAGCCCATTGAAAATCGTCAAAATTTGAAATCGTGGGGGGGCCCTTAAGTGTTTCCTTAAGAAAATTTTAAACAGTCCCCACTATTTGTGAAGTTTTTCCAATTTTTATCGGAGTAGGCGATAGGGTGCGTATAATGCATAAAAGCTAACTGCGCCGATAAAAATGCGCGGCGTTGCCACCTGACTTTCCACGTGACTTTCTAAATCGCCTGTCACTTCCTTTTCTTATTTGGCTGCGCTTGCGCAAGGTTCTGTTCAGAAGAGAGCTCCTGATAAATGGCAGAAAACATGTATAACCCGCAGCCAAACTCAAGCGTAAATATCCTAACGATTGTTTAGTTTCAAGTAGAAAACGAAGGCGATTAAATTTCAGGTAATCAATAACTATCAGCAAGATTTACAAGAATTCTCCTACGGGGATGCGCGTTACCAACGGGAACGCGACCCAAGATTGCGAGCCTGGAACGGTAACAGGCGTGCCACGCCCACTCGACGCCCGTGGATTCCGTACCCGAGGAATACTCCTCACCATCAGCGTGTCTTTTCCATGCCCACGCCAAACCCGTCCCAGTACTCCCCACCGAACTCATTGGCATACACTCCAACGAACCCACCGGCGTCCTCCCTGCCGTACACCCCTCCCCACTCGACGTCGGACTCTTCGGCGTACTGCCCAGCCCCACTTAAACCCGTTCATTTCGGCACCACGCCGGGATACTACTATCACGGCTGCTGGTACAATTCCGAACTACCTCGTGCCATGCCCACTGATCCGCAGCAGGTCGCCCAGCAACCAGCGATGTATATGATGACACAGCAACAACCGCCACTTCAACCCGTGGCCAGAGATCCTAATGGTTATATTGTGACCCAGCAGCCATCTCAACCCGTGCCAAGAGCCCCCCAACAACCGGAGATATATTTGATCAATGAGCAACAACCCCACCTCGTTGCTGGAGATCCTAATGGCTATATGGTGACCCAACAGCCACCTCAGCCTATGGCCAGAGCTCCCCAACAGCAGGAGATATATTTGATGAATGAGCAACAATCCCAACCCAGAGAGGGTTTTATGGTGAACCAGCAGCCACCTCAGCCAGTGGCCAAAGCTCCCCAACAACCGGAGCTCTATTTGATGACTGAGCAACAACTCCAACCCGTTGCCAGAGATCCTAATGGTTATATTGTGACCCAGCAGCCATCTCAACCCGTGCCAAGAGCCCCCCAACAGCCCGAGATATATTTGATGAATGAGCAACAACCCCAACTCGTTGCTGGAGATCCTAATGGTTATATGGTGACCCAACAGCCACCTCAGCCTGTGGCCAGAGCTCCCCAACAGCAGGAGATATATTTGATGAATGAGCAACAATCCCAACCCAGAGATGGTTTTATGGTGAACCAGCAGCCTCCTCAGCCTGTGGTCAGAGCCTTTAAACAACCGGAGATCTATGTGACGATTCAGCACAAACCACAAGGTTATCCTCATGATTATATGGTGAACCAGCAGTCACCTCAACCTGTGGCCACAGCCTCCAAACAACCGGAGATCTATGTGACGATTCAGCACAAACCACAAGTTGATCCTCATGGTTATATTGTGACCCAGCAGACACCTCAACCCGTAGCCAGAGCCTGCCAACAACCGGAGCTCTATTCGACGATTGAGCAACAACCCCGACGCGATGCCAGAGATCCCATTGGTTATATGGTGACCCAGCAGCCACCTCAACCTGTGGCCAGAGCTCCCCAACAACCGGAATATTTGATGACTGAGCAGCCACCTCAACCAGTGATCTATTTGATGACGAATAAACCGCAGGTGCAGGCACCGCCTGCTCCCTCAGAGATCCGTCCCGAAGTCCAGTTGCCACCGGTGTCTGAGATCTTGTTGGCACCCTCAGTTTCGGTCACTACAACCGGCGACAAGCTTATAATTGATTTTAAACAACAGTATTCATATCGTTCAGTGCCTGAGAACCGTGATCCTGTTGGAGACGTAAGTTTACTTAACTTAGAACTTAAAAACATTTGAAAATATTAGAACACCCTTAAACAGATGTTTTAATATTTATGACAAAATATTCAAAAGCAGAAACAATTTTTTTCTAATTGAGTTTAAGTATTAAGATTATTATTAACGGTTTTTTTTACATTGTAAAAGTGATAAATATGTATTTATATTCGATTCCACATTCTTTAACTTATAAAACAACTTTTTTTTAGCGCGTAATTCGCAGTCAATTTCCATGTCATCAATCACGTCTGAACCATTGCTTGGGTCATCATAAAAACGAAACAGAGAATGTTGAAACTTCAGATCATTCATCAATTGCCATGACAGGACTACCCGCACCAGAACCTATACAGCCCGAAATGGTACAGCAACCTGCCAATATGATTCAGGATCCCAATTTGTCCTTAAACACGGAGGAATTGGAAACGGGTCCAACTGAAGTTGGCAATCAGTCTGGCAATTTGACTGTGACTCAGGTGGAAGTCGGTCAAATGCAAGTTATGCAGGAGGAACACTCTGACACTACGGCTCCACATTTATCCTTGATGCACCAGGAACGGCCTACGATTTTAAACTTAAGCGACCAAAATGCGACTTTTGAAATGGAGCATCAAGTTGATACAGTTCACCAGGATCTTAATCAGGAAGCCACTCTGGAGATTTCAGAGTCGGCCATGGTTATAATGAAGGAACCGTTGAATAACAGTGCTCCACTGCCCGATCAGATGATGGAGCCATCTATCACTGCTGCTATTCCGGGCTCAATTGAACAGGCACATATTAATTGTTCTGTATCGGAGCAAAATGCACAGTTGCATATTACCCATTCGCTGCCAGAGAGTATTCCGCCATTAGAGGTTACTGCTGTTCTTTCCGATCCGACTAAGGCACAAGTTATTGCAGCTGTTCCGGAGGCTATCGAAAAATCGCAAATTAGTGATCTCAAATCGGAGCAGGTTCCAAAAACACTCGTCCCTCAGATATCTCAGTCAAATATTACTGAGCCTCTGGCAGAGAAGATCCCACAGCCAATAAAGCTTTCTACTGCAGCTCTTCTAGATCCGCAACAACAGGCACAAATCATCGCACCTACTCCGGAACCCATCGAGAAAGGCCATACTCTAGCTTCCAAGTCGCAGAAGATTCCAAAAGCACATGCCTTGCAGATATCACAGTTGATTATTAATGAGCATGTGGCGGAGAAAATCCCTCAACCAACTATCCCAGCATCCTCTTTGGAACCGATTAAGCAGGCCAACATTACTACAAACCTTTCAAAAAATATCCAAAAGTCGGTACAGATGCCAAAAGCGTATAGTACTCCATCGCCAAAGAAAAACGTGAGCCATAGAATCCAATCCCAGGTAAAACAAAGCATTTAAAATAATTTCTTGTATTATTTCCAGGAGCCAGTGGTCCACGTTCCTCAATGGCCGCCTTTGGGCAGCCGTCTACGAACGAAGGTAACCCCAAAGCAGGGACCTGTACCACCAGGAAATAGCTTTCAGAAACAGGAATCAACGGATCATTTGTTGAAGTACATGCACCACTCGCATGAAAACAGGATGAGCCAGCCAACGATGGTACCGAAAATACCTCCAACCGATGCAAAGCGCAACGTTCTTCAACAAAAAAACGATGTGAATTCTGAAAAACAAGGTATAAAGGAAAAATCACAAAAGCCCAATATAGCCAAAACTGAGTTACAATCGCCAAAGAGTTCCCAATCGAATCCAGAAGCTTTTAGTAGCACCCAGCAGGACAAACAGCCTTTAATCAGTTTAGCAAATAATTCTTCGAAGTCATCCCCACTAGGAAAAAAAAAGGTTACTGCTCCACAAAGTCACCTACCATTAAATTCTCAACATAAATACAAGGAGCCAGGGACAGATGCAATGCTTCGGGTGTCAAATATGTTTGAGCTTCTGGATGAGCCGGAGGTTAACATCAAGTACAACTTACAGGAAGATGGTCTGAATGAAAATGTGGATCTACAGAGGGCTACCAAGTCCAAGAAAATGAAGAGGCGCCTCAAAAAAGAGGATACAGACCGAAAGAATCTACTTAAAGCCAAAAAAAAGGCAGCCAAAGAAATGGCAGACAAAGAAAGGGAAGCCAAAGAAAATAAAGCCAAAGAAAATAAAGCCAAAGAAAATAAAGCCAAAGAAAATAAAGCCCAGGAAAATAAAGCCAAGGAAAATAAAGCAGAAGAAAATAAAGCCAAAGAAAGGGAAGCCAAAGACTTAAATTCATCTATACCAAAGTCCGACAAACGAAATCCAAAAGACCAACAACCAAAAGCTTCAAAGCTGGAAAATATAAAGCCCGAAGACCTGCAACCCAAAGTCCAAAAGGCAGATGAACTAAAGCTTGAAAACCCGAAACCAAAAGATCAAAAGGTCGCCCCTGACCAAAAACCAGAAGAACCAAAGCCCTCAAGTTCTAAGCAACCACCATCAAAAGAAACCCTCAAAAAATATTCGAAAATTACTAGCCAGGGCGAGTTGATAAAGAACACAGGAACACATTTAGTACTTCACGAAAATGTCGGTAGAAAGTTAGTACCTGAACCTGCTGGACCGCCCTCTCCGCCTAGTCCTCCCCAGCCTAGACCTGGTGCCCCCCCACCTAACCCACAACCTGCACCTGCTGCCAATCCAGAGCTGATGGAACCCAGAAGGAAAACACCAAGCCCTAGGTCTAACGAGCTGCAATCCCTACCAAATTCAAAATGTAGCAAGTTCATTTCGGCGGTTCGTGAAGCCGGAGCTGTGCAAAACAGGACTAATTCGAACAAGAGGGAATTATTTGAAAATAGAAAGGCAGCTAAAAATACGCATACCCCAATTTTATATCTGCGGCCCAATATTCCAGCTGCGAATGACCAAGCGCAAAATCAAGTTAAACAGGCGGATACTGCCAAAGAATTGTTGCAGACAGCGAAGTCAAACCTAAATAGAGAAAGCCCAGTTCTCCGCCTTCGAAATCCATCTCCAGTTGAAGGCCCATCAGAACCGGATGTTGGATCCCAAGATCAGGTACTAACGGAAAAATCTGAGAAATCGGAAGAATCAGATAAATTGGTCAAATCAGATCAATCGGACAAATTAGAAAAATCGGAGAAATCAGATAAATTGGAGAAATCAGATAACTCGGACAAGGTAAAGGACAATAACACCCCATTTATATTCAACCCTACCGCAACCTATTGCATTGGGAGTAGCCTGGGAGGTAGACTTCAAGATGTTGCTAACCCAATACCAATTGTTTTCAAACTGCCTGATTTTGAGTCCAACGAAAGTAAGCTTTGGCAGTCAAACAATGGATTTCGCGAAATGTTTAGTGCGCAAGTCAATACTTGTCCGCCAACTGGTGAAGGTGCTCAAATTAATACTCCTCTAGAAAGTACTCCTCCATTTACTGGTGAAGGTGCTCAAGTCAATACTCCTTTACCAAGTGGTGGAGCCAAACTAAAATCGGTCTCTGAGGCAAAACGGCGTCGTGCGTTAAAAAGGGATTTTTGGAGAAAGGGACCACCGTGCATTGAAAGGTTTATCCCATACCTTCGTTTACAAGCCAGCCTTGCACCTACACGGGCAGTGCAGAGCAATAAATTCAACCCACCTAACAAAATTCACGAAAAATGAATAGGTTTCACTTGTATTAAAGGGTACTGAGTTGCAAAAGCCTTAAAATAACCAAGTTATAGCAAATATGATCTTCAAGTAATACTTGTGATAAGTTTGATACCTAGCCATTGTTTTTTTTTAATAAAATGTGTCATACATTTTTTTTAAAACCCATTGGTCTAATTTTCATGGAAAATTGAATTTTAAAAACATTTATAGATCTCAACTAATAAAAATCTTTGATAACTATAACCGTTCTATTTATCCTTACAAATAATTCCTGCTGGTCCCAAAAATGTATCGCTCAAAACTTGGTTTTGAATATGGGAATTTACAGGATTTCTTTCAGCCGGAACCTGTGAATTTCCACAACTAGGATTAGGTAAGATAATGCACCCTGTGAACTGCTTTATGATCTTATTCCGTTTTGCATAGATCTCTTCCAGATCCGATCCACCTTTATCCAAGACGAATGCCAATTTGTATGCTTCTTACGCTCGAGACTTAGCCACAGTTTGGACTAATTAAGTGTCGAAAAGATTACCAACGCCTACCCGGAGTGTGTTGTGATTTACGATTTGAGCGTCGGAGTACCTGTGCTACCTGTCTGCAGCTCCTCATTAGCATTAGCCGACGGCCGGAGGAACAGGAGGAGGTGACACCTAATGCGCCTGAGTCCCGATGAGCGCGTGTGCCATTCATCGAGTCGCCTCCATTCATCTCCATTCACATGTGCGTATTCTGCTGATCTCCTATTCTAATTTCTAAATCCTGTTTTTCTTTCCGACTGTGTGGAACTCATTTGGCTTAGCCGTCTGTGGCAATTGCTTTCGTATTGCAGTCGAATACTGCAACTTGTCTTGTCCCCAGATCGACATCCTTTCGCCGTTGCACAATGCCTTCGGGATCTGCTGCAGCTGCTCAGGTCTGGTGTGGGTGCCTGCTCCCAAACATTTGCATCTGGCTTAGGAGGACGACCCTAAGACGTTCTAAGCCAAATGGATAGGCGCATTGTGTTTACTTGTGTGTCTATGCAACCAGCTGTCCCTCGTGATTGACAACGCCCGGAGAACAAACCATTTCGCATTACAAAAGCTCCTATCTGTAACCTAAAATCGGAATTATAATTTAAACTCACTTCACTAATTCTGGTGTAATAAGATGTAGATAACAATATACAACTCAAAATTGATTAATTTTAGATTAATTTATATTAAGCATTGCTTTAGATTTAAATTTAGCTTAGATTTTATTTTGTAGATCAACATTTTAATATAATTATCAATGGTTTTTAATAAAATGTTACTCCTAACTAAATTCATCATTTAGAGTTAACTACTTTTTAATCCTCGACTAAATTGAATAACATTTTAAAACTAAAATATTCTTAACAATATGTAACGCTTTAATTAATAGTATTTATTTGGTTCTTGATAATATAATTAAAATAACAAAATCTTCTGTAACCTTTCTTCATCATAAGTTCGAAATTAGTTTTGGCCAATGTTACTAAAAATCTGTAATACAAGTAGTTTTGTTGAATTACTCTACATTTGTGGAACTATGATTGTGGTTTTCATGAAGAGGGTCTTTAATTCTGGCCCTCATTTCCACTTTTTTTCGAGCCGCTTCCGTAATATCTTCATTTGCCATGGGCAAACTTGGCAATGCGCTTGTCAGCTGCACGTGGCCACGTGGTCACCTCAATTTGGGCCCATCAAACGGGCGACTAACTCGTCTAATTGGCCCGCTTTCCATCTCCACTTGGCCGTCGAAGTGCCTATCGTAATTGGATCTGGCTTTTGCTTTTCTGACTGCGTCATGTCACATGTTGTACTCGGTAGGGAAAAGGACTCACGCGTATCGATGTCCCCGCGGACAGCGTTCATGTCGCTGTTGTGATCCCGCGACCCTCGAACAATTTATTGCTCAATTTATATTTGCTTAGACTGCCAATAGTTCAATAATTCATAAACGCGCGAAGCTATCGTGTGTCCTGGGAATTTGCATAAACATGATTTGCATAAGGCAGCTGCCTTCTGGGAGTAGGCATCTCCATCTCCATCGCCATCCAGCGATCCTGCCTCCTTGGCGCGGCAAAAGGTGTGATCGCATGTAATGGCAGTGCCTGTGACTCTACCTGGACTTTCCTTGCATACCTTTCCACCTTTCCACTCCACTCCACTCCGCTCCGATCTGTTGTTGTTTTCCATCCGTTGTTTTGATATGTAAGTTGATATATGATATTTGATTTTTTGGAGAGACTTTTGGGTGTTGCCGGGGTCTCAACTTCAATTACGGCAAATGGCAAGCACGAAGCTGGTTAGGCGTAGTCATGCGTTTCCACATTTTCCAATGTTTTATGAAACTCTTGATGCATTTGCATTTAGCCGAATAGTTTAGTTGAAGGTTCCTTAATCTTATAAGGCTTATACTATCTATGATCTTTTAAAAATAGAAAAACATAGTTTTTTTTTAATCAACTTACAACTTACATATTTTTATCACATGGTTAAAATATATCAAAAGGAAAACTTTGTATTATGTTATAACTAGTTAGTTACATTTTTTTATCAAAGCAATGCCAGTATTATCAGTAAATACAATTTGATTGACACTTGTAAAGTAAGAAACAAGGTCCTAAAAAATAGTGTTTAAGATTTCGGGTTCATTATATTATGAAAAGATAGGAACTCAGGGTTGAAATATCTGTCTGCAAGGGTGTATGCTAAGTTTCCTGGTCCTTTCTTGTTTTTTAATATATTTCTTTCTTTTTTACTTTTTGCATAGTCACAGCTGCCGCTGCTGTCGGAATTTGGAATTCAATGCAAAATAGTCGAAGCCGAGCGACTCTTAGTCGCGCCTGTCAAGTCCATATGGCCGGCAGGGCAGTGCAGCGAGGATCGTTCTAGCGGAACACACGCTACTTTACCTACCTGTACAGGACGCACTCCCTAAGCCCAATACCCAACACCCGATACCCCATTCAAGTCGCACAAAAAACGCGACCTTTGCTGAAGTGCGTTTGTAAATTTGTTTGCCAAATCAGTTGGAGAGTGCGCGCGCGAAAAAAAGGAAGGATCCCATCATTTGGCATTTGTCACCCTCCGCGGATCACCCTTTTCTTATCGACGCGACGCCTTTGCGTTTTTCATTTTGCATTTCCCCCCGAATTTCCTTTCATTAGTGCAATGCGGAAAATTGCAAATGATTCAATTCTAATCCGCTGGCGCGTCTTGTCTCATTTAAATTTTTGCGCACTTCAAGTGAACAGACTCTCACGAATCGGGGCACAAAGGGTTTCGGATTCAAGGATGATTTTGTCACATCCCGGAGACTTCTGTCAAGTGAGCCGCACTTAATGAAATATCAAAGGGAAGATCGCAACAAAGATTGCCGAATAAGATCGCTCAAAGTTTCGCACAAGATCTCTGGGTTCTCGGCTCCTGTGCCGGCACAATTGTTATAATAATATTTTCAATGACATGACAGTCCCATAGATTTGCATTAATGATATGCGACCCGGCGCAGCCCGATGATGTGCAACATTTGTTCGTCCTGCCCCTAAGAAGGGAAAGGGTTGCCCTTGTTCCGTTCCTGTCGGAATCTTGATGGGTTTCTCAATTTTTTTTGCTTTTTATTTTCCTAGAACCCGCTGGAAGTGTTGGGTTCCGTGAGGAATATTGGCAATTATGGCAGTCGCCCAGACGATGATGCATGGCGATATTATGCAGAGCATATGCAAAGCAGGGGGAGTCTAATCCAGATCTAAGAACCCGAAAGATTGATTATGTCGAGGGGCCTGCGACTAGGTTAGGCGCTTCCGCACTGAATATTTATGGAAATATCCGAAATCTTCTTTCCTGGCCACACTCTTTTGGGATTGCTTGAGTTTAGATCTTCGACAGAAACAAAATTGATTGATTATTTCCATGGCTTCGCAGGGTTATGCTGAAATTAGGATTTTTCTTTGGCCTTCCTTCACAGTAAGCATATTTTGGATAGATAAGTATTCCCACACTTTTTTTATCTGTCACATATATCTTTAGCTTCTATGGCTCGTCTAGAAAAGTAGATCCCATTAATTGCATGCCTCTTTTTTTTGGCTTGTCATTATATAATATAATATAAGCAATTTAAAATTGATGAAATTTAGTTTATTTAAAAAAAAAATCAAGTCTAGTTGTCCTTGAGTTATAAGAAATTATGAAATTTTCAATTATTTCTAATCATATTAAAAATTAAAGTAAAAACTTTATATAATATAGGGAAAACATTTCCTACTTTGATATTTATTTCAGGGACTTTTTTCAGCTGAACACATTAATTAAAGTTATCTTATATCAGGAGAACTAAATTTACATTCTTTGCTTATTTATTTTTATCGACTTCTTGGGATATTATTCAATATTATTAGATCGTGCAACCCCCTTTTATGGACTTTCCCATCGACTTGGTCTAGATTTTCAGCTGTGACCGCAGGCCAAGGACCTCGAGGTCGATCCTTTGGGCCTGGCCACTTGTCGTGACCTTTACACCTGCCGTTGACCGAGTGTGCTTGATAATGTGCGGTTTGGCAGCCCAAATAACATGTTTTGTGCGGCATAATTGGACGACAAAAACGAGGATGAGTCGAAAAGTCAAGGGCGGCTGCAGCAGCAGCACCAGGAACTTCAAGGATCTACAGCAACTGAAGGACATTGCCCTGTCCAACAGGTGAAATTTGGTGTTGCGAGGGATACGGCTTGTTAGAACCTCGCTAGAAATTTTCCGACTGCTCGTTTCTCGGTCACATTTAGTGTTGCTCGACTCCACCTACTATTCCACAACACTTAAAGAAAAGAAAGGCATAAATGTAAGCCTAGGTTTTTTATAAATTTTATAATTCCACTTCCTATTAGATTGATCAAAATTAAAAACCACTTTCTACCAAATATCCAAAGAATAATTTGTTTATATTGAGCTAATATTAATTTTATAAATATTGTATATTCCAAGTATCGTATTTAAAAAGTACAAGATGCATTACCTATTATTTTAAAAACAAAACTAAACTGACAAACTTTTGGAAAAATGAAAATGCCATTAGAACTACATATTTAATTTTATAACACAAAGTTCTCTAAAACTATAACACTTTGGTTGTAAATAATAGTTTAAATGATAGAAGGCTGTTATGCTGCAAATATAATTTACATATTCCATGAAGAAAAACATGTATAATAAATATTTGTATTTTATAGATGGAAGACATCACTGATGACCAGTTTCGGCAATATTTTGCCTCTGCGCTGAAGGGCACCCGCAGGACCCAGCAACATAACTGTTAAACGCTAAATGTCCTTTGTCCTGTTTTTGCACATGTTGACACATTCGCACACGTCGACGCTGGCGAGTGACGTTGACTTCCTGCCAGGACATGCAGGAAAGGAGCCGGGAAAACTGCAGCTCAACCCGCCCTCAGGTCCTCTCTGCTCTGGTCCTCCAGGACCTCTGGGTCCTCCGCCTTTCCGTGCTGTTTTTGCAACTGTTCGCGCCGATCATCGATCAGATCGCCAGGCGATAATGGAGGAGGCACGCGTGCGTGGCCAGCGGATCTCAAGCGGGCAATGGCAACGACAACGACAACGACAATGGCAACAAAGTGCGGGTCGAAAGGTGCGTTAAATATTGTCAATCGGCGGTTCGGTAGTCTCTCTCTCCCCAAATCCCACTCCATTTTCCGATCCCTAAACACCGATACAATACAATACAATACCCCGGCGACTTTTGTCACTGTCCAAAATTAAGCGGGTGCCTGTGCAATGGTGTTTCCATTTTCGCCACTCGAGAAACGTTTAAATCGCAATTAGAGTTTGGAGTGTGCCCTCTTTTAATGGCCGATTTTTCACAATTTTCTCAATTTTCCAAAATCGGTTTCGGATTGAGTTCAGATCGTCGGATTTCATTGTTCTCTCTCTATTAAAGTGTCCACAACATGGGCAACATTTTAATTACAAATGTTGGGAACTGACTTTGATTTGGGATTTTCGGATAAACGTTGTTTTCGGATAAAGTATTTTTTGTTCTTATAATTTATAAAATATAAAAATGAAAGGGGTAGTAAATGTTGTCTGCGAAATGTTGTAGTAGTCTAGTCTAGTCAAAAAAATCGTTTAATTTGAAATATGTTCTGTACTGCGAGTTCCCACATACAAATAATAGAAATGCATATAACTTTTAGAAGCCACAATGGTTACTAGTCTTACATAAACCTAAGAAGTGTAGCTTAAATTAAAAACTAATGTTTTTTTCACCTTTTCAGATCGGTTACGGAACCTTGCCTCAACTAACACTCCACTCATTACTCGGCAACCATCCGAAACCAGAAGATAGTGAAGATCCCGAGGTTCCCAACAAGAGTGCACTTCCGGATTTCGGAATACGTAAGTATCCGTTTCACTTTCAATCAAAACGAAATTAGAGGAATGCATGTTTAATGAGACGGCCAGTCCGAAACTGGACTGGGAGAATCTAGAGCGGGAACAATGGAGTTTCGGGAGCGATCATTAGCCGGACGGACAGGAACCAGATAATAACAATAATAATAATGGGCAACTGCCCAAAACAGCGCGGTGGAAAAGTGAAGAAAAGCGAGAGTGAGAGTAATAAAAAAAAGCAGCGACATCGACAGCGGCGTTAACCTTCCTTTTTGGGAAATCAAAAGTTCAGGACGCGGACGAGGGTTTGACAAGGGACCTGCCCTGATTTCGGCGGGTTACATGGATCCTTTATCCAGGCTGCTTGACCGCTCGACCGCTCGACCTCTTGCGATCGCGGCAATAAAGAAAGTTCGTCGTTTGGCGAACATCTTGCCACTCCGGGTATCACGTAATAAAGTATTTTACTTTGTTTTGCCTGTCACGGCGCACAATGTAGGCCGCACGAGATGATGATGGTCAACCCGTCATCTGCATATGAGCGTTTCACGCTCGGCTGAACATTGCCATGGGAAGTTCCTTCCAGGCGGATACGTGTTAACGCTTTTGGCTTAACCCACTCCTTTCGTCCTAGGGGTTGGACAAAATGTTATGACAGCTCATTTAACGCCGCGTCTGGAGAGTGGAATGTGGATTGGCGACCCATCGATCGGGTGACATCCATCTGGCCAGTCGGCTAATGAGGCTCCTTGGGGAGCTGTGGAAATGGGCTGGGTTCTATCTCCGCCCTGCAGGAAGTCTGCATACTTGTTTGCAGCTTATCCCTATTTCCTAATGAGCTCTAGTCGCTAGTTTTCCTAGAATCCTGGAAATAACTTACAATAAGCAGTCTTGTAAGTTTACTACATTTCTTGTCTCTAGCTCTGCAGGCGGTCATCTTATTAGGCGAATTTAAGTTACTTTTTTGGTTGTTTAATATGTAAAGATTAGAACCAGTTTACTCTTTTCTAGAAATGTGTTTTCTGTGGGAAAACATTTGTAAAATGTGAAAGCAATTAAGATGGTTTGATTTTTGTTATCCTAACACAAATAATTCATGTTTTAAAAAACTTTATTCTTAGAGTTTAAGTCCCGCGAGGAAACATTATTTCAAGGAAAATGTATTTGGTCAAAGAGTAAACCGAGATATATATATTTTCGAAAATTAAATTAAAAAATAAATGAATAAAAAAAATATGTAAACTAATATTTTAATATTTAGATTATTTAATAATAATAATTTATAAAAGAGAATATGATAATATTTTTTTAATTTTCCTCAGGTCTAAACTAGTATATACATCTTAAACTGTTTACTCATAAGTTTTTTCTTAATACTTTCCGCTTAAGAATATTTTCGACAGTACATATCTTTATCTCTAAGCGTTATGCTTGATATTTACCAACATAATAACTCTCGATTGTATCACAGAATCATTAAGCATTTTTATTTCACAAAGTCATTACTATAATTTTATGACATTTTTATGAAGTAGCTTCCTCGGAAACCCGAAGCAAATCCCGGTTTCCAGAAGAGGTCACTTTGTCACTTCCTCGTCTAAGATCCCAGATCCGAGTTGGAGTTAAATGCACGTTAAAAACACCTACTGAGTTAGTTTCGGCTACCTGTTCGCTATTTCCAGGTAGAGTTTATCGTGTTAGATGCCACATCTCCTGGCTGTTCACCCACCGGATTCGTGGGCATTTGAGCAGTAAATAATAATTCCTTGCCACAATTGTCGCACAACCCCTTTGGCCCTCATTAGAGTCCAAGTTGGAATCCCCTATAGCTCGCTATCAGAGCATTAAAACGCTCATTACCCCGATCGCTGTGGGAAAGAAGGCCACTTGGGCCCTCCGAAGAATTGCTTTCCACGCTCCGCTGAGCTTCGAGAGGTGTTTTGCATAAACTGCTGGTTCCTTGTGGTTTCCTCCGAATTATGGCAGCCCCGTTCAGCCCCCCTCCACTGAGTCAAGGTTAGTTTTGCATTAAAAAATGATTTATTCCGACAAAAAAACACTCTTATGACTATGAAAAAAAATGCTTGTAAAAAAAATAGGAATATCCTTGGGGATTAGCTGTGGTCCGCCAGGGAGAAGCTAAGGCGTCTCTTGGTGGCGTCTCTGGCCTGTGCCTGCAGCCACATGGCGTCCAGCTGGCAGGCGGCCTCCAGCTCCTCGCCACCCAATCCTCGGGTCAGCCGGCAGTGCTCCTCCTCCAGTTCACAGTCGCTGGTGGAGTTGTGGCCACTGTCCGGACTGATGTGAGGGATCTTCTGGGAGGGCACTGCCCCGGATCCGGATCCGGATCCGGATTCCGACCTGGCCGCGGCCAGCAGCTTCTGCGCCGACTGCCTGACGCTGGAGGAGATCTTGGTGGTGATCTTGCGCTTGCGCCGCACCACCCGCTGCCTGCGGAGCTGCAGGGAGTGCCGCTTGCCCTGGGATTGGATGGCGTTGGAGGGCAGTGGAAAAGGCAGCGGGGAGCGCACCTCCCGCTCCTCGAAGCCATCGGCTGGCAGGGAGTCCCTCCGCGAGGGCGACTTCCAGTACTCGCACAGATCGCTGGCCGGATCGAAGGCGGGGCGGTAGGTGGGCGAGTGGGTCTGGGCCTGGGCCTGTGCCTGGTTGTGGCTGCTCCGGAGCACCTGCTGCCTGTGCCGCTGGCGCAGATGCTGCCTGGGCTGGCGGAGGTGCTGCCGGGCATTGGTGCCTGGCTTGCGGTTGCTCTCCAGGATGGCATCGATCATGCGCTCCAGGGTCACATCCCCCATCTGGCTGGAGCTGAGTGTGGTCTGTTCGGGGGCAGCAGGAGCAGGATGCGGATGCGGATGAGGCAGTGGCTTCTGCTCCAGGTAGCGTGGCTTCTCGAAGTAGCTGTCCGGGATGCCCACGCCTCGCAGGGCGATCAGGGAGCCAGGGATGACGGTGGCGTTGGGCGAGTACTCCGCCTCGAAGGTGGGCAGGGTGCAGGCGAACTTGAGGGGGGCTGCTGCTCCGGGCACACCAGTGGCTCCGCCCGACGGCGGGGTGGCCAGGATGTTGCTCAGATCCTTGAGCAGCGGCGTGCGTGTGTTGAGGGTCAAGGAGCAGGCGGGAAGCGGAGTGGAGGTCAGCTGGTTCTCCTTGCCGTGGGCCAGGCCAAGGGACTTCCTCTTCAGCTTGCCCCGCAGGGCGTGGAACTCGCTGTAACTGGAGCCCACCACCTCGCTGGTGGCCATCCCCTCATCCTTCGCCAAGTACGAGGGTCGTGGCTGGTTGACGGCCCACTTGAGCATCTTCTTTGTCTGGGTCGACTCCGATTCCGACTCCTTGCCTTTTGGTTTTTGGTTTTGTAGTGGGTGCTGCAAGGAAAAAGAGCAAAGGGAGATTGTTATTTCTGGTTCTCGCATTCCAGAACTTGACTTTTTGAAAAAGCAAACAAAAAAAGGGCAGCAGCAAAGTTGCCGGGTGAGTTTTCGGCAATTTTGGCGCGCTTTTTCCGCGATATGTACATATATATGTATATATTGATATGGCAAAATCAGCCAAGCAGCAAAAATGAAATCAAAAACGAAATCAACCACTCCTCACGAGCAATTAACTGGACCACGGGCAGCCTTCGGCTGGACCTTAATAATTTAATTGACTTTCAACTTGATATGGTCAATTACAATATTTTTATGCATTTTTAAAGATTTTTACTTTATGCTTCACTGAGTCCCAAAAAGTCACTACTTATCCTTAAAATTGTACTCTTATGTTGGGTTTTAATGTATTTACATTTCAATCGTCCAATTATTTGGCCATAGCTTTAAAAAAAACTTATAATTTTCATACTTGAATGAGTGCCGAAAAAGCACTTATGTTCTTTTTAAAAACTTTTAATTGCCATACATGAATGAATTTTTTAAGTAACCCGAAAATCAGAGATATTTTCAGATTTGCATAGAGATTTTTTTAGTTTTCATCTTTCAATCACTTGAATTTACCTTTTTCAGTAGGTTTTCGTTTGAGGCACTGATATGTGTTGTAACAGCAAAAAAATTGGGTTCACAGATATATTTTGCGAATATATATTTTTCGGCAATTATATAGTGCACAACTTGACGGAATTTCTTTAAGTGTTGCGCTTGGCCCGTCGCGTTTTTCTGGGAGATCGACTGTGCGTTCCCTTCGCCGTTCGCTGGTTGAATGACTGTCGATTCAACCCGCAGAACCCTAAGCTGCCCAAGGTGAGACATGGTTACACCGGAGAGGAGAGCGGGAGAGCCCTGAAGAGACCGGGAGAGCGGACATGTTGCGCATGTGCGGACGGCAGGAGAGAGCAACAGTGCCAGTTGAACGGGTAGACTGCTCAACCAGCATTCAACCATTGAAAGTGGGTGGCGGGAGAAGTCCTGTTTGGTGTCCTTCTTATAGAATTTTTAGAATAAATCCTTAAAAATCCCACAAAAACCATTGAACATATGAATTAAACAATTAATGATATTTATTTATAAGCGTATTATTTTTATAAATTCTTGGTAATTAAATGATAAATCAGTAAATACTTTATATTTAAATTTTACATGAAAGTAATTCGAAGTTGTGTTAAAGACTGTGGCATTTTAAAACAATTTCACATTGAATTTAAAGAAATTTTTGTTCAAAATCTTTAAAAGGTACTAAAAATGTTGCTAGCGGTTCGAAACTATTCCTAATAATGTTTAAACATTTGAAGAAGGGAGGCGTAAAATAAAACATAATATGAAGAAGAAACTGAACCGATTCTTTTTCCAGAGAACCATTATGCAGTACAAATTGGAACACAATTCCTTATCAATTTCATAGTTCAGCATACGCTACGCTTTAATCTACATTAACTTATCTTTATAATCAGTTTTTATAACCATTTACCGATCGATTTACGATCTGGCAACAGCTGTGCGAATCTTCTTTGATCGTGAGATTTTTTAATGGCCATCGGTGATGATCAGTTGGCCAAGTTCAGCTATGAGAAAGAGATGGTGATACCGAGAGTGCAAGGGGGACGGAGCATAGCTGGCCAGCTGTTCCCATCGCCGCTTACGCCACAAAACATAATTTTCAATTACCTTTCTCGCAGCGTGTGGCTCCTTTCACCTTGGTTTCCTCACTATACCCTGTTTCTTACGATCTTAGGGTATACTCGGTTCCGGAAGAAGTAGGGAGCAGGAAGTTCAAAATAATATTATACCTATACATATGTGTTCTTAATCAGAAGCTGAAAAAGAAAAGGTTTAATAATGCTGAAGATATTTAGGTAGTCAGTTTTTATCAAGTTTTAATAAGTATATTTAATATTAATTATAAAACTAACACTTTATGGTTAACAATTTGTGGTCATTGCTTTTTGATAAATGTTGTCCAAAATTTGAATTTTAATTTATAAAAACAAGTTAAATCCAAAATTTTATAACAGGTTAACTTACCAACTTACTTATATCATATATTTCAAAATAATTTTGGCCAATATTTCTACTTAAAGTGCTACTAATAGGTAGTGAATATCAATATACTGTATATAACCCTAAATTAAATGACTTAAGTCCTGTTAGTCCCGGGTATCTTACAGTCGTAATTATTTGATATACCAATTCTTCCTGTTTTTTTCATTCCTTCTTTTTTGATTTTCGCCAAGAAAAGGACAACACACAAGCAGCGGCACAGGAACTTGGGCATTGTACAATTTTGGCCCATTGTTTATGGGACAAGCTGAGGAGCGACTGCGCTGCTTCGAGAAAAATGTTGTGGAAAATTGTGCAATTGTTTTGCAATTTATTGGTTAAAGGGCTCCGTCTCCGGCTCCTTCCACTTTCGATCCTGTTTTCTCCCCTCGTATTTATTTTCGCAGCCGCCGAGTGTCCGTTTTAGAAAACGAGAATTAAATCTCTCCGGCGAAAGAAGCCGTACATCTGCCCATCTTTATTATTTGTTTTTCGATATTGCTGCCCAATTTATTTGACAGTTTTGTGCAAAAACTAAACACATTTTTTGTTCAGTCTTTAGATAGGAAGTTGATTGAAGCAGGTCCTGCGGAGATTTCCTATGTCCCTACAGTTCCGGACCACCGAGTGGGACTTAATTTATGGCTCCTGCTGGCACAATTAAAGATGTTCAAGTGATGTGAGTTCATCAGGACCACCCCCATTAGGATTTTAACTCATCAGTCCCATGGGAATGCCTGTAAGACAGGACATCTTTATAAGGCAGATTCTTCGAGGCTTTGCTTCTTGTCAATTATTTTGTTGGATTTCTTATAAATAATTTGGTAAATAAGAAATAACATTAACATTTGTATTCACATCTTAAAAATGTGTAATATTAATATAATATTTTCATTTTGCTTATTTATGTAGTGAATTACTTTTTTTATTGACGAAGGTCTTAGCTCTATTTTAATGAGCTTATTAAATGTTATTTAGTGAAAAGCTTAGAACAAAGGCCAATGATCTTTTACCAAGTGTTATGCAGCTTAGTTTATTAGTTAACTTATTTGAAGAGTTATAGACTTTTGTGAGATCTCCCAAGGTATATCTTTTGTTTAGACAAATCACTTCAGCTCAAGAAAGACCTCGAACAAATTTGGATTCCCGATATTCTTTCCCACAACCGTTTATTCAAATAAATCTCAAACCTTCGTTTCGCAAAATTGGCATTCGAAAGGCGCTTTCCGAGACCAAATTGATATAGGCCCTAATTTGCCGTCCCATTGAGGGGAAAAATGGAAATTAAGGTGCCCAGTGCCGATCAGCTGCCCGGCAATGTCGAGTGACCAACGATAAATCTCGGGAAAAAATGAAGCAAATTGAAATAAATCAATAATATTGGGCGAGGACCGTGGAAGATGGCCAGCAGCTGCAGTGCCTGCCTTAAGATGTTCCATCTTCCCAATAATCCGTGCCGTGCCAGTCCTTTGAATCAAAGGCAATTTTACGCATTGGTCACTGGCCGAAGGGCGAAGGATAATGCCGAGCGCAGAAATCGAAGAGAGAGGGTGACAAGGAAGATAAATTAGGGCAGGAGGAGCCCCTCGCCGCTCCTTTCGATTTGTTTTTCTCCTATCCAGTTCCTCCTCCAGCCCTGCCGCTAATAAATTGCCCAACAATTGTGCAATTTTTCAAAGATGGACCTTGACGCAAAGACTTCACGCTCGGATTTGCTACCGTTTTCCTTTCGCATTTGTTTCTTTTCCAATCGCTTTTCCAATCAATGGTGTTTTCTGCTACACGTAAAGAAAATGTTGCAAGTCTTTAAACTCGAGAGTGTGAATTCTATTGAATATTGAATATGAACTATTGAATATATTATACAGTTCTGATAAAAAATTAGTAATGACTTCAAAACGACAACCACATTATGGATATTAGTGATTCTGAAGAGGAATATATATTACAATTGGTATGTGAAAAATATGATATTATTTTGATAATGTAACCACAATGATGCTATAAATTAATCTATTTATCTTGTCTTACTCATAAAATAAATAAAGATTTTGCTCTACTTTATTGCATTTCATTTTTAAAAGTGAGGCTTTTGATTAGCCTTTATGATTACAAACATATCAAATAATGCATACGGTTTTCTTCGCTGTGCAGGATGGCTGTTGTTTTGCCGCCCCATCCCGCTCGTCATCGCAAGGAAAAACGTGCGGCGGCAAGGACATCTAGATAAAGTGGAAAGTAGGTAGGGGAAAGGAGTCGGGGCGGGGGGAAGTAATCTTGAATCACACGCCGCACACTGATAGCGCCAGGACGCAGGACCTCAGCGCAAGGAAATGGAAGGAACCTCAGGACCCACAATCCTTGGCCGGACAGCTGTTCGGGGATTAGCACAGCTAGCCTTCTAGAGCTCCTTCGCCTTCTCCTTCTCCCTCTCCCTCACCTTTGCTTTCTCCCATTACTTTCTCCTTCGGGGCGCGCAAAATTATTAAAACCTGGCCCTGAATTATGGGCCATAATTTAGAATTCCAACGAGCTCCCTGCGAGCAGAGTATTTGTATTTGCTCAGAGCTTCCCTCTGACTCCTTCGTCCTTATATTTTTCTGCCTGCTCGATAAGGCTGGCGGGCAAAAGGGGGTGGGGTGTTCACAGGACCCAGATCCTTTGATTGATTTGGGATCGCTGTGAAAAGCTGGCATCCATTGACAGGCAGGCATTTCAAGGACCTGAGGCTCCTCGATCGGGTTATTTGCCCAGGATCATGCGAAATCCCAAGAAAGGTTCTGCAGATCAATAGGTGATGCAGAACATAGCGAATAATTGGATCTGGGCCAAGGAAGAACTAAATGAAAAGGGCTATCAAAGCGAGTGAAGGCAATGTATTGTTCAAGCTGACACTATTGTGCGCACTCTTAATATCGGTTTATCTTAACAGACATTTCGTAGCTTTCATTTCGTTAAACTTTTAAGTTTTGTTGAATTGAATGAATCAAAATTGATATATGTATTAGCATAAATAAAAAATCAGTTGATTAATATAACAAAGTCTTATTGCACTTTAGTCTCAACTCTCTAGGTCGCATTTTAGACAAATTTTTATAAAAAATGAAAAAGTTTGTCAAAAAATAACATATTTCTAAACATTAGCTTAGGTCCCGAGCTACATAAAACAGACAGTTAGAAAAAAGCTTTTAAGCATTTTTTAAATAATAAAATCCTGGAAAGTAATGGTCAAATGTTGAAGTGACTTAACTCGTTGAACTTGTTATACAATATCCAACCGATTGGATCACACAGCTGCAATTCAATTAATAAATTGAACCATGACCTAAATTTGTCACAAGATGTGTACAAAAATGCAAATAATATTTAAGACAGCACCTTTGGCACAAATCAAAGTAAAATCTCAATTGACTTTTTCATTTTGGGAGCGATCAATTTTCGAATATGTATATCAATCCCACAAATATCCAGATATCCCAAAGGCAATTCCCTTGCGAGCCATTAAGAATATAAGAATAATATATGCTGATCGTTAACGGGGCATTTGTCAAACATTATTCGATGGAAATTCGAACTTGACAAATGCCAAGTGAAATGACATGAGAGATGTAATGGAATGCAAAGCGTTCGATTTCAATTTCAACCCGATCGCGCCGGGGGGGCGGGACGAGTTGATATTCCAGGGGTAGTGGCAGTGGGTTTTCAAGTTCAGTCCAAGGGAATGTCCTCCCGAAATCCTCTAGAAATTCCTCTGCACACAAAAAGGGAAAAAAAGAGAGAGAGTTTACAGCAATCTTACCTTCAATATTGAAAGGTGCTACCGAAAAGGTGGTGGTTCAACCGCTACACAGTAAATTAAATGTAATTTTTGTTTGGAAAACGTTCAAAAAATGGCTCATAAAAGGTCCGTCAAAAAAGGTTTTTTTGAAGAACTCAATCTAAAGAAAAGGAAAAAGTGGAACTAAAATTGTTTTGTTCTTTCTATAAATTTATATAATCTAAAGGGATTTTATCAAGTCACTTCATTATTGCAGTATTCAAAATAAAAGTGTGTTCAAAACTCACAGCTGGATTAACATATGCCGCCAAAATAAGTGGTAATTATGAAAACTTTAAGTTACGAAATTAATTTGGCCCGTATTTTCTCGAACAACCTTAGATTCTTAGTTTGAGTCATTGGAATGGTAGCAAAAATAATCATAAAGATTTTTTTACAGTGGCTTAAGAGAGGGTGAGCCGCCGAGAGCGAGAAATGTTAAAGTGGTTCGGAAAGGTGAGCACGCAACGTTGCGTGCAAGGGGAGAATCAGTCACTTTTCGTCTGTTGCCACGACAGGACGTGTTTTTCTCTGCGATCGCGAAAAGTTTAATTTCCCAAAATTTATAATTTTGATTTGCCACACTCAGCTTGTTACTACGCTTTTTTTTTAACGTGCAAAAAATCCAAAATTTATACAATTTGTTGACTGTGAAAAAAAACAATTACTGTACTACAACTATACTTTGGATACACAATAAGATCGCGGAAAATTCGCAACCAAAAAATACAAAAAAAGGTAAAGATAAGTGAAGTGCATAATATGGAATATAAAAACACGTGTGCATGTTTTTCGGCTAAATGTAAATTAAAAATGCATTAAAGCAGAAGTGTCTGGGAAGCGGAGTTTAATGAAAAACACCCCATTAAAAATCGCATGAAAATACATAAATTGTGCGCGTGCGATTTTGGCTTTGGGTGTATACTATGGGTAGTAGGAAATGGGTAATGGGTAATGGGTTTTCGAACTCCTTGTTCCCGGCCAAGTGCTCGAGTGCTCTTCAGACCAAAACGAGAGCGGCGGCTGCAAAATGCGCAAAAATGCTAGCACGCATCCCAAAAACCTTCCAATCCCCCGTTTCCCCCGCATCGGATCATCCACTCGAGTGGCCGGAGATCGACACCACTGGCGGATGGGGCAGAGGAATAGGAATGGGACTAGAGTGTGCCAGCACCACCATTTTGCTTTGACCCACACGGGAAAAAAATCTCTTCCAGTCAGTTAACTATGTTACCATTCAATTCCTTTTATTGAAATTATAAATAATTGTAATTATACAGCATTTATAATTTATGTTGAAAAAAAGGTTTTTTTTAAAGGTTTTTGTATAATTTCAATAAAAGGAATCCAACTTTTATTGAAATTATACAAAAACCTTAAAAAAAAAACCTTTTTTTTTAATCGTTTAGAAAACTTTAGCAATTGTAATTTATTTTCTGTTACTACATTTTTTTGGTAGCTTTCTATATATAATACATGTCTTAAATATAATATTCGGAGGTTTTAAAATTGAATTTCTTATTGATCTTGTTGTAATGACTGGCTATTTTTATTCGATAATTAAGCTATTTCCATTTTAGTCAGTATTCCATATCTATATTAGAATAGCCATATATGAACATCCAGTTGAATTAACATTAAACATATTTGGTTAGAATTGTGTATGCTAAAAAGTTCGTTTGGATTTTGGTTTATGAAAGGAGCAAATATATGCCAAATAAAAGCCCAAAATGCAGGGCTAATTTGGGTGGTATTTTCTCCCTGTGCCGAAGTACCACCCGAGCATACGAGACCAAGTTCGAGGCAGGACCTTGGGCTCAATCGCAGCTGGAGGGCAGTGGCAGTAGTAGTGGCAATGGCATTGCAGTGCAGTGCGATGGGAAAGCGAGAAACCGGAGACCCAGAAATCCGCGAAGCTTTAGCGCGCTTTTCCTTTGTTCCCGGGCTCTTTGTGCCTGCCCAATTGTTCGCAAGGACGAGCGGAACCAGAAACTCCTTGCCATTCAGCTGTGCAAATCCTTGCCGAAATCCCAAGGAAACCCCTGCAACGAAACTCGTTTCTCGACAAGTTAGTCGGGTTTTCGCTCCTTTATTTATTTTAAGTTTTTTGTATTTCATATTCCCTGTCCCCTTCAATTTTTGCAAATAGACAATCGCTAACTAGCCCTATCTTTTCGCCACTTTCCAGAACTCTTCGAATCGCAGGAGCGACAGACAGCAGCTGGCAAGATGCTCAAGTGGGCTGTCAACCAGCCGCGAAACTCGTATTTGGCCAAGGAGCTGGTCCTGGGAATGGGAACAGGATCGGAGGCAGGATCGCTGGACCCGAAGTCCGAGGTGGTGGGCTCCAGCTACAGCGAGTTCCACGCCCTGCGGGGCAAGCTCAAGAGGAAGTCCCTCGGCCTGGCCCATGGCAAGGAGAACCAGCTGACCTCCACGCCGCTTCCCGCCTGCTCCTTGACCCTCAACACCCGCACGCCGCTGCTCAAGGATCTGAGCAACATCCTGGCCACCCCGCCGTCGGGCGGAGCCACTGGTGTGCCCGGAGCAGCAGCCCCCCTCAAGTTCGCCTGCACCCTGCCCACCTTCGAGGCGGAGTACTCGCCCAACGCCACCGTCATCCCTGGCTCCCTGATCGCCCTGCGAGGCGTGGGCATCCCGGACAGCTACTTCGAGAAGCCACGCTACCTGGAGCAGAAGCCACTGCCTCATCCGCACCCGCATCCTGCTCCTGCTGCCCCCGAACAGACCACACTCAGCTCCAGCCAGATGGGGGATGTGACCCTGGAGCGCATGATCGATGCCATCCTGGAGAGCAACCGCAAGCCAGGCACCAATGCCCGGCAGCACCTCCGCCAGCCCAGGCAGCATCTGCGCCAGCGGCACAGGCAGCAGGTGCTCCGGAGCAGCCACAACCAGGCACAGGCCCAGGCCCAGACCCACTCGCCCACCTACCGTCCCGCCTTCGATCCGGCCAGCGATCTGTGCGAGTACTGGAAGTCGCCCTCGCGGAGGGACTCCCTGCCAGCCGATGGCTTCGAGGAGCGGGAGGTGCGCTCCCCGCTGCCTTTTCCACTGCCCTCCAACGCCATCCAATCCCAGGGCAAGCGGCACTCCCTGCAGCTCCGCAGGCAGCGGGTGGTGCGGCGCAAGCGCAAGATCACCACCAAGATCTCCTCCAGCGTCAGGCAGTCGGCGCAGAAGCTGCTGGCCGCGGCCAGGTCCGGATCCGGAGTGCCCAGCCATCGGTCTGCCCAGAAGAGGCGCCACATCAGCCCGGACAGCGGCCACAACTCCACCAGCGACTTCGAGGAGGAGCTGGTGGCCATGGGATCCTGTGGCGGACTGACGGAGGCGGTCACCAAGAGACGGCTCAGCTTCTCCTTCGCCGAGGATCTGTTCGTGGAGAAGTGACCCCGCGGGGCGTCTCTTTTTATGTTACTTTTTGACTACTGTTTGGTTACAATTAAATCATTTTTTTTTGTGTGGCTAAAAGCACAGCATTTGCCTTGGAATCCTTATGTTGAAAAAGATCCTATAACTATCTAAGAATCCTTTTTTTTTAATAAAACACTGATTTAAAAAACAAGCCCTTTTTCTAATTTTTTTTGGGAAATGGGAACTTCAAAACTACTTTCCTCACAAAGTTAAGATGCCAAAAATCGCCTTAAATATAAAAACATATGTACATAAAGATGATTTATGCTTAAATTTGTATAAGCAAAGCAATTTAATAGTTCACTTTTTTAAAGGGACTCGGAAGGTATTAACATATTATCTTATAAACGGCAGACGTTCCTGCCACACAAAAAAAACTGGATCCTTGTTAGCGTTAGATAAGTACAACCATTAATTAGGGATAAACAGCGTTTTTTGTGGGGATTACTTGGCAATAAATGTTGGCCAGCTATGCGGCAAACTGGATTCTCACGGAGACCAGTTCCGCGTTCCGCCCATGAATTCATCATCGTGACTGGGACATTGGCGAACTCCGACTGAATGGTAGGATACAGGATACAGGATACGGGATAGGGTATGCCGCGTAGGGTACACCCCCACCCTCGATTGCAGTATAAATGTTGCGGCATATCCTGTGCCTCCTTTACACGGCACTTATCACGCACCTGTGCACCACCAAAACCAAATGGCGAACCACCAACGACAAACGACAGGCTACAAAACGGTTGGCATTTGCATAAATTTGCATAGAATCGACCGAATTCTACGGTCTTGGGTTCCTTTTCGGTATGCATTGAATGTTTAGGCCAGGATTCGAGGTCCTTGTTAACTGTACTCGAGATCTACGAGTGCAACCCACCGAACCATAACTACACGGAAAAAAAGTTTATAGATTTACGGCAATCAGAAACTAATTGATCTGCAATTAAAAACAGTCTAATAGATTACTATTTTAGTCCATCAGTTGTTGTGTTTGAACAAAAAAAGATATAGCATTTACAAAAGCAAATATAAAGTAAGTAAATTAAATAATAATCATTCCAACAGTAGCTGCAATTTTCTCCCAGTGCATTAGAGAACTGTGACTCTGCGACTAAGCGACCCATAACTAAGTTATGCCAGTTATATGTCTGCCGATCATGAGGGGGCGGAGATACAAATTCAGTCTGATCCTGCACAGCCAGATGGCAAGGATATGGAGTACAAAATGGGACCATACATTGCTATAAGCTGTATGGGAGTTTCATATTCAATCAAATTAAAAATGCTTCTTGCTAAATAAAATATGTGAAACAATAATTAACTTTTAAGGAAAGATGTAAGATGATTGTGGCTTTTTATACCCTTGCAGAGGGTATTATAATTTTGGTCAAAAGTGTGCAACGCAGTGAAGGAGACATCTCCGACCCTATAAAGTATATATATTCTTGATCAGGATCACCTCCTGAGTTGATATAGCCATGTCCGTCTGTCCGTCTGTCCGTCTGTCCGTCTGTCTGTTTCTACGCAAACTAGTCTCTCAGTTTTAAAGCTATCGGATTGAAACTTTGCACACACCCTTCTTTCCTTTGCACGCAGTATATAAGTCGGAACGGCCGGGATCGGCCGACTATATCCTATAGCTGCCATATAACTGATTGATCGGAAATGCCATAACTTTGGTGTTTGTAAAGTTAGAAAGTTGGGATTTTCTATGGGTTTTATATTTGGCCAATCAATCCGACCTACCAAATTTCATAAGGATCGGCCGACTATATCCTATAGCTGCCATATAACTGATTGATCGGAAATGCCATAACTTTGGTGTTTGTAAAGTTAGAAAATTGGGATTTTCTATGGATTTTATTTTTGGCCAATCAATCCGACCTACCAAATTTCATAAGGATCGGCCGACTATATCCTATAGCTGCCATATAACTGATTGATCGGAAATGCCATAACTTTGGTGTTTGTAAAGTTAGGAAGTTGGGATTTTCTATGGATTTTATTTTTGGCCAATCAATCCGACCTACCAAATTTCATAAGGATCGGCCGACTATATCCTATAGCTTCCATATAACTGATTGATCGGAAATGCCATAACTTTGGTGTTTGTAAAGTTAGAAAATTGGGATTTTCTATGGATTTTATTTTTGGCCAATCAATCCGACCTACCAAATTTCATAAGGATCGGCCGACTATATCCTATAGCTGCCATATAACTGATTGATCGGAAATGCCATAACTTTGGTGTTTGTAAAGTTAGGAAGTTGGGATTTTCTATGGATTTTATTTTTGGCCAATCAATCCGACCTACCAAATTTCATAAGGATCGGCCGACTATATCCTATAGCTGCCATATAACTGAACGATTGGAAATGCCATAACTTTGTTGTTGTTAAAGTTAGGAAGTTCGGATTTTTTATGAGTATTAAGAATGCATCATATGAATAATTTTGGAGAATATAATTTACAGAGTATTCTGCAAGGGTATATCAACTTCGGCTCCGCCCGAAGTTAGCTTTCCTTTCTTGTTAATCTATAAATTTGAATTTAAATGATGTCCTTTTTTTCTCAGCATTTTTTGTTTGTAGCTTTAAGATTATAAATAACAAGAAAGGAAGTAAAATTCGTCAAGCCGAAGTTTATATACCCTTGCAGTTATTACAAAACATTCCGATTTCTATGCCTATATTAATAATAATAATTGTTTTCCGATTTTGACAAAACTATATCTCAAAGGAATATTTTGATAAACAGAAAATCAGCAAAATAAAAGTTTCATTTTCCTATGGGAGCTATATGATATAGATGTCCGATCTTAATTTAATTAAAACCGAAATTTCATAGTATTTAAATATTACCAAATCCCAAAAAACAAAAAAAAAATTAAAAACAAAAATTGATAAGAAATGTTATGCCATTTTTACCTAATGAGCTGAGATGCGGTTTCAGTTATCAAAATAAGGGCTTTCATTATGAATTCTACCATGAAGTATATATAAATATTTTAGGTATGTGAGTGGGCTGTTGCTTTTGGCGTTGTTAGATATCTATTAAATGCCTTTAGGTAAATACCTTTGGACCCTGGCCATTGTTTTGTCCCGTTCCTGTTCATGGTCCTTGTTTTCGCTCCTGTCGCAGATCGGATGCGATGCATTGATCCATTGTTGGACTGCTACTGCTGCCTCCGCTTTTCATTTGCTCTGCTCAATTGAGTCCAACCAGCTGCCCGAGAAACTGAATCCCGAACCGAGCTCGAGTGGAGGTGGAGGTGGAGGTGTACTCTGATTTGCCGGCCTCCCTCTCTCTTGCCAAATGTCACATAAGAACAGGATCAGGATCAAGATCTCGGGCAGGAGCAGGCGCAGGCGCAAAAACACCTTTTCGAAAAGTGCGCCAAAAGGGAAGACGCGAGAATACCGAGCACGAGTCAACTGCAAACACAAAAGGACGAATGGGAATGGGAATGGGAATCGGAATAAGGATAAGGACAAGGAGCAGGCCCAAGAAAAAGGACACAAAATCGCATCGTGGCATGCGTCGGCGGATGAGGAGGGCGACAGCTGTCGTCGCGAACACCAACGCAATTATACACTGAAATACATTGCACTTTGACTTATTTTTCAGTGGAAAACCAGATTAAACTGGATAAAAAGTAAATTCAAATAAGCATCAAAAATACATATATGATATTGTTATATTGTCCCTAACAAATAAAAGAGCTATAATTGATATTTAAATTAAGCTCTTAATGTGAAGAAGGAAAGCAAGTGTTTTAAATCCAAAACAAATCCAGGAATGGGAACTAAATATTGGATTTAAATAGAATTTAAAGTTTTTCATGTTTTTTGTCCTATCTAAATTTGGTTAAGATATCAGGTGACATTTATACTTTTAATGATGTAAAACTTATGACTACAAATAAAAAAAATATTTTAATCAATTTAATATTTGTCAATTTAAAAATGGATATATTTTTTTAAATATTTAAAATAAATTATTTTAATCAATTACAAATTTGTTAAATTAAAAATGGATATATTTAAAAATATTTATCGAAACGATAATTATGCTCTTGCTAAGTTATTAGATTGAAACAATCAAAATGTAACACTTAATCGCGAGTATCACCTTATATTTATTTCAGTGCAGACAGCGTTTAGCGGGGGAGAGTGCCGGGGTATCAGGATCTAAGGAGGCAAGGCTAAATAGAAGCAGAAAAATAAGTTGAAGGAGTTCAACTCAAGTGCTGCCACATGTTGCCGTTGTAAATTGGACAACAATTGGCGGCCTAATAGGGTTAAGTGCCGGAAATTGACGGAACCAAAAGTGGCAAAGCTGCGAGTTTGCGCGATCTATTTGCCACTTCTAAAACACTCTTCCCAGCTACCGAATATTAAACTGGTATGTTGACTTTTGTGACCTAATATTACGTGTATAATCAATAACTTTATATTATTTTATTTAAGAAGAACATAAGACTCCTGCTACATTATTTTACCGACTTTAAATTAAAATATTTTGAATAGAAATTGTACTAATTTCAAAGTATTTTAAGTAAGTCTCGAGTTTTCAATTTCATTTGTAAACGAAAACCTATCCCATATTCATGTTTCAGAGATTTACACTCTGGACCCTTTGTGATATTGTTGAATTTGCAGTGTTAATGAAATAAAATGAGCTCTAATGGAGTGAAATCGAAAGATCTCCATCTCTGGAGAGTGCCCAAAACTGATAACGATCATTAGCGAAGCTGTGAGACGACAAGGTTCAAGATGCCGAGCGAACTCAATCAATGTCAGGGGAAGAGCTATATGATATAGGATATAAGGCATAGAGGCGGGGAAATAAAGCGGAATGAGTCGCAACTGTCAATAAATGGAGCACACTGGAGGGGAAGAGTCCTGCGAGGGACAGGACTCTAATCCCATATGACGTGAGCAATAAGTAATAGGTGGAAGTGGCCCAAAACCAGATCAGATCAGGGGAGGATCGGCGCGGAAATTGCCAACTATTTGTATTTGTCAAAGGCTCTGATTTCACGGCTGTAAGAAAATTCAGGTCCTGGACGATTAATCAATGTGACGTGAGTGCCTCTCTCTCTCTCTCTCTCTCTTCCTCTCTCCCTCTTTTAAGGACAACATCTTGAGTTGGTTTGCGCGCCAAACGAATGTCCTGACAGTGCTTTAAAATGTTTTCGGTCGAGCGCAGATATTTAAGTCATCTTGGATCCTAATTCAGACTCAACTACTCGCACTTTCTTCGAGGGATGCGAGAGGTCAGGATTCAGGATTCAGGACTCAGGAGTCGGGAGTCGGGGCACACCGCAGGATCAAACAATCCAATCGATTTGCATAGCCCGGCAGCCAAAGGGTTGTGTCCTCGATCTCCAGATCTCTAGATTGCGATACCGATTGCTTATGTAAATGTTGTTTGCCCGACAAACTTTGGCTCTCGGCACAATGCCAAATGCAAACTAATAGATACATTTTTATCGCCGTCCATCCGGGGGTAATTAGGAATCTTTACGGTCAGCCGAAAGGATCAGAGAGGTTGAGGATGCTGCCGCCTGAGCTCAAGGATATCAGGACCGAATGGAGTGCGAATGGAGGGGGCTGGTCCTTCGGTAAGCACTTAAGCCAATTTGAAGTGAACTGAACTTTTGCGGCTTTGTTTATCTTGTGGCTTAGACTTGCGCCTCGAGCCGGAATTTTAATTGCTCTACTATCATTGGTCAAATTAAGGTGTGTTCCTTTTTCTTTTTGGTAAGCCCGTGGCCGATTTGGAAAACTCTTGAAAAATTATCCATCTGGAAAATATAGCAATACTTTTATAAAATAGCATTGGCAGTAAAAGTTATTAGGAACAAATCCAAATATGTTGGAAAAATATATATATATATTTTATATATTTATACAAGTTATATTATATATATTTTGTTAGCAAGGTGAACAAGGCCAAGAAAGGCTAGAAAAGTGTTAATTGAAGAGTATATAATAATTAGTTTTGAAATATTTCGACTGCATATATGTATGTACATTACATTCACCACGAATATATTTTTAGTATTTACGAAAACCTCTACGCAATCCAACACAACTTTTTCGTATTAAAATAATTATATGAGAAACCCAAAACCATATGTGTTAAAAAGGTTATTTAACAAAGAACCAAAAGTAATTCTAATAATTACTAAATGCAGAAACGATACAATTTAATTACCAAATATACCTCCAAGTTTCCTTTGCTTCTGGTCATAGAATCTTCCTTTAGAATCCTTGTTTCGATTTCAAATACACGCAAAACACTGTGGTCTAAAATAATTGGATGTTATTTTATAAATTCAGTTGGATGCCAGTGACATTTAAAAGGCACATGCAATTTTTAAAAATATAAAATAAATGCAGTCTCTGGTTACGACTTGGAAATGAATGTGTCCTTATCTGATGTGGATGTCTTCCAGGTGGGCAGATGATGCGGTGTTGTTGGCGGACTGGGAAAGAGGGTCGCGTCCATGGAAAGGAAGAGCTCCAGGCCCAGGTCCCACATCCAGTGGTCGGAACACCATTGCCTGCCCATCTCCTCGTCGAGGTCGAAGCCGGGCTCCAGGCGGTCCACCACGTGGAATAGTTTCTCCTCCACGTCGAAGGCCAGACCGCAATCCGAGTTCGGCACGGGCTTCATCTGCCGCACCTGCGTGGTCGATGAAGGTGGCGTGAAGAAGACGTCGCGCATGAACTCCATCTCCCGGAAGTGGCGCCATCGCCTTCTGCCCAGGCGACGCAGCTCGGCGCGATAGTTGCCCCGCAGCCCGTTCCACTTGCGCCGGCACTCGTCCACGCTGCACTGCATCACCTTGGCCACGTCCAGCCAGCCGAGGTGCATTTGCACGCGCCGGCTGGAGAAGTTGATCCGGGTGTCCCAGATGGCAGGATGCCGGGCAATCTCCTTTAGGAGACGGCTCTTGTCCATCACGACGGGCTGTGATTGGCCGAAAAGTTCGGATGGCATCGCTATCGCCAAAGCTCTAGGTCCATCTCTAGGTGCGACTCCTCCTGGTTCCGGGTTCCGGGTTGTCCATTTCGATTCTCCATACTTCCAAGTTTTATTTATTTAATTATGTGTTCAAATTGTGATATATATTGTCTTTTGATTCTAGTATATATTCATTCATGGAAAGTAGATTCCGGGAGTTGAATTTAATTCGATTCTTTTTTAATGATGTTATCGATATTTATTTGGCAAAAGTGCTGCCAATAACAATCGCATTTTGAATCGAGTGCTACCAAGAAGTTCAATGACTTAAGCTTAATTTCATTATTTTCCATAATGTAACTATAACTATTTATTGCAGGGATTTACATTTTACTTTCTTATGATTTTGAGGATTTGCGGTGAGAATTGCGTTAAAAAGAGGTTTCAGTAGCCCCCCAGAATATATTATTTTCTAATTACGCATATAAACTGAAACATAGCACTTCAATAAAAACAAACAAAATGCTTTCTAATTAGTTTCCCTTAGTTCCCTAAAGTATTGTTATTTTCCACATAAAGAATCCTCACTCCTTGAAATCCCGCAGGATAACTATTGTCTACACTCAATGTTTGTCCACAAAAGATGGATCGTAAAATGTGTAAAAAGTTTCGAATTATATGTGTGCTTAATGAATTGTTTGTATCCTAAATCCAGGTCGTAAAACACCAGAAATTTCTTGGGCCTGCCTGTAGCGAATAAAAGTGCAGTAAAAGTGCACTTAAATGTACTGATCTATTGTTTGCCAGCGACGACTTCAGGGATTTAGCATTTACGAGCGGGATGGAAATTTTTATGATCGCACTTCATTCGTCCCGTTGCCAGAGCGACTTTATCAAAATGCCATTAGAATCGGAAACCTTCGGGGCGTGTGGCAGCGGGAGAAAGGACTATTGTGATTAGCCCGTGATCGGCAACAGGATCGCATCCTGGCGGAGTCATAAAATTGCACCTTGGCACCGCGGCAGCTGATGATGCGGGTCCCTGTCCCACCTAATTTCCCATTTCCATTTCCCACTTCCCATGTCATTGTCCTTGTGCAATCGCTAGGACATGTGCGAAATCCCGTTCTCGATCTCGATCCCAAAACCCATTCCGAAATATGTACATCGGCATATCGGAAATTAGCGTATTCGCCGGCGAAATTAGCCGCTGATTATGCTGGTCTGCGGTGCAAGGATGCAAATGTCCTGCGTCAGGAGTGCTGGTATTCAACCTGTCTGGGCTCAAATTATGGGGGTACGAATGTACAGTGTCTGTACACTGGCCAAAACATGAGATTTAACAATTTCTGTAAGTGTTGGTTTTCTATAAAACAAAGGAAGCTTTCATACATTTGTTGTACTTAAATTGTTGATGCTGAATTATTTCTTGCTTTCATATATGGCATAATATAACACTGATAAACATTTTTTGTTAATCAAGAATCTTTGAGGATTTAATTTTTCCAATATAATTTATGTTGTCAATTATATTTAAATATTAAAAAAACTAAAGTCGTGCTATGGTTTTATAGAGATCTTAAGGATTTAATTTAGCTTATTTTATAAACAAGGTTTTAATCAGTGTATTGTTGGAATTGATTTACTATAACTTGTGAGAAACTGCTTTTTTAAATGTTTGTTTTTCCAATAAAAATAAGTAACCAATAGAGAAGCTAGTTTTTGAGCAGTGTAAACTATAACTATAAATATTAGTTCGTTTTCGTAAAGGGGATCAAGTGAGTGTTTTCGGGTCTGTTATCCTGTATCCTGTTGTCCCGAGGCACCTGTCTTCATTAGTTGGCTGTCATTTCCTCGACTCGTTCGATAAGCAATCAATAGAGCGCGAGGGAGACGGGTAGCCTGCTCTGGAAAGAGACGGAGAGTAGGCCACTTACAGGTGCAAATGTTTGTTGCTTGCTCCAATTTGTTTGGCGGCCTGTTCACCAGTCTCCATTTGGCCTTTGCATATTGATGAGGCCCAATTTATGGCTCCCAACTCACCTGCCGATCGGCAGCCGAAGAAAACCGACTGGCGAGTGGAAAGTTGAAAGGCTTAAATGGCCACATGCCGGGCAGATCAAATCGGAGATGGAAGCCGGAAAAAACAATACGGTAGCGGGGAAAATGCGAGGGAAATGCTTTCTCGACAATCGACAGGTAGTCCATTAGTTGAAAAAGACCACATAGGAGGAAAATACTTATCTCAAATGGGGATATATATTTATAACCATTTATATATTTAAAAGTTCCTCTTAAGATTTCTTAACATTTATTTTCAAAATATATCAAATTATTATAGACCACAATATATACACCCAGAGAATTGCATTTATTTATTTTTATTTAGTATTTTTTTTTTAAAACATGATTGCCTTTCAAGGATTTTCTTAATACTTTTTCTTTTAACATACGATGAAATCTAAAAGCCTCTTTAATCCGCCTTTAACAGAAGTCATTTATTATTCGGGTATGAGCATTAATAGTGGCAAATAAAAATCGACCGGTCGCTTCTAATTTTGGATATCTAACGTGGTTACATCATTTGGTCATTTGTTATCCTCGAAGGATAACCACCCTCCTGCTCCGGATTCCCAGCTCTCGCTCCTCAGCTCTCGATTCTCAGCTCTCAGTTCTCAGTTCTCAGTTCTCAGTTCTGGTTCTAGGTCCTCCGCATACCTGACTCGACTGTTAATCCTGGCGCAGGATTCCTCCGCTGTCCTGTGTCGAATGCGAACCAGTTTTCCGCTTCGCTGCAACTGACGCATAAATTGCGGCACTTTCCATCCGTTCCATTTGCCGGTGGGACAGGACGAAACAGGACTCTTTTGTTTCTGCACCGGAGAAAAATATCTATATACTAGATGTTTTTGTTAAATAACATTACAAAAATGGTTAAAAAGATATTATAATATGACATCTCTAATTTAAATTTATATTTATACACTAAATTCATTTTATTTTTTATTTAATTAACTTAAAAAAGTAATTTATTTTTTGTTTTGATTAAATCATTAACATTAGTTTACCATCTTTAATTGTTAAACATATATTATTATATTATTAAGTTAAACGAAATGCTTTTAAGTTGAATAAATAACAAAAGGAAATTTAATTAGTTCTCAGTTTTATAATTTATATATTCAGATTTAATTGGTTTTTTTTTATTATCAGGTATTTATTAATGTAACTATTCTTATTGTATTCTTATTGTTTATCAGGTGTCTTACTTAAAACTTTACTATTTTAATTATGTTTGTCTGTATACTTTTTAGAAAACACAAGTATGGTGGAAATTTCTCAAAGTGTAGGGTTTCCAGTTGATTTTTCCTTAGCCAACATTTGCGCTCGCCAAGAAGCGCTCTTAGCTTCCCTATTCAAATTGTTTGAACTGGCAATGCGGCACGGTGATTTTTCATTTTCCCGGCCGAGTATTAAAGATCGGTCATTGGGATGGGGTAGAATTAGAAGTAGAAGTAGAAGTAGAAAGCCGGCCACATCGATCAGTTTTCCGGCGATTCTGCGCCGTACGGCACCTGTTTTTCCTTCTGCCCGCGATTTTTCCACAGCACCAGCAGGTGCCAGCGAGTTTTCCCCCGCCGACAATGACATTTACATATTACTATGTGGCGCGTGGCTCCAGGTTGCAGGATGCAGGACACAGGAGCAGCCTGCTGTTCGGGATCCCGATCTTGATCCCCGCATGACAATGCTAAGTGGAGATCCCCCCCCCACCATCGCCTGTCGTCGACCCTCATCAAACAAGTCGATTTTATGTTTCCTTTTCGAATTTTTCACGCTGCATTTTCCGCTGCTGCCACTGCTGATGCTGACCAGCGGGAAACTCAGGCAAGGGTTGCTAATGTCCGAGTTTTCCCCTTTCCATCTTCATTCTCATTCTCATTTCCACATCCACTTCCATTTCCTCAAGACATTGCCCGATGGCACGCGCTTTGGTCAGTTGGTCAGCGATTGTTTTCCACCCTTTGACAACGGTGTTGTGACAACGGAAAACGGACAATGGAAAATGGGAAACGGAAAATGGCCAGTGGAAATGCAATTTGAGTCCTAGACAATTAAGACCAAACCGCGATATGACAGCCCGCGATCGCCTCAAACTTGTTGATTGTTTATTCAAATATTGAAAGGGTTTAAAGGTGAAACAATATTTTAGCTTTCAACTACAATCGAATTGAATGCAGGTTTTTGTTAGTTGAAACCTTTTATTTTACTACTTTTAATGTGATATTAATGCAAATATACATCGGTAGTCTTTTATTGGTTATTCCTTTAATTGAAAATATCCTTAAACCTTTATTTCCAATAAAACTCCTTGCTATTCATACGAATTTGGTTAAGTCACTCTGGAGTAGCCAAATGCCTAAATCTGAAGGAGACTTTTAGGCAGCTGCTCAAGGAAGTGATCTTTTCAGGTTCCAGAAAGGATTTCCGAGTTCCGATTTCCGATTTCCGCTGCACGGGCAATTAGTTAATTAAGCGCAACTTCAAGTGTCCCACTTCGAAATATATCACACGAGAATCGCTCCTTGTTGACATTTCTGCAGCATCATCCAGACAATTTGCATATTTAATTGAAGAATCCTATGCGCCCAAAAAGGGGAAAACTTAATTTTTTTTTTTTAATAAAAACTACCAAAATGTCAAGCGAAATTTTTGGAAGGCAGAGACGGAGGAAAAGGAGGAAGAAATCGAATTAAAAAGCGCAGAAGTTTGAGGCGCTGGAGAATCTCTGGCTGGTGACGAGCGAGTGGAAACCCCGCGGCGGCCATCAGGGAAAAGGGTTAAATGCAAATGAGCACGGTTCCTCCAAAAGAGAGCTGAAGAAAAAAAACTGGGCGATCCGGGAACAGGACACACGGACCTTGGACTCGATCCAACCCCCGAATCCCGGGCAGTTGTCAACCGCGCTTGACAGATCTCCTGGCCCGAAACTGGATTTTTGGCA